GGGCCCCGGCAAAGATACCATCGGCAAAGAAGGACGCTCCGGCCTACAAAACCACGGCGCCGATCTACGACGAGAAGGTAGCAGCCGAGGTCTACAACAGGGCGATGGCCACTCAGGTGACGCTTACCCAGCGCGAACTACTCTCCCTCTCCGCCGAAGTCCGTTCGCAGGTCAGGGAAGCCACGTCGGCACGCCGATCACCTACCAAGGACGCCAGCAATGTTCGGACCTTCTACCAAGATGCCGATCTACCCTACGCCATCGACGATCTCGAACCACCGACTCGACCGACCGTCTCCTCCTTCGTCAATGTCCTGCACCAGCCGGAAACACCTCCACCTGGCGCGATCATCATCCCCGACACGTACGAAACATATCTGAAGAGTCTACAGCCCGGTCAGGTTCCTCAGCCGTTGATAGTCGCTAAAGAATCTTCAGCCCTAAGGTCCATTGTTCCCCTCGTCGATCACCAACAGGAAGTCGAATGCGTCATCGATCCGGGTTCACAAGTCATCGCCATGTCGGAAGGCATTTGCAATGAACTGGCACTCATCTACGACCCTGAAATCGTCCTCAATATGCAGTCGGCGAATGGCGAAATCGACCGATCCTTGGGCCTCGCACGCAACGTCCCATTCCTCATCGGCGATATCACCTTGTACCTCCAAGTCCACATCATTCGTAACCCAGCCTACGACGTTCTCCTCGGTCGGCCTTTCGACATCCTCACCGAAAGTATCGTCAAGAATTATTCAAACGAAGACCAGACGATCACCATCAATGACCCGAACACGGGACGACGAGCCACCATTCCGACGATTAGACGAGGACCCCCTCGAGTCCTTCACCGAAGACAAGCGGGTTTTCGCGATTCGATGAATTGATCCGAGATCAAGGAGAAGTTGCACTGATCATTTCCACCGATCATGATACCCCCAATTTCCCACTTATTGAAGCGTCCTCAGATTTCCATTCTCCATCTCCCTCTCGTCGCGATCTTTGTCTCAAGTACATTATGGCCTCCGATTTGGGGCCCGAAAATCATCTCAAAAACAATCTCAATTTCGATATGTCGTCCTTATTTTCCTCAGTCGTCCCCGGTTCTTCCCATTCCACTAATATCGCCGACCCGGTCGCCATCTTCGCCGCCAAGCGCAAGTACAAACCGGTTGCACAGAAAACACGACCAGTCTTGGCCGACCTCCCCGAAAAGTTCCGAATCGTTCGGAACATCCTTGGTGACCCTCTCGCTACCCTTCCGACGCTGACACCGAACCCCCCACCCTTCACGCCGACCGGCAGATACACAGCCGAACGGCGCGACCTCATCGACAAAGTCCACTCGGACGACTTCCTTTGGCCCGCCGAACGACAGCTCATGCACCATTTCATGTGTCTACAAGAGATGGGATTTGCCTGGGACGATTCGGAACGCGGACGTTTCCGCGAGGACTTCTTCCCACCAGTCAATATGCCGGTAGTCGAGCACAAGCCCTGGGTTCAGCGCAACATTCCGATACCACCAGGCATCTACGACGAAGTGTGCCGACTTATCAAAACCAAGATCGCCGCTGGAGTCTATGAGCCGTCGAATTCGTCCTACCGATCGCGCTGGTTTACAGTCGTCAAGAAGACGAATAGCACCTCCACTGGCACCAAACTCCGAATCGTTCACAGCCTCGAACCCCTGAACGCCGTCACCATCCAGCATTCAGGTGTGCCCCCATATACCGATCAGATCGCTGAACAGTTTGCAGCTCGCGCTTGCGGCGGCATTCTGGATCTCTATGTTGGATACGACGAACGAGGGCTCGCCGAATCATCTCGCGACTTCACCACATTCCAGACCCCGTTCGGTGCCCACCGACTCGTCACCCTACCCATGGGATGGACGAATTCGGTCCCGATCTTCCACGACGACGTCACCCACATCCTCCAGCCAGAGATCCCAGACACCACCATTCCTTTCATCGACGATGTCCCGATTCGGGGCCCACCGACCCGATACGAACTTCCGAACGGAGGCTTCGAGACGCATCCCGACAACCCCGGCATACGACGGTTTGTGTGGGAGCACTTTCAAGGCCTCAATCGGGTGGTCCAGCGGATGAAGTACAGCGGAGGGACCTTTTCGGGACACAAGGCGACACTCTGCGCAGCCGAAATCACGGTAGTCGGCCATCGGTGCACGTACGAAGGAAGATTACCCGACGAGTCTAGGGTAGAGTCAATTATGAAGTGGGGACCTTGCAGGGATCTCTCGGACGTTCGGGCATTTTTGGGGACGATCGGTGTCGTTCGGATCTTCATTCGGAATTTTGCACACAGGGCGCATGCACTGACTATGTTAACGCGCAAAGATTTTCCATTCGTGTTCGGTCCAGACCAGATAGCAGCCCAAGACGACCTCCGGTCGGCACTGCTCGAATCGCCAGCCCTCCGGCCGATCGACTATGGGTCGGCAGCCAACGTCATCCTCGCCGTCGATACCTCACAAATCGCGGTCGGCTTCCACCTCTGTCAATGCGCACTCGACAGTCCGCGGGTTCGGTACTATGCTCGATTCGGCTCCATCACCCTTAACGACCGCGAATCGCGATTCTCCCAGCCGAAGCTCGAGCTCTACGGTCTCTTTCGCGCCCTCCGATCGCTCAAAATGTATCTCATCGGCGTTCGGAATCTGATAGTCGAAGTAGACGCACGCTACATCAAGGGCATGCTCACTAACCCGGATCTCGAACCCAGCGCCAGCATCAATCGGTGGATCGTCTCCATCCTCACCTTCCATTTCACACTTGTCCACGTCCCCGGCACCTCTCACGGCCCCGATGGACTCTCCCGACGACCACCGCAACCCGCCGATCGACCCGAACCCGAAGACAACTTTGACGACTGGATCGACAATCTCTACGGCTTCCTCCATCAGATCAACAACACGTTCCCCACCTCCATCTCAACTTCGACCACCGCCATCTTCACCTCCTCACTCATAGGCGACCCCCCGGCCGATACCGACTCCGACGACGAAGGCCCGACTATCGACTATTCGGATATCCCAAGATCGCAAAAAGCGTTGGAAGCCGAAGAACGCCTATGGTTGGTCCGCGACTGGCACCGAACATTGGTTCGGCCCCCCTCTCTCTCCGACTCCGAATATGCTACCTTCCTACGATATTGCACTGAGTTCTTTATCGCAGCCGACAAGCTATGGAGAAAAGACTCGCACGGTCGACACAAGATTGTTGCAGCCCCTTCTAGTCGGATCACAATTCTCACCGCCGCCCACGACGACGTTGCTCACAAGGGATTCTACGCCACGACCGCCTTGATCGCCGAACGCTTCTGGTGGCCGCACATGAGGCAAGATATTTCGTGGTTTGTTCGGACATGTCACCTTTGCCAGATTCGCCAGACTCGCAACGTCCTCATTCCCCCGACCGTCGCCACGCCTGCACCACTCTTCGCGAAGATGTATATGGATACCATGCACATGCCGACCGCCGGCGGTTTCAAGTATCTCGTTCAAGGCCGCTGTTCGGTATCACACTACCCCGAATTCCGAATGCTGCGACGCGAGACAAGCTCAGCCCTCGCCGACTGGATCTTCGAGGATATCCTGTGCCGATGGGGAACATTGGTAGAGATCGTCTCCGACAACGGACCAGCGTTCGTCAAGGCGCTCGACCAGTTAGCGAAAAAGTACCACGTTCGGCACATTCGTATTTCGGGCTACAATTCCCGCGCCAACGGCATCGCCGAACGACCTCACTTCGATGTTCGGCAGGCTCTGTTCAAAGCCGTTGATGGAGATCAGGCCAAGTGGAATCGTGCAGCTCATTTCGTATTCTGGGCTGATCGTATTACTGTTCGGCGCCGAATGGGTTGCTCGCCATACTTCGCAGCGACCGGAACCCATCCCCTTCTCCCCCTCGACATCGCCGAAGCCACCTACCTCCTGCCACCACCGACCACAACCCTCAGCACCACCGACCTCATCGCCCGACGGGCCATAGCCCTGCAGAAACGCCGATCGGACCTCGCCCACCTTCGCAGCTCAGTTGTCGGCGCCCGTGTCCAGGCCGCCATCCGATTCGAACAACAGCATTCGGCCACCCTTCGCGACTTCAATTTCCACCGAGGCTCGCTTGTCCTGATGCGCAACACAGCCATAGAAAAGGCGCTCAATCGGAAGATGCGTCCACGTTATTTAGGACCTTTGCTAGTAATTTCTAGGAATCGGGGAGGAGCGTATATTTTGGCCGAACTCGATGGATCGGTCTTTGATCGGCCAGTTGCAGCATTCCGCGTTATTCCTTATTTTGCTCGCAGGTCTCTGAAGCTCGCCGACCTTGAAGCCCTCCTCGACATCTCGCAGGAACGCCTTCGGGCCATGGAAGATTCCAGCTCGAGCGACGACGACGCCGAAGACGATAGTGCCGATGAAGATACCGACACCAGCTCAGTCCGATCGGCGGAGGACGACGACGCGGCTTCGGCGACCTCCGACTAGATCCCACCCTCCCACCCTTCGCTCTCTTCGGTCGGTGACTGGGGACAGTCACGATTTCAGTAGGGAGGAGGATTCACAGATATACCCATTCCTTATCTTCGTTTATTCGTCACAGACATGGACTGACGCCCAATCATTTCCACATATCTTAGTACTTTTACCACCGACCGATCGCCGACCGAATAATCGGCACTCATTTTCCCATCACCCCTTCAAGTACCAAGCCGCATTGAAGACTTCTTCCGATTTGCGCAAAACCATAAGGGTTTTATGCCTGTGATGACATACTGAGGCTTCCCCTAAATATTCCAATTTATTTTCTTCATTTCTGCCGAACGCTTCGCTTACAACTACATTCACACGCAGTCATTTCGCCGACCGATTTCTCGAACGACACCTCCAGTCTTCGCCAAAACGTCTCATTCAAACCAGGACAGTCCTTTCACTATTATGTTACATTTTACTGTACTACAGACACCTTGAAGCTATTCTACACATCGGGCACAAAGTCGCCCAACACAGACATGTCCGAATCCTCGGAATCCGACGAGTCTTCCACCAGCACCACATCCGAAACCGCCGATCCACCCGAACGCGCCTCAAGACTTGCCAACTCACCCTGCCACATCGCGATCGAACGCGCCAGCGAGGCACGCGTACCTTCGGCCACAGCGATGCGGTACCGAAGCTCCGACGCGATGCCTTGCGCAACGACAGGAGACAGGCGAGAGGAGTCGGACAAAGCGGGGACAGCAGAGGAACGGGGACGGGAAGGGGCCAGGACGGTACGAGTGGTGGTTGGAAGACGCTGGACTGGCTTCCGAGCCCGAACAGCTAGACAATACGATGAGCTCATATCCCAGCAATGTCCGACCGATTACTCACCTTTTGTCCGCGCGATACTCTCGCCGACAGATCGTTCGGGAACGAGCACCTCGACCTTACGCTTCTTGGTCGGGCGCGATGGTTCCGGCTCCCCCGACTTTTCGGCCGCCTTCGCTTTCGACTTCCCTTTCCCCTTGGACTTTCCCTTGTTCGGCATCCACCCGGGTTGGAAGCTGCAGCCTTTCTGTTCCCTGGAGCACTTCGTACACGAAACTTGGCCGGACCTCGTGTAGCAACGAAAGGCCACGGTGGTAAACTCAGCCGCACACCTTTGGCAGGCGTAGTCGGCCTGGAAGAAGGAGAATCAGCAAGCAATGAGAGGCGGCAAAAGGGAGGGGACTTACGAGTACATCTCCAGGCATCAAACCCGGGGGATCCTGCATCATCTTCCCGGCACCGTTCCTCTCCACGGGCGACCGAACAGTCGACATGCGACCCGTTCCAGGACCGAGAGGGACGATCACCCGACCTTGAGACGGAGTTCGCTGGCGAGCGAACTCGACGACAACAGCGGCAGCGCGCTTCCCTTGAGATTCGATCGGAGCGATCGGAGCGGTCGGGTCCACACTCATGCGATGCATAGCCGCGGTTGTTGAGACCAGGACGGCGTCGGCGGAAGGAGCAGGATCCGGGGAGGGAGAGGGAAAGAAAAGAGGGGGAGGGACCACGGTTTCGGCGTCCAGCTCGGCCAGCTGACGCTCACCTTCTTCAGGATCGAGAGACCCATCAAACATGGCGCCTACCACAGCGTCCCGGCGCCGCTGACGATCTTCTGCGGCCACCTGCGACGCAGCAGCAGCCCGCGCCGCCTCCGCTCGCTCAGCCTCGCGTTCGGCGGCAGCTACCCTCTCGGTCTCCTCAGCCAGGGCCTGTTCTTCGGCTTCTTTCTGCTGCTTCACAGCAAAGCGCGCCGCCCGCTGCGGCAGGACGCGCGCCCCCCATACCAGCCAGCCGTCGGTAGCCATGTGGTCGAGCCCGCGCTCAGCTTCGGCGATGAGATCGGCAAGTTCGGGAATGTCTTCACCACGCGCCGAACGATCGAGAAGAGCCTAAGGAGGTGGTTGGCAGCAAGTAAGAGCAGGAGGGAGGGCAGACTCACCACACGACGGGCGAAACCTTGGCCCCAGAGCTCATAATCTTCATACTCAGCCGCTCCATCTGGGAGGGAGAGCATGTATTCAGCAAGTTTCGCCTTGAGAACGGGGAGGATGGACGGCATTCGGAAGAGGAGACAAAGCGGCAGGAGGACGGCGACGAGGGACTTAGTTGCTGGAGAATCAACGATCGGCAGGTGATTGTGGTCACCTGACAAAGCCCCGTGCCACGGCGCCCGGCAGAGACCGCGATACGCGCCACCGTCCTTTGCCGACACACTCTCACGCCAGCGCCTAGTTGGGGCACTCTAGGTCTCAGCCACTGCCTCACCTAATCAGTTGCCACGCCACAGGACTTTGCCAACTCAGCCCCGGTCTCTCTTGCGCGCCGACCCGGTCCTTTCTACGACATCTCCATGCCGATTATTCACCTGTGCCGCTCCAGGTTCCACGCCACAGCTATTCTTTCCACGCTAGCGCTTGTTGCCGACGCTTTCCCACATCTCTCCCACGCGCCCACTTCTTTCCACGCCATCGCTTGTTACCGAAGCTTTCCCACATCCACACACCACGCGCCCTGATCCACGTGCAGTGTTGCCACGCCATTTTTTCCGCTCCAACTCATAGCCGCCGACCACTGACTGAGGACAGTCAGGATTTCAGTAGGGAGGAGATGATGAGCATGCACCCGCGCTAGGGTCCGAGGGAGGTATTCGGGAAGCTTTGGGGAGATACCGAACAGCGCTCGACAAGTACCGAAGACGCCGACTATTACCGAACACGGTCGGTCTCTACCCGACCGACGACAAGCCACCGAAGGACGTTCGGCAGCACTTGGGTCAGTTTGCCCACACTTCACGTACTTACCATGACCGCATAGGAGTGTTACGATAAGTGTTTACGAGATCGGAGCCAGTATTCCGTATCGGCCGATGTCCTCCGTGAGTCGGTCGGTCCTTATCGCTTATCTTCCTGACTTCCGCATGGTCGGTCAAACGCGATCTTGCACCATTGCTTGGCCACCCTGGTCGTACAATACCTCTTCTTTATTTTCATTGGCTCTCCAACGCCTGTTCCTGCTACCTACGCTCGGGCGACGGATCCCGAACGTTCGGGATTTCGACATCACTGATTACCTTTTACCTTATCACCTTCGGAACCCATATGGACATCTCACCTACCTTCTTATCTTCTCTGATCGCTGGGGCTTGGCGCCCATTCGACATCTACTCTCATTTCGGGTTCGATATTTTACTTAGGGGCGCTGTTTACTATAAAAACCTACATACAACTCTGGAATAAACCAGCTTTCGCACCCCACAGTTCAGAGCTCATTCGCACTCGTCTCAACCATCGAAATCGTCTTCATCGACTCCCGAAAACTTGTCATCTTCGTCGTTCGGCCTTGTTCGCGTTCGTACTCGTCTCTTCGCTCGTACCCCTCGTCCTTCCTCGTATATTGTCAGAGTCCCGTGTGGCTCTTGAAGCACGTAGTTGTCGGTCGCGACACTACCTCCTCGTTACCGACCGAATCGCCGACACGACCGACCGAACGTTCGGTCGGTGTTCGGTGCAGTCCCGAAACCGTTCGGGCGCTATAATCTCCACTCCTCGCTAGTGCGCCGTCGATTTCTAAAGTCATCACTAACGATTCCTTGTGTAACAGAAACTAGCTCCAGCACCCCCTACATTAGAGGTTGTTTTAGTGTTGTGCTCGGCACTTAGAGCCACCTCTAGCGTATCAACGTTCTGTCGGGCCTTAACGGCGGTCTATTCCAACATGATCATCACAAATATCAAGCGGCCTCACAAGGTGAGGTGTACAACAAGGTATAGATAATAACCTTGGTCATCCACTCCCAACGGATCACCTTATCGTTGGTCGAGTATCACAAGCCATATTGCGATGGGCATAGAATGCCGCCTTACAAACTACTCACACACTGGGCATTGAGCTCCTAGTTTTTCCTGGCCGGAAGGAGACGAACGGAGAAGCACAAGAGTAGTCGTTATTGAGAGAGACAACTTAGAGAATACCTATGGATACATATACGGTATTCTCACGCCCTATTTCCTAAAGTAGTATAAAAGGCCCATAGAGTAGGCTGAGGATCTTCAGTCTATTCTCTTCGTTCTTAGGCAGTCTTCATACTGTCTACTTCATTGGCTGTAGTCTTCCTACTACAGTCTTCATTGCTACATCGCAATACACTTCTGGCTCCTGTGCTACACGTACAGTCGAGACTGCCGTTCCACACATCCTCCACGAGCAACCTAGGGAAGAACCTCCTACTCTTGGGGTTACCGACGAGCAGTCGTAACAATTTCCTCATCAATGGAGGTAGGGAAGGTAGAAAAAACATGTGTAGTATGGACATGTGAATTTAAATTTGAAAAAATTTAATACCAGTGGATAGATATAGCTATAAAGGTTCCTTTGAATCCTAGATAACATTGTAACATATAGGCTGTTTGTAGCACCTTTTACACATACTGTGAGGGTCTTTACTCTAGAGCCCAGAACCTTATTGCCCTATGTAAAATCCAATATTTGCATTGTAATGACTGCTAGGGGCCATTAACACTAACCAGCAATCATTAGCCCTTGATTCCCTTGTGATAATCAAAGAGGTCAGTTCCTCTAATAATCTGTTAAAATAGCCACTTCTGCACAATATATGATCATCCTCAAGTAGAAGCCAATAAGGGCTTTGAATAGACTCTATGGACTTGCTTGTTCATGTGTAGGCAGTTATCATATTTGCTTGATACATACAGGATGGGTAGGCTTAGAAGCAAACACAATGTATTAGGTATGAGGCATGGACAAACAAGAAGATGTGGTACATGAAAGCAAAGAATAATGGAGATAGCATGATAAGGGAGACAGGATAGTGATGACAAGGGACTGAAAGAGACAAGAGTGGTGCTCGGAAATGGGTAAAAGCCCTGAGGGCTTCCCAACATGTAGTAGAGAAAAATGCCTAGATAAAGAGGGAAGTTAAGTAAACTGTGATACCTAGTAGATAGGAGTTGGTGATATATCTATGGTGCACCTTAATTTCCTTTAAATAAAAGGTGATGATATACTGGTTAGATCAAGTTGGTGGTTAGGTTTGACTCTATAGTGAAATATAATAACTTATTGTGCGGAAATATAGTGAACCAATGCCCTGCTAGAGCTTTATCTAGGTTATATAAAGGGGCAACTGGATATTTTTAATTGAGTAGTGGAAAAGTGGGGAACTGCCTGGCTCAAGCTGGTGGAATACTGGCTGACTGAGGAGGAGGCTATGGCCAAGCTTTTTTAGCAAGAGCTTAGAGTAGTGGTGAAAAAGTTCCTCTGAGAGAAAGTAGAAGTATGGCAACAACTAACCTATTCTAGGCTAAACTTGCAGTGCACCAGGCCTATGCATCTAGAAAAAATGCACTTGTACATCAGAAGGAGCCTAAGGCTAGCTGAGAAGAGGTCTAGAGGCTTATAGGAAAAATGAGATAGGACAAATGGGAAGTGCTTCTTCAAGAGCTAAGCGAAGGAAGCAAATGAAAGGAATCAGACATAGATTTTTAAATCAGCCTTTGTCCTCGGTGTATGATAGGCCCACTCAAAACTCCTTTGTAAAAATAGCTATATGACTTACAAAATCCAATCAAAAATCATACATGTATATAAATGTACAGTTGAAACACAGAAGGAGAACCACCAAAGCAGAGGTATTGATTGACTCAGGAGCAAAAAAACTCCTTATTGATAAATAGTTTGGCCAAAAACAAAAAATACCACTCTAAAAAATCAATAGATTCATCCCAGTATTCAATGTGGATGGCATAGCCAATAAAGGAGGGAAAATCATGGACAAAGCATGCCTGCTAATAAGAATGATGAACAACAAAGGAGACTATCATGATGAACAATGCAAACTACTTACTACCAACCTAGAAGGAGAAAACATCATTTTGGAGACAGACTGGCTACACGAGCATAACCCACAAATTGATTGGATAAAGAACTGCCTCACGTTCTCTTCATGTGCAACAATATGCATAGTCAGCCAACCCAAGTTCACAATACAGGCACAACTTCTCTTGCAACGAAGAAGCATAAAGACAATTAGATACTTAAAAATAGAAAACAAACCTAAAAGAGAAAAAGAAGACAAAACCTTCTCTGAATTCTATGAAGAATGGTACAACAAAGACCCCTTTGAAATGCACCCACTTGAAGCAATCCATATCAGATCCACCCATAGCAAATCACAAGAACTGGCAGAAGTGGCAAACAAGAAAAAGGATAAATGCATGGTGGAAGAAATAGTCCCTGCATACATCCTTAGATGCTTCACCAAAGTCCTCAGCCAAGAAGCCTCACAAAGGTTTCCTGAACATTTGCAATGGGACCACAAGATTGACATGAAACCAGAATGGGAACCAAGCAAATGCAAACTGTATCCTCTGACAGAAGAAGAAGACAAATTGTATGAAATGCTATAAGAACACTTAAAGCAGGGAACCATAAGGGTGTCCAAATCCCTACAAGTGTCCCCATTCTTCTTTGTGAAAAAGAAGAAAGGAGACCTCAGACCAGTCCAAGACTACAGAAAACTAAACAGTGTCGCAGTGAGGAATGGTTTCACTCCTAGATATGATCGGGGTTTCCTGTTTTTCCGGATGTACCTAGTGTTCATTTGATTGCTGTTCTAGATGATACCTTCTGGTATTGGCACAATACACAGATGTTGGTCACAGTTATAAGCAACGATGAGAATATCCTGAGCTATTTAGCAAATTTCTGAAGTGGTGCCAGACCACTAACAAAGACAATACTCCGTAAATGTTGTGAATAATGAGGAGAGGCTTAAGAACTTTGTGATTCAAGTTGCTGAGGTGCTACACAGATTGAAGGCAAGCTACTAGTTCGTCTAGTATCCCTACAAGTCTTGCAGCTTATCTCCAACTGATATTACTCAAAGAACTTATTGACTGGCACTGACTGACTGAGTAAAAGTAAGAGGGAGAGATGGTCTCTGCCTGAAGCAGGAAAATCAGCCTCCTTATATACTATTTCAAGTGGGAATCTCCTTCCTAGTATATACAGGCTGAGTAGAGTCATTGTGAGTCACAAAGAATGCTGTAGAAATAAAAAAAATAGGGAGGAAAGCAGAGGAACAGAAAGGAAAGTAAAAGAAAGGCTCAGAATGTGGTAGAATGTTCCTTTAGCTTCCTTCAGAACTGCTCAGAACCTTCCCCTTCTTTCAGCTTGGAATGGCCTAGACCTTGCCCCTTTCCTAAACATTCTCCATCCTTCCACTAAAGTTCCTTTCTATTCTACCAGATTCCATTGCTTTCTTTCCATTCCTTATTGTCTTGCCATGGTCTAGCTCTTTCTGAAATAGACCCTAGGCTCTGGAATCTGTCCCAAAAGCGAATTATAAGTATGAAAAGGGATAGGAAATCAAGTTTAAGTGGTAAAATACTCGAAAAATATGTAGAAAATCGGAATTAAATGTCCTTTCCCTTCTAGGTTGTTTCTCTTCTCTTCCTTCTAGTCAGATATTCTGCCCTCCATTCTACCATCACTATTTGATGCCTAACAATGTGCGAGCGTGACAACAGATGGACAATAAAGAACAAATACCCTTTACTTCTAATCGATGATGTAATCTGAACCATTGCAAAGTCAGGGGAAAAGGTCTTCTTGAATTTGATGTCAAATGGGGTTATAACAACATCCATGTTGCAGAAGGAGATGAATGGAAAATAGCATTCCTAACTAAATTCAGTCTGTTTGAATTCATCGTCATATTCTTTGGTCTTTGCAACTTGCTGGCAACATCCCAGACTATGATGAACATAATCTTCCATGACCTTATCATTGTGCAAGTCATGGCAGTTTACATAGACAATATCATAACCTTCACAAAACTGTGGAAGAACACTGACAAGTAACAATTCAAGTAATACAGATACTCCTAGACAATGACCTCTTCCTCAAACCCTTGAAATGTGCATTTGAAGTAGACACAGTTGAATACCTTGGCTTTATCATCTTCACAGACAAAACAGCCATAAACCTGGTCAAGATTAAAGAAATCTCCAAATGGCCAACTCTGACCAACCTAAAAGAAGTACAATCCTTCTTAGGCTTTGGAAACTTCTACCAGAGATTCAACAAGGACTTTGCCATGATAGCATGACCCCTAAACAATTTTATAAAAAATAATACCTAATTCATATAGCCTGGTGCTATCATAACATAAACAAGTTTGTGTCTTTATCTGGAAAACCACCCCCTTGTATTATCTCTGGATTATATCTAATAGTGTCTAAAGTTATCTAAAAGTGTTAATAGCATCTAAAAATGTCTAATTTCCTAATTGGGAGCAACACATTATAAGCATTGGATTGAATTCTCATTTTATAATATTAGCATTAATTCCATACTAATAAGTCTTCTCATTAGCAGTAGGAAATAGTAAGTACTACTGCTCTATCAGTGCAAAGGTAAAGATATGGAACATTCTATACTGTTTCAGCATATTACTTTCCTTCATATATGCCTGCACTATTATCTTGTATTCCTTTTGCTAACTTTTTAGCTGCCTTTACAAGGGACATAGAGAGAGAGAAATATACATTGATGCCCCAGTGACTTTGTTGGCAGCTTAGCAGCTGCCATAAAAGACTATGAAGACCTCAATACCTTGGCCTTACATACAAGATCATTGAAGTTGATGCCTGTTACTGGTCATTATAGGATACAATATGCAGGTAAGGCTTAAAGATGTGCTACATACAGCCTTGTAGACCTTGTCTATTAGTGCAGTGGTCAATACTATCTTGTACAGCACACAATTGTCATTACCATTGATATTACAATTTTTAGCACCATCCACATTGTTTATTGCCTTGTTATATAGAAGATGCTCAAACTTGATGTCTTTCTCTAGCTATTGGGCTGTGGAAAAGACAGTCATTTTGGTATGTGATGCTAGAATGATATATTTGCCTATTATATAGAAAATTTGTGCACCAAGCATATTAAGATTATCCCTAATAATCTTGTGCTTATTTATACATAGGCATGCCATACATATACCCTTGTCCCCACCCTCCACCTCACTAGTGGCTATTTGGAAAACCCCTATCTTTTATTGGATCTGAATTATTGATAATCATTAATGATACTAATTTAAGCTAATTATGGCTAATTATTCATAATTATGTTTTCGATTAAATTTGTAAATTAAGGTAGCATTGTCTATATTAGTAGAGTTCCATTGAATATTATACTTAATCATAGTTTTACACATTCTGAATTGAAATTGTGTAAGTGCCATAATTTGTTTTTACCCTACATAAAGTATATTATTTATTTTCCATTGGTTTATTATCTTCTTAGCTGGTGTTTAAACTAAATCCTGAAAGGCCTAACTTTTTGGGTATTTATTGACTTGTTTATTTATTAGATAGAGGAAAGATGAATGTTGAATAAAATCAGAGATGTTGAGATTGCCTATATTATGTTTACTTATTTAGATTACCAAGTTCATATATTAGACCTTGTGGCTTAGTGGCTTAGAGCATCTGTTTTGGGTGCTTGTATATATGAGGTTGTGAGTTCAACTCTAGCAAAAGGCAAGTTTGTTGTAAGGTATATTCTGTGTTTAGGTATTTAACCAGTGCTCTAATAAACATGACTCTATAAGAAGGCTATGAGAACTGTGATGCTTGATTTATTACTATTTTTCCGAAAATTCAAGTTATAATCAATCCTAATAATTCCTAATTTAGGAAAATTATGTCTAATTAGAACAGGTCTAGGGAGAGGGTAAGCTAAAGATGTCTAATCCTAATCTTTCATAATTTAGTATAGCAGAGCATCAATTATAGCTAATTAGAGCTTAATACAAGGGGGTGGTTTTCCAGATGTATCTGGCACTTGATGGCACCTATGTACAGCTAGGTAAGCCACTTGCCTCCTAGTAGAGCAGGGGCCAGTCAGCACCAATGCATCAGCAACCCTCCTACACTAGCAGGAATTGCTGCTGACCTTCTTTGCCTTGCAGGTCTCCTTTTGCCACATGCTAGGAAGCCTTTTGCTGCAGGGGCTTTCACCTACCTTTTTCATATTGCATTGCATATATCTAATTTATATTACATATACCTACTTTGTTGTGTGCTCCCCTTGTTATATGTCACCCCTCTCATTCATTTCTCTGGACCTTTCTCTCCCCATATATATACTGTCCCTTGATATCCATATGCATTGTCCCATTACCGGTGATAAGCATGCACCCACACTAGGGTCTGTTACGAACTGCTTGTTTGGTAACCCCAAGAGTAGGAGGTTCTTCCCTAGGTCACTTGTAGAGAAAGGGTGGAACAATGGCCTCAACTGTACGCATAGCACAGGAGCCAGATAGTATTGCAGTTGCTGTGCACAATGGCACAGAAGGGTAGGTTATACTGTAGGGAGACAGTACTAGACAAAGAGAATAGACTAAAGATCCTTAGCCTATTCTATGGGCCTTTTATACTACTTTGAGAAGGGCGTGAGAATACCATATATGTATCCATGGGTATTCTCTAAGTTCTAAGTTGTTCTCTCTCTCTGAAACGACTACTTTTGCTTCTCTGATTGCCTTTTTCCGACCAAGAGGCCAAGGGGTTCTGTGCCCGTGTGTGAGTAGTTTATAAGCCAGGGAAAGTTGCCCACTGCAATAGGCCCATGATACTTGACTAGCGATGGATGATCACTAGAAGTGGATGACCAAAGATAACATCTATACCTTTATATACACTTTGGGATATAAGGCCGCCTAGTAATTGTGATGATCCTATTGGAATAGACTGCCATGAAGGCCCGATAAGTTGTGATCATAACAGGGTCTGAAGGAGGTATTCAGGAAGCTTTGGGGAGATACTAAACAGCACTAAACAAGTACCAAAGATGCTGACTATTACCAAACATGGTCGGTCCCTACCCAACCAATGACAAGCCACCAAAGGATGTTCGGCAGCACTTGGGTCAGTTTGCCCACACTTCACATACTTATCATGACCACATAGAAGTGTTACGATAAGTGTTTACGAGATCAGAGCCAGTAGTCCATATCGGCCAATATGCTCTGTGTTACGAACTGCTCGTTTGGTAACCCCAAGAGTAGGAGGTTCTTCCCTAGGTCGCTCGTAGAGAGGAAGGGTGGAACGATGGTCTCGACTGTACGTGTAGCACAGGAGCCAGAGATGTATTGCGATGTAGCAATGAAGACTGTAGTAGGAAGACTACAGCCAATGAAGTAGACAGTATGAAGACTGCCTAAGAACGAAGAGAATAGACTGAAGATCCTCAGCCTACTCTATGGGCCTTTTATACTACTTTAGGAAATAGGGCGTGAGAATACCGTATATGTATCCATAGGTATTCTCTAAGTTGTCTCTCTCAATAACGACTACTCTTGTGCTTCTCCGTTCGTCTCCTTCCGGCCAGGAAAAACTAGGAGCTCAATGCCCAGTGTGTGAGTAGTTTGTAAGGCGGCATTCTATGCCCATCGCAATATGGCTTGTGATACTCGACCAACGATAAGGTGATCCGTTGGGAGTGGATGACCAAGGTTATTATCTATACCTTGTTGTACACCTCACCTTGTGAGGCCGCTTGATATTTGTGATGATCATGTTGGAATAGACCGCCGTTAAGGCCCGACAGAACGTGATCATAACAATACCCTCTTTCTACGTCCTATTCACCTGGTAGGACAGCGCCTTGTGCTTCATTGCCACTCCATATATGATTTGCTTTCTTGATCCAACAATGGGTCTCCGGATGCGACTTCCGGGACATGACTTCGTTTTTCTGGGAGGAAGACCAACTTATGTTGTTTGATCCTCTAGGAGTTTTCCATCTCCGTTGAGCTGTTTGTTTCTTGGCCATAACGCAGGGGGTTCCAATCCCTGGGCCACTAGAATGTTCTTCCTTCACCCCTCGGTTGTTGTGATCTTTCCTGGGTTCTCAGGCCAGGATGTCAGTCCGGTCAGTCTCTGGACAGGTGTCAAGAAAGGTGTATGAATGCGAGTGGTGTGTGGATGAATAGAAACTCTAGCATGTGGGTTCCAATTCATGTCATCAGGTTCTTCTTCTTCCTTCTCCGAGGGCCAAACCTCAGTGTTTCCAAGATAGTTGTTCTATCCTCATGATTTGTTGTTTCCTCAATTGCGACCGGTGGCGTCCATGGACAAGTAGGTTGATCGCTTTATGAAGGCTTAGGCCTACTTCTCCAGACTACCTGAAACCATGCTAAGCATGAGTCGACGGCCAAGCAGTATTGCTCCCATACGGTGAGCTCATCTCCAGTAAGGGCACCCAATCAAATCCCAAGTAGTATTGTCCCCATACGGTGGACTCATCTCCGGTGAGGCAGTTTACGGCATCCAAAGTTTGTTTGTCACAAACGTGGGCCTATGGTGGGGAATACCACGTGTAGTGTTGGGTTCAAGGCAAGGATGTGAAGAGAATTAGACTAGAAAGGCGCCGTGAGGAGCAAGGAGGAGTCTGACTCCTTCTCCAAATCGGCCCATTCACATGCATGAATAGATTTCAAGACCACAGCTGATATATTGTTCGGGTTGCAAGATATATCCATGATGGTAGTTTAAATGTCTTGCCGGACGGTCCGTAGTTTTTCATCATTGCGGACGAAGACCTAGTTTTACGTCATTGCGGACGAAGACCTAGTTTTATGTCGTTGCGGACAAAGACCTAGTTTTACATTGTTGCGGATGATATTAAGGTGCCCTGCGCTGCCTAGTAGTTTACTTTCTAGGTCGTTGTGGACCTGCTTCATCATCAACATGGAATATCTGTGGGGAAAGATGTTTTTGCATGCCGGAATTTCCATCGGTTATGTGCATAGGGCCCTAGACCAGACTTTATCCCGCAGATTCCACTGAGGCATGATGAGAATGGTTTATACTATATCAAACCAGATAACTTATAACGTCTCAATATTATGAGACCGCTCAGTTTAACGCTGTGAGGTAGGCAAGTCAGCGGTTTAACGCCATGCTATAGGCAGCTGCTATCATCTGACTATGTCCCTCGAGTTACGATAGGCTTTTCCTTCCGAGGATGAAGGTAGTTTACCATCATTTTGGACGTTGTCAGCGTCATTCTCGTCAAGAATGACGTTGACAATGATCCCTATTCCAGAAGGGACGAGTAGTTTAACATCATCTCGGACGGTTGATGACCAAGGTCATGGTCAACAACCACAACTCCTATTTGGTAAGGAGCAAATAGTTTAATGTCATTGCAGACGATCAGCACCAGGGTGGCCAATCACAACTCCCATGCGGTAGGGAGCAAGTAGTTTAACGTCGTTGCAGACGCAATAGTATCTGGTCAAGATATCCATTACAATCCTCATTCTTGAGAGGACAATAGTTTAATGTCATTCCGGACATATTGGTGTCTAGGACATGGACATCAATAACAACCCCTAAGTCCAAGGGGCACTAGTTTAACGTCGTCACAGACGCGTGGTATCTTATCAAGATTGCCACGCACAATCCCTATGCTGAAAGGGACAAGTAGTTTATCGTCGTTTCGGACTATTGGCGACCAAGGTCATGGTCGTCAATCACGACCCCTCTTCTTGGCGAGGAGCAAGTAGTTTAGAGTCATTCCGGACTGGGAGGTGTCTCCATCCTGAGACACAGCCCACGATCCCTAGAACAAGGGGACAGTAGTTTAACATCATTTCGGACGATCCATAGTTTATCATCGTTGCAGACGTTGTCCTGCCACAAATATTGTGGCAAAACAATGCTTAGTTTAACATCATCCCAGATGTTTTGCAGAATAGACTTCTCTGGATGAGTGGCCAGCTCTTGTCATTCTTCCGCGATGTGAGCCAAAGAGAGTCGCATGATCTAGTTCCTTCCCACTAGATTTTCGACTCGAGGCACATGTCCTAGTTGCCTCCTGACTAGGTCTTGGAGCGAAATTTCTTGTACTTCGACTCTAGGACTAGACTGAGCGCACCATGAAGAGATGCTTGCTCTTCCATGTCCCCAGACCCCTCGCTTGGATTTGAACTAAGTTGACCCAATATTCTTTTACCGAAAAGTGAGTGAATATCAAAGCACTTCGACCGCTTACAGGCAGGGTTCTGCGACGCGGATCCTCCTGAAAATCCGCGCTTCACCAGAATACAACCACGCTCCTTGGGTCAATGGTAATTTTATGTCATCTCGGACGAAGGACTAGTTTAACGTCATTGCGGACCCTAGTAGTTTATAGTCATTGCAGACCAAGCCTTTGGTAGTTTTACATTGTTCCGGATGTGGGTAGTTTAACATCTTTTTTGGATGGGGTCGTACAGTTTAACGTTTTGAGGGACAAACCTAGTTTTGCATCGTTGCAGACAATACATTAGTTTTAGGTCATTTCGGACCCTTCAAACCTATAAGGGAAGGAGTTCCTCAACTTCCTTACCCTCTTTCTTGCCTCGCAATTAGTCCTCTCTAGTAATCATAGGGTCCTTGGTAGCCATCGCCTCCTTCGTCTGGTCGATAGTAGGGATCAGCATCGTTATAATTTCCTGGATCGTCTAGAGCATCCCATGCATCAAGCTTGGATCGAGTCCAAGAGCGATTTCTTCTAGCCTCTGAATCAGCACGGCGAGTTCTGCGGCTACTTCGGTTATTCTGTCCCTTGTCTGTATGAAATTGAGTACTAGTAGGAGGCGTTCCAGACCGGTGTCGAATACTCCCGCCAATAGTTGTTCTGCGGCGAAGGGTTGCCTGGCTTCCTCGACTCCTCCTTCCTTCATTTCTTCGATAGACAGGTGGTTCCTCCTCGTTGGTACCCCCATGGGATAGGGGAAAATTTCATATCCGGTGAGAGGAGGAAGTCGCGGGATTGCTATGTGCTGTATGAATTTCTCGTTGTCTCGGTGGAGGGCGTTTCATGACCATGTGCAGAGACCTTCTTGGATTTGGTACAGATGTGGGACGTTCTCCGGGACGTGGTACGTTCCAGGTGACAACGCGGAAAGGATCGGTTCTACTTGGTTGGACAGCGCCTAGTTCTCTAGTGAAGAGGAGAGCTGGAAGGAGCTCTCTGTTGACATACTGGGAGAACTCGTCGGGATGGATGAGGAGAGCTCGTGGTCGTCCATTGTTGTGTTCGTACCAAGAGGCCGTGTCAGGATTGGTTTGGAGGGCGAGCCCTCTGATCTGGAGACTGGCACTAGCCAGTTGTCGAGGTATGTCGCTATTCTCATTCCCAGGTTGCCCTGCCAAGAAGTTAGCAAGTTGTTGTAGGGCCATGGCTGTGGCCATTTGTATTACCACAGAGATAGTGTTTTGCTGGAGGAGTGTGTCTGCGTGTCGCTCCAAATCTCCGGAGTGAGAATCTGTACCAAGAGTAGTTCTTCCCATGGAGTGGGGAACCTGTCCACCAACTGATACTGACAGAGGTGTAGTTCCCTGTATAACTGGTACCGGTTCAGTTTCTCCATGGCTTGGGAGTTGAGCTGCTGTTCTTGCTCATAGTCCTGAGGGACCTGCAGCTCCAGTACTCGTCATGATTGTAGCAGGAGGTGGAACTCCCACTGGTATTTCGTCAGAGCCCGGTGGGTTTCGGTCATCAGGGTTTTCATTCCATGATGCATTTCGTGGGCTCCCCTTGGGTGACGGTCGGTGGACTCTCTCTCTTTCCTTGAACTTGGCGTAATCCTCGGTGTCGTCGTCCGAGAAGTTGTTGAGGTTTGGAGTGAGGATGACGATGGCGGGCTCTGGGCGGTGAGGACTGGTTCTTCTATCAATTCATCCAGCATTGGCTCGGTGAGGACTGGTTCCTCTGTCCACTCGTCCGACATCTGGATTGGACACCATAAGGACGACATCGGGGGAAGAGTTTCTGGATGGAGATGAAACATCATGGTCTTCGTGGAGAAGCATTTGGGTGAAGGGATATGAACTTGAGGAAAGTGGGGAAGATGATTTGTTAGAGCTCTCTTGTTGCTCTTTTATAGACTTCCCTCCGCTTTTCAGGATACTCCCGGACAAGGTTTGTCAGGGTATTGGTCATGAAACTCTTTCATGACTTCTTCCGCTGTTCCTTTTAGGAGAGTGTAGGGCTCCCAGGTGTTGTCTGCCTCGGGATATCCTACCCACTTGACCAAATACTTGGTTCCCTGTCCTTGTCTTTTTGAGTCCACGATCATTTCCACTTCATAATGCTCTTCATCGTTCAATACCTCCGGTAGTGGTCTTGTGAAGTTTTCCCTATGTGCCTTGGTTTCCCTATACTTTGTGAGTGTTGTGGCGTGGAACACCGGGTGGATTTTCCAATATTCGGGAATTTGAAGTTTATACGCTAGGTTTCCTACTTTCGCCAGTATTTTGAAGGGTCCATATCTCCTAGGGGCGAGTTTGAATTTTGGATGGGTTGTCCAGATATGGGTTCCTTCTAACCATACTTGGTCTCCTTCCTTCCACTGGGGAAGTTTTCTGTGGAGATCCTGGTCTTTGGCGTAATTGCTGGCTATTTGTAGACTGGCTACGGCTTCTTCCTGGACTTCTGTGATTACCTTAATGCATTCAGCTACCACGGGTACCTTTGTCTCCAGCGCGGTGTCAGCTGAATAAGGAGGGTTGAACCCGTATAGCACTTCAAAAGGAGATTTTTCCATGGTCGAGTGTTTTCACATGTTATGTGAGAATTCGGCAAACGGCAGAAGATCCACCCATTTATCTTGGTGGTAGTTGCAAAATGTTCTCAGGAACTGTTCGATCTCCTGGTTTACTTATTCCATCTCTCTATCCGTCTGGGGATGATAAGCCATGCTGAGAGCAGCGGTGATTCCTAGCCGTTTCCAGAGTTCTCGGGTAAACTTGGCCACAAATTGAGGGCCGCGATTGGACACTATTTTGGTTGGCAATCCATGTTGATTGAAAACGTTATTCTAGAAAAGCACGGTTGTTTCTTTTGCCGTGATTGTTTTCTTGCATGGGGTGATGACTATGCCTTTGGACAGACCTTGGTCTACTACCACGTTGATTGAGTTGAAGCCTTTGCTTTTGGGTAGGTCCGTGACGAAGTCCGTTGAGATGAATCACCAAGGAACGTTGGTCGTTTCCAAAGGGTGAATAGGTGGACATGTCCTGTGCATCAAGTTTTTTGTGGACTGGCATATAGCACATCCGTCCACGTATTCATGGACGAATTTGGTCATGTTTTGCCACCAGTAGTGTCGTTGTACTATTTCCAATATTTTGGCTCTACCCGGATGTCCTACCGCGGGTGCGTCGTGATGCATTTTGACAATAAGTCTTTGGATGGCATCGTCCTTTGGGATACATATATGGCCATTCCGTCTGGTAATTCCGTCTTCGTGTGTCCAATGTCCTAGTAGTCCTCTCATTCCCTGTGGCCCTACTCGCAAGAGTTTTGCGAGGGCTATCCTTGTCAGGGCGTCATGTTCTAATTTTGAGAGTCGGATGAGAGAGATGAGGTCTGAGGATGCGATTTCCATGGACTTAATATGCCATGTCGGAGACGGTTCCACCAATGTTTCATCAGATCTGTTAAAAAGGTTGGCCGGGAGCAAAATTTGAGCTTTGTTGTCAGATTCTACCCCCTCACTTAGATCTGAACACCTGGACAGAGCATCGGAGTGATTTATTGATCCTGCTTTATAGCTGAGTGTGAAGTCGAATCTGCTCAAATAGAGGCTCCAACGGGCATGTTGTCATGACAGATCTCACGCTGTTTGGAAATGTTCCAGGTTCTTGTGATCAGTCCAGATCTCAAATGGGTGTCGTGTGCCTTCAAGGTAATGGTTCCAGTGTTCCAACGCTTTTATGATAGCCAAGAGTTCGTGATCATGGACGTCGTAATTCCGTTCTGCTGGTGAGAATGACCCGGAAAGGAAAGCAACTGGGTGCCAGTCACCATCTTTCCCTTCTTGTAGGAGAGTAGCTCCGTAAGCGATTAGTGATGCATCCGTCACTAGTCAGTATGGATGCATGGGGTCCAGGTAATTTAGAATGGGTTTGCTGATAAACGCCCTTTTTAATCGTTCAAAAGCTTCTTGGCATTTCGAAGTCTAGTTCCATTTTGCATCCTTTTTGGTGAGGTCGTGTAGAGGGCGCACGATAAGTGAGAACTTATCAATGAAACGTCTGTAGAAATTTCCTAGACCTAAAAAGGAACAAATGTCTCGGACTGTGCGTGGAACCGGCCAATCTTGTATAGCATCCACCTTCGAGTCTTCCATGGTGACATGGTCTTTTGAAATTGTGTATCCCAGATATTGGAGTTTTTCTTTATAAAACTCGCATTTTTCTGGCTTCAAATAGAGGTCGTTGTCGCGTAAGATCTGGAAAACTTGGTTCAAGACTTGAATATGCTCCGCCATGTTTTTGGAAAAAATGAGGATGTTATCCATATATATGGTTATTTTCCGGGCTGTGATGAGTTCTCTGAAGATCATGTTCATCATGGCTTGGAAAGTGGCAGGTGAGTTGGTGAGGCCGAAGAACATCACCATGGGTTCGTAAGAACCCAACAGAGTGATGAAGGCTGCCTTCCACTTGTCTTCCTTTTTGATTCGTATATTGTTATATCCCCATCGTACGTCCAGTTTGCTGAAAATGGTGGCCCCTTTGATCACATCCAACAGCTCTTGGATTAATGGAAGGGGGCACACATTTGGAATGGTGTACGAGTTCAAATGGCGGTAGTCCTGCACCGGGTGCAGTTTTCCATCTTTCTTTCCTATAAAGAAAAATGGGGCTGCTGTTTGCGAGGTGGATTGACAGATGGTCCCCTGAGTGAGATGTTCCTTGATGAATTTTCCTAGTTCATCATGTTTCTCTGGGCTCAAAGTGTAGATTTCTGGCACGTGAGGTTTGAAAGTTGGTTTCAGATCAATGGCGTGATCCCAATAAGTATGTTCTGGGAGTCGTTGTGACTTTTGTTCGCTGAAGATGTCCAAAAACTCGTGATGCGCCTTGGGAACTCTTTCCTTTAGATTGGTAACAACAATTTTGTCTTCCAAATCCTGGTCGAAGCTGGCAAATCCTGACGGTTTGGGAGCCAGTTTCCGAATAACTGGTTCCTCTATGGCCTGTTTTCCTGAGGGTTTATCTGGGAGATCAGGTTCTCCCTCGTTTGGTGAAAGAGACGGCTTGACTTGAGCCTTTCGTTTCTCTTCTGCATATTTCCTTATGTCCTGTAGGAGCCATTTCCTCTTGAGGTATGCTCGTAGTTGGACACCAAATGTCCCGCTATGATCGCGGAGTCCAACATCTTCTGATAGTCTTCGGAGATGTTCTAAGCGCTGTTTTTCGCGCTTGCTGGTGCGTGGTTTGTGCCATGGCTCCACGTCTGATAACCGCCTATTGTTTTGCGGTTCTTCCCTTGCCCTAGTAAACCCATGTGGTTAGTGGCATTTTTGGGGGCACCAATCAAAGTGCACTTTACGTCGCCTCCACTCGATGGAGGGATTGTGATATTTCAACCAATCTGTTCCCAGGATAAGGTCGTCTTTTCCTAGATTGGAGATAAACATCTGGACGCGCTCAGTGTGTGTTCGTCCACGGATGTCCCAAATGGTGAGGTTCACATCCAAGGTGGATCGGATGAGACCTGCTTTATTAATGGTGTCGTCGACGTTCCAGACGCGAATGGAGGTGTTGAGTGCATAGGTAGGGAAGCGATGTCTCCTGACCCATGTCTCATTTACTATAACCCCCTCGCATGCTGAGTTGATGGTCGCCTTTGCTCCAGCGTATTGATCCCTGTTTGATACCTTCACGTTTAGGCATATGGGGGTGATGATACGGTCGTTCATTGCTCCAATACAAATACACTTTCTAGTGTCAAACTCAGGTCTTCCTTGACCTCTCTCCTTCACTGGTGAGGGAGAGGTTAGGAAAAACGCTCCGCGTGCCCCAAGATTACTTCTCTTGCTTCATCCTCTCCTTATTCTCCTAGCACTGCTCCGATTCGAGCAGAATGACTAACGCCTCCATTTCCCCATCGTCCGTCAGGTGACATGATGTGTTGCTGATGGTTCATCGAAGGTCGTCCAGGTGAGGCAGAGTGCGGACGTTCCATCAAAGGACCAGGTTGTGGTACCCGCTGGTCATTGCAATGAGCATTCTCCGCCTCCATTCCTCGATATATTCCTGCTTGGTCTCCCATAGCGGGTGTGTCGTCTTCTCCTTCCAAATCAACTGTACGGTTTCTTCTCCCTGTCGTACCCATGCATCTCTTCGAGTTTCCTCGAACTGGTTGAACGCCTCTACGGGCTGACCAGCAATTAGCACTGGAGTGTCCTAGTTTTCCACAGTTAGAACAAGAGGTGGTTCGCTTGCCGTCAAACTTTCTCTTTTGACTTTCAGCGTTATGCTTTCTAGTAGCGTCAATGTCCATGTCAACCACCTGGTTATTCATTTTTCGAGGAGCATTTGTGGAGTTATAGTGGACGGCGGGTTGGGTGTGAAAACAGTTTAGGTAGTCGCTGCAGAAGGAGGTGGAGTTGGCGAGTGTTACGAACTGCTCGTTCGGTAACCCCAAGAGTAGGAGGTTCTTCCCTAGGTCACTTGAGGAGGATGTGTGGAATGACGGTCTCGACTGTACGTGTAGCACAGGAGCCAGAGATGTATTGCGGTGTTGCAATGAAGAGTACTGTAGGAAGACAGTACTAGAATGGAGTAGGCAGTGTGAAGATTGCCTAAGAACGAAGAGAATAGACTAAAGATCCTCAGCCTACTCTATGGGCCTTTTATACTACTTTAGGAAATAGGGCGTGAGAATACCGTATATGTATCCATAGGTATTCTCTAAGTCGTCTCTCTCAATAACGACTACTCTTGTGCTTCTCCATTCGTCTCCTTCCGGCCAGGAAAGACTAGGAGCTCAATGCCCAGTGTGTGAGTAGTTTGTAAGGCGGCATTCTATGCCCGTCGCAATATGGCTCGTGATACTCGACCAATGATAAGGTGATCCATCGGGAGTGGATGACCAAGGTTGTTATCTGTACCTTGTTGTACGCCTCACCTTGTGAGGCCGCTTGATATTTGTGATGATCGTGTCGGTATAGACCGCCGTTAAGGCCCGACAGAATGTGATCATAACAGTGAGGATGGCTTTTTGAGCAGTTCTGGCTCTAAGCTGTCCATCTATTTCACAGGCGGTGTTAATCCAGTCCTGGATTGTGTCCTTTGGTTGGACTTCCTTGTCATATATTTTGTCCATGATGCGTGGGTCTAACCTGCGTTGGAAGTAAGGGACTTGCTCCTTGTTAGAGATGTCGGCATCGGCAGCAATGAGGATGAATTAGTTGGAGTATTCATCAACCGTCATTCATCCTTGGGAGAAGGTCATGAGTATGCTTCGTGCTTTGTCGGTCTTGCCCGTCTCCCTGAATTGGAGTTTGAACTTCATCAAGAAGTCCCTCCAGGTACCTAGATCAGTGGGGGGGTCCGCTCCTACTGATTTGAGGAGGAAGTTCTCAGCCCAAGCTCCTGCCATGCCATATCTCATGCATGAGAGCACCAGGGATATCTTGTCTTGATTGGTCTTGTACCGGTCAGATTCTGCTGCAAAAAGAAGGAGGCATTGGAGCATGAATTTCTGGGATTCAATGTGGTTGCCTGTATAATTGTCTGGGAGTTTGACTTTTCCTCTCCCGGGTTGTACCGTCATGGAAGGGGGGTCTGTAGAAGTCGAAGCTTGTCCCGACATTTTGGCAAGCGGTTCGTTTTGGGTGTTGATCAGTGTTTGGTTTGGTGATGAGTCGGAGTCTGATTGTGAGGTTGTTTCTTCTTGCTCTGAGTCTTCAGGGATTACCGGTGCTAGTTCCCTATATTGGGGTGCTAGTTCCCACTGGCTCTCTATTTCGTTCCAAATGTCCTTCTCTTCTGTTCCGTCTTCGAGGGTGAAGTAATAACGCCCGTTTCGGTATGAGCAGTTATCGTGATTCGGAGGGGCGAATCTGTTATTGTCTTCGTAGACCCAAAAGTCCCCTTCGCGCCAAATAGGGTGGTTGTTGTGACGGAGTTGGTTATTTATATGTCTAGTGCCGAGAGGATATTCCTGGCCTAGGTCTTGCTCCAGAGTGTGTGTAGTAATGCTTTCTCAATGGGGGTCTATTATCCCCACCAAGGAAGGTTATGAGAGAGAGTGTGGCAGCAAGCTAGTACGAGCAAGGTAGGGGCAGAAGAGTCTATTCTAGTGTTACAAACTGCTCATTCGGTAACCCCAAGAGTAGGAGGTTCTTCCCTAGGTCGCTCGTAGAGAGGAAGGGTGGAACGATGGTCTCGACTGTACGTGTAGCACAGGAGCCAGAGATGTATTGCAATGTAGCAATGAAGACTGTAGTAGGAAGACTACAGCCAATGAAGTAGACAGTATGAAGACTGCCTAAGAACGAAGAGAATAGACTGAAGATCCTCAGCCTACTCTATGGGCCTTTTATACTACTTTAGGAAATAGGGCGTGAGAATACCGTATATGTATCCATAGGTATTCTCTAAGTTGTCTCTCTCAATAACGACTACTCTTGTGCTTCTCCGTTCGTCTCCTTCCGGCCAGGAAAAACTAGGAGCTCAATGCCCAGTGTGTGAGTAGTTTGTAAGGCGGCATTCTATGCCCGTCGCAATATGGCTCGTGATACTCGACCAACGATAAGGTGATCCGTTGGGAGTGGATGACCAAGGTTATTATCTGTACCTTGTTGTACACCTCACCTTGTGAGGCCGCTTGATATTTGTGATGATCATGTTGGAATAGACCGCCATTAAGGCCCGACAGAACGTGATCATAACACTCTGTGAGTCAGTCAGTCCTTATCACTTATCTTCCCAACTTCTGCATGGTCAGTCAAATGCAATCTTGCACCATTACTTGGCTACCCTGGTCATACGATACCTCTTCTTTATTTTTATTGGTTCTCCAATGCCTTTTCCTGCTACCTATGCTTGGGAGACAGATCCCAAATGTTTAGGATTTCACCATTGCTGATTAAATTTTACCTTATCACCTTTGAAACCCATATGGACATCTCACCTACCTTCTTATCTTCTCTAATTGCTAAGGCTTGGTGCCTATTCGACATCTACTCTCATTTCTTGTTCAATATTTTACTTAGGGGCTCTGTTTACTATAAAAACCTACATACAACTCTGGAATAAACCACCTTTCTCACCCCACAAATTCAGAGCTCATTTGCACTCATCTCAATCATCAAAATTGTCTTTGTCAACTTCCAAAAACTTGTCATCCTTGTTGTTTGGCCTCATTTGTGTTTATACTCATCTCTTCACTCATACCCCCCGTCCTCCCTCATATATTGTCAGAGTCCCATGTGGCTCTTGAAGCACATAGTTGTTGGTCACGACACTACCTTCTCATTACCAACCGAATCCCCAACACGACCAACCAAATGTTTGGTTGGTGTTTGGCACAGTCCCGAAACTGTTTGGGTGCTATAATCTCACACTCCCCATTGCTTCTCAGTATGCCTTCAATTTTTAAAGTCATCACTGACAATTCCTTGTGTATTAGATACTAGCTCCAGCACCCCTGCATTAGAGGTTGTTTTAGTGTTGTGCTCGGCACTTAGAGCCACCTCTAGCGTATCACCGGGTATCTCGGGCATGATCTGTACATCAACCACCTGCATGCTAGTGACAACACCCGAGAACATAGATGTGTACCATGGCAGGTTGTTCCTAATATGATGACTTTTTGTAAAGGATTCCAGATGGTAATTGTTGAATCAGTGTAAGTCTAGTGCACCTTCAATTTATACAACGACAACTGATTTATTTGTCTTTATCTTAGTCAGACCTCTTCCTGATGCTTTTTCGATGTGGGATCATCATCCTTCGTTTACACACTACCCTCCCTACACCTTGTTGGTCAAATATGTGGCTATGTCGCAATTTGCTGGTCAGATGGCGCACCGGCATCTTCCTAGCATACTTTTCAACTGCTTTATACTGGTTGATTAAACTTCGAGATCCATATACATTCCCATGCACTCCCCACAACTGTTGAGGAATGTCTCAATTTATATTTATGAATTCAAGCCTCCGTCCACAAAGCGCGCTGAAGTCTTGAGGTGTTTTTTTTAGCCATAGGGAACTGCATGTCTCGCGCATCAAATGATGAACTTGGGCGTTCTGTTGTTTCCGCTACCACGGACCTGCAGGGAACCTCGTGTTTGTCGACTATGACTGCATTTGTAGTCCAAACATCTGTGTAGTCCTCGTTGCTGATGCATTGCGAGATGGCGCGCAAGGATTTCCCCAAGCGGACATATAGCATAATCATGATCTTGCAATCTCCCCTCATCGCTTGATTTAACTCGTACTGATTCGCCCGTCTGATAGTTCCGTCACAGTTCCGTGCTCCCCTCCGACAACCCGAAGCATGGCCTTCAGCACCTTTCGACCTGCTTGCCGCCATTATCCCTAAACGATGAGCCCGAGAATGTGTCGGCCATGCGGCCGCAATACGGTTGCAACGATGCTAATCGATCGCTTTTACGGCGACCTCAATTGCATGTTAAGAGGTTCTAGATAGCTCTAGAGCCACAGTACTATACTCCCTCCGTGTCTACAAGTCTTGTCGTTCAGTGTTTGCATGCACAGTTGCAATGTTTCCGCGGCGAGAGGGGGGTGAGTTTCAGCTTTTTTCAGCTTCCTATTACGACCGTCGCATGCCTGTTGACCAATCTTCTTCCTACAAGTGACCTTTCCGCAGAGACTGATGATGGTTCAACCCTCTCACTCAGAACATATGCCGACGTGCTCCAGTATATTCTCTACTTCAGTATCCGCCCTCCGTCATCTTGTCAGCAGTTTTCAACCTCCTCTAGACTCATTTGTCTTTCCTAGAACCCGGCTGCAAGCTCCCGTGGAGGTATGGTCGCTTGGAATTCAGGCAGAACACCGCGCACCGTCGTCACTAGTCAAAATCGAGCACTGTGCGAGTATTTCCAACCCCAAGCATGACTTCCTGATTGTCCATGTGAAGCACTACTCTAGTTGGACTGCGGCTTTCACCCTCGAGCGTGTATCTGGTGCAGCTGGCGACGACACTGTGCTGACCTCTTCCCCTCGCATCGTGGATTATGTTGTAGTGCAGTCGAGCATCGCTAAAAATGCGCTCTCCACCATCACGCAATCACACATACCGTTCGAGACCATCAGGACTTTGACATTCCCCTCTACCAATCACGGCCGTAACCCCCCTCCAACTGACGTCCAGCTTTCTGTCCTTCTTCTCTTGCTCGCTGAAAACCATGCCATGCTCTCCGACGTTCATCATCGTGATTCTGCATGGTACACCGGAACCGTCTTCGATGCTCTCAAGCGAATATTCTCTGGTCGCGAACATATGCAGCGCGGCAAAATCCCTGATGCTGGATGTGTAACAGCGATGAACTCTACTCTTGGGGCGATTGTTGAAGAGTATGGGGTAGCATGGAATGCCTTCAATGAATATGTGAAACAGAGGGAAACTAGTGTCGATCAAGGCCAACAACGTGCAGGTACGAATTGTTACCTCTCATGACCGCAGACAACGCTGATGCGCATGTTACTTGAGTCGCTCATGAGGCTAGACGACTATAGGAAGTTAGGCAAGAGGCGAGTCGGAAAAGGTAGAAGCACTATGATGCTTCATGAGCGAATGAAGCCGACTCTCTCTTTTATGCGACAAAGTTGTCCAGCTCGAGTCTCTCGACACCAAGTAACGTGATTGCATCTTCATGGCTCTTAGGCATTCGCGACGTCCTTTTATTGTTCTTACAATGGTCACAAATGTAGGCATACACTACAGTTTCCTATCACTCGTTCCCTTTATTTATTCATGCCAGGCTCATAGCTCACAGTCCCCGTAAATGTCACACTCATGTTTCGCAATTCATGCCCCTTCTATAGCTTGCCTACATGCTCACACTCCATGGCAGGTACCGTTGAGATTATAATACGAGATTTGGATTGACACATGCTATGGATTATCTTCCTCAAAATCCAATGCCTTGCGCAAGATCAATCCTCCTCCGGTTCCAACTCGTCCATGCCTTACATCCACGCACATAGTAATAAAATCGTCCACACTCATGGACACTGAAAATGTATGTGCAAGATCATCCACTAGTCTCATCGACTGTTGGCGGCGTGTGCCTCCCGTCTTCCAGTCCGCCTCTCTTTTGGTCTCCTTGTTTTGCCCTTCTCTGTTCCTCGATTTCTAGTGCCTCCCACGCCTTCAGCTCGCGCTCGTACTCGTCCCAAACAAGCGTCCCAAGCACCTCTCCACCCAGCTCCCCGTCATCCACAGTCTGTCGCATAGTCCCTGGATTATCGCTGGCTCCTGCTGCATTGCTAGTCTGAGAAGACGCATCAGACTCCGAGTCGTTCTCTGGCGGTGCTGGCGGTAGCGGGACGTGTAGCCGCGTGACTGCACACTCGGCGTATAGCGCACCAGGCTTGAGCACTTCCTCAGGATCGAGAAACTGAGCCGTTGCACCTGGCGTCGACGATGTAGCAAGTCGTTTGAATGGCGTGGGCAAAAACAGCGTGTGGAGTACACCCTGCGCGGCAGAGGCAGAGGACTTCGTGAGCATACGGAGGATAGGGGTGGCGAGGAAGTACCTGAGGAACGCTGATCAGCACAGAGAATATGCCAATGAAATAAACAACCACGCACAAAATTATGCCGCTGATTGAGACACCTTGGCGTGGCGTGTCCGCACCCAGTAGTGGAGCAATAATGTCCGAGCGGCTTACCCCCGGCGAGACGGATACAGTCACAATGTTCGAGCGCTGCACCTTGTCACTTACCACGGGCACAGTTGACGCATCCGAATTGGCGCGCGGCACCTGGGCACTGGCTGGGAGCGCGTCGAGCACGCGCTGCAAGTGACGCGTCATAATTGCCGTGCGAAGAGCGCGTCTGCCTTCAGTCAAGAAGAGTGCCGACTGTGGGTATGTGGACGTGGATGCAGTTCCAGGGGTGGGCAAAGCAGAGAAGGTTGCCGCCGCCGCAGCATAAAAGGGGTTGATGAGAGTGACCAGCCGAATATCTCGCTCGACAGGCGCGACAAGTAAGACAGGTAGTAAAAGGGTAGTGAGCAGGAAGGTGGCGCATGACGCATCTCGCCGTTCCTTCACTACATCCCGAGTAGGCTTCGTGGGTAACATGGGCCCAATGTGTGCGTATTCGTGTGCGAAAAGTATAGCATCGAGTCGCTGTTGCTCGCCCTGGACGAAATGCGCGCAGAACGCTCGGATCGATGCAGGTGAGGTAAGGTCACAGTGCTCGGCGTATATGTTCTCGTTGTTCGTTGTGCTTCGCAGTACGGGGACCAATAACGCAGCTGACGTCGCCGGGGCACCTTCGGACAGGTCCACTGGATCTGGGGAAAGCGCAATCAGATGTGCACCACGACGTGCGAGGGAATCAAGAAGCGTCAGGCCAATAGGAGTGAATGCTCCCTATCATTTGTGGTATAACTTAGCTCAATTCCTCATCAGATGGCAGGATACGCACAGTTACAATGATGGAACGACCATGTAGATCCCGCTCACGATTCGTTTTCCTGCCCTGAGCATACGCATGTATTGTGATGATTGCAACTATGACTAGTACAGCATGCGTGTAGTATTTCGATGGCAAGATCGATGTCAAGGTCGCATGTGCGATCTTGAGTACCATGGTCTAGTGGTGCCAGCGCCGACTTCCGCAATAACCAAGACGCGAGTGAGATGAATGATCACTCTAATGGATGCCTCTGAAAGGCTCAACAAAGAGCAACGGAAATCCGGAGGTAAGCGTGCTAGTCGTGGTGACCGTCGGTTGGGGTCAGAGAGAAGGGGCGCAGCAACGTGTGTAAACTAAGCCAGCCGTGCCGAGCGCGATGAAGCCGCACGCGCGTCAACACTGCGTCAACACCAACGCCTCAATCTCAATTCGGCTGGAACCCTGGTCTGAAAACTACTACAGCAAGATAATTTCAGATTTAACATACAGATCCTCTGGCTCGAGACAATGGTCAAAAGGCTAGGAATGCGTATACTGCAATTTGTACTTCTATTCATGTTTTCGAACCGTCTACTCTCACAGGTGAAGGCCTCTCTGATCAATCCTCATCCCAATGGCCCGCTTGCTGCGGTATTTTTGGCCCACCCGCGGGGCGACTCATGATGATGCTATCGACGCTGAGGACAGACACAGCGGCCTCCGTGGCTAGACGGATGGCCCACGATTTGGCCGCCAAAGAGTCGAGGATGTTGTAATCAACTGCCGACAGCGTTCCGTCCGTCTCCGCCTGCATTGTTAGCCCCTCAGTTAGTCAAGTCGGGGCTCATCAGAAGAAAGACTGCTCGCCTCAACGTCTACACCCCAGGCCTGTCCGCCCTCCTTCTCGTGTTTCGCCCATAGCCTTGCCACGACCTCGTTACCTTCGGCTGCACCCCTCGCATTCTCTGCCAACGTCCGTGGCACAACCTCCAACGCACTCGCAAACCGCTTGACAGCGTGTTGCGCCAAACCCCTCAAACCAGCACCATATGTGTCCACGCGTCTCGCCAGGGCGAGTTCGCTCGCGCCTGCACCTGGTACGAGTCGTGGATCACGCAGTAACGCCTTCAACGCGCCAACGCCATCATCCACGGCACGCTCAAGGTCGTCAAGATGGTTCTGCGTCGCTCCACGAAGTACGACGGTCGCTGTACGCGATGTCTCGCCGCTCTCACCGCCCTCTTGTCGCAAGACTGTGACACGGTCACCTCCAACCTCAATACACTCACAAACGTCGACGAAACCAGCCTCCTCCGGTGTAGGTGCGCCCAGGCGGGCAAGTGGGGTCGCATTGACTACGCGACACAAGCGACGGAGCTCAAATTTGGAAAGAACTTTGAGAACGAGAATATGGTGGCGGTTGAGGTAGTGGAGCGCCAGGTCACCGATGGATGTTCCAGCGATGACAACTTTGACGCCTGAAGCCGCGATTTCTGCGAAGATCTGATATTGATCGGTCAGCAATCAAGAGTGTAGGCTCATATACTTTTTTAAGACGACGTGCCTTTTCCATGTGCTTCTCCTCTCCTCGAGTGAAGTTCAGCATCTCATCCGCATTTTTTATCAAGACAGTTCCCTTCGTCTCTGTCTGAGCAGTATCGATCGGGTTTGTGAATACCGCGACTTTTCCCTTCGTCACGGTCTTAGTATCACCTATCGTGGTAACGATACAGTATGATGAGTACCGTGTACAGCGAAAAAGGATCAATAGGCAAATTGCTCACCCTCTGGTTCACGCCCGAACACCATACCCTGTACAACTCTGCTTGTGGCCAAGCTTCCTCCCATGATCTTCACCACGCGGACATTGTCAACATTGAAATTTTTCGGATTTTGCGGGATCACAGAGAGAGCAGCTTCAGCCACCAGCGCCGCGAGAGTATCTTCATAGCCATATTGTTTCGAAGCAATGGCAGGCTTAATGGCACGGGATAGCGATTCCTGTGTCAATGGGTTCGGAAGCTCGCTGCATGAGAGCGCTGGTTCACAATTAGAAAAGTAGATGGATGAAATGGATGAGAGCATACTGTCGAGTTCCTCAAGAGCCTTCTTGCACGCAAGTTCATAGCCCTTGATCACCTCGCTGGGGTGCAGACCCATTATCAACAGATGCTCGGCCTTCTTCAACAGCTCTCCCGCAAGGATCAGCACCATATTGGTCGCGTCCCCCATCTGTACGATGCGATCAAAGTAGTTTCCTAGCATGAGAGACTGTGAGGTGCACATTGGAGACTTGAACAACTTACCTCGGCCTCCTGAGCCTGCGATGCCATGACAAGAAGCTTTGCGGCCGGATGGACAACCTCGATCTCTCGAATGATGGTCGCGGCATCTGAGGTTACGAACAGTCGACCTAGATGATTAATCACGAGCTTATTCCGTCCTAGGCTCTCGTTGAGATATAAGCATGCATGAATAGAGTTAACGAATACCATTTGGCCCAAAACTGGTGCGGGTAAGGTCAGACAATTCAGATATGGCCGAAATGTTGCGAAGAAGTGCATCTTCAAGCCCTGAAAGTTGCTACGTGCAGAAATGTTTACATCAGAGTTCACAAGATGAGTATGGGCAAAAGGTACCTTGTACCCGTCCTTGAAAAGCTGGATGTTGTTAGCTTTTGGGACTTTGAGAGACATTTTGGCGATTAAGAAGGAGAATACGAGTACACGAGCGACAAGTCGATTCAGCTGTATCCAAATTCGGTCACGATGAAGACCCTCGAAGACCCTCGAAGCACCACGTAAGGTTAGACCCTGGGGACCCCTCGCTCTAAATAAACGAAGTAAAGTTACAGAACATTTGACCATTTCCGAGACGCAAGTATGCAAGCACTCAGTACTCAATCTTAACGGAAAAGATCAAGCTCAAGGCGACCAAATCATAATGATATAAGAATTGTTTCTGTGCTAGCAACCCCTGTGGTGTCCTGTCGAAAGACATGCATCATACCTATAATATGAGTGAAGATTGTTCTCTGCTGTGCTACAAACCCATGAAATAGACGACGAGCATCATTCATAGCATAAGATAAATATTTTCCCTTCCTTCACGGACATGATCACCGCGCCTTGACTTTGATCGATATTGAGCGTTTCCACCGAGTCGAGATTCAACTCCTCTGGAATCTCCAGTGTCCGGACCTCGCCCTCCATAGGCCAAGTTTCTGTATCTCCATCATCGCTCCCGACGCTACTGCCATCAATACTGGTGTAAACCACCTCGCCTCTATCGTTGAAGTAAACGCTGGGGAACGATACAAATCGGAGATTTTTTCGGGGAGGGGGCGGGTCTTGTCCTTCGGGCACTTCCGTATTGTCCTCCACATACTCGATCCAAACGGCGTGTCCGAAGTCCACCGCAAGCAAAGGCCTCGAATGATGTATTGGCGCTCCATTTTCATCCAACTCGTCGATCACTACATCGATCACGCACACCACCTCGAAGGGTGCACTCACATACCACATCCGCATGAGAGCGTCCTCCGCCGCTCCTTCCGACTGGGGAAGGAGAGGTACACGAAAGTAATGTTGCGACAGAACGTGCTTCGTTTGATGTGTCTCCGTGTCGTGCTTCGCCAGCAACACTACGGTACAGCTCAAGCCTGGCACCATCGCCATGGTTGGCCACCATTGGCGCACAAAGTGAGCGCTCTCCGGATACCATACCGGATATAGGAGTGGATTTGGAGGGTTTGGGCCAAGGGGATTCGCATGGCCAGTGGCGACTGCCGTAGCAGCTGCCACTACACCAGGCATTAATTGTTGAACAAATTGTGGCGTCTGTGGCACATCAGTGATCAGGATTGGGACTGGAATAGGAACATGAATGATCAATTCCTCTTCAGTGGAAGTGGTGGGGAAGAGTAGAGCTTGGGACGAGGGTGGAAGGTGTGGGAAGGTGAAATAGCGGGAGACGACCCGCGCGGGTTTGAACACGCCGGAAATGATAGGAACAAAGCTAGGCGAGGAGGATGACAATGCGACACACTGCCTTAGCAGCGAGAGAGGGTAGAAATGCTGACACGCCCCGTTTGGTTCTTCTGCATGAATTACAATTTCTTCGTCGTGAAGAATGCAGGACCAGTTAGATGATGCAACCTGTGAGATCGTTAGCATTTATCAGCAGTAAATTGAGTAGCCTTACGCATGCGATCGCCGTATCAATGAATATGTATTCGTCGCTATCCCAGTCCGGAAGGACATATAAACCGATTGTGTTGGTGTAGACTATCCACACGAATCCTGCCAACAAACGCGCCGGTGGATCAAGTAGGAAAATATTCATCACAAGCCCAGACATCTTGAAGGACCTGAGATGCGAGAACACTGGAGTTGAGGGAGTGGATAAGTGTCCGTTTTCATAAACATCCTCTTCCGACTCAGGAAAATAGATTTGCATGAGATCAAATTCCATTAGCTTCGCATCGTGACTGAGGGATAGCGAAATAGATGAGTTGAAGAAAAATCAGGTCATCTGACACACTTACGTTCCTCCTAGGCCCCTTGCCATTGTGAAAAACACCGTTCGTTTGTCGAATTCCACACGGCATTTCCATAACTCCCATCGTTCCCCAGGACTCCATTCTGCCAGACTGACATCCTGTAACACATCCCAACAGATGACCTTTCCGCTCCGAGTTGCGCACAGGGTGTAGCTTGCGGTAATAGGAGAGAGCCAGTCGACTTCCTCATGAGGCGGGGTACTGACGACCTTGTACCAGCTCTTTGTCAAAACCGTCCTTGACTCTGGATCTGCAGAAGACGCTTGTTGAGATTGTGGCGCAAACGGGGAGGAAGTAGCAGGTCGAGGAGTGCGAGTGAGCCAGGCACGTTCAAGCTGTGCAGCTTTGTACACGGAATGTATGAGCTGCTCTGTAGTGATTTCTGAGAGTCGTTGGAAGCCAGCTAGCGGCAGCGCGCGACATCGACGTAAAAGGACCATAGCAAGATGGCGATACACAGGTCGTGTGACGAGGAGCTGACGCAAAGATTTGCATGTCTGAAACGAATAGTGATGTAGATGTGCTTAATGACAATATCTCTAACGATATGACGCACCATCTGCAAAGCCTGGATATCCGAGAAACCAAGATGCTGAACAATTACGAGGAGCAAATCGTACGGCAATCGAGGGAGATAGAGGTGAGACATGAGCCCTGCTGCTATTGACGCCATCGTTTGGAGTTGGGTTTGAGCACTTTGCGAACGCCCGGACGAACGCAAGAGCATGCAATGACTGTCACTTCACTCTTGTCAATGTGTAAGTACTCGCCGAGACTCGCCCTCCGGGCAGTGCACGAGATTTCCTGTCAAAGCAATCAAACAAAAGATAAGTGCGAGGGTTACATCTGTTGACAATAATGCTCACAAAGACAGCGGTCTACTCAGAAGTACAATTCCAGGCCGGGGGGACTCAGAACGGAACGGCATCAGGATTGTATTCGGTGTGTTAGTCAGGCACGGCCGGCACTCTCCGGGATATCATCCGGCGGCAACCAGGGGCTGCTCGACCGCTGTTCGACGAGTGGTCGTCCTCATTGACGACAGTTTGACGACGCATATCGTGTACTATTATTTGTGCATCGTATTTTGACAATAATCTTTTCGATGGTCGCATCCAGCGTGCACCGCTATCAAATATCGTGGTCTATTGTACACGACTGTATCGTTGCAACTCTTTATAGCGCAGGTATCGGCGTTACTGTATCATCTTTGGCGACATTGACTCCATAGGTTCTGAAGAGTGCAGGGATCACCGAGATTGTAAAACGGGATGCTAAAATTCCTTTAGCAGCACATGGTCATTTTCGTAACGTTTCGAATCATTTCCGCGGTCAGCAGTCCTCATGAAACGCCTTTGACGGCTCTTTCGATGAGCTCTCGGCTTCGCACGAAGCATTACAAGGCGAGCTCAAGCCTTCAAAGTTCATTTCCGTGACAAAATTTCACAGTGTCTTCTATTTTCCTTGGAGCGTCCGACATAGAGCTCTTTGCAATCCTTGCAAGTAAATGCGGCAATGGTGTCTGTCATGTGCTGCTCATCGTCATGCGAAGTTTCATCATCAGAGAATCCGACAGTAATTCGCACTCCCCCGAGTGCGTTCCATACGATGTCCCCTGCTCTTCCAGCTCATTCTCGCATTCTTTTGTACAATTCGCATGCACCTGACAGATCACGCATTCTCCCAACATTCATCCTTCGCATGGTGGCCTCTTCTATTACCTGTACCGCTCACTCGAATCCGTATATATTTGTGCAGTCCTTCTGACTTGATTCCCCAGCCCACCCTCCTCTTCGCCCACGCCTGGAACCTAGTCAAGGAGATGCGCCTTCTTGTCCAACTCTTTGCTTTGGCCACACTGTTTACCATGACAGCCGCGCAGAATCATACCGGAACTTGTATGCGTTCTCTACCCCCCTCAAGGATACCTTCGCTCAACATATTTGTTCAGTATTCACGTTTGATCCTGGTCTCGGCGCGTGTGGGTTTACGAACACGAGTGACCAATCGGTCGCCTCTGTATCGCAGACTTTCTTCAGTGCTTTTCCGTACGTCTTTCGGCGAGCTTCCTTGCCTTACGAACTAATGTATTTCTAGAGGTGCTACAGAAAACCCCAACGAGTAAGCGCTTTCGCAACAATTTTGGTTCTAGCCTATCTAACACTGCATCCAGCAACCCCATATGCACTCATACACTTACCATCACTTGTGCGTATTGTTCTTTTTTTCTTTCTTTTTACCTACCAAGATCACCGCTTGCAGTTCACAACACCAGCGTAACTGCGCAAATTGTCGATGTCTGTCCTGGGTGCCCAGACTTCAACGTCGGTCTTTCTCCCAGCGCATTCACGAAGTTCGCCCCCATTTCTCAAGGCATAGTCAACAACGTGACGTGGGTGGTCAATTGATTCCGAGGAGAAGGAGGAACATGTGTACAATTTTCATGGCGAATTTCTTGCTGTAATACTAGTCTATTTCGTCGCGATGGGCGAAAATTATGATCTTGCCCCGACCAATGACGTCGTGCCAATGACCGCAGAACCCTAGACCACTGCTAAGGTCAGGATCAAGGTGCTTTCCTTTTCACTACGATGTCCCCGTCCCGTCTGGCTGTCTCCGCGCGGCCTACACGCTTGTACGCTATCGCTTTTCGTGCCCTATCGACACCAACACCACCTTCGGGGCTACCCAAGCCATACCGTCACGAAAAACCTCCACCACCGCCACAAACATGGCTTACACGTCAGCTGAAGAAATCACCAACCGCAATGCGACTATTTCTGAACATCTTTGGGTCTCTTGGCTACGGATATTCTAAGCAAATCGCAGCGAGGAGGGCTCTCATGATGTACAAGGAGCTATGCGCACCAAAGGCGGAAGAGGAGGAAGAATTTTGGAGGAACGGTGAGTAATGTCCCCTGTCTACACTTTTCAACATCGGAATTACGCGCTGTTATACGCGCGATGTATATCTCGATGAGCGGAGGTAGTAGCTTATTTTATTAGCACGCTCTCCCTGGCATAGCTGTGCCGTCGCGTTGACGGTACGTATATGCATACCTCCATGAGAGAAATTGGTTCCAAAAGATGTATCCAAAAAAGTGTTAGCAACTCAGGGCATCGGTGTTATGTTGCCACTCAAAGCGTGTCCACAAACCATCTCTATTTTTGCGAGCTTGCGATTGTTATGAACAGGAGGCCGAGTGTGCGGTTTCGTAGCGTGCATGCGCGCTCGTGCCCAGCCCCGGATTTTTGAGGCTGTCTCAATTTTGCGCTTCTACGCCTCGATGCTGACATACATTCAATACGCAGAATGCCATCTTCCGCCCACGTTTCAATCTTGGTTCACAATCACTAATCTCCATGTTTGGATTCTCACCACCCGACTCCGAGCACTTCCCTCCCCACACGGTCAAGAGCATATACAAGGCTTGATCGATCACTTCTTCCTCGACGTCGATGAGCGAATACGCCAAGTTCTTCAGCCGCTCCCGCCTCCGTCATCAAAATCTGTCTCAAAGGGCTCAACTTTAGAGGAGGCCTTCTACACAAAACCTGTCAAGCGTGGACGTGCGCCAGAAGCCCTCGTAACAAAACAGATGAAGATATTCCGAGAGCAATGGGCAGGACTTGGGATGGCCTGTGATCTTGCGCTCGTGCGCGGTGACGCAGAGCTCGCAGGTGCAATCTGGCGGAACCTGCTAGGCGCGCGAGGTGCCAACGGGATTGTGTATCCAACTTCTACAGAATCCGAGGCTGTGTCAGCGCCATCATTCCGTCGCGCGATAAATCCGGGCGGGGAAGTTGAAAAATACAGCAAATATTCGTCTGACGCGATACAGCGTCTCGAGATGCGGAACGACGGGTCTGGTGTCCACGACTTTGCACCAGAAGAGGCGGATCGGTATCTTCGGTATCCCGAGACCATGGAGCAGCTAGTGACATACGTGCGAAAGGAGGTGGTGAGACTTTCGAGAATCAGTGACGATGAGATTATGGGCGGCGATTCGAAGAGTCGGTTTGGGAAGGAGGGGAGGGGGGTCGAAAAGTTGAAATTTGGGAAAGTGAGCGAGCTTTGAATATTGAAACTGGGCGGGCATAAGTATAGAATTACTCGCCAGTAAATATTCGTGAGTATATGGTCGTGGAGGTTGTCGTCCAGACACGCTCAGCCGATAGGACGGAATTTACCACCCCAATATGCTGGCTCATCTCTAAGATCGAATATTAAACGCTATTAAACGTCGAACGTTGACTGGTGACCCTAGTCACCTCAGTAGACTGATAAATAGTCGATGACGGAAGATGACGGATCGGCGGGGGGTCTCTCCTATATACAAGGTGACCCATATTAGACCTCCTCTGCCGCGGGCCTTGATATTCTTTTATCTGGCAGGGCCATTGAACGCCAACACGGTTCGCGTCACTCGACCATGACTGCTCGGCGCTCGGCGCTCAGCTTGACCTTGATGCAATTATCGTTCCGGCATCTCCCCCTGCGCCTCCGGTGACCGGTCTCTCAGACTCTCCACTACTCGCGCCGCTGTACCTAAAACCAGTCGCCTCAGGCATCTCTAACAGTATGCCATTTAAAACCGCCCCCTCGACGCCGCTCTTGATTGGAGAGCTATGAAGGGTTTTCTCGGACAAAAATCATCAAAAAATGGGCCTAGTTGGCTATAGCTAGCAATCGTTGGCAATTCCTATCCTTTTTCAAGCTATCAATTGACAACAATTGCTGGCAATCTATTTTTATATGTGGATTGCTAACAATTATGAACAATTTGAGAGAATACATGGTGAGAGATGTTCATATTGGCTGGGATTTGTTGACTTATGGCAACAACTTTTGACAATTCCTGACAATTCCTGACAATTTCTAACAATTGTTCAAGATAGCTACCGTTGGCTCAAAATCACTAATTTATCATCAAGAGGGGCAGTTTTGATTGATTTTTGTCCGGCGTAGTCCCTCATACGTTTGACAGTCATTTCAGAAACAGCTGTAAACATATACAGCACGACCATCTGTGTAAGGTCAGCCACGGAGACAGCTGGCGCTGCGTGTATTTGAACAAAGGAAAAACAATCGTTTGCGAGATCCCGCGGGCGTTCCGCTGTTCTATAGGCGGGTGTCTGCATGCGATCTCCATCAGCGAGACAAGGCGTATTATAGCGAGTGGTATGTGATGACGCGCAGGGATAAGAGGTCATAACTGTAACAATCTGGAATATTGTCCGAGGCGAATCTGCTGCAGGCAGTAAAGATGGTAGAAAAACGAGACATGAACTAAAGAGCACTTGATTAAATGCAGATTGCAACTATGACGGAAACAAAACAAAACAATACGAATCATGACGGTTGACCTAGAGTCCAATATGATGAGATCATTGACATAGGATTCCACCGAGGTATTTCCCCGTTGGGCCTGCCGTTCTCATCTACCAGGCTTGATCGTGCATCAGTGTACACTGACAGCGAAGATGCACTGGTACTTGTCGTGAAGCCACCTTGGGGGCCCTGATCGTCTCGCTCCGGATGAGACGCTTGCGCATGAACGGCGCTTAACAAGCTTGCCTGTCTTGACGGTGGCAAATGGGAAGCAGGCTGAACCTCCAGCATCTGGTGCGGACCTCCTGACGCGCGGAGCCGAGCCGGCGGCGGATAAAGCTCTCCATGTTCAGTCACAACACCGTGTCCGCGCGCAGCAGATGACGACAAAGATGACGAAGATAATGAATAGAACGTGGTTGGCGAACGAGACCGTGAAGAGAGTGAAGGATAGTGTTGCAGGGAGGGGAGCGTCGTGTTCGTAGAGGTCGTGGATGACATCGAGCTGCGGAAGGCTCCGATTAGTGGGATGCCGCTATGTGAGGGTGGTTTTGGTATATGTAACCAGGTCGGGTGCGCATCAGAATTCGTGGATGGGGAAGTCGGTGAGGTAGGGACAGGGGATGGAACAGGAACAGGGGCCGCGTCCGACGGTCCATCCTCAGGCAACGTGGCCATGGGGGTATGAGGGACACGCGTTTTCGCTCTATGAAGGGTGGGTGGAGGTCGTAGAGGCCGAGGTATGGAGGTTGCAGCATTGCCGCCCCAAGGATCATAATCCTGCAATAATTGGGTGGAGTGATCGACGATGTGACCGACTGGTAAAGAACCCGACGCTTCTCCGCTGTTTACACTAGGATCGTAGGGCATCTTGCGGGCTTGAGCCTTCTCGGACTCTTGTTCTTCAGGGATCAAGAGCGGTACGGAGGAGTCTGGTCCAGACATGATCCGCTGATGACCGCGCAGGGAACCGTGCTCGGAGTCTGCTCGTTTTTGCTGCCTCTGTTCTTGATACCGCCGGGAAAGCGGGACGATGACCAGAACTGCGGCAAGGATGATAATGAAGCCCCCGACGCAGCCGGACACGATGGTTATTATCCTAGTTCCGTTAGACTGGGAAGACGCAGTGTTCGAGGGGGCCGCAGGGCTTGGCTGAATGATCGCACCGTGGTCATTGGTCAGTCAGTTCAGCACAAGGTTCTAGAAGAGCGCTCACGGCCGATGGGTCCAATTGAGGGCTCATCTCGCCTCGAAGGCTTGCCTAGTTCGATAACGAGGATGAGGATGGGAAGTCAGAACAAAGATGCGCTGCTCACGTTGGCAGTGCAATACAAGTTGGGTCACGTCAGTCCCACGGAAATAAGGACAGCTCCGCAACTCCCATGATCCACGTTGTTTTGCACAAGGAAAGAGATTATGAAGAACAAGGGGAGAAGTAGAGTGGAAACGATCGTGAAATCGTTATACCTGCAGCGAAGAGAGTCGTCAACTGCTTCCGAGGTAAGAGTTGGCAGCTGTTGGCAGAATATCGACGTGACAAGCTCAAAGCTGTCGCGTTTGGATGTCAACTATAGTATTGTAGTGGTCCTTGATCCACTCAATGATGATGGATTTCTTGGGTAGTCCGCACATATCCAAATCTCAATTTTTTACAGCCAATGATAGACTATAACCACTGCATGTGTTGTCTAATTTATCAGCTTGAACAAAGTCCATCTTTGCTACCATTAAAGATATCGATGGTGAAGGTGCTTCCGCCACACAAATTTATTCCTTGATCCGCGTGAAGAGCCGTGACGAGGGTGTGACCGGATGTGGCCGTCGCGTTACATGACACGTCTATCTGCTCTCATCATCCAAGATGAGAGCATTGACCGCAGTCACTTTAATATCTGTGTTGTGAGGTGAAGCTCAAGGAATGAATAAACAAAGTGAATAGTGAGCGTTTGAGCGCATACACATTAGGAAAGAAGGCTGCGTGGTTCTCAATTAGGAAATGTCACGCACATTGCCAGACTTGGTCTCTGCATCGCGCAGAAAACACTTGTAAATGCTGTAACAAAAGGAACATTCAATTTGTAGCTTGTCTTCTTATGAAAGGTTGTTCTTTTGTATCTTGAGTAGTAGATTGGTATGCTATTGAGTGGTAAATTTCCACTGATATCATGCTATGCACTTTGCACCAACCTATATTTTCTGAGAACTATGGGTATCAAGCACATATTCAGTCATTGAGCAATAAATACACATCGGATCATGTCATGGTTTATACAGAAGATGCGGAGCACATGAAGCTATTCTCTGGAATATTTGTGGCTGGAGAGAGGGAGGACAACTCATGGCATAGTCGACTGGATCAAGGACGGTCACAAAATCAAGGACCACTACAGTGCTGTATGTCCAGAAATAGGCCGGGCACTGCCTCATTTTGAGCTGATCTAGACCAAATCCTGTTTTCCCAACGTTCCTGCCGAATGTTTTGGGTCCGATTTCCCAGGAACCTCTGCTCCTGTTGTCTTCATCCGATCATTCGACTATGCGAGTCGCAAGGTCAGCTCTGTAGTGTTCAAGACGTGTTATGTCACTTACTCACGTTGATTTTTAACAGAAAGTAAGGAGACCGGCATGAGCCCATCGTTTTTCTGTCGCTGGGACTGGTGTAGATGCACGTTTCCGACCTACAAGGGCCTTGCAGATCATGTCGTGGGAGAACACATTGAACAGGCTCAGCCTGTCCCTAGGCAGGACATAGAACTGCTATGTCGCGTAGAGAGTGCTAACGGGGCTATCGGTGCGCGTTATGTTGTACGATCAACATTGTTTCACTGAACTCAATACGCAGATAGCATCTCCACTGACATATTCACCCAATCTGATGCGCATCTTACATTATCCTCTCGCTCGCAAAATGGTCTGTTCCCGAGTGAAGGTGCAGCTGATCCGCACCCCAGGTCTCTCAGGTTGCCCTCCAGACATGACGCAACCATGAAGGCCTCAGCACCCTCTCTTGTATCAAATCCATCTCCCCCGACACCTCCTCGAATAGCCACGCCAGTGCAGCACGCATCATCTTATTCCCCCTACCCGGTCACGCCCCAGCGCTCAGGATTTTCAGCCTTAGCAGCTCAGTCGTCTCCATCTCCCCCTGCAAGCTCGCCTCTCGAGTCTCCCGCCCTTAGCTTACTGGTAAAGAATGCCATTGCAGCTCACACAGGACCTACGTCACCAACTCAGAGAGGTAGAAGGGATACAGACGCGGATCCGCTATCCGACTCTACTTCGTCGTCACGCGACATCGAAGAGCAGCTGACGCAAGGCATATCTCCCCAGCTCTCACCCCCCTCCGCAGCAGCACCAGGGGATATGAAGACGCAAGGCGCTGTGAACCCTGAGATTTCTCACATTTCTGACGCCGTGTCTCCTTCTGGGCATGCGTCTGCTCCTGGACAAGAGCCAGGCACGAGCTCTAAGTCGAAACACCCAGCACTTGACCCGGTCTCACAGTCTGCTTTTCCTCGGAACCCTCGCCCAAGACGATTTCAACACGGCCAGTTCCTGCTCGAATCAACTCCCTTTTCACAGTCTCAAGGCTCTATTGTCTCGCAGGAATTAGTATGCATCAATACCTGAAATATATGCCATGTTGCTTATTCTGTCGCTATTTCCCTTAGATTGATGTTGATCCTCCTGCAACCTTCGTAGGGTATAGCTCAATTCTTTCTTCGCAGACGCAGAGCCTGTCTAGCCAAGCGAATTCATTCCAGCTGCATACGCAAGCGCCTTATTATTCGCAGAGTCAAGACGCGAGTCATGCGTTCATGCCGTCGCATCAGTTCTGAACAACTTGCGGTGTGACATTCTTCATTCTTCATCAGACACATCGTACATATCCATACCCGAATTGTATATATGCTGTCTATTCGGAGATGACAGTACCTTATTGCATTGAACTCCTGAATCCTCATGAAACGCGCCGGTTGTTGATATCAGGCATTCAACGATCTGACAGAAGAGACTGTCCAGATGGGGAAAGGGATCCCGGTAGGACGGGGGAAACGGACCAATATGTCCGTTACAGTACGAAGTGGTACCAAAGACAAACGCGTCGGCTGAACCTTCCATACTTTCTCCTCTCTCAAACCCTCCGAGCTGTCTCCACACTGTATTTATACCCTCATCGACACCGCAGAACCTCTTCAACGCTCTTTACGACAACATTGATAGATATCTGGAGACGCAAGTTCAACTGACATCATTACGACGGGCAGTCTTTATCTCAGAAGGCGCAAGGGTCATATACACCTGTGAGCACACACCGAGTCCATAGCCCGCCTCAAAATTGACCGAATATTTCTAGCGTTCGTACCAATTTCTCCGTCGTTCCATAGTGCGAACGTTGTCTCGTTTCCACGCTGACTGATTGCAGCAGAGGTGTGTGTGTTTCATTTCGCAGTCTGTACTCGTTCTGATTAGTCGATGGGTCGCAGCGATCATGCCTCCACGTCGAAAGGACTCCACTCCAATCACATCGTTGAGCCCGTATGAGACACCGTCTGCAGTTGGCGGAACATCCACCACGGCTTTTCCACGTGCACCTTCACCATCTGGCCTCACACAACTGCTTTCAAAGCCAGCGAAGTGGTTTTCCAGAAATCCATCAGGTCAGCGAAACAACTCTGGTCCTTCAGAGCCCCGCTCGAGTACCAGCTCGGTTGGTCGCAAGCCAAAGATATCTCATCCGACGGACCCTAGGCCGATTCTACCGACATTACACAGCGAGCCATACGTTCAGGGAGCGCACGGTGCTAGTCGGTGAGTGCTTTATCGGGCTTTTTTTTTGAACACGCTTTCCTCTGCCGGCTTCATTTCTCTTTCTTGTCCATGTCATCAGAGCAGAGCCATGACAGTCTGTGCAGGACTTGATAGACATCTGAGAGCCTGCGCACACACATCCCGCGTTTTCTTAATCAATCATGCCCAAAGCTAATGGATTTGACTCTTATAGATCGGTCTATGACCTCTCACTTGCTCGCACTCATACAGCTGTTGATTCACCAGTTCCGTTTCCTCACGCGTCTCCCGGCTCACCGAGCAGCTCTCACGCGAGCTCAGGTCTAGGCGACCTCCGTTCTTTATCCCGAAAGCCATGGTCAAGATCTGCAGAGGAGCTCGGCAAGTTCAGTCTGTCCGCACCATCGTCGCCGGCGACGCCAAATTTCCAGGACAGGGTCGAGCAGTATCGTGGTGGCAGCAGCCAGTCACCAACCTCGCAACGCCAACATGCATTTCCAGTGATCACAACGACGATACCTCTGTCCAGTTCTCCTCCTCAGTCGGCATCATCACTCAGTCCACTCGCCTCATCTGGCTCCACGCAGAGCCCAACTGGGGGTGCGCCTCTACTGCACGTACGTTCACATTCATTTACACCCAAGCTACCATCCAAGTTGTCTGGAGGGAAGCTTGGACCTTCGAGCCCTGTTCGCAAATTGTCCGGTGGATCAGAAAAAGAGACAGACACCAAGGAGAGAGATAAATTGGCGAGTGGGCCAACCTTCAGCGGCCGTGGCGCATTTCCGTTCACTTTCGGAGGGAATAAGGGAGGGATAGCCCAGGCAGGTGAAATGGCTCTTCTGCCACCGCCCACAATCATCGAACCGGGCGACGAGGGAGACACGCGAGGAACTGTGATGGACAAGCGGTCGTCGCAGATCACATATCACGCCGGGTTTGTCAATCGGATGTCCGATTTTTCACCACCCCCAACCCATGCAAGCACCTATGCCCATGCGGCGACCTCACTCACGAAGGGGTGGAAACCATTTAAGCTAGTATTGCGCGGGACGAAGCTGCAGTTCTACAAGCCGCCATATGACCGCGTTGCTGCAGTCAAAGAGCTTTTCCCGATAGGTGTCGTGTCGGTGGACGAGGAGGAGGAAGCTGAGGCGGGTTTGTCTGACGTGGTCGATGATACCAAGGCCGAAGCCAAACCGACTCCATTGAGAAGGAGAAGAGCATACTGGGGCCGTAGGATGCATCCTGACTTGGTAATACGGGAAGAGGCAATCGAAAAGGGGACTCTGGAGGCGCTTGTGCACGAGGCAGTGTTCGCAACAACTTTCCGGGAAAACGGATTGGAAGCAGGACCGATCGACACGCGAACGGGGGAGTGGCAGGACTTCGCATCGGCAATTCTCTTTGCGCTGCCCACGCTTGTTGGCGCTGGCAGGTTTGAAACGGAACTTCTCCGTTGCTGCGCGTATCTTGTCAGCGGTGCGGAGGATCTTCTCAAGGAGATTGAGCGTGGGCGCGTCCAATGGCTCGCAAACGAATATGTTCGGTATCATGGATCACCTGCTGACCCAAGTGCTTGGGAGACCTTCCGAAAGGAGACTATTCCTGACTGCCCGAAGGGCTTTTGGCAACTTGACGCCAGCGCTCATCGGGCGTCATCGTCGACCCAAGCGCTATATTCGCGGTCACCGAAGTCGAATGCGAGTACAAACAACCCTGATTCGTTCTCTCCCAACGTCAACACATTTTCACCACGTCCTGGCGCAGGTGATGTGATGGGTTCGCTCACTTCTATGGCGGACATGCTAGCGCCGATTTTACCGGGGAGGAAATCAACTGATTTGCTCAGTCGACCGTCCATGTCTAGCAACAAGGACATCATATGGAGCACCCTGGAGCGTGAAGGTTTTACCAAGGAGGTCTTGCTGAGGCTTAGTCCACGGCTCGTCGCCCGCAGTCTCTTGATCTTCAACCGTAACATTTTAGAGTCACTGCCAGAGAACTTGACCGCTGACAACTGCTTACTGGATGACTCTTCTACTGGTCGACCCCTCCCTGTCGCCTCTGATGCCCAAGTTGAAGATGCTGCTCAGAAAGTGACCGTCTTTTTTGGCAGCGACGATCGTCCTCATTGGCTCACCAAATTGGTCATTCTGCATATCCTTGGCCCGGACTCGCCATCGTTCACTTCGCGTATGTCGGGCGATCAGGCACCTCAGACGTCTCGCACACATACTCGCTCTGAGGTTATCTCTGCGTGGGTGCGCGCAGGGGAGTTGAGCCGCCTCGCCGGTGATCATTGTTCATGGCAGGCGATTCGTGCTGCACTGTGCTCCCGTCCCATAGCACGGCTAGAAAAGGCATGGAAACGCGTCGATACTTCTTCTATATCAGTGGTGGAGAGTTGGATCAAACAAGTTCAGGGATTCGATCGGATCGGAGGCGTCGACGTGATCATGACGCCTTGGGGCGGGGATCTACACCAGAAGATCAGAACAGCTTTGGATCGAGCGAAGGTTGGAGGTGAAGAGGTATGGACAGTAGGGAAGTTGACAGAAGCTAAGGATCTTTTCGAGGGTTTCCGGACATCCTTCTCTCTGTGTCCAAGAAAAAACAATCCATTACTTGATGACGTTTCTGAAGACATTGAGAGGTTGGCATCTGCATGGAAGGACTTATGTATCTCTGGCGGAGGCAAGGGCAATATCGCTTCTCAGTTTATCCAGTATGTCGTTGCCATTGATCATCTCAATTATTCCTCTATAACTGACATGTCGTATAGCGTCGATCAATTCATGTCACTTTCAATCGCAGCGGAATCTCGGCGGAAGGGACTATATGAGCCTTATTTCTGGTCTCCATCAGCACTTTCAACCAGTCCTACCAATCACACTCTCGCGTCTCTGCTCTTTCCAGAGCACCTGCCAGAGGTGTCTCTTATCAATCGCTCACAAGTATGGCGAGGTCGCTTAGAAAGTGGAGCAACGCAGCTTAGCGTTCAAGATGTGCAGTTTTTACGGAGCGCAGACTCGGCTTCAAAACTTGCCAGCAGTCAAAAGAGGAAGAGTTTGGGCACCGCAAGAGATGGTCTCAATGGCGAGGAGTTTGGGGGTACCATTATACCAATTTTCGATGGGGAGTTGTTACTTCTTGTTCAGCCTGGGGCAGAGACATCGATATCACCAACTTCGTCCCGCCCTCCTTCGAGACCCTCTAGCTCCGTGATCGACCCAAGCATTACTGAGAAGCCCATGTCCCGTGCTCCGTCGATTCGAGTAAAGGCTGGTTCACATGCCATGGATCGCAAGGCAAGCTTGGCGCGGCGAAGTTCCTTGCCTTCGATATCTCAACGAGCTAGTGTCGTACTTCAAGAGCACCCTTCCGAGCGACCCGTTCGTGTGGTTGTGAAAGCTGGCACACTGGAGCGTCTGGTGGAGGTTCTCGCTCATGGTCTTCCTGGCATATCAGTCTCAATCGCGGACGATAATGGCGAGATGCCATTACGGGAGGGAGTGGCCCGTGACATTCGACTAGACCGTAGTGATTTCGCCTCAATCTGGTGGAATGTTTACCGCAGTTTTGTTACGCCTTTGGTATTCTTTGAGGTAAGAGAATTATTAATATTTATCTCACCTATACTCACCTGCATTTTTAGCTTTTGCGTAAACGTTATGTTAGTGCCTCTTTAGCAGGGCAATCTGCTGTTGCTGAACTTCAGCATATTGCCCAAGTCCGCTCCGAAATTTTGGAAGCCATCTCAGAATGGATCCAACTCGGCGGGGGTGCACAGGATATCCTTGATGATGGCCCACTTTTTCATGCCGTTCAAGCATTTTTCAATAGTCCCACTGATCACGAAATGCCAGATTCTCCAGCCAAGGACGATCTTACCGTCTCGCATGCTTGGTCGAGTCTCAACCAAACTCGTGCTTCTGTGACCACCCTTCTCACCTGCCAGACAATGCGGCCTACTATTCAGAGTCTTTCATATCCGGAAATTGTTACGAACTCTTCATTGTCGGAAGGATTTGGAATCGACCCACCAGATCTCGATAACGCAGATCCTGAAGGCCTTGTCAATAACTTCGACGCAATGGCTTCAGCTGCATTCCGCAATGTCACAGAAGAGGTATAAATCTCATCTGTGCAAATTCGTTGTGATTAGCTTCTTATGTTTCACAGGATCTGTTCGTTACCGCGGACCTACTCGAAGTTCAGACCGCCGACCGAATGGGGTGGCTACTTCCTCGAGATGCGAGCACGACCAACGACGATGTCGAGATTCAGACCATTTATTCTTACATTTCGGAGATCGAGCCTTCGACGCTTATATCCGAACTCACCCATGACTCTATATTTCGGCTTCTCCCCCCGGGCCTTCGCAGCTGCCTGCGTGCACACCACGTTCTACGCAAGTGGGTTGTCTCTCAGATCGTTGCCCCACGTTTAGGACTTCAAGTCCGACAAGCACGAATGGAGCTTCTCCTTCAGGCGGTCGAGATTTGTCGTCGATCCAGTTTGTCAGATTCTCCCGACGGCTTTCCCGAAAAGCCCAGTATTCGGTCGTTTGTCGAGTTCGTTTTGACATCCGCGATTATCAGCGCTGAGAGTCGCATACATCAGCGTGCATGGTACAATGTAGCAAATGCCCGTAAAGTAGGGTGCGAGAGTTTGGTCGCTTTTCTGGCAAAACCTGTTTGCCAACCATCGACACCGAAATGGCCCCTGGCTACGGATATGGGCTGGACCCTGGAGCGTATGTTAGAACTGATCAGCCTCCCCGATGTTCATGAATCACTCTCTCCCGAAGGACGCCCTCTCGTTAACTTTGATAAACGACGGTGTGTGAACTGACTCATATTATGCTCCGTCGCACTGACCATCCTTCTTCAAGACAACTGTGTAACCTCATTTCAAACACGCCCTGCGTTTCTCGGAGTCGCCTTAGAAGAGACATTGATCGCCGTGACTTCGAACGCTTGGGCAATATCGAGCGGGAAGTTGGGTTGCTGCAATTTGATCTACGCAGTACCAAAGAGGATGCTTACAGGGAGTTATCTCATGCTGGAGTTAGTGGCCCTCCAAAACGAGCCCAGCGTCCCTTCCAGAAGCATGTTTCGGCTCAACACGAGAAGAACAAGCGGGACCGGTACCTTCGTGATCGCCTTAGCAAAGAACGCAAGCAAGAGCAGCTGAAGAACGACCGAAAAGACGAGTATCTCAACAAGGCTATGCATACCCGCCGCCCCTACACAGCTGCGCAACGGCAACACAGGATAAAGAAAAGTGCTTCGTCTGGGTTTTTCCAACAGCTTATGAGACCGATCTCGAGCGCCTTTTCCTTGGATAATGTGGACTCCTCGTCTGGTAAGCGTACAGCCGCCGAACTTGACTTCACTCCTACGGGCAAGCCGTCGCTAGTCTTGAATGTTGTCGACGCACAAGTAGCTCACTTTATCAATCGTGAACGCTCGTATACATTCCAGCTCGATACAGAGGATGGAGGACACTATCTTCTCCAAGCCGCTTCAAAAGTCGAGATGATCAAGTGGATCCAGACTATCGATCGAGTGTCCAAGTCCGCGGCAAAACGACGCTTGACCTACCTTGGCAATTCCCCCAAGCCTCAGCTATCAGATCATATACATGAACGTCCAAAGACGGCTTCAAGAGACCCTACCGCTAGTGCGTAGCACTCAATTTGCAATTTTAGTCTCAAAGCTTGACATTGTTAGCAGTTTTTGGAGTAGACCTTGAGTTCTTGCTAAAGCGAGAGGCTGGCGGGAATCCAGTACCTCAGGGTGCTGTTCCATCTGTCATCGAGCGATGCTTGCAAGAGGTCGAAGCTAGGGGACTGAGCGAAGTCGGAATCTGTGAGTAACTCGCTTTCTTTCTCGCGCTTGTGGGAACTAATCTGGTTTGCAGATCGAATCGCTGGGGCCAGCTCTGAAGTGAATGGACTCAAAGAAAAGCTGAATCGCGGTGAGGAACATCGATTTTAAAATGCATCTCTCTTTCTCAATCAGCCCTTGTCTAGGGGAATGGCCAATTACGCTGTCGACGGATATTTACGCTGTTTGTGATATTATCAAGACCTGGTTCCGTGTGTTGCCTGAACCTGTGTTCCCTTCATACTCGTATCACGATGTTATCGAGGCCATGAGTAAGTAACTCCCTCTGGTCCAAACATCTTTCTAACTATTATATCAGAAATCGAGGACCTAAACTCTCGGATAGAGAGAATCCGTACAGTGATCCAAGCTCTACACCGTCATAATTTCGATTTGTTAAAACGCGTCGTTGAGCATCTCGATCGGTACGCCAAACTAACGTCCTATTTGGTAAGTTTGTTAACTCGAAGATCCAGGGTAACGGACTACGAAGAACATAATCAAATGGGCTCCGACGCACTGGCCATTGTGTTCAGTCCAAACCTGCTGCGCGCTCCTCACAATGATTTCGTCATGATCATGGCCAACATGCAGCACACCAATAGACTTGTGAAAGCCCTGGTGACACATGTGCGTGGAATCGCTGATTGTTGCCTCTGTTTATTATCCTTACATGCCTTCAGTTCCACACTATCTTTGATGAGATAGATCCGGACGCGGAGGGCGATCACGATGAAGATGAGGACGAATTCGAATTACCTATCCCGGAGGAGGATGAAGAAGCCGACGCCGAATTTCTTCGTTCTGCTCCCATAATTTATCCCGGTTCTGAAAACTCGCTTGTCTCGCAGATCTCATAGCAAGCTTCTAATCATACCTTCGTTTCACTTCATGGAACTCTTGATCCCTCTATTCTGCTCGCATTGTTTGTACTCTATCTCAATAACATCCGTACCTTCTCAGCTAGGACAGTGTCTACTTTCTCAATAGATATCCCGGTCTCGCTAGCTGCATAATTCGCGTTATTTCTCCATTACGACCTTGTAGTAACTTTAGCTGTCCTATCCATACGAAAGTTTTGTCTAGGTCTCCTGGATTACATCACAGATGTTACTCTTATCTTATCTTTACCAACCTAAGATGATCGCGTCATTCTGAACTGTGGTCGCACGTTGCACTGTGACCATGTCTCGACTCTCCACCGGTGCAGCCTTTTGTTTTTCAACCACGCTAGTCGTTCCAGCACTTCTCTTCCCTCCGCCACTGATATGAGCGCTACCGAGGTTGCCAATGAATTGATCGCAGGAAGTGTAGGGGGTGCGGCTCAGGTCTTGGTTGGCCAGCCGCTCGACACGATCAAGACCCGTGCACAAACTGCATCCAGTTCGATGTCTTCCTCCATTTCTCGTGACTTCTCTCTGACTCCTCGGACGGCGTGATGTAGGGGAAACGTTTGTGAGTGTATCCTGGGTCAACGTTCAGAAACTGCTTACATCTGTAGAACAGAGGGGTCCTATGGACATTCTTACGCAAACGATTCGCAAGGAAGGTTTCTTTGCGTTGTATAAAGGTCTTGAATGGATTACCTATTGATTTTAGAAGCAATGGCTTATTTGATCTCGTAGGAATGGCAAGCCCTCTTCTGGGGATAGCGGGAGTCAATTCTCTACTTTTCGCTGCTTATGGCGCATCCAAGCGTATAATATCACCGTTTCCTCAACTTTCCCTGAAGGAGATAGCTGCTGCCGGCGCCATGGCTGGAGCAGCCAACGCAGTACTTGCCAGCCCAGGTGTGTTTTACTTCCAAGCCACAAGTGCCAATGAATTGACCAAACGGAACGTAGTGGAAATGTTCAAGGTACGCATGCAAGGTCAGTATGGCGCTGCAACGGATCAACGATTACGCGAAGTTGTTCGAGAGATGTGGTCAGAATGGGGCTTTCGACGTGGTGTGATGCGAGGGTATTGGGTGCGTTCTTCGTTGTTCGATACTAGATCCTAGCATTCACGGGTCTCAAGGTTACGGTTTTAAGAGAGATTCCGGCTTATGCAGGGTATGTCATTCGATCAAGCGAAAAATCCTATTGACTTTGATATCACTTTGCATAGATTCTACACAGGTATGCTGTCTTTTCCCGAGTGTTTTGTCGATTTATGGACCAGGTCTTGGAAGCGTTTGAATTTTCGAAACGCAAGTTTGCTGAGACACATGGTTCCGAGTTGCCTGTGTGGGCACTGCTGAGCAGTGGCGCCACTGGAGGGGTTTGTGTTTCTTCCGTGTTCATCAAAAGACCTTTCTCATTCTACTCCCATTTCCCAGATTGCTTATTGGCTATCCTGTTACCCGTTAGGTGCCTACTCATCTTGCACTTTATTGAATCATTCTGATATTGAGGTAAATGTTTATCAGATGTCGTGAAGTCTCGCATTCAACTGAGGTCAACACCTCCGGCGGGTACACCTGTACAGTATATTGCTCATGAAATCAGAGCGATAATTGCGGAATCGGGAGTGTACGTTCATCCTACGTTTGTGAATTTCGCTTTTTTTCCCAAGGCTTTTTTTCAAACAGTGCTGGATTATTTCGTGGATTGACACCATCACGTATGTTTGCTCTCGCATTCGTTGCCCTCAAAACTAAAAGTCGCTGATATCACGATCCACAGTAATCAGAAGGTAAGGCTTTCCAAGGAACGCCTCGTCGATCCTTTGATGAACACTATGGCAGCATTCCGGCGGCAGCAAGTACTTTTGCTGCGTTTGAACTGACAAGAGGTATCTCGGCGCAAACACCCATACTATTTATGAATCAAATGCTAAATGAGCCACTCTGACAGAGTACTTGCGAGAATACACTGGAGTGTGACGACATCTGATCAAAATCTGACTTTTCTTCTCTTAGTCTGCAATTCTGTTGTTCCGTTCGATGTTTGTCAGGTCTCTGTATGCTTATCTGCTCGCAGTCAAAGGGTTTTATCATACTCCCAGAACTCCCCATTCACTTTCGGAAATTCGATAGAGCCCCGAAACGACCGCCACAGCCACATCATTGATCATATTGGCTGGCGATTATCTTCGTCTAGTGATCCAGGTCAGTACAGCTAGATTCCGCCGATTCTCACTGGCCACATAAAAGATGAGGAGCATTGTGCTCTTCGGTCAAAATTGCCAAAGAAAATAATCGTAGAAGAGACACAACTCTGGAGATAGGGGCACAGCAGTCTCACTTCAAGAGCGATGGCAAAAATATAATGAGCATCTTTATACATAAATATGTGTTCTGTGGGTAGTGGCTCACAGCTTTGATCCTCTCCAGCCGTTGACGAGCTATGAAATGACATATCCTATATCGACGACTCACTCCATATTGACTACTGGCCATCTGATTAGTAGTCTGCCAACAACGCCCAGGACTAAGTTCTGCGAAGCGAGAGAGCTAATAATGGACTTGTCGATCGCTTGCATGATTTTGCAAACCGCGGCGTATTAGAGAAATGAAACCCTATTCATACATACGATTCGATTACCTGCAAAGAAGAACCAGGCACATCATCGGACGACAGGAATACGTGGAGTATGCCTCCTCAGCATGCATGGCTACAAGTAAGTTCACTATTCACCAGTGCTACGGCTACAATGACGGTAATATATCGATGACAGGCTTGCGGTCGGTCCGATTCTAAGAAGGCACACAGCAGCCAAGACACGGGCGCAATACAAGTCCTGCGCGTGCTGAAGCTTGATGGAGGATCTTATTCTTCCTCACTGTCGCTCGCAAACTCAACAGCCTGGTATCGCCTTGCTTTCTTATTCGGGTTCGCAAGGGATGCACCCCTCCGTGCCATCTGGGCGGGCACGACCGAGCCTGAACATCGCGACCCTTAGCGATCGCACGATTGAAGAAAAGAAACAGAGAGGAGAGAGACCGGGGCTTACGACTTTGCAGTGCGCTTGTGCTCCCGCCGGGGCCGAAGCTGCCCTGACTTATGGTTCGCGCCTTGATGAGCTCTTGACGCAGTACTCGGATCTCTTCACGAGCGAGCAGCTCAGATTGCGTCGGTTCAGGTGTGGGCGCCTTTGCCTTGTGCTTCCCTGTCCTGCTAACTTGATCTTGGGCTTGTGCTTGCACTGGAGAAGATGGCCTTGCTATCGTCGAAGTTGAGGTTGAGGGCTTGTATTGATGGACTGGCGGTGGCGGGCTTGGAGAAGAGCCTTGGTGCTTCGTTGAAGGGAACGGCGGGGAGGAAAGAGGCTGGGTAGCTTCCCAGGCTAGACGTTGCTGTCTGTCGGGGACTTCGAGGACCGATGATCCGCGCTGAGAGCTGACGCGGGAGCGGGGACGAGAGCGTTTCAAGCCATCGTAGTCATTGGCTAGAATATGTCAAATAGGGGTAAGTCGTTAATAAAATTGCCGATGGCGAGAAGGTGTACTGCTTTGAGGGGGTGGCTCATGCGCTGAGGGATAGAGGCGGCACTGGTGCGATTGGGCTTGCAATGCAATCTGCCAAGGCTTGAGGAGTTCGTGAGTAATTGCGAGTCGGCATAGGACTTACGGAGGCGAACTCCCCGGCGGCAAATATCGCTGCCTCTCGCGGGGTCATCTCTGTCATGGATATGTTAACAGGCTTTTTCGCTTCAGGACCTATAATCAGCTAGGGGAGGAGGAGATATGAGTGATAAGACTGCAGGAAGCTGGAAGCAGTAGCTGACTTTCAGCTCCTGGTGGCCCTCGGAAGATGGATCCCAGTGAACGATGCTGAGCTCCTTCTTGGTGAATGTGGATAGCAATCGATCCGCAAACATTTTAAGAATGTCTGGTGTCGATTTCTTGCCCTGTAAAACCTCGATAAGAGCGATCTCCGTTGTATTAAACTATAGCGATCGGCTTACCACAAAGTGCAGGATGTCGTTTTCTGTCCACTTACCCCGCCACCATCGTCCCTCCCTCCCGAGCCCCGCATGCAAGAGCCAAGCATCATCTCTGACGTGCGATAACACGACAAAACGCGAGCTTCCTTGATAGACAAGCTGCAAGACCTCGTCTAGCACTGCGAAATTGTCCAGCAAGGATGTCATGGTGGAGGATGTGACAAGGCTAATCGGACGAGTGGCCCAGGGCGGCTTGACCGCATTCCAAATCCGGCTGCGGGGCGACTGTATGCCGGCACCGTACAATCGCGGAGACTGAAGACGCCAACGATCACAGTGCGGGCACCCGGGTCCGACCCGGTGTCTGTGCGGCGACGCGACGTCACGCGTCACCTGACGTCCTATCACTCATTCGCACCATCGGCAAAACGTGTTTCATGGAGTATTGTAGGCATCGCAAGGCCAATGTCTCCAACGATCTGACCCGCTTCTAATCACAATTTTTGAAGCAACCCTTGTGCTTCAAGAATTCCGTCTTTGGTGTGTACATTTATGATTCACGAAGCCTCCACATTGATCACGACCTTGTTAGTAGGTTCAAATCACGCCAATTGAGACATGCGAAAAGTTCTGCCATCCATGCCATCCACGCATATCTCCCACCCTTTGATTGGGCTTGGATCAGCCACTATCATAATATCAAAGCTGGTGACATTGTCCAGATTCTTTTCAAATACGCCACAATGTTTCTGAGACGCATTGTTTGATCGAAAGGCCACACATGTGGCCGATAGCACTAGAAAATTGTTTATAAATTGAATCACCGAAGTCGCGCGGTGTCTCTCTGACTCTCTCTTACCTTCTCTGACCATTCTGTTCACTTAAAAGCCATACTCAAGTCAACGACTGTCACTTCCACATTCCCAACACCTATGGAACAACATTCACCTTCCCTTCCCTCTGCCACCCTCGATGACCTCGACGACGTTGGGACCGAATTCGCTACCCAGCAAGCCATGACACTTCAAGCAAGGCCATCTCTTCGTGAGAGGGTGAACAACACACTCGAGATCAATGTCAGAGGGCGCACCAAAACGAGGAATGCTGTATTACCTGTAAGGGCAGTGACTCCACGGTTGCACAGGAGAAACACGGCTGAGGTCGAAATCGACGAGCACCTCTCGCGTTTAGGGCAGGGGCTCTTCGTTGGATTTATACTAAAGGGCCGTCCTCTGCCTTCGAATATTCCGATCATCGCCCACTATAAAGACGATTCAGGACGCGAGTTCACACACACCGTATGTGTCCTCACAGCCGAGGAGGCCTTGGCCCTAAAAGTCTTCGACAAGAGAACATACGGAGCTACTAAGACTTGCGAACATCAACTATGGCTCACGCTCAAACAGGAGAAGGAGGAAGGGGCTATCAAAGCACACAAAGAGGGCATGAACGCGGTGGGATTGACCACGGAACAGATGGTCTCTGCGATGAAGTTTATTCAGAGTGCCTCTTTGTCCGCAGGGATGCCAGAGATGTATGCATATTGATCGCATGCACCCAAGAATGGGCAATAGATGCTCTTGCTCTAGGTATCTGTTTCCTGACAGCCACCGCGAAAGTGAATGCTCTCCTGGTTCTAAACCAGATCTATAGCGATGATGCAGTGCTCAATGGGTGGAAAGTGATAATGTCAGACACAGACATCGAATTTGTGGAATCCGTTGCTATAAATATTTCGGATGTCTAGACAGTGCCGTTGAATCAGACTTTCGTCTTTGACTCGAGTTCGCCGCAAGTGACGTTGGCCAACTAGCATTCATGTGTGGCCTCCTGGTACATTATAAAAAATGGATTCGACTGTGCACTTGAGACTAGGTACGCGATTCAATATAAACGCAGTACAATCCTCGTCATACAATTCAAATAACCCTTACCAACATTGCTCATTTTCACTTCTACAAGTCTCCAATCGTCGATACAGCTTTGATCGGAGCAGCATAGGACGAAACGTTCAAGGCAACGTCAGTACTGTCTGCATAAATTGATCGTAGTTGATCTGAATCCAGCCATCGCGGTCAGTGTCCAGAGCGGAGAAGGACTCCGTGATCTGCTTGATCACGACGCAGGCGCGCACGAAGCGATCAAACGAGATACCGCCAGTGACACCATATTGGGTTGGGGCGCTGGTGGCTTTAACATCTTCCCCCACAAGGGTAAATAGATGAGCAACGTCCCGTCTAGTTCAATTGAATGCTTACCGTATTTGCGCTCGACAAGCTGGAGTAAGGCAGGAGAAAGATTGTAGCTGAGATGCAGGAGCATAAGGAAAATGTCGGATATGCAAAATCACAGATTTGTGCTTACCCAAATTGCCTCAAAGCATCATGAAGCTCGCGACCATCGATGGAGCCGGAACGGTCTCGGTCGAAATGCCTGAAGACATTTTGCCAATCCTGAACAGATGTAAGAGGACTGACCGACGAGCAGTACAGCTGAATGAGAGTACTTACCTTGATATATTTCCATAGACCAGCAAACTGAACAATGACTCTAAGTGACTGGAATATTGCGTACTGAACCTGAATCTGACCTCATTAAATCCAATGGTTCCGCTCCTGTCGGTGTCCTTTGACGTGTTCTCAGCTACTTGAATTCTCGGACAGGAGATGCGACATACAAAAATGGTCATAAGCAATTTCACCGTGTCCAAATCGAACGCTAAAGCCACTATGAGCGACCACTCATTAAGTTTCACAGATAAAGAACCAACCAGTCCAATCGCCGTTGACGAGGGCTTTTTCTGCATAGGGAATATGTTAAGCCTCGTTGTAAGGATGATATGACGCCACTTGCGCAATTCAGGAGCAGAGATTTGCCCTGATCGGTCGCCATCGACAGCAATGAACCACTGCCAGAGCCTATGACATCTCATCATCAGGGGCGATGCAGAATCATACGCCATCCTACGCACTGGGGATCTGCACCAGGGGGAGGACCTGAGTGCTGGCTAGGAGGCGCGAAGCCTCCAGGAGCACCGTAACCAGGAGGCGCTCCGTATCCTTGCTGGCCGCCATATCCTGGTTGACCTCCGTACTATACGTTTTTGTAGTTATCAGAAGACAACCCGTTTCGATTGGATCGTACGCACATTGTAAGCCATGCTGAGTTCTCTGGATTTATCAGACGCTGATCGGCAGATGGAGCGAGTAGCTGTTGTAAGAAGGGAGGAAGAAAGGGGGGTGCACAGGCAAAATGGCTAGAGAGTGCAAGATATATAATCAGCCGAGTGGCACAGGAATAACAGAAGGACGCACAGGTTGTGGCAGACACAGTCAAGAGGCTCCTGTGCAGCTCTGACAGCGCTCAGCACTCGGGGCTGTGTCCAAGATTACTATCAATCACGCGCCTGTGATGTCATTTCGCGATAAGCAGTTTACAGCTTGTCCAGCCCCAGTACATAAGTCTCACGCTCCTGAGCGAGAACAATACAATTGCAGGCGGAATCCACAAGCGAACACAGTAATAAGTTAAATAGCAAGACAATCCACTGGGAATCATGCGCTCGCAAGCACAACCGGCGGCAATCCTTCTGGTGGTCTTCCTCTCTTCTTCCCAGTACCATTCGCAGTCCCACCGCCCGACCCTTTCTTCTTCTTCGGAGACATGGGGCTGTCCGCCATGGGACTCATCACCAACAGTCCTGGAGTCGAGGTCTCGGGCTTCGGTACCGAGGCGGCATTGGCAGCATCTTTCGCCTTCGATTTCTTCTTCGACGATCCAGCGGCTGTGTTTGTCTTGAGAACTTGTCCGAGCGGGCCAATTTTCGACTGTGAGGGATGTGGTGGGTCGTCAGGAAGAACAATGAGAGGTAGGGGCTGATGTGTAGAGGACTGCGGATATGCTGTCGAGAGCATAGATATACGGTGTTGATAGTACGGCTTGAGCAACCCAATCTGACCATCGACAGTGCTTGAGTTGAGTGGAATAGAAGGCGGTGGAGGCGGATAGGGCGGCGGAGGTTCTGCAGGTTTCGCACTGTCCAAAGGTGAGCACGAGCAGGGAACAAGAGGCCGTGATACATACGTAGAATTAGCATTCTTGGTGTTCTTTTTGCCCTTGAGCAGTCTCTTAGGAATGATGAGGTTTGCAAGACCCAGCTCTTCAGCAATCCCCAGGGCACGAAGACCGAGGAAGTCCTCGCCAATATCATCGGTGAACTGACCCCTGACAAGACTATCAGTAGAGCTTCATAGATGAGAAAATATAGTAAGTACATGACAAAGGCGCTCTCTTCCTCTTCGTCATCCTCGTTAGCGAAGAGTGCGTCATCATCCAATGCTTCTGTGGATGTAAACTCTTGGTAGGCATTGGATAATTTCTTCTCAAGATCATTGAGGCGATTCCCATGCCGGATGACATCATCATTGATGTATCGTTCCAGCTCCTGTATACGTGACGTCCCACTTTCGAAAAGAGTGTGCAAGATGATTTCCTAGTGTGCCTTTAAGTCATATCAACAAAATTCAATCGAGACGAAGGCCCACCTCAGAAGTCATATTATTCGAATATTTATCGACATAGAATCTTAGTGTCCGTCCAACGTTCATCAGGTATTCCGAAGCAATACTTGACAAGACATCTAAAGCCATATTAGATGATCCTATATACGCAATGAGTCTGAGTTCGATCTGGGCAAGAATTGAAAAAAAAAAACCTTGGAATCCGACGTGCTCCAAAACCTTGTGATTCATCCAGTGCAGGCACTGGTCTCCAGCTTGCTGCCCGATATCTATCCCTTCCGCTGCTCTCGCCCCTAAATAACTCCAAGGCTGTTCTTCCAGCTCGGCTATCTCCACAGGTTCATCGGCAATCGCCTCTGCAGGCGCCAAGGGTCCCTCTTCTATACTACCAGCAGTCACATTGAGGGCCGCGAATCTAGCATGCGTTTGCCGAAGGCGTCGAAGAGCTTTGATGTTTGAATTCATCAGTGTCAGCATGGAGCGGGGGTTAGGTGGTGCCCTTGGACGGTTCTTCTTGCGTTTACTGGTGTGAGACGCTCGCTTCGGTACAGGGGCCGAAGCCGAAGAAGAGGATGAAAAGGGAACTGGTGGGATGCTATTACCAAGCAGATAATCAGATTGCTGTGCGGCCCACCATAGCTCGACGGGTTCGGAAGAAGAGGATGCTGGATGGGGAGCAAGGCGGACGCGTTTGATAGGACGGTGATCGGAGACCCTGGTCCTTCTTGAAATGAGAACCGAGTGTGGTTCATCAATGGTAGAATGGGAGAAGACTCACAACCTGCGCTTGTCACCCAAAACACCATCGGCGGATATGGCGATGTCCTCGTACTCGATCGCAACGTCAGAAACAGGAAGGAGTTCCCGTAAGCGATCTTCTAAGCCAGATGTGTGATTCGTAGACGAGAGCACGCTACTTAGTGCACAGTCCAACTCAGAAAAAGCTCCCATCCCTTCAGCAGTTCGCACAATAGCAGGTGAGTCGGCAAACGGTAGATCTCGCCGTGAGGGCGTCGGCGCGGGCGTGATGGAGGGCGTAGGTCGTCTGACAACAGTGCTGGGAGGTCGGGGTGCGATAGGTAATGAAACAGGACGAATATGACCATTGATCCCATTAGATTTGTGATGTGGTATTCGGCGAACTGATAGATCTGTTGGGATTGATGGATCGGCTCGCTCCTTCCGGTCAGTGATATTCCTTAGCAACCTCTCTGCCTTCACTTTCAAGCGCGACGCACAGAGACGGAGTGGGTGATTCTGTGTCATATGAGCTATTGAGCACATGACAAAACATTTGAGACATACCTCTGTGGCATTGTAGGTGAAGCAGTTAGACCAGATGAGGTTCAAGTCATCCTTGAACTCCTTCTTTGACTTATAACTTTTCTGCTTGACCTTCTTAAGCATGGTTTGAAGATCCATTGGATTTGGAATGACTGTAGAGTAGGAATTGTTAGAGAGATTCAAGATATTCTAACCTTGAAGTATATGTGTTGTCGCATGCATTAAGGATGTGAGAATGATTGGACGTGAGCACCACAAAAGAATGTGAATTATGAGAACGGAGAAGTAGTTCAAGGTGCCACCAGCCACAGACTGGCAAACAATGATGGAATAGGGAGATCGGAATCGCGTCTTTGAAGGCCGCAGAACAGCGTCGTTGAGAAGTCACACAGTCAATAAACGTACCATCATAGTAGTCCGGTACATCCGTCCTCGAAACGGGCTTAAGGAAGGCTTCAGCGTCATGATTATCCTGCGCAGTATCGGCGGTCAGTCGCGCCACTGGCTTGGTTCACGCGGAAGCATACCATCGTCACCGTTCGTAAATCATGCAGCAAGTCTTCCAAGGCGTCATAGAACGGATCTGCGAGTTTTACATCGTATGTCTGCCGCTAATTCACGAGGAAGAATGCCAGAACATAAGCTCCGAAAGGGAATGAAATAACGTGACTACTTACTCGCCCATCCTTGACGGTCTGCAGCAGTAAACGAAGGTCTGACTCTGGTAGTGTTGACTTGATCTGACTACCAGCTAGAGATTTGAGAAGGTTCTACGACTCATATGTTAGTGAGTTCGGGATGGATGGCACAAATAGCGACCTACGTTCATCCTCCAGCTTGTGTGCCCTTCGTTGGAGCGGTGAGCGGAACAAAGAACATATTCAAGCTCCGACTGGAAATCCGCCGGATGCCGGCTCGATACAGGCTCGTCGACAGTGTAAACCTTGAGTTTCGAGAATTTCGTGCCAGTGCTTGTATCTAGAGTAACATATAAATATACTGCAACATTCTCACGCAGATTCACATCTGGAGGGTCGATGCTGTTTTGAAAGAACTGGGACTTCGGGCTGCAGCGTGCCAGGAGATCACGCGTGGCTTAGTCAGGCATTGGCCGCGACGCGTTTCCGCGTCTTGAACCCGAACGACCACGACGAGGGGGTCCCACTACGCTTGTTCCCGATTCACACAGTATTTATGCTAGGTCTCATCTGATTTCCTCACTCTGAGTTTTGTTCTGCACCCCATACGACCAACTGTTCACCTTCTTTTCTCCAACATCTATCTCCACAGCTTCCCCCAAACTCAAGCAATACCATGTCTGGTCTCAAGAACTCCCCGTTCGGTAAACGACTCCGCGCGACACAGCAAGAAACTGAAGATGAAGGCCCACGAAGGAATAGGCCAAGAGTGAACCCCATCTTTGGCGTTACTCAAGTATCCACTCCGTCACTCGACTCTCGACCAACAACTAGTGAAAGCGACAGTCCGGAATCCCCCACTGAACCACTGCGTACCAATAAAGATTATGGGGACAGATTCGTACCCTCAAGAGACTCCGGGGACATGCGCACCTCGTACAATCTGATGGAAGAGAGCGGTCCATCCACACCTTCCAAGAACAAGATTATCCCCACAGAATCAGATGCTGTCAAAGGTGAGTTGAGTGGCACTAACCTTTCTATTAGCATTTCCTTATGCTGCAGATATATTGTAAAAGACGTCATTTTGAGACCCAGTCATAGCTGAACATCATGTTCGAACCGTGTGGATTCAGCGTCGAGGTCGAGACATATAACTCAACTTCACCTTATTACCGCCATACCTGTCTCCTCTGGCTGTTGTTTTGTTGTGTCTTTAATGGGGCACAGTTGCTGACTTTCTGAATGCTCTAGAACAAGCTAACGCACTGTTTACATCCATCCTCCATACGGAGGTCACCCCACCATCCCCTCACCGTCCAGTTTCCCCCACGCGACCTGCCGCATCTGCATCGACCATCACCGCGCCATCTACCCCTAATAGACGCCGCTTATTCCAGTACCACTCCCCTTCTTCCTCGCATCCGTCGACGCCAAAACGACGGTTGGACACTCCAACCGACGAAGCATATTCGATGAGCCCCGTCCGCGCAGAGAGCCGACAGATCCTCGAAAGTCCTAGGCGCCAACTGCGCAATGTCTGCAAAACACCATATCGTGTTCTTGATGCACCCGAACTTGCAGACGATTTCTACCTCAACTTGGTAGATTGGTCTAGTACAAACGTACTCGGGGTCGGATTGGGTTCATCTGTCTATCTCTGGACAGCACATACAGCGGCGGTGTCGAAGCTGTGCGATCTGACGAGTACGCATGACACAGTGAGCTCAGTGTCATGGGTCCAGAAAGGCTCGACATTTGCTGTGGGGACATTGGCAGGGCGGCTGCACATCTACGATGCGAACACACTTCAGCTCCAGCGAACATATCAGCAAGCGCATACTCAGCGCATTGGGGCGCTAGGATGGAACTCGCACGTGCTATCGTCAGGCTCTCGAGATCGGATGGTGCACCATCGTGATGTGCGCGAGGCGACGCAGAAACCATTCAAGAGGAGCGCAGGACATCGGCAGGAGGTCTGCGGCCTGCGTTGGAATGGAGACGGAGGACTGCAGTCAGGGATCCTTGCAAGCGGTGGTAACGATAACAAGGTTTGTATCTGGGATTTGAGGGGCTCTCGACGCCCGGGGCTTCCGGGAAGGGGGAGCGGAAATACAAGCGGGAGTGCAAGCGAAGAGGGCGGTATCGGGGACACTCCGTTGTGGAAGTTCCACGAGCACACCGCTGCTGTCAAGGCACTCGCTTGGGACCCTCACGTCGCCGGCGTATTAGCCACTGGCGGAGGGACACAGGACAAGCATATCCGGTTCTGGAATGTGCTGTATGGGAACAAATTGAACGAGCTAGACACGGGTAGTCAAGTACGTGACCTAGATTTCTGGCTTTGCGACTTCCATTGACAGCAGGGATCCCAAATAGGTTTGTAACTTGACATGGTCTCTCACCTCGCATGAGCTGGTCTCTACACACGGTTTCTCGTCAACGACAGCACAAAATCAGATTTGTATATGGAAGTATCCATCGCTGGATATGGTTGCGTCGCTAACGGGTCACTCAAGCCGCGTGCTATATCTCGCCATGAGTCCTGATGGTGAGACCATTGTCACTGGTGCAGGCGACGAAACCCTACGATTCTGGAACGCTTTTCCTAAGCGAGAGAACACGGAGGCAAAGAAAGAGAGTCGACTTGACTATGGCCGGCTCATTCGATAACCGCTCATCGCGCTCGCGTTATTTTCCGCTTTTCAGCATGTCGTCACCATCCAGCTCTTCCCTACGAGTAGACTCACCATGGACCTGCTGATTACATTGTTTTGTTCTTTCCCACTAACGGATCATCACGCTTCGCCCAAAATCATGTATCATTCCTCCCGCCACCTTTTCTCATCATCCCCCCTTTTCCTCCACCTGTCACGCACATTCATGCCTCTAATACATATATGCACACATACATACACTACATGACACCAGCACTGTACGATTCCATCATCTTCTTTGACCTCGATTTGTTCGTTTGCTATGGATTCTTACGTTCTATGATAGTTGTTGTTCTTTTTGTTTCCTGTCAGGCCCTGGCATTGCAGTTCTTGTTGCTTTCTTTCCATAACCGATCTCCGGCTTGACTCAATAAATATTTCATGATGGCCGGTCGGTATCAGACAAAACAACGCCGGGTTACCTTTGACAAAATATGGACATATCCGGAATTGAACCGGACACCTCTCGCAGGTCAGCTCAGTGCTAAGCGAGCGTGATAAACCAACTACACCATATGCCCTTATCTTTGGTTGCATGCATTGTTTACATCAATAGATCGTTTTAGTCGCGTGACTAAGTCATCTGTAATGTGACTGTTCGTGTGAGATCCTGCGAAACCCCCAAGTTAAAGTTGACCTCTCGACACGTCGAGCTCCGTTCACCTTTCTACTTGATTTTGCTTAAGGCGATTTTCACGACCCACACGCAATGCTTGTTACATCCGTTTATGCACGACAGCAAAATACACAGTCGGCTTCTGGCCATGTGCTTGTATTGAAACACAGTGACAAGACTGTTCTTGTTGGAGTGCCAGAGTCCTACGCGGTCAGTTATGTGCATAAAATATGTTGCTTCCTTTCTGAACCATAGAACAAGGACCTGGAACTACTTTCACGCAATGTATTTAACATTGCGCGAGGAGCTTTAGTGCTAGCGACCGACGACCTCGACATTTGCCAAGGCAGTGCCGTTCATATTCACAGCAGCGCTTGGGATCATATCAAGTATATTGTTGAGACCATCACTGTTGGTTTCGAAGATCAGCATATTGCCATAGGAGTTGGTGAGCATGACTCGACGGTGTTGGTATAATTATTGATGTTCTCGCTGCGCAGCCGTAGACCAGAACGAGCCCATTTTCACGCATGGACAGTCTAGCGCCTCAAAATGGGCCAATGCTCCGCTCAATGCCTTTCAGACTCAACCGAAGAAAGAATCAAGCCACTCGCACGTCAGTGATAGAATGTTTTCGCGTGCTCAGCAAATACAACAGCAGGGTGCAGAGAACATTGACTGGGAGAATGCCCCTGTAGATGATCATTCTGCCGACGATGGCATGTTCGAAGAGCACTATACATCTTCTCGTAAGGGTAAAGGTCGCGCGCTTCAGCAAATTCTTTCAGATGACGAAGAGGACACAGCGAAGGAGAACATTTTCAAGGATCCTACCGCCAACAAGCCCTCTTCACTTCGCGCATCAATTCATTTAACATCGGCTGGCACTCCTGTCAGCACGAAGAAGACCGGACCTCGTTCATCCGCCAATCGCACACTCTTCCCTACTCCAAGGAACGATGTCACCGACGTGTTCTCGCCTAAGGGTAAAGGACCAGCATCCAGGCTTAGCCGTGGGTCTCCAGAAAGGGATGACAACTCTGGATACGAGGACAAGGCCAGAGAAGGTAGTTTGGGCAGTTACGAAGTTGTAGCTTCACCCCGCGACACATCGAAGACGCTCCAATTTGACAAAGAGCCAAGAAGCCCAAAGGCAATTTTTGCGATCAACCGAAGTGGTACGTCTCGTCACCGCTTTAAAGCTAGCTGGACTTAACTATTCGTGCCACATTCAGAAGCATCTTCTGAGCGGACTGCGACGCCGAAGTGGACTTCCCAATCTACGGATGAAACGGATGGTGCGCAGTTATTGATTCATCCAACATCGTCTCGTCATTGACCGACGTCATTTTCGTTAGGCCAAGGACCCTCTAACGCTAAACCGAAGTTCAAGCCTCAGCAATCCCTTTTGAAAGTTCAAAGTCCCGCTATGTCCGCCAACAAGCCTTTGGTTCTGGCGCAGCCACTATCCGGATTGGATGACAAGATTCTTGTGACCATCGCTTATCCGCCCACCGGACAGGCGAGTAAGTTCAAAATCAAAGGTCGACACACTGTCGCGCGTGTCTTGCTAAGCGCGTGTACAGCATTTAACCTGGATCATGAAGGGTGGGTCTTTCTCGAAGATTTCTACCCTGGAACAGGTATTGAACGGCACTCTGTCTTTAATAGGGCGCGTCTATTTGTGCAGGAGACAGACGAGTCCGACGATGAAATGGAAATCTCAATGGAGTGCGCAAAAGAGGACACGATGAGCAAGGCAGGCGCACGTGACGGACGGATGTTCATCATCAAGATGGACACTGAGTAAATGAGTTGATTCCTACCGAACAAAGGGATCTGGCTGATCGAGTCGTGGGTTTGCCGTGTGGATCATTGAATGTTCGTTTTCTCAAATCATGCAAGTCTCTCATATATAGTCCTATGTGCTCTTTGTATTGTACTCATAGACAAACATAACGCCTGTCCATGTTCGGCTTCCTTGACTTGGGGCGCTACGAGACTGAAAAGGACCTACAACAGTGTGACGTCACGCAAGCTTTCTTTAGTCAACCATTGCATGTTTGACTCAATAAGGGCATGATCATGTCCCTCCCCTCTTCCCTACGTGCTGTCTTTTGTTTCCGAACCTTTCCAACAACGTTTCTTATAGTTCTCATATACTTGACGACATTTCTCTCTCTTTATTTTACGGATCAACTTGCATCCGTGCCAGGTATTGCCAAGCAGCATGCGTATGGGTTGAGTCTGGACGAAGCTTATCGAGATTTACATCTGGTCAGTGCAATATCTGTGTGCTGAATAACTGCTGTTGTTTCGGCTCTCTTTGTATCTCTCTTTCTCGTCTTATAAGCGGCACGCTATCCTGCAGTATCGTCTGCAAAAGATATCGGTTCCACTACACATCATGGTATGCGCTTTCGGATACAGTCATAAGAATCGATGAATATCCAAACTGGGCTTGATACAAGACTGTGTGGGTGTTTGAAGGTCGGTTGGATAGCTGTGTTCAGTACATTTTTTGATTGTGGAATCTTCCCTTGACGGCCCACGGGTACCCAGTCTCTTACTAGACCTTTTTGCTGACAGAGATAACTATAGATTACAGCGCAACCACATCCATATAACTCGCGCGAGAATGATCGCGTCCGGTCATTTCTCCTCGATCGCGTTTCTGCAATCGCCGAAAATCATAACCATATGACTGTCTTAGATGATTCTCAGACATCAGTATCATTCATCGACGGTGCTCACGTAGCATACTTTGAGGGCAACAACATTCTTGTCAAGATTGATGGCCATGACGAGGACTCCAAGGGTGCGAATCTCACAGGATATAGATGATGGAGATTGTTCATTTCGCTCCTAGTGCAGCCAACGGAGTCCTGTTCTCTGCGCACTTTGACTCCGTATCGACAGGACCTGGGGCAACTGACAATGGCATGAGCGTTTCAGCTCTACTTCAGATGATTAAGTATCTCGCAACCCATAGACCTCGTCGCACCGCTGTGTTCAACATAAATAATGGCGAAGAAGATGGACTCCATGGGGCACATGCGTTAGTTTTCTTCGACAGATAGTATGGTTATAGGCCTTACATTGCGTTTGTTCGGTTTAACAGATTCTTGGAACACTCGTGGTCGAATTTGACTTCAACCTTTTTGAACTTTGAAGGGGCAGGGGCGGGAGGGTAAGTCTCTGTCTCATGATGTACTCATCTACCCAGCTTAAATGGCCGTTCGGATTCTTGTTTTCTGTCATGTCAGACGACCTCTTTTGTTTCGTACTACCTCCCTTGTCGAACTTCAAGCCTTCAGGAATGTCCCTCATCCTCACGCCAATGCTCTGACTGCGGATGCCTTTGCCCGAGGCGTTGTACGGTCTGAGACAGACTACGCGGTTTACTCGGGTCCCAAGGGAACGCGCGGGCCTCATACTAACCAAAATGATATGGGGACATCTGCCTATAAGGGACCAGGAGGCGGTATGCGAGGTGCTGATGTTGCGTTCTATCGCAGAAGGGCAAAATATCACACACCGGACGACTCCGTACGCTCTATGGGCAGAGATGGTGGACGGAGGGCCCTCTGGGCCATGATGGAGTTAGTTCAAGGTGCCGGGGATACCTTGCTGAATGCAGACACGCAGAATGAAGATGTGGGAGATGTTGTGAGTGAGAAGGAAGGCATTGTATACTTCGATCGTGAGTTTGTGACTATAAGCACCGGTCTTGCGACTGATAATTCTTCATCGCTCCAGTATTTGCAAGCTACTTGATCGCATTCCCACTTCGCCTTCTTCTTGCTGCTAATATTGTCCTGCTGTCCGGTGGTCCCTTAGTTATTGCCATACTTGCATTCTCTTTATCGCGCCAGTCAATACTCGCTCGCCAAGCACAGCCGGAGAAGCGATGGATTGATGGGTTGCAGGGTTTTGGACGTTTTCCATTCGCTCTTGTATTGACCGTCGGTGCCCAAGTTGGGCTGGTGGTGGGCTACATTGAATTAAACCCATACGTACGTTTTCTCAATCCATATTGGAACAGAGATGGCTTCACCGACTTACAACCCTGGCAGACAATTCATGCTCATGCGCTCGCGACCACATTATCAATGTTCTCACTCTCCTACTTGACCTTAGCGATCCCTTTGTCATTGGCGGAGAAGGTCCGCCCCGTGACGCCTGCGAGGCAGAAGTCCATTGTCCTCTTTGAGTTATATGCCATGACCTGGGTTCTCCTTCTCGGCGCGACCGTACTCATTCAGCGCACGAATATCACAGGTTTGTACTGGGTTGGAGCATGGAATGCGTGCGCATTTCTAGCTGTCATAATCAGCTCTGCAGAAGGTTTAATGGGAACAGGAAAAGCCGGACGCGAAGTACGCATCCCTACGACTAGCGCAGGCGATGATCTAGATGTGCAGGGTGAGGGTAGCGGCGCAGTACTAGATGATTCTTCCGGTAATGCTCGGCATCAATCTGGAGAAGGGGTGGGTGGAGATATGTCGGAGGAGCTCGATACCTCTGAGACGACCCCGCTCATCAGGCATCGTGCTTCTGCAATCTTAAAGTCCGAACAAATCCTGGACAAAGGCGCTCAGGATAGAGCATCCTTCTGGTGGATCTCGGAGGTGATGTTATCCCTACCTATTCCCGTGATTCTACTCGGGGCACTTGCTTTCTTGTGGACCGGAGCTATGCCTCAAACCGTCGTCGATGGAGGCTGGGTTGGCACCGGTGAGTGTACTTCTTTACGTGCAAATGATTGGTTAACACTGGCCTTTGCAGTATATGCGCCCTTGTCCGTGCTCTCTGTTCTTATTCTTATTCCTCTGTCGCCGTTTGCCCACAAATTACACCACTCGCTCACTCTTCTCGTATTTGTCGTGTTTGCGGCGGCGACAGCATATGCATGGCTAATTTGGCCATTTGACTCCGACGGCGCGCGGTGCAAAATGTTTTTCAGTAGTCGCGTTGAACTGGCGAATCTCTCATTCTCTGCAGGCAGTCTGACCCAGTCACAGGGTTCAGCGAATGAGCTTTACCGGCCAGCGGTGGTGCGCGCTATAACGGAATTGACTGGAGTTGCACCCTACGTTGAGCGCGCTGTCAAGGAGTTGCCTTCGTCATGGCGAAGCAGGGACGTTCACTGTGAAGACAATTTGCTTCGAAATGGGCAGCAGACTTGCTCTTGGGAAGTTGACCAATCTTTGCTGCCTGCGCCGTCTGATCCGTCATACCTTCGTTGTACCACGAAGGACAATCACACGACCTTCGATCGCTGTGAGGACATACAGAAGGAGATGGGACCTAAACCGGCGTGGATCTATTTCAATGGGACGAGGATCGACGAGTCGTCTGCGCGCTTTGTGGTCCACGGAACAAATACACGCGCCTGCAGAATTCACCTTGATGGACTCGATATCAAACGATACCGCGTCCTATCATCTAAGTCTCCAGGCGCCCGCAAAGAGAAGGCAGACTGGCATGAATTCGAGATTCCAGGAGGTGTTAGTGTTAGTGAGGTGCGGCTTTGGAGCAGAGAGTGGGAGCGCACATTCCATGTAGAAGTCGAGTGGGAAGAAAACGGGAAAGTCGATGGGATTGGAGGGAGCGTCGCCTGTTCTTGGGCGGAACATCAAGGTGGGTGGATCACCGGTGTCGCGCACGGCTTGCATGATGGTTTGAAGTTATATGGTGACGAAAACATGGGTGCGCGCATTCCAGCGTTGGAGGAGGCATTGACGTTTGTGCCGGAATGGGCAACTTTGACAAAGTTGAGAGACGGGCTGGTGGACGCTGTAGTCGGTTTCAAACTATGATACTGCTTCATCTAAGTGTTGTTCTTGACCTACTCATCTTTATAGCTGTAATTATATGTCTTCTTGTGAATCTTCTTCTGATTTTCGTTACTGCTCAATCCTACCCGCGATCGCCTTCCACAAGACGCGTCGCGAAACGCGGTCTCTTGATCTCATTGCTCGTCCACGTGAGTCATTCCATTGGCTCGAGCGTTTGCTCAGCGCCAAAAAGCTCCGTCTTACTCTTCCACCACGACGACCGTCGTCTTCGAACGCCCACCAATGCCGCGACGGAATGCATCCACACACTGGTTGCATGCTCTGTGTCGTAGGGGCTATTCAACCAACCAGAGCTCATCAAAAATCGTGCACATCCCCAGATCCAATGTATACCGCTTTGGTGATGCAAACGGTGCACGCAGTGTGTTCCGCGATTTGGAGTGGACTGTAAATGATGGAGAAAATTGGGCTGTAGTCGGTTCGGGGTCGGGTGAAAAGACCGCATTATTGGAGGTACGTTTATAACGGTTGTACGCCCTGTAAGTGAATCAATCTGCATCGTTCGGTTTTATGTCATATGCTCCCTTATCCTCAAAATGACAATTCATATTAACAGACCCTGCTGGGCAATCTACGCATCTCACCTCCACCTCCAAGTGGTCCGTTTCCCTTCCTCTCCAATCTGTTGTCGGATTCTTCCAAGGCGAATAGGCCCTTTCATGAACAAGTGTCCCTTGTTTCGTTTGCCCATCGCCCTCGTGCATCAGGTGGTACATTTTATGACTATACCGCACGGTATGGTGCTGTTCGTGAAGAGGACCGCATCACCCTGAGACAGAGTATGTTCCCCGAAGAGTCGGGGCTCATACATAACTCAATTTCGTCATTCATTGTGGACGGTGAGATTGTCCCAGGTAAGGAAGAGAAGGAGGAGCGGGTGAGACACTTTCAAGAGTGGGTAGAAGGGCTAGGACTGGAACATCTTCTAGACCTTCCTCTAGTGGCTCTGAGTAACGGACAAACAAGGAGGGCTAGAATTGTCAAGGCCCTGTTGAATAAGCCAGGAATTTTGCTCTTGGACGAACCTCTCAGTGCGTGCGATCCTAAATTGATACTCATCATCGCGTCTGAGGCGTATTTCCTTCACGGTTATGCAACTTTGAACAGCTGGCCTTGACGTTCAAATGCGCCCCACCCTGCTATCGCTCCTACATCAGCTTCACGAATCTCGTAATCCCCGCGTGATATTGGGTTTGCGAATGCAGGATCCTATCCCTGAATGGATCTCCCATATTGCTGTTGTCAGCGGTGGCCGCGTGCAAGCCGGCCCCAAACAAGATATAGAAGCAATCATCGAGTCAACTAAACGACAGGACGGGCAGACCAATACCCTTGGAAGCAACGCAAAAGCTGCATCCAAGGGGCTTCCTCAAGTCTTGGTAGATATGCGCAACGTGAATGTGAAATATCACGATCGTCATGTAATCATCTCTTCTATATCCCCGAGTTTTATTGTGTTCAACCTGGAGCTACAGGTCCTCAAAAATATCAACTGGGTTATCAAGGCCGGTGACCGATGGCATCTCCAAGGAGCAAATGGTATCTCATCTCGTTGCCTTTCCCAGTATTGTATTAACCTTCGTAAATTTACAGGATCAGGGAAAACAACCCTGCTCTCCATGTTAACCGGCGATCACCCCCAATCATACACCCAACAAGCTCCTTCTTTACTCTCTCTTTTTGGTTCCCCACGTCGCACACACGCGACTGCAACCCTGCGAACCCGCATAGGCGTTGTCTCCCCCGAGCTTTACAATGCGTGGCCCCGTGCGCGGAACATGAGCGTTTGGGAGGCGGTCGCTACTGGTTTTGACGGCGGCTTTGTACCATTAGGAGAACGCGGCCTAGGTGTCGGATTGCGCGGCGGGCTCAGTCCGGAGGAACTCGCTTGGCGTGAGCAGCGGGTATGGGAGGTCCTCGGGCGACTAGGACCGCAAACTTGGGGTGGCGATGTGGAGCAGGACACGTCAGAGGAATTTTCAAAGCGGACGTTCTCTGAGCTGCCTGCAGGCGCCCAGAGTATTGTTCTCCTGATGCGCGCACTGGTTGGGCAGCCGGAAGTTGTACTGCTTGACGAGGTTTGGGCTGGGATGGACGAAGGGATGATCAAGGCAGCTAGACGATACCTCAAGGAGGACGGTGTTGGTATAGACCAGGGAGTTGTGGTCATAAGCCACTGGGAAGAAGAGGTACCTTGGGGAAAGGCCGAGGGCGTCCGGCGCTTCAGGTTGGATGACGGTGTTGGTCAGGAGGTTTAGGCCGGCAGATGGTTCATTTATTTCTATGCTGGAGACTAGGTCCTTGGAACTGGGTTTTCGCTAATATTATATGGATCCACCTAGGTGCATGAGTTTGAACAATTCAAGCCTACACAACATGAAGCAATAGACTAGTACAAGCAAGACAACACGATAGCTATGTTTCGAGGATACCAGTGCGAACAGTTCAACGATGACATATTCAAGAAGAGGAACTCAAACAAATCATTTTGCCCAATGCTGGCTCACCAAGGGCCTTCCGAAGCGTTCTCCCATCCTGCTTCAGAGAGAACATCGTCTTCAGCTTCGTGAGAAGTGGTAACTGGCGGCCAAAGAGCAGGAACCCCTCCATAAGAAGGTCCAGAATATGGGTATTGAACAATGATACTTGAACCTGTGGCAGATGCCGCCTCCGCATTGTCCTCGGGGCTTCCGTCATCAGTCTTTGATGGCCAAGCTTTCCTTAAGGGCGCGTTCCAGTCCTTTTCATCCTCGACAGGGGCATCGTGGCGCGATCCATTCTCGTCAGAGTTAGGATGCCAAGCTTTCTTCAGAATCGCGTTCCAGTCCTCTTCGACAGGGGTACCTTGGCGTGATGTTTCCGGAGAACTAGCGCTCGCAGCACTATCATTGCGCTTGTCCTCTTCCTCAACATCAGCTTGTTTGCCACGTGAATTCTCAGGCCCTGTGACAGCGAGATCAGACATCTCCTGTTGCGGAACGAACTAAAAGGACACCAACCTCGTTCTCCACGGCCCCTTCCTCTTCCTTTGCCCCTGCCTCTGCCCCAGCCACGACCTCTCCCTTCCTCTTCAGCCTGTTTGCGCTTCTTCTCGCGCTCATACTTATTGCGCTCCGTGCATAATTTGCTGCACATGACACCATGTACCTTGCATTTCCATTCTACCTTCTGCTCTTCATCTTCCTCCTCTTCCCCATAGTTGGCCCATGGTGACAAATGATGCGTGGCTTCTTGTGCATTGTCCACGACCACTTGCGGAGGGGCTGGAGGCCCCGAAGAAAAGGTATATGGGACATCGTAGTCATTCTCGTCCTCGTCCTCGTCTTCATCTTCATCTTCGTGCCTGCGGGATCGAAGAGCCATCATTGCACGAGTTCGTCCTAATTCGTCGCTCTCGCTGTCATCCATGATATCTCGTTGGCGCCCATTCCCTACCGTGATCGCGACACTATCGTCATCGCTGTCTTCAAGATAGTCGCTCCATCGCATTGTTTGAGGCGGCACGGCAGACGGCTTTGGAGGCAAGCCGGGAGGCGGGGGTAGCGGACCTTGATCTAAGGTGAGTTTGTTGGTTGCAACGTGACTCCAAGCAGCGTTCGCTTGGAGTGATGGTGTCGGGGACTTGAGCCCTGGCGGCGGGCTCTTGGCCCCTACATAGTACAATGAATATTCAAGTAAAATAGTGGAAGAAAAGGAACAAGCTTGCAGTGACTCGTGGTACTCGTCGTCGTCGTCGTCATCGCAGCAGCAGGCGCCAGGGGCACTACAGGCGAGGGAGCCTTGATCTCGGGCGGACCGCCTCTCACTCAATAAACAGAAAAGTTTAGAAACGACGGAGCACGATTGACAGGGACACGTACCGGAATCTGTGGTAACGATCGGCGCCGCTGGGTTTGGAGTACGTACGCGGGGCGACGACTGCGCGGATATTTTCTTTTTCTTTTTGTTCTGTGAAGACGAGCTCCCATTTTCTTTGGCTGCAGCCCACTCGCTCGAGCCCGCTGAATCACAAGTGTCTCAGTACGCTGTCCGATGAGTTCTACGCAGAGGCCGCGTGGACGTACGTGGAGGCGCAGGACGAGATGGTGGAGGCGGAGGGAAGGTGTTTACGGGGAGCGGGGAGCACATGGGTTTGTTGCTATGTGTCTCGGTCGGTGGTTCACAGTAATGCGAGGGCGGATAGGGATACACCATGCTGTTAGGGACGAACATTTTTCCGTTTATATCTAGCCTGGGACGAAATGGGTGTTGAAAATCCCATCCCTTGAACCAAACCTCTTTGATGTCCACGCGCCTCCACCCTGCCACAGGTATCTAATAAACGTCAAAGAAATAAAATCAAGTGATGAACGAACCGTCTTTTTCAATCTCTCGCGCGGTCGTCAGTTTGCAGAAGAATATTCGCGTGAATTTATCTTTCTGCTCTTCCGCCGGGTCACTTAGCACCTCTGCCCATTTGTGAGCACCGAGCAGGCTGCGGAAGCGGTCAAACTCGCGATCGATCTCGATAACGACCATGCTTGGGGCCTGTATGAGACAGTGAGCCACTCATCGAATGACATCGATTGGGCAGATACGAACCGAGGGTTTGTGGTATAGTGCGTAGAGTGGCCTGGGGCCTGTGCAGCACGCAAGCCATCGGACAAAATCCTCCTGCTCTTGTTGCTCCTCGAAGTTAGTTCTCAAAGGATAAGGGTGGACCACGGATAGGTACTTCGGCCTATCCTTGACTGGCTCGGGACTGGGGGATCTCTTGGGCATATTGTTGACTTGGAACTTGGGAAGAATAAGCAGTGTACGATGGGAGCAAAGATCTGGCAGAAGACGCTGAATGCGTTTATATACTAATTCTGGCCTAGACGCTTTGACATGGCAGCCGACAAACGATATCTAAGAGAGATCTTGGCAAGAACAGTGTGGCCTTCACAAAGCAATCGCTTGTACGATAAATTATTAGTGTCGATGGCTGCTGCACTGTCTGAAGGCCTTTATATGCGGTGCGTGGGAACAAATTGACTGCGCGCAGACCAAAGATTTCGGTGGAAATACTGTGGAAACCCACATGAAAAAGGTGAGCTTACATCAAAATTTCACGCCTTTCTATCATAAGCCATCAAAAGTGAATGATATTTTGTTGGTGGAGGCCTTTGTTCTTTTTCATGGGTTTCTCGTTGGATTTTCGTCGAAAACTTAGGCTCTGAATTCAGCGCTTTGTGTTCTTGGGTGGCATCTGTGCACTCGGATCCTGCTACGCGTGGCGCAGTGACTAGTCATTGCAATGAACACAAGATGCATGAACACTCGCCGCAGCTGTTGTGGAGCTTCTGAGCCAATAAGCGTTATCTTGGGGCAGTGCGCAGGGTCAAGAGATTGCCAAAGGTTTGGTGCGAAGAAGCCGCAGACAAGCTACACGCTTCGATTGGCCAGCGAATATTCTTCATCGACGCCGCAAGAATAGGTACAAAGAAGGAGACTTTCATGGGAACACACCATCACATACAGCATAGAGAGTGTAGAGCGTAGAAAGAAAGAGCCACGTCTAGGTGAAGAACGAGAAAACATAAACAAGCAGCATTTTTGTAAGCGCCTTAAACGTTCCAGCATACGCACACGTCGAAGGCCATTCCCAAAGCATCAAGGCGATCAAGGCGACAAAGACAAAGGGCTTGAGATACCACCCGGGGTTGTCACCGTACGCACGGCAGATCCACCCCAGCTCACGGGTTAGGGTGTCTTGCGGGGGCAGCGTGATTGGCTCCCATGGCTCCTGATCGGTCCCTGCTCGGATTTTCGTCGTCAGATCCTAAATAAATCTTAATACTCGACGGCAGTGAACACACATACACCCCACGACAGCCAGCCGCCGCTTTCCTTCGGCGAGCGTGCTAACGGCGAGAGCCGATAGCTTCTCTGGATCCATTGAGTAAAACGGGGCGCAGCGACTGCGATCCATAGCCTGATCACGGAGTGGAATCGCGCAGGGGTGAGAGCGGTCATCACAGTATGCCAAACAAAGCCTTGCTCACTCGACATTTCGGGAGATCCCACCATACCTTCACTTGGTGGAGATCAAAGTCCCCGTTGGGCTCAAGCGGGAAATCGACCTGGTCCAGGCATGGGCCATAGGCCACAGCTGGAATGGTCGCGTAAAGCTGGACGCGGATACACCTGATACAGTCGCCGTTAGCAATGATTCGTTCAAATATGGCCTACGCAAGAGCCCGATGTGCAAAGGTCATCCTCAAACAGTGACCGAATAAGCAGAAGCCTTGACTATCACCGAGGAGATGCAATTCAACGTATGAGAGAGATAATGACTCACCCAGGAGTTGTTCTCGGTTTATCACTGCTGCGCCTGATAGGCCTCTTGAAGCACCAGAGGCGCACGATGTCTATAAAACCTGCGATGGTCGGGTCCCACCGTTCGACATATCTGAGGAGGTGTTCGAACTGCATGTTGGCAATGAGTGAAGAATCCAGAAGGTAGCGAGCTGAAATATGATCATTGTGTTCCTCTTGTGGTTGAAAGGCGTAGTGTCATCGTCAAGCAGTGTCAAGGTCTTGGAGGAGAACAAGGAATTGTGTTGTAACATGTCCGCCTTGTCCTCCGTCGCGTAGAGTGGCGCATAGATGTCCCATGGTCCTGGAGAAACCACAGCCTCACAGAACAAGACAGTTTTGATGTGGAAAGTATGATGGTGCTGAGATTGGGATGAGCTGAAGCGCTGAAGACCAGATCCAAACTAGACATGTCGCAACATTCACACGGCTGCCTATTCCACATCCACACGTTCATTGCCTGTCCTTACACCCGCGCTTGATTTCAGCAACGATGAACTCGTTGTACACTCTTGGTGTCCGACAAACAAGCTCCATACAGGCTGATTTGGAGCGATTGCGCGGTGGAGACAGTTCCGCCTCCCTGCTAGGTTGGTGCTTGCAATAACAACTATGTACAAGTTGGTACACCACTGATACTTCTGTTAGGGCAGGTTTCAGCCTCCCTTTCTGCGATGAACAGGACCATCGACGATTATGACTCTATGGCGCGCCGAGAGATGATAAAGGCGAAACAGGAGAAGGCCGTCGTGTACGTGCGACTGAGCCTCGAGGCCCACGAAAAGCTAACGTAGCGTGCATGCGTTCAGGCGAGTGCAGAAATTTCGGACCGACTACTTTGAGCTGAGAAAAGAGTTTGAGCGACTGAAGACGCAAGCGGAAGTTGAGGTATGCATCGCATCCCGTCTCCACGAAGGCCTCGGCGCGTCTTGACCCCCCTGCGCCGCACGCCCCTCAGCAACGTGCAGAGCTCTTTTCAGGCACAAATCCTCTCTCACCCGGTGCCTCTGACGCACGACGACGCTTTACGCCCTCTGCGCCGCCAAACGCTCCCGAGCATACCGAGTCGCCATTTCGGACGCCAGAGCCTTTTATGGCAGCCACGCGGGAGCAGCACGCGCTGCACGAACACTCGTTCCTGCAGAACACGGACACGCGGCTGGATGAGTTCATCGCGCAAGGCCGCGAGGTGCTAGACAACCTCGTTGATCAGCGGAACATGCTCAAGGGCACGCAGCGGCGGCTGCTAGACGCGGCGAACACGCTCGGGCTAAGTCGGGACGTCATTGGCTGGATCGAACGCAGGAGGTGCGTTTCTCATGGACCTTGGTTCGTGCGCAGTGCCTCGCTGAGTGGTCGAACAGCACGCAGGACATGTATATTTTCATCGCAGGTGCTGTCTTTACGTTTTTCTGCTTCTATCTTATCTGGAGGTACCTTGGATGACGGCGTAGGGACTGCTTGTGTACCATATGTCTCGGTAATAACAATGCGCAGACAGCAGCAACACGCCCTCTTGCTGCTGGGTGTCGTCCATGACCAGCAGTGCCATGATACAAGAGATTAGGAGACATGAATGAGAGTGTCGACCTTTGGTGGGATTGAACCATTGAAGGAGCCCCATTTTTTCCTAATTTGTCAGGATTTTTTGTGACATTTTCTATGAAACTGCTTTAATCTCTATTCTAATTTATTCCTTGAGCTTTTGCATACTTTCACTTCCTCAATCACCAAAATATCAAGAAACTCAAGAGAATGACTGAGAGTGTTAGAAAAAAATGACTCCTAACGGGATTGAACCGTTGACCTTGTGGAATTACGCAATCATCAGATTTCTGGATCACTGGAATCACACGCTCTACCACTGAGCTAAGGAGTCATGTACATGCTCCAAGTGCTATAAGCCATATTGTATGGCGGCGCGCGACCGAGGGATCGTCGGACACGGTGTTGGTGAATTCATCAAGGGTGCTCGCGGTTGACGGATGCACTGCCGTACGGCCTGTGTAGTATTGATGTGGGCGGGCGGGGGGTTGTCGGGGACGTGGAGGGTCCGTGCGCGGACGCGCTTAGGGTGTGGGAAGATGGGAGGGCGGAGAGTTGCTAAAAGGGGAGGCCGCGGTAGTTGTGAGGGCGAGCGTCGCTCTCTGTTCTGTCTCGCGTTGGTCCTCGTCCTTTCTGTCCTTGTGCCCGCCCTTGCTTGCCGCGTTCGTTTTCGTGCGTGGGTTGGGCATTTTCTAAAGCTTTATCTATAAGTACATCGCACTCTCTCTTTTTGTGCGTGTTCTCTTTACTGCCAACTCCTCCACACTCGTTTGCCAGCTATCCAGCCGCCCCACCGACCCCCCCCCCCCTCCCACAACCCTTACGCTCTCTACATCTTTGAGCTTTCCCAGCTTCTCTAACTAGTTCTTTTTTTATTCTCCCTCCTTCCGCCGTTACCTCCTCTCCCATCCACTCTTTTTTCCATACCCTCTCCACATTTATACCACCGCCATGATGGACGACTCTCAGACAGCTTTTGCGACCCAGTACCCATCTTACGGTTTTGACCTCGACATGATGAAGGTGTGTGCCACCACACACAACACACCCACAGCATTTACTCACACATCAACAGAGGTCTATGGATACAGTCGGCGGCCCTGATGCCAAAAAAGCCCGTTGGTCCCCCACTTCATTCACCAGCAATGGTGCCAACGGTCTCTCCGCGACCCGGGAAGCTTTCCCCAACTACGGATACGGCCCCCAGGCAAATATTTCTCAAGGTTACAACGGCTCTCCCCCGGCTTCGTTCGCCGCCAACGCCCTTTACTCCACGTCCCTCAACACCCCGACCAACGGGAATGGCATGTCTCAGCAAATGAGCCCAAACACTGCCATTGCATTTGCTCAGCAGCAACAGCAACACCAGCAGCAGCAACAGCAGAACGGTGGAGGCTACGGTGGATTCAACGGATATAACATGCTTGGAATCGGTCTTCCGGCTATGCTCGGTGTCGGTGGGTTTCCTTACAACAATCAAGTCGGAAACTTCACGCAGGTGAGCTGTTGCCTTTGTTATCTATCTCTCTGGCGCCGGGCAGCCTCGACCGGGGTGGCTGTGTGAACTGGCAGTTGTGGCTGTTGAAACAGCGTTGAAGCGTGCTCAGTCTTCTGAAATTTTTCCGCAATGGCCATAAGCTCTGAGTATTTTCGGACTTTGGCTACGTTTGCCATAACATGTGCTGAGTGCCCTATCAAACGCTTAGGACGGAGTGTATCTCCCGAGCCTTTTATAGGCGCCGCATTTTTGTGGACTGATATGGAAGTATTTCGCCCACCCAGTCTGCTTCCGTGTCTACTACTTCTCAAGCGTTAGCTTTCTGATTGTTTACTGACCTTTAAATACAGGGCTTCAACCCACAGCGCGTACCGACATTGACCCTATCTACGCAAGGTGGGAACTACCCTGGCAGTGCTCTGAGTGCGGCTTTGAGTGCAACCACGAACGCGACCGGCCGCACAGTGTATGTCGGCAATCTCCCCTCGACAGCCTCCGTCGATGAATTATTGAACCTCGTCCACTTCGGTCCACTCGAGTCTATCCGCGTTCTCCCCGAAAAATCTTGCGTCTTTCTTTCGTTCCTAGATGGCTCGACTGCCGCGGCGTTCCATGCTGATGCCACGATCAAAAAACTTGCCCTTCACGGGCAGGAGCTCAAGATCGGTTGGGGAAAGCCTTCGCCTGTTCCCAGCCAGGTCGCCCTCGCGATCAGTCAGAGCAACGCAAGCAGGAACGTCTATCTCGGCGGACTCGATGACAACACTACGGAGGAGCAGTTGCGTGACGACCTCAGCCGTTTCGGGCTGATCGACCAAGTCAAGATCGTGCGCGACAAGAACATCGGCTTCGTGCACTTCCTCAGCATCTCCATCGCTACGAAGGTGCGTTGATCGCCGTAACATATGTTCACACTGCTGAAGCGTTGCCTTGTAGGTTGTGAACACTTTGCCGACTGAACCTGCATGGGCCGGCAAACGTGTCAACTATGGCAAGGACCGCTGTGCTTACATTCCTAAATCTCAGCAGGCCGCTGCTCAAGCCGCTCAAGCCGCTGCCGCTCAATCGCTCGTTGCGCAGTCTGCAGCGCTCTCTCCTATCAACACGAGCCAGCCGTTCTCGCCGTTCTCTCCGTATTCGCCGTTCACCCCGGATGCCATGGGAGTCGCAGGAAACCAGGGGCTCAACAGGACCGTATACTTGGGTAACATTCACCCCGAGACGACCACTGAGGACCTTTGCAACGCCATTCGCGGCGGCGTTTTGCAGAGCATCCGCTACATGCAGGACAAGCACATCGCTGTACGCTTCTCATCTTTCTTATCTTTTATTGGCTAATTCTGATTGCATCGCAGTTCGTCACGTTCATCGACCCGGCCGCGGCGTTCACGTTCTTCCAAGTCGCGTCTTACCAGGGGCTTACACTGAACAATCGGCGTCTGAAAATTGGATGGGGTAAGAATTCTGGTCCCTTACCTCCCGCGCTCGCGCTCGCGGTGCACTCCGGTGCGACGAGGAACGTCTACATCGGCAATATTGAAGACTTCGAGTCTTTCAACGAGGACCGACTCAAGAGAGACTTCGGGGAATATGGCGACATCGAGCTTGTCAACTTCCTGAAGGAAAAGTGAGTTTGAAATTTCACCGTCCTGGATATCACTGGTGCTGATACGTTCTCAGGAACTGCGCGTTCGTGAACTTCACCAACATCTCTAACGCGATCAAGGCCATCGACGGTGTGAAGAACAAGCCCGACTACGCGAACCTGCGTATCGCACATGGCAAGGACAGGTGCGCTAATCCGCCCAGATCGGGCCCTCAAGGCGGCTCGAGCGCGCGGCGGTCGGCTAGCGGCAATGGACCTGCGTCTGCAGGGCCAGTGGCGAGCGAGGAGGGAGACGTCAAGGTTGAAGGGGACGAGGAGATGGTGAACGAGGAGACGTTCATTGCCTCTGACGGTGCGGTTGAGTTGGAGGATGCGGATGCCAAGGTGGAAGCCTGAACGTCTCGGATCTGCAATCTTACCCTATCCTTGGCTAGTCTTTCCTCGAACTTCTCACATCTCGTCTCTATCTCGTATCATCTCCTCCCTCGTCTCGATATCAAGATACCCACCCCTTGTACATGCATCCCGACCTCGATTTCTCAAAGGCCTCCGTGCGTCGGCGGCATCACTCTTTTTTAAACTACCAAGTGGATGGAAAGATGACGGTAGCGGGTCCGTGTTGATGGTGGTCAGCCTGCGTAGTGTAGGCTAGTCGCCGTGGCGTGCGGACTTTGGGCTATTGGTTGTGCGGTGTTTATCAACTTGGTTTTCGACGCGTCCGCTGTCTATTTTCTTTGCTTGACCTTTCTTTATTCCCCTTGCTCTTCGTCTCACCTTTCCCCTGCCCTCGCCTTTCGTTCTCTTTTGTCGATGGCTGCCTCCGGGCACGTGCTGGACGTCGAAATGGACTGTTCTTGCTATATCGACCCTCTGTCCCCTCCCATCTCGCCCTTACCGCGCTCCTACTACCGTTCTGCCCGTCGACTCGGATACGTACATACGATAGCATCACGCACCACGTACTTACTTTGGCCTAGCGTTGTGGACGACTCGTTTGCTCGAGTCTGGTTTCGCTCTCCGTACATATGCGTAATCGTCGCTCCCCCCCCCCGTGTCTCTTATGATCTGATTCGTGTTTCTTCTGCATTTCCGCGTCGTGATTAGCTGTTTATAAGTATCTCATGTGTACGTCGTTATCGGTATATTCAGGAGGTATAATGTGGATGTTGACGTGTTGGAAGAGCAGAATGTTGGATCGTGAAAATGAAAGCTAAAATTAGTGTGATCATATCTGAGCGGCTCTTGCACTGCAACCACTGCATCATCGGATCATTAGATTCCCCACAACGCCAACACAGATAAGAATCCTTTGGAACGCAGTCGCAACACACTCGGAATACTTTGTTGATGGCATCGATGCCATTCTCAGTATTAGGCGCCTGTCAGCGTTTCTACAGCCGCGCACGATCCAGCCATCACACCACAAATGGGGGACCCAAGGAAGCTAGGAACAGCCCTGATCTTGACCTGCTCGTCGCCGTGGCAGCATCATGACTTCGATTGGACATCTTCCCGACCTCGAGAAGGGGCCAGAAAATACATGTATGTTTCATTGTATCGTGCGGTGTGCGAGTTCGCTGATCAACATTTTCCCAGTTCTGGATAGCGTAGAGGACTCTGATAAACGCAAGTCGTCTCCGGAGATCACCGCCAAGTTGCCATCCGAGGGCGAAGGGGAGAAAGAGCATAATACTGGCGAGGAACCACTCAAGGATTATGATGCGCGTGCAAGCCCTCTGTGGTCCGTCTATATGAAGGAAGCAGAGAGCCATGACAAGGCACTCATTGAGACATGGAAGGACGATATGGAGGGGGTTATTATATTCGTATGTTTTTCACACTCAACATTCACTTTCAACGTTCACAGTTGATGCGATGACAACTGTGCAGGCGGGTCTTTATTCGGCCAGCTTGACGGCCTTCTTGGTAGAGAGTTACCAGCAGCTGCAACCAAACTCGGCCGATCAGTCTGCTGTTCTTTTACAGCAGACCGTCTCGCTCTTGGCCCAGATATCTCAACAACTCGCGCCGAATGGCTCTTCGGTCAATGTCACGATGCCCTCGAGCCTGCCGGAGTTCGTGCCAACCAGCTCTAGTATTCGCGTCAATATCTTCTGGTTCATGAGTCTGGTGTTCAGCTTGACAGCCGCCCTTGCTGCGACTATCGTGCAGCAGTGGGTACGTGACTACATGCAGGTCTTTGTGCGGTACAACGATCCTCTCAAACGCGCTCGGGTCCGACAATTCTTGTACGAGGGCGCGTGGAACGGCAATATGGCGGTCGTGGTAGAATGCGTGCCCGCACTTATCCACGTCTCCCTCTTCCTCTTCTTCATTGGTCTGGCCGATTTCCTCTTCACCATCAACTACGATGTGGCCGTCACGACGACTTCCGTCATTGCAGTCAGCGGAGCATTGTATATAGCTTGCATGGCTTCGCCGGTCTTCTATGCCCAGTCGCCGTACCAGACGCCCCTGTCAGGCATTTTCTGGTGGGTCACACAGTGGCTGCGAAACCGGCACAATCTCGACGACAACGGCTCAGAGCGCAAGTCTATTAGCGGCAACATGACCGATGGTCGTGTCCAGCTCGCCATGTACTATTCTGACGATCGCAAGGCGCGCGACGCGAGGGCGATCGTCTGGGTCATTGATAATCTAACCGAGGACAGCGAGCTCGAGCCGTTCGTAGCTGGCATTCCAGGGTCGATTGACTCTCCCTGGGGTAAAGATGTCTGGATGAATGTCGCGGATACACATCAACCGAGCCCTGAGAGCACCAGCTCGATGGGAAACACGAAGGCCCTTTCCAAGAGACCGAGCTCGTTCTCTGAGCTCTCGCCTCACACCGTCAAGGACCTTAGCAGCCGGATCAACCGTCTCTTGAAGACGTGCACGGATCCAGGCATCCTCGGGAATCAGGAGCGTTGGAAGCGTGCACGCGCATGTATCGATGCTGCGCTCTCCCTTGTACTAGGTATGAAGGGCAAGACCAATTCGTTCTTGGATCAAGCAATCATGGCGCAGGCGTTAGTATACCTTGGACGTATCCAGCAGACACGCGAGAAGGAGGGTATGTTGCTACTCACGCCCGGCCCCGTGGATGGCCAGACTCGCGCGCTCGCGGATCAGGGCGCTGGGTACGACAGCGTCTTTGCCGCAAAATGGACGTGCATGACAATTGTGTCTACGCGGCAGATGTTACAGGGAGGGAAAATTGTCGAGGCTGCGACAAAAGTCATCGCCAAGCTTGCAGCAGCCCGTGCTGAGAAGAAGAACGACGACGAGGTCGCGGCGAAGACAGCAGGGATTATGGACAAGCAAGTGGCCAAGGCGTGGGAGGCCTCATCTAATCTTCACAAGATACTGCAAAAGGACAAGGCGCCGGAGCCGGATAAAATGGAGCAGATTCTCAACGACGTGATGAAGGATGGCAAGGAGCTCCTGTCAAAGATTGAGTACTCATGGAACGTCCTGGGTTGGGCAGACGAGGTAGATGAGTCTACGATGGATCTTGTACAATCGATCATGAACACGACCGGTGGCGTGCTCGCGTATCTTCCAGGCGCTGCAATTGAATGGCCACAAGACAAACGAAAGTCCCCTACAAAATTGGACGTACAAAAATGGATGATGCCTCACCTATTGCCGGCACGGCTGCTCACACAGCGATTGTGGCTTGCAGCCTGGAATCTACGAGGCCTTGCAGCGACCGGCTGGACGGCAGATGAAGAGGGCATGCCCAAGTCCCTTGTCGAGCTCAGTGCTCGGGAGCTCGAGCTCCCGCCTTTGCAGAAGCTGATGACGAAGTCGACACCGTTCAAGATCCAGCTCTGGCGACTGCAAGACATCCGCGACGGTGGGATGGCGTTTGCGGTCGATCTCTTCGTGACGGCCTTTCGCGCGCACACGCAGATCGCGCAGGAGTCGCATGCGCTGTTCCGCAGTACTCTTGAGACACTCACGGCTGACCGGATCCACGCACACACGAGACAGGGTACACAAAAGTACCTTGTCGCCCTTCTTCAGGAGATGCTGCCGCACGCAAAGAAGCAGCCAGATGCGCTGCCACGCTATATTCTCGACCCTATGATCGAGCTCGTCGCAGACGTGTTGGAGGTAACCAATGTTAACGATAAATCGCACGTTTCTGATGCTGCCGTGGCGATCAGAAAATACTTGGAGGTCATTGGAGACGATAAAGACGTGAGGGCTGCCTTGAACAGGATATCGCCAGCGTCATAGGGTGGCAGGGCATCTCTCTACGGCCACTCTCGTCTCTAACGAATCGACAATCGGGCTGTGGTACATGTTTTGAATTTTGTTTTTTTGTTTGGCGGTCCAATCAAGGCTGAGTTTGCTGAGTTCATGGCATTACTGGTTGTTATTCGGGTAATTCCACGCTGTATCATCTAGGTGCATTTGACGCTGGTATTGTACTTCATAAAGCTGACATCTGTTTCCACAGACGCAGCATATCCGTCGGTCAACGAGTCTTCTCGAACCAGTATGGACTGGGCCAGGCGTGCATCAAGCTGTCTGACGTGTACCACTGAGGAACATGAATTATGACCCAATGTGATGATATTGGATGTCTACATTACAGCACGGGAGTCTCGTCTTTGGTCATCTCAACAGACCTCCCAAAACGTTGGCCTTCTGCAGCCTGCTGGGTCCTAGTGCCAAGTTGAATTTTTGAGCTGATCATATGAAACTGTCCTGTAAATAAAACTAAGATACGGATTGTGCTCTTTATCGGGTGCTAGCCTGCTCATCCATATTCTCCAAGAAAGTCAAGGGAAAGACTGGGAAAGACCACTGAAAGACCGTTCCTCGGAAGCTTCAGTCACGAGGTATCCCGGTCACGACCCTTAATATCTAATAGTCACTCATTTTTGCCTGTACGCGTTGCACTTGACGTGCAGGTCATTGTGTTCGCCTTGGGCTTTGCATCAGGAACTATTTGCGTAGTCTGTTATCTAAAAGCTTGATTCTTGAGTGTCTCTATCCTCATTCCCAAGAGTATGTGGTGCGTCGCCAACTCTGTCCTATTTCACCTCGAGCGATTCAAATTGTCTCCATCGTGGTTTCAGCAAACACATCTTGAATGCCCAGGTCTCCATCCGTGCGCCATGTTGCAAGCGATGGTTTGACTGCCCCGAGTGCCATGCCGAGTCTGAGTCACACCCGCTCGCGCGGACCATGGATATGGTGTTCATATGCAAGAAGTGTAAAAAGGCATTCAGGAAGGACATGACTGTGTACGAGGAGAGCGACGAGTACTGCCCTCATTGCGACAATCATTATGTGCGTGCTTGTTCTGCCTACCCAGTTCCTCTAAAATTTGCACTGGGGTTCGCGCGGAGGCGGGCTTGTGATCGATCCTTCAGTATCTCAACTTGGCAACACTCTCAGCGGATCAAGTTAATAATCTTCCGTGCTCTGCAGGTTATCAACGCGAAATCTCCCCAGGCCATGATTGGTGTCGAAGGAGAAGATGCTCGGATAGACGCACGGTATGCCCAGAACGTCGATCTTGTCCATGTTCATGATGCTTACTAGTGGTCATCGTAGACTGCTGAAGGACGACCGTGTTAAGGGCCAGTCATCTAAATCGCTCTTTGTACAGGACGACTCGGCGGATCGACTCGGATAGAACCCATGTCCCGCATCTTCATACTTTCACTTGCATCTTTCGGCACACACCATTCTTCACTTCGTTAGCTCTCGCGATTTTGTCTCAATCACTGTCAAGATGATCCATACCCTAATCATATCCTTGCTCTCAGCTAACACCGGAGTATCTGAAAGTCATGTGGATGCCTCACACCTGCAAAATCAATGCTATTGCACTAAAAGTCTGCGAGCGGGTACACGTCGTATGCGACTTCTTCATATGGATGAACCTAGAGAAGTTCTAGCGAGTGAATAATAATACAGGGATACGATCCAGGAGCGCGAGACATCGAGCAAGGTACCCACGCTCTTCAGTTCTGTGATAGTTTTCTTCAATTCCAGATGTTCCCCTCCCTTGTCATTCACCACCAGCTCGACTCTATCTTCTTCCACGAACTCTAAGTTGCCCACGGAGCCGATCGCTGGATTGGCCCCAAGAGCGGGTTTAAACTGGCCTGAATCAGTGTCGTGCGTTGATACAGCCGGTTACAGTGCGAACTTGAGCTAGAGGATGGCAGGAACTAGATCACCTACCGGTTCCGCGTGAGATGAACGCGCACTGGTCGTACTGACCGATCTTGCCTAATTCTTCTGGATATTTTTCGAAGAGGTGGTCTAAGATTTTGCGTGTTGAGCTGCTTGGAGTGAAAAAAACCAGCTTAAAGCGCGTCAATGACATATCGAGTAAGATGAGTGAACTGCAATGGAAAGCTCATCTACGATGATGCTATGTCCCGATTTGGAAATTACATACGTTTGCGTTTACTTCGACATTCGTTGGTGGTGAGTAGCGCGGTTGTTTCTGCTTCACGTACTACGCCGACATCATATGCTTTATCAGGACATCGTCGAAATACGCACACGATGAATCTCTCGTTATACGCCGTGAATGCTTTCGTCGTCATCGACTCGGACGGCCACCGCGTTCTGGCCAAATACTATAGTCCGAAGGGGCAGAGCTATCTTGGCGGAGAGGACTTCAACAAAGGTCTTCACACATTCAAGGAACAACGAGCTTTTGAGAAGGGCTTGTTCCAGAAGACCAAGAAGCCCGGAGGTGCGTGTATACGACTAGCTTCCAGCATCAAGGTGACAGAATATGGCGGGCGCTAGGCGAGATCATCCTTTACGACGGACATCTGGTTGTCTACAAGCATTCGCTTGACGTTATATTCTACCTGATTGGCGGGCCATCGGAGAACGAGCTGATGCTGCACTCTGCACTGACGGCGTACTCTGACGCTCTTCATATGCTCTTGCGGAACCAGGTCGAGAAGCGGGGGCTGCTGGAGAACTTGGATCTCGTGGTGCTGTGCTTGGATGAGACTATCGACGACGGGTACGCTGCATTCGATATTGCATTCGTATCCTCTTCGGCGGTTGGCTGATGTCTATGGCGTGCAGGATTATCGTGGAGACAGACTCGACAACGATTGCCTCGCGCGTCAGTCGACCAAAAGCCGATACGACGGACATCGTAATCAACGAACAGACACTGATGAATGCGTATCAGACGATGAAGGAGAAAATGCAGCAGAGAATTGGGCAGCTATAGGGCTGATTCGCCGTTCGCTCTGTGTGTACTTTTTGTCTATCTTTGTGTTCGCCCTTCGATGATATCACTACTTTCGAGTATGTTTGACATGCACATTAGGGTTCAGTGATGTAAGTTCCTCAGTTTCGCCGTTTCGAACGCCGCGGACGGCTGTCAAAATTGATCTGGGCTGTGATACCAGCATACCACTCTATCCAGAAGCACCTATTCGGTGCTAGATGTCCCGTTTCTTTCCAGCTACTCAGTCGTTTAAACGCTGTCTCAACCCGCGCATAAATGCGTGATAGAACGAAAACACAAAAGCGTTATAGGCGGTGCTTTGATCGCACAAGCATACATACACCCTCAAAGCCTGGAACGAAATCGTATCCATACGGTGCCTCATTCAACAGCACTCATAATGAGTTCTTCAGCACCTATGAACCTTGGCTTGATCGTACACGCGAAAGGGCTAGGCATACTGCAAGGATGCAGACGTTAAGAATGTTATTCTCAATCAAGAGGAAAAATATCTTGTACCTAACCAAACCCGAGCCGTAGTGCACTTCGGGCTCGATATCGCGGCCTTGGGCGTCCATGACCTTTGAGATATTGAACAGATGCAGAATCGAGGCCAATGCTAACCACATCGAATCGTCTGCGAAGAAACGTCCAGGACATATTCTAGACGGCGATTTGTAAGATCCATGATAGAGAAACCAGTTTGTTGGCCTAACCTCCTTCCAAAGCCAAAGGCTACACGAGATGGATCAGGTTCAGCAGGCTTATCAGCACGCGCGAGAAACCGGTCAGGATCAAATGTCTCGGGGTTGGGGTACACAGCTTCGTCGTGAAGTATGGCCCTATAACAATCACCGCATGAGATACCTAGCTATATGATATGATGAAACAACATGCCATATGTTCGATGTCACAATTGTTCGTGGTGGGATGTGTCTTCCACGATATTCATCGCTCTCAGTCGTACAATGGGGAACTCCTATTTAGAAGACTCGTTTAAGCGATGCATCCATGCGCTGAATTAGACTGATCAGCAAACCAAGAGGAGCCACAACCTTCCAGCGAAGAACTTCTTTGAGAACCCGCCCAACGTAGGGTAGCTGGTCACGATCCTCGAATTGGGGAAGCCTGCTTCTACCAACGATTTTGTCAAGCTCTCGTTGGGCCTGCGATTGGACTTGAGGATACGTCATCATTGCGAGAAATAAATTCGTCAATGCAGCAACAGTCTGGACATTGCAGAGTAAGCTTCAAGCGGCAAGCGATACCAATGCTGACCCACTGTATCCGCACCAGCTACCAGTGAGAATAAGAGATAGCATATTGAACTCGAGTGGAGAAAAGGACAAACCGTTATATATCACGCCTCCACAGTTCTTGATCACTTCCTCGTCTATTCCACTCGAGGGCGATTCCTCAATCATAGAGCTGATTAAAGATGGGACAGCGGTACCAGCAGCCTGCAGCGGTGTATAAGAGCAATGCTTATATTTAGGAGCTTTATAACCCGACACACGAACCATGCGTTCTTTGACCATCGTATACGGTGCATTCCGCATTCGAATTCCGAGTAGCTTGCCGAAAAGGGCATCCCTCTTGAATTGGGCGCCCGGTAACCAAGCGGGAACATATTTAACTGTTACGGATTTTAGAAGCAGTACAAGGTCGATACAACTGATCTTACGAATTGGGAAACCGTTGACCATGACATTCCACCCGCGGAATGCACGCCTGTCAGCAAAGTCCCGCAGTTGCTCCGCCAAGTCGATATATTCGTCGCCGTCGTCGCCTATCTGGTGTCCATACGTTACCATCATTATGATTGCCCCGGCCATGCTAAGCGCCACATAGAACGTCAGCATCATGTAGAGTGGAAGTACAAAAATGCGTTCAAGACGTACCGTCTGAGATGATGTGTAAAGTCGTTGGGCTTGACGAGCAAGTTATTCAACAGCACTCGCACTTCTCGCAACATGACCGGTCGATGTGATCGCGCAACTATGCTGGGCTGAAAATTTTGTTGTACAATGCGCCTATGCACAGAAAACCCTTCATGGTAAGACATCAGAACCAGATTCCAGTCCCAGCCCATACTTTAGGATATGTTAATACTACAGATACGATACAGATGGAATGAGCGGCTCACAGTTCTTTGACCATTGGCAGTCTGGGTCTATCAGAATATATAGCTCCCTTCTTGTCTAGCAGATCGTTTGTCGCCTTGAATGAGTTGATGAATAGGTTATGTCTTCCGAATATATTGAGGAAAACGATATCGCTATCTGTTGAAGATACAATCAGATTTAGGGGTGCGTGCTAATCGTGGCCTTACCACAGCTCTGGGACAGTGCTTTATGTTTGATCCATTCATAGCCACCCGTTGGTAGATCGCTTAGATTTCCAAGGAGAAAGTGTTGCCTCGGGCCCGGTGGGAGAGGCAAACCCATGGGGTTCACATTTCGAGACCGTCTCCAGCGCACGTAGAATGCGAGAGAGAGTACAATAGCAAGGATGCTGCCGGATAACTGGATAGAAAACATCTCGAGGGCAGGGAGATAAAGTGATGGTAGAGGAGCACAGAGTGCCTCTCACCTTGGAATCACCTCGGACGCAAAATCGGCTTCTAAAGGATCGAGGTCATGAGAATCCTCAGTCAGCAAACTCTGGCGCTTTGCAAAGGCGCCTGCCGTAACGGCGGCCTTGAAGATTGAAGATCGGCCAAGTTGAGATACATTGGTGCTACAAACGGCAAGACCTCATCACGGCCTGCTTATGGCTCTTCTCGCTTGTTGACCAACCCTTCAACGGTGTGAAATTTGGAAGTCAATACAGAGACTGCTGGTGAAACCGCTTGGACGTACGGAGGGCTCAAAAGGTTTATTACATCAAAGCGTTCTGACCAATGACAGCACGCAGTGGATTGAGCTTCAAAAGACGGGCAGGCCTTGAAACCGCAAGCGCGGCTTGAAATTCGTACAGGGGCATCGCCACCACTGTTCTCACGACCGACTCCTGCACATACTTATACCACAAGTTTGATGACACACTGAACAGATATCCGCGCAGGCATGATGGTTGTGAACGTATTAATGCATCAAGGGACCAATAAACATAGCTGGAAATATAAGAAGTTGCGCGACTGCCGCTCAGTTCCACTTCTGCTGCGCGAACACGCCCAACACCCCGTTTGACATGACGCTGCTGTAGGATTTGACGTCGGCGTTGGTATATGTCGTCGCGTTTTGGAGTCCGTTGAGCACCGTCAACAGCTGGCTCTGAATGAAGTCGATGAACACGAGGTCGATCGGGGTATCGCTTGTCACGTTCGGTGCGGCAGAACCGATGAAGTCTGGCGCGGAGTAGAACGGAAGAGGGGAGTGGAGTGTGTCATCGCCAACGCCCGGGCAGGACTGCAAGTAAGCAAAAACAGCATGGAAGAGGAGTTTAGCACAAGTTCAGCGATGAAGGACAGAGAACGTGCGCACGTCCGAGGTGACATAACCCAACGTCAAGTTACCCTTAGCCCTCTTCTCTTCTCCGTCGCGCCTGTCCATCTCCTCCAGCCACCTCCTATATCTCATATCAACCTCTCCGCGGCTATATGCCTCCGCATCCCTCTTCTCCAAGATCTCCCTCAACTCTTGCCTTCTCTGATTCGCGCCTTCATGGTTCAGCGTAGGCAAAACCTTACTGGCGACGCTGAGTGCCACGTTGGGGATATAGAGGAACGAATCCGCGAAAGGCGACGAGGTCAGCTGGTCGTTTTTGGTAAACGCGCCCGAGTACAAGTCGAAGCGCAGGCCTCCGGAGTTGGAGATGATGATGTTGGGGATCAGGGCCCTGCTGTTGTTAACTGCCAATGCTACTGGAGTAGCCTAGATGATGCGACGTCAACCGAGCAGCCACAGGAGGATGAGATGCAGTATTACCTCGTCGATGAACAAAGATAGCAACGATCCATTTGACGGGAAAGGATTGCTACATCGAAACATGAACGAGACTCTACTGGTTCCAATGAAGACCACAAACCGAGAGAGGGTATAATCCTGAGGTGCCGTGCCATACTGAAACGCCAGATCGAAGTTCACGGCCAGTTGGTTGAGTCCTTGCGTGATCTCCTTGCCTTTTGGGGTATCAAACGACTGGGCATAGCCTCGTCCAGTATGATACTGAAAGCAAGGGCATCAGAGCTGCGCACTGAGCAGAAAAAAACAGGGCCCCACCTCGTATGTAACACGATTGGGGTCAAGGTACCTCCGGCTGAAGGTAAGGTTTTTGTTGCTGGGCTTGTGATCTAAGTTGACGCCTGTATAGTTATAGTGATTCAGTGAACAGTAAACAGTCTTTCATACAAGGGGGTGTATGTGTACGTACTCATCCACCCTGGTGAAAGTTGAAAGTGGTCAGGAAACGAGACTGCAACCTGCGAGTACTATACCGCTCACCGACTGTTTCCATGTAACGACCACTTTCCAACGACATGGATCGACCGTCGTACTGCACTGTACGTCGACCAGTCAACGACAGTCCGTGGTTAGCGAAAGCGATACTCGCTCACCGCAATCACGAATGTGAGTATGTCCGCCCAGGATCAGAATCGGCGTAGCCGGGTGCACAGCGCGGATAGCGTTGAAAACGAATGGCCCTGATGGAGTCACAGTATGAGTGGTGAGTTTGAGGACCGCAAGTCGTCTTACACTTGTCATTGGCAACAGGCATGTGTCTAAGATATTGAATGTTAGATAGATCAATCATTCAATGCGGCAGAATCGCATACCCAGCCAGCAAGAAAAAGTCGGGTTCTTCCTTGATTGTCTCCGCGAACTGTGTGTAAGGGTCAGTTTTGGGCTGAAAGCATTGACAGCCGACACAGACCCAAGTCTCCTTGACCATGTCTTCCACCTTCTGCACGGTGGTGTTGACATCGTTGCCGGTGAAGTCGAAGAGAACACCAAGAGATGTGACGCGACGGCCCCTGGACGAATGCATTGTAAGTTGTGGAATTACGTCATTTGAGCGACGAGCCTACTTTGAAGTTCTGAACTTCGCGAAACGGCCTAGAACCACGCAAGTTTATCAATGACGGTTAGGTGTTTGCAGAGGGAGGGACGCACTTCCGACAGGGACACTGACAGCCTTGCCATCTTTACCGGTAACGGTGATGTTGACGTTCGAGGACAAATATCGTCCAGGGAACTTCGGCGCGAAGTTGGTGTACCTACATATGAGACCGCTCAGTCTCTGATTGATAGGGGTTCATGCGGAAGGATATCTTACATATCATACGTGTTCGCGTAGACGTATAGTTCATGGCTTTGAGGACGGAAAAATTTCAGTATCCAGCAGAGCATGGTTAAGAGGGACGTCCCACTTTCCAATGGCTAGCACGTCATATGGCAGTTGCTGGAAGAACTTGTTGGACTATGGACAGTCAATATGTCAGAATTGGGATGTATGCGTGCGCCGAGTATCTAGGAACTCACGTCATGCGCGTCCACCCCACCTGCAGGGAATCCGTCGGAAATGCCCGTCCCTAAAAAGTAATCATCAAAAAAAACGATTCTCCAGATGAGGTCCAGCCAAGGCACGTGCCATCATGCAAATCTCCAGAGTCGACGAGAAGGAGGTCGACATCGCGCTCCTACGACGTGACGCGTCAATCGAACACCGCGTTCCATCCCAAACACGGACATGCATACCTTCGCAATCTGCTTCATATGCGCGACGAACGACGCGAAGTCTCCAAAGTCCCCACTAGACGCGCCGAAGGCGATTCATGCACCGACCACCTTGTCAGTCACCAGCAGACCTGCTAGGACTCGCGAACGCGGACGGACCTGTAGTTGGGCTCAGGGAACGACGACTTCTGGTGTCCAAGGAGCCATCCGTGGCTGTCCGTCGTGTGGATGATGTTCACGTCTCCCCACTGCAAAGGGCGCGACGGCGGGGTGAGCGGGACCTGCGGGACAGCCCTCCGATGCAGATGGCTGCTGCTCTCCTCGTGGTCGTGGTCGTGGTCGTCGCCGCATGCCGCGACGGACTGAAGTCCTGCGACGAGCGTCGCGCCGAGTGTGAAGGGGAGGGCAAGCTTCATGATGACGGTACTAGCAGACTAGCAAGCGCACGGAGAAGCGCCCCTCGCATCGGCGTACTTATATCTATCCCACAACACCAAACGTCTATAATTGCACAGTACGGCATGACATTCTCATAAAAGACCACATGCATGCGCGCCCTGAGATCTCCTGAGAAAGCCCGATACTGATAAACAGGCTCGAGATAGCAGCAGGCTCGCAATAACCAATCACGATACAAACGCACCAGCTCAGTTACCATCATGTAAATCCTCCAGGGCCTCGCAGGGCCTCGCTTGCCCTTGCTCTTGCTCCCTTGGCTTGGTGCGTCTCGGCCGATGCGACGATATACTATGTGACAGCAGGAACCGGTTATCTGCGGCGCTCAAAAAAAAAATGGAACGTGGACGATGCGAATGACCGTGATGCGTGAACATGCATGGTAGCTGACAGCAGACCGCATGACAGCTGCAAGACTCGAGTGTGGGCCTGCGAACTGCCCACTCCATCTTCAACAAAATAGGTAGAGCACAACAGTCTGTGGTAAGTTTTTGTTCAAACAATCAAGGCAAGCTGTCGACCATGCATGCATCGCGATGCGTTGACGCCAACAAACGTGCGTACACCCCGAGCCAAGTCACAGGACATGTTTGATCTGTAGCGAACACCACACAACGTATGAGCGTCCCCGGGAAATTGTAATCTATAGGTATCCGGAGCGTATTGGCACCAAACACTCGTACTCGTTTCTGTTGGATCGTTGCTCCGTTACAGGTCAAGAAATTCGCAGAAAAGGTTCGCGGTGGTCCACAGGTGCGCACGCGTCATCCACGTGGCCGCGTGCGAGTCCTCCGACCCGAGGCACCCAAGGGCCACACTGAGCGTGAAAGCACAGTAAAGGCACCCGACGCCATGAGATGCAGCGATGACTCTCACACGTACGCCTCACTCTCACAAAATAAACAATCAAGCTCGCCCCACACGGCTCAAGCATCCTGAGGCCTGATCAGTGATTCCTGATTCCCCAAATTAAGTTCCTCAACAATTCCTGCCCGAGGTCAATAAACTATGCATGTGGTATTACGATCGACATATATATGCATGCACGACATACGTACTACTACTACGACTACTACTACTACTACTACTACTACTACTACTACTAGGTGTCCGTACAAAACCATAGCTCATAACAGCGGTCCAGCAGCCCCGTGTGCCCCTCCCACCAGCAGCCAGTAAATTACAAAGCTTTCCAAAAAAAAAAACCCCGTCGCCGCTTACACCCGCCCAATGCTGGCCGCCCGCTACATAGCAAGCACAAGAGAGCACCACAGTGCGACATCCGAATCGTCGACAGAGCACAGAGTATAGAGCACACGTAGCGGATATAGCGCATTCCCCCTCCACGATAACATCAGATATACACAGATCAAGTGAAAATGGAAGCCGGAAAGGAAGGAAAAGCTCCAGGCGAGAAATAGAGATCAGGGGATCAGGTAAACAGAGGAGACGCTAGGCAAGATGAATGAGAAATGAAAGTGAGAGCACTGAAAGTGGAAAGAATGCGCAGAGGGAAGAAACTTGAAGAAAAAAGAAAGAAGAGAAAGAACGTGATAAATCAGAACAGCGAGACAAAGTTGCTCGGGAATATATGTCGCCCAGGCACCCTACGCGCCTCGTCTAGCAGCTCCCCGCTCCACCACCCGTCCTCGGGCGTCGCGGTCACCGCGATGATATCGCCCGCCTGGAAGTCGAACTCCTCCGGGATCGTCGCCGTATAATCATACAGCGCTTTCACTGCACAAACACAACCGACGCCGATCAGCAATCGGCACATCAAAAGAAAAAAAAATAGAGAGCGTAGCCTGCTCACCGTAAAACAACACTCCCCGCCCGTCGTCTGTATACTGCCGCGTCGGTGGCACCACCTGCTGCTGATGCGGCGCGTGCCCCAGATGCGGCTGCGACAGCGCTATCGGCTGCGGCGACGGCGAGCGGTTGATCGGCCCGGGGCTCCCCGACCTGTACCCGCCGCCGTACCCAAGCTGCTGCTGTTGCTGCGCCTGAGACCCGTAGCTCTGGTGCGCAGGCACGCCGTAGTACTCCGCGCCGGACGCCGACATGCCGCGCTGCAGCGCCCCGTTGGCCGGTGGTGGCGGGGCGTACTGCTGCTGGGGGGGCGGCGGGTGGAAGGCCTGTGCTGGGGTGGCGGCGGCGGCGTACGGGTGCGTCGGCGGCGGCGCGTAAATGGGGGAGTGTGCGGGCGGCTGCGTATACGAGAGCTGCTGCTGTGGAGCGCGCGCGGGAGAGGGCTGCTGTTGCTGGGCTCGATACACTTGGCTCTGCAGATGCGGCTGCTGCGCGCCGTATGCGCCCGGCGGGGGTGCCTGCTGCACGCTATATCCGCGAGTCATACTGGTGCGGCGCTGCACCGACTGTGAAGAAGGCGCTTGAAGCTGCTGCTGCTGCGCCTGCTGAGCATGGGTCTGGTAAGGCTGCTGTTGCTGCTGTTGTTGTTGTTGCTGCTGACGTTGCTGTTGCTGCAAATACGACTCTGCCATCGAGTCCATCGACACGTTCCCCCGCTGATCCAACGCGATCCCGACGCTATTCCGGCTATGCGGGCGCTGCTGAGAGCTGTAGCTGTCCCTGTAGTCCAAGCTCGCGCCGCCCATGCCGTTGTTGCCCGGCGCGGGGCTAACGCTCCGCGGGCGCGAGGACTGCATTGTAGGATGCCGCAGCGACGGGCTGGGGCTCCGGCCGTTCGCGCCGATCCCAGCGTGCCCTTCGCGGCTGACGGGGCGCTCGAGCGCCTGTCCGCGGCTGCTGTTGCGCTGTGGCCCAGGAGACGGCTGCTGCTGCTGCTGGATCTGTTGCTGGTGCTGCAGTGGGGGTCCGTTGAAGCTCTCCCGCCGGCTGTTCGAGCGGCTGCGGCGCTGCTGAATCTCGCCGGGGAAGCTCTGCTGATAATCTTCCAGCGCAGCATCAACGTACGGCGCCGGCGCCTGCCGCGGCGGCTGCATCAAGGCGGCGGTCGGCGGGTTGGGTGATGATGGCCGCGAGGACCCGCCGGCGGCGAGGGGGTACGCGCCGACGACGAGCTCCGCCGAGTTGCGGTAGTCCCGGGACTGATTGTGCGCGGCCGACGCGCTCGTAGGTGGAGTTAGGGCCTTCGTCGGCGAGGACGACGCCTGACTGTCCGCCGTCCCGCGCTTGATTGTCCCCGCCGCGCTGCGGAGGCTCGCCATCGCTTTGACCATCGGGTCCGTCTCGTCCCCGACCTTCGTTGCTGCGGAGACGCTGCCGCGCGCGCTCTGCTGCTGGCGCGGGTCCTTATTCAGGTCGACCTCGTACGCGTTGTCGCCCACCTTGAGCATCGTCTTGTGCGTCGTCGGGTCGACCATTCCCGGCGCACGGTCCGTATGGCTCGTCCCCGGGCGCGAGGACGCCGAGGGCGAGACGGGGATCCCACCGTTGCCGTTCATCCCATTCGGCGGCGCGCGGGTGCTCGCGCGGCTCTGCGTCTGCGAGCGGTTGGGCCCGGGATCCATCGACCCACGGCCGCCCGCGCCCACGCCAGCCGTGTTCACCAGCGTCTCCTCCTCGTTCGGCGGAGGCTGTGCGGCGAGGGGTTTGTTGACTCGCTGCGACGATCGGACGAACTGGGCTGGGCGGGAAGTCGGTTTGGATGAGGAGGAGGGGAGGGGGGCGCCTTCGATGGAGTAGTTGATGAATTGGGGCGGATCGGGCATCGCATCGCCCGTGCCGTAGTCGCGCACGAAGCTCTCCTGGTCCTTTTCGGGCTCGAACTGTTCGAGAGCGAGGCGGAGGTGTTCGCAGGACTGCCGCGTCGTGATCCGTGATCAGAAATACATCATACTCGTGCGATATCGATAGGCGGCTCACCTCGTCGTCCGAGACGCAGACGATGGAGACGGCGTTGGCGTACGCCCAGACGATGTCCTTGAGGAACTCCATCCGATCCTCCTCCATATCCTGACAGCTATCGCAGAACGCCTTCCAGTCATGCTCCCACTTGCCGACGGTGTCGTTGAGCGCGCGAGAGAAGTTTGCAAAGTCGCGCTCGTTGGTTTTGACGGTCTGCTGGGTACGTTCGAGCTTGCGGCTGATGCTCTCGAGGTCCTTTCCCTGGACGAGGGTGCTCTGGGCGGTGAAGGAGTTGATGCGGATGCAGTCGGCCTCGTACTTCTCGCGGGCCTTGTTGACGTGCGTCTCCTGCGCCTGCTTTACCTTAAACTGCTTCTCTATCGCCGACTGGACGACCTTTCGATGTTGGGCCTGGCGTGCGACAAAGGCGTTAGTGGGGCCCTCGAGGTCGTTGCGGACTTGCTGGGCGAGTTGGAGGTGGAATCCGGCCTGTTTCTCGGTTTCCGAGCGAAGGGTGTCGAGCGAGTTGCGTAGTTCTCTAAGTGAGAGTAGAGAGATGAGTTGCGAGCTGAGCAAGCGAGAGGGGCACATACCCGATCTCATCCCTGCCGACGGACATCTTTGCGAGCTTTGCGAGGCGCTTCGCGTAGTCCTCTTCGATGGCAGCTCTGTGTGATGGAGACGAAAACGATGAGCGGGTGATGCAGGCAGGCGAGGTAGGGCGGCAGACGGACCGTTCTTTCCAAAAGTTGCGCAGCTCCTCTGTGGTGCGTCCGGCGCCGCGCATCCTCGCGAAGAGGACATCGACGCCGCCATCGCTGAGGCCCCAGAAAGCGTTGCAGAAGTCGAGGGAGCGGGCTGCGGGGTCGGGTGAGCCATCTCTGGCGAATTTTGAGAGGGAAGTTGTGGAGGGCTGCCGTCTGGCAGTCATGTTCGTAACGTCGTCGTGTGAGGGAGGAGAGAGCGGTGAGCACAACGCCAGAGTGCGCGGTGGGGCCAACACCCCCGGCACGTGCCGGGCTGCGAGGCGCTGTAAACTCGCTTGCCCTGCTTTGATGCGCCGACAAGGCCTCGTTTCAGGCGTTTCGCCCCCTCCGCACAACACCGTCCTCTAATATTGCCCCCTCCGGCCTCGTCCGCGCGTCCATCGCGCACACCCCCCACCCCCGCGCTATTCACGCACGAGGATCCTGCGCGACTCCCTCCCCGCTTTGCCTCCGCTTTATCCATCCCTGAAATCACCTTTCGTTCAGCGCCGTGGAGGACGCGCAACACCCTCTCCTGCTCGCACTAGCTCTCGATCAGCCCCCGCGCGCACAACCACCGACACGCCTCTGATATACGAGCATCATGTCTCTCTCGGATCAGCCCCCAAAGCCCGTCGGCGTCGCCACAGCCGACACCGTGACGGACACATGGAATTCGTCTCGACCGGGACCGCTCCGATCAGTACGTGCTCTGGTGCGAGCATAATCATAGCCGGGTACGAGCCCGCATACGTTCTGGAAGCGTCCCGCGATGCCAGTACTCCTTCAAAACCCGTCCGAGCCACCCTTTTCTTTTGACTTGATCGCTAAGTCAAGTGCCTATGCCTCCACACCAGGCCAACGCGCGGCAGCGTCGTGTACTTCCTGCCTCACCCGATTTGTCGCCTCATCGATCTCGATATAGCGAACACTCCCGAAGCCGCTCAACTCGTGTCAGTCACTGAATCATCCAGGAGGAAGAGGTCAGCTCGCCCGAGTCGGACGCTGTTACTTCCGGCCCGCGTCTGCCAGTTGTCGACATGTACACTGTGTTCTCCTGGCCTCTCTATACGTGTAACTTGTCTTCAAACCCTGCCCATCAAAGCGATGCGGGACACAGATGGACAGACGCGGGCGACAGTGCTTCAGGACAGCAGGTGACAAACGGAGAATCGTGCTGCTGGCATTGTTCGATTGCTGCAGTTCGTTATGCGGGGCAAGGGAACCTTCCGTTATTCTTGTTTTGACGGTGAGTGCGTGTACTAGCAACGTATGTAGCATTGTGCGATGTTGGCTATGACGATACAGTCGACGTACCAGAGACGACCGCATCGGCAAGGCTAGGCTTGTAAACTAAAAAAAAATCCATGACACGCAAAGAAAAACAAATAGCAACACAGAACAGAATGTTTCTAGTCATCCTGGATCAAGAAGATAACTTCTTTTCTTTTATGAATAGGATAAGCCGTCTGTAAACGTGAATATTACCTGTAAGGCCTCTCGATAACATACAACCACAATGCTGCGCGTAAGTTGGTCGAGCTAGTCAATATACTTCAGCGATGTCGCTTGATCAGCTAGACCAGCATTGGCAATCAAAGCTATGAGCGTAGTAATGCCACTCCCTAATAAACGATTGACACAGCGCGCGCCCAAGTGAGATTCAATGCATGATTGCCATCACCATAGCTCATCAGAGCAAGGCCTATGACGCAAAATATATGAGCCCATGATCACAAGAAGTGATCTGAAAAAGAGACCTAGCTAGATACTAACAAATGAGTCCCATGTCGTTCTGACTGCAAGTGTGATCATTGCGGTCGCTGACCTGACCACCATCGCCGGGAAAAAATACACATAGCACTTCCCTGTGAGTTGGATCACTAATCGCCTGCCAGACTGCCGACAAGAACTCTCAAAACACTGGGGATTAGCGCCAAGCCCGCCTTTGCGGCACTACCAGATTCGACTGCCTGTACATACATGGATGCTTGGAAGACGATGGCGACGCTTGCTGCTATGCAGACGGAGTTGCACAATTAACTTGTAAGAAGCGATGGACTGACAATAATGCGTCCTGGAACGAAGGGCTCAGCTACCACATTGGTCTCAATTATGACGAAGAGTGTCGAGAGCATGAGGGCACCAAGAGTCAGTTTGTCGTTCCAGGAAACGTTCTGTCCACTATCTAGGCCTATGAGCAAGGTCAAGATACACAGCACGAGAGTTGAAGTGGCGACGAAGTCCACTCGTTTAAGTTTGGTATGAAGATGCGAGCCGTCCGAGTTTGGAAGCTTGAGCGCTATAGCACATGAAGATGATCGCGAATATTGAACCTGAATCAAGAAAGCCCTATGAGCAAAACGGAGAATGTTAGCTCGAGCGAGGCAGAAGGTGAGAAATGCGATGAACCATCTCCATCCAATACTGTACCGTCTGCAAGCAGACCGCCAAACGGAACCCCCAATGCAGACCCAATGGCAAAAATGATATTCATCAGCCTTGAGCGTCGCTTTGTCAATAACAAAAATGACAGCACGAGCCATCAACTTACCTTGCCAACTACTCCGTGAGCGAAGAGGAATAATATCAGAGATGATAATAGACGCGACACTGTTGTTCGTGCATGCTATGAGCTACCTCAAAGCAGACAGTTATGATCAAGGGCACTGACATGGTAGATCCCCTACCGCCTATACCAGAAAATGCTCGAGCAATGATCAACTCGTTCATGTTCCTGGCCAATCCGCAGAAAAGGCATCCAAAGCCGAATACAAAATAAGCAAACAACAATCACGGCCTGCGACCGGAAATATCGCTCAGCTCGCCGTATAAAGGTCTATGGATTTTCAGAAACATCAGGTAAGCTGAAAAAACAAACAAACAAACATACTGAAAGCTGCATAGCGTTAGCATGTAGCCCGTGACGATCCAACGGCTGTTCTGGAGCTGGCCGACTCAGTTGGTTCCTGTTGGTTCCCTATCGATGCGTACGAGGCTGCAACAAGTGTGCCGTCTACAGCAGCTTAAGAGGACTAGACGACCAAGGGAAGTATCCAGTGCATCGTAAGTATGATCCCAACGAGAGATAGTATCATGACTGGTTCATTGATGCATCAAGCTTCAAGCTTCAAGTTCGCGCTGCTCGGAGAGCACCCGCGCACCCGCCAGCGGTCCGGAAGTGGTCCGGAACGTTAAAACACGCATGATCACTTACAGTTGCGGCAAGTTTGCCAACTCCTTTTGCGTCCTCTGTCTCTGTTTCATCGCCCTTGTATGAGGAATCCTGACGAAATGATCCACTAGAGCCCTCACTCGCATTCAGGAGCAGATATGCTCTCTCTTTAGACTCCGACATGCCGATTTGAAGTAATGAACACCAGAAGATACGCAGAGTAATATGTTGTGCCTGTATTTGCGAGGGCAAGCTAGAAATAACTGGATCTGAAAGCGGTTCGTACAAATCGAGTTTATATGCAGTAGTACGAGTGTTACTCACACCAATCACCAGACATAGGCGCTCTTCGAAAGATCCATTCTGATCCTCCCCGTTCAATCCACAGCAATACAATACATTCGGAATTTTACCAGAGAGACTCCGGACTGGTATGAAACAACAAAAAATCGAGCCCGAGATCCGCGCTACAACCACGGAAACCGGCTGTCTTCACAACAACAAAACAACCTGAAGCTACCCATTTATCCTTCCACCAGAAATTTTCCCACCTCGGCCATGTATTTCTCCCTCTCCTCAAAATGAGACATATGGCTCGACTCTGAAAACTTCACCCACTTCACATTAGGGATCTCCTGCACGAAAGGGGTGACGACACTATCTTGTGCTTCGTCGTATTGTCCATTCGTTACGAGCGTCGGCACGGTGATCTTGTGAGCGTCAGCCGTTACCGTCCAGTCCTTGAGGGGACCGGTGATGTAGAATTCGGATGGTCCGTTCCTGAGAAGTGTCCTGTCAGCACAGAAGGGCTAGAGGAGTGGGAGATATCTACATGGTGAGATAGACGGTCGGGTCCTTCTGAATCCACGCGAACCCAGCTAAAATTTCATCTGGCATCGGCTTCAAAATACACAAATGACGTGCATAAAACTCTCCCACTGCAGCCTGATACTCCTCGCTTTGCGTAGTGCCGTCCGCCTCGTGCTTATCGAGCACATCTTGTATGTCTTGTGGGAGCTGCGAACGGAGTAGGTTCTGTGACTCGATCCACAACTTCATGTCGGACGGCGTGCTTGCCAACACGAGGCGACGAAGGCCTTTAGGCTGGAGGACAGCGTGGCGTGAACCCAGCATCCCTCCCCACGAATGCCCTAAAATGTCATAGTTGTCCTGGATGCCTAGATGGGAGAGTAAATTGTCTAGCTCGTCGAGGAAGAGTTGGTCGGTCCAGAAAGTGATATCTCCCATCTTCTCGGGAAGGTGAGTAGAGAAACCGGTGCCAATCTGATCATAGACGACGAGTGGAATGGAGTGGGTTATGGTGAGGTCGGAGAAGATTGTGAGATACTCGTGGTTGACTCCCGGCCCCCCATGCAGTGCGACGAGGGGGCATACGGAGCCGTGAAGCTCCCCATAAACTTTGTACCAAGTCTTGCATGGTTTTCCAGCGGCTGGAACGACGAAGTCAGCCTCGCCTTCGACGACCTTGGGCTGAGCCATGGTCAGTGAGGGTGTGGGGCGATGGGGAGTGGTCCGAGCAGGAATATGGTAGAGCCACGACTCGCCATCAAAAGTCAAATCCATTCACGAGCGGCAAGCTACAGGGCTGGTGGGAAAAAAACCTGCTCACCATTTGACCATCATAAGGACGCGAATGTGCGAATTAGGCAGATCATGGAATGGAAGTGATTCTGAGCGCCTTTGAGTGCATCTGAGGGCTGGGTATCTGCCCGAAACGATAACTGAACTGCCTTTTGTGAGCCGATTTATCGGGAACACATGGGTCCATATGGCTCTACCGGAGACTGCCGAGCGATGAGTTCCAGTACTGTTCCAGTGGAAGCGTTCAAAGCGCCCATCGTCGGCACTCAACGTTGCAACACCGAACAGGCCACCACAATGCCTGAGACACGATGGAGTGATGGGGTCAAAGGTCATGCGCTCTTCTCATAGCGCTCGTGGTTTTCTTCGCGAATCGCTATCAAGGCATGTTCACCATAACGGTGATGTCGGTGAGCACATCAACATGATCTAGCGCCATAACGGTGATGTCGGTGAGCACATCAACATGATCTAGCGCCTAAGATATGCATTGACGTTCTGCAAGTAGAAGGCTCAACGCCTCAGGTCACAGGCTCTAGCGCTCGCTGCCAGTCGCACATACGAAGTTGAACTGGCAGGCTCAAGGTTTACCGTTTCATCGCTTCGTTCCACCAACGCACAATTTGACCGACGTAGCCATGTCAAAAATCCTACTCACTCTGACTCTATGCACTCTTACCACCCTGACCTTCCTCAACATAGCAGATGTCCTTCGTCTGGTCAGATCGTCGAACTCCCGAACCAACGACGTTGACGGCAAGTCTTGTTCACCTACTATTTCTCCCTATCATAACTTTGGCTTTAGCTGGCAAGGTGGTTGAGCTACCTGTTTCCCTCCCCACATCCGCTCTCAAATTTGAAGCGAGCACGCGATATGGGCTGGAATCGGATGAGGAATGGCACACTATCATGCCGCGAGGAAAGGGCTTTGTGCGCTTGGGACCAAATACTCTTCCATTCGAAGTTTCCCTTTATCACCAAATCCATTGTCTCGAGCACCTTCGTCGCACCTTCGTCGATAGTTCTTGCTTGGATGATGATGAATCGGCTGCCTGGCATACCCACCATTGCCTCAACTATCTTCATCAGGCAATCATCTGCAACGCAGACACTACTCTTGAGCCGTCTTATGTTCTGGAGTTGCAGAACGGTCGAAAAGTCCCCGCGGCGTCAGGAATCGATGTTGTCCATAGATGTCGCGATTGGGAGAAACTGAGAAATGTTTTAGAGGACAACTACGATAGATACTCGCATGTACCTGTTTCTGCCTGATAGGTGAGAGGATTCATTTTCGCTGTATTGCCTAGTTAAGAGTCTTCAGACTTACAAAATCGTTTAGAATGATGGACCCGATCAGAAAAATGCGCTCAGGTCCTTATATGATCAGAGGGATCGCACATATGTATGACCTCGTGATCTCCTGAGTTAATATAAGTATATGGCCTAGCTTGCGTCCAGTTTCCTAGCTCTCTGCAACCCGCCGCGAGTATGCGTCAAGAGTATGAGCGGCTTCGTAACTCAGACAATTTCGAGTTGTCAGAGTCTGGGATGGATGGCCAGTGGCCACAGACATCTATCGTCTCCTATGAAGATACGAACACCACACTTCGACATAAATCTTCTCCTAATCATGTCATTCTGCAGCTTTCACTGCTTGCAGTCTTGTTAATCAACATCGTCCTCGTTGCAATCGCTTTCTATATGGAATCCCGAATGCTGGGGAATTCATATCGCCCGGTGGGCTCGCTCCCTCGACCCAACCCCTATGTGGGCTTGGACGAGACGAACCTCACTTTTGTCAGAGGTACGCTGCTCATCATCTCCCCTGCGATTCAAGATACGATCTGATACTCTACTGGACCAGAGTTCTGAAGACCTGGTGGATGCAGGTTTTCTGTGTTGATGCCAACGATGACGGCGCGCACATAGTTATGTATTCATGGAGAACTCAACTGAATCCGCCTAAGATCATCGATCAGCATCCACACCTCATTCGACTGTCCGTTGAACTCGCAGCTGATCTCCCCGATTCATTTACGCCCAAATTGCCTCATACATCCTTCAAGGAATGTTTATCCCGAGTTCGTTTCGGTACTATTTAGACCACGAGCAAAACTCCATAGCCAACATCCGACTCCCTGCGTCGTGTGAGTCATGAACGGGCGTTGAAAGCTCCGTGATGTAAAATGGGCACCCATGGTCTGACCATCCACTTGCAGTAATTGGGTCCGTTGTATTGCCAAGCTCGCCGCACAATGATTTCTTAGCTGTGTGCCGGTTTATCTGGCGTCAGCCATCTGATGGTGCATCACATGGTGTATCGGAATGCAGGTCAAGCTTCTCGATCTGAATTTTGTCACCGATGCGTGATCTTGACTGTTGCGCGGTATGAATTTGCAGGTATCCAGTCAAAACACTCAATGGACTACCATTTGGATGGTCGAGGGTTCTCTAGGCGTCAATCTTTTCTGAGCGGATGACGTTGAGGGTCATCAGCGACATATGGCACCCACGCTGTCAATGATGCATGATGGTCAGCGCACACAGTGGCAGGCAATCCGACCGGTTAACAACGTTTCAGAGCTGTATCGATGCCATCCGTACTGGGAAAGGGAGGTTGACTATTTAGTCCCATTTCATGAGCCGCCGTTCACTTATTCGCTAGAGAGTTTGAGCATCTTTGCGCCCTAGTATCCTCATTGCACTATGTCTAGTCCTTCCTCATTCGCGCCGCCGAACGAAAGCCCAGCGGACTTATGGAACGAGAGGTCAATCCTCGGCGGTTTATTTCTTGGAACCATTGGCTATGGTGAGTGGGCCTCTGCTGTGATTATAACGATGCTTATAGAACACACTCCAGGGATACATCTTACACTGTATCTCGCGTGTCTTACCCTTCTTCGGCCACACAGGAATCGCGAGGACCAATATATTCTCGCGTATATCACCCTTCTGTTCATCCTAGGCAACATCGGGAATGGTACCAATATCAAGTGGGCAGAAATGACCTTCATCGACAATCGCAACTACCCTGGGGGTCCTGGGGCATATAATGTTGCCGAAAGCACTAATCCTGTGGCGGTAATTTGCAATTCAGTCTACATCGTGAACAGCTGGCTGCAAGATGCTCTCTTGGTCAGTCTTCAATAAATCTGTCCCGACAATGAAGTATTAAATTGGATTTCAAGATATATCGCTTTTGGATCATATGGGGTAGAAGCTACCTCCTTCTTGTCCTGCCTGTCCTGATTTTCCTGGCCTCATTTGGTATGCATAGTTGGATCCTCGTATAAGAATAAATCACTGACGGTTGATGCCACGTTGACCAGTTTTATCGAGCATGCTTATGGCTGAATTGAGCCGTCCTGGGGAGACTATCTGGTCTACCATCAGCGTTAACTTGGCGATACCGTACTGGTCTATATCCATCGCTCTGAATGTAATCCTCACATTATGTATCGCCGGACGTCTTTTCTACATGCGCCTTCAACTCCGTCGCATCGTCGATCAAGAACCAAGGACGCCGTACGTGTCGGTCAGCGCCATGCTGATCGAGTCGGCTTCACTCTACTCCATCAACGGTATCATCTTCATCGTCAGCTACGGCATAAACAGCCCAGTGCAGAACCTTGCCCTACCCTTACTCGGTCAAACACAGGTAAGCTTCCTGTTTAACGTCATTTATATTGGTGGACTAACAGAGTTCTCCAAATAGTCGATCGCGCCGCTTTTGATCATATATCGTGTAGCACAGGGTAGAGCATGGTCACACGAGACGCTGAACGCTGCAAATACGGGAAGTGTACGTTTCCGTGGAAGACGTCGAGTCTCTACCACACAAGGTTCCTCGACGCTGCCGGTGGCGTTGGCATCAATGCAGGAAACCAGTATCATGCCTGAGTCTGGAGGCGCGAGCGCTGCCGACTTTCATGTTGCCTTCGAGAACAAACTCCGGGTTCCTCACGACAGCTTTGAGCACGGTGCTTTGTGACTATGTATCCCTTCTTTGGCGTATATCAGCTCTGTTTTGATATGTCTAGGTATCGGCACAGGCTTTGATTCTAAATGCGACATGATAGACGAGTGCTCAATGTGTCTCCTTTTTTCTCCATTGTTCCAATGCTTGCCTGGATTACATCTTCTTACTGTGACACACAACAGGTAGGCAACACACGAAAACATCTCAACATAAGGGATCATCGATGGACCCGTGCCGCCAACAATGACTTAAGCGTGAGTGTCATTGCCATTATTTTCTGCTGAAACTTTTGTTTCTCGACACTGCAGAATGCTTCACACGCTGGTAGTCCACCCACTCCCCGTCGAAGAAGCACATCGGAAGTAGCAAACTGCAGCAAATCAGTCAACGCAAGTACCGCAATTCTTCACTTGCCAACTTCTTCCTTGAGCCCGAATCCGGCCGTCTCTCGAATTCGACTACATCGCCATATATACCTCAAAAGCTTCCTCGATGAAAGCACTGTATCAGGGTCAGCTGAGGGGAGATATGTGTAATTTTTAGGCGGCGAGAAAGAACAGAGACAGTCTAACGACTTTGTAATTTGGGATATCATGTGGACACAAAAACATAATTGACTTTTGTACACAGCCATATCGCTCACGACCTGCTTACTCGGACTCTATATAATGGCACCGCCTAAGATTGCACGGCGGACGTCAGCAATGTCCGTAATTCAACAAGAAATGCTCACCATCAACATAGATTCAACCTAGCTCGTTGTGTTGCCACGCAAAGCAGTGCGTTCAGCGTGCTTTCTTTCCAAGAAATGATACACAGACGGGTAATCCACGCATCTGTGAAGCACTCCGTTGCCTGAAGCAGCTGCCCCGTGCGCTCCCTTCGGAAGGTCAACAATGGTGGTCGGCTCCAAGGTGGTGTCAGCTTTGCAAAGAAGAGCCTGACGTAGAAAGTTGAAACAGTGGCTCGTGTGGCCGAGAATCTTGGGGTCCATAGTCGTGTTGTTGCACGCAGCTGCACTAGACTGGGAGATGGCATGGCGGATACCGTTCAGGCAGTGAAGTTGGTGAAACATGGAAACGGAGAACGGTCGACCCTGTGGACCGAGATTCACCCACCCTCCTCCTCCAGGAAAAATTGTCTGCCACTTCTGGACATCGTGAAGTCTGAAGTCCATGGTGTCATTGAAGGCAACAATGATATGATCCAATCGAAGAGGCAATTCGTTGGGGAAGTCGTCCCCAATAAATGCTACATTCGTGATCAGGCCATAGAAATTTGAATTTAACTTGTTACTCACTGTATGAGCGGAAAAACTCCAAAGATGCTGGATAGAGGAACCGGAAGACGTTCAAGATTGTGAAGGCTGTAAGAAGTGCTACAATCGCAAGCTGAAGCCAATGCTGAGACGTAGGGAACATCGATGCGATGGGATAGGAATGGAGCGAACTACAGATTCTAGCTTGGGGGGTGGATGTGTATACATACAGGCCAAAATATTCCACAGGGCGCTAGATATGACTATATCAGCGATAGGCAGTACGAGATATGATCAGTATCGGCGTGAATGATATGGATATACTCGTACATAGCTGAGGACTTGCTCGATCTCGAGATTACGCCCATACACCATGACACTGGGTCAGAGGACGCCATCCTCCCTGTGTACAGTACGTACTGAGCCCTGACAGTCCCCCGACGAGACCGATAAGTCAAACCAATATGCCAACCATGAGGGCTGAGGGCTGAGGGCCTGTCATTCAAGAATTTTTTTGTTTGATTGAACTTCGAGAACGGTGTGGAGTCTGAGATCTGAGCGTTTGAGCGAGCGCCGTACTACCAGAGCGGGATGCTTACCTCTGAAAACAATTGAACACGAGGTCTTATCTTGCGTTTGCCCTGTCAGTGACGACTCTTCTTAACCCTGGATGGTCTGATGCGTGCGTCGAACCGAATGTCACACTTGACCGCTCATCTTCTGTGCTTCAGTTCGTTCGGAGAAGGGTTCTTGGGAGCAGCTTGAATGCGTCTTTGCAGTGTCCTTGCATTGGCAATATCAGGTCTTTCGAGTGAAGTCAGACTATTAGAGCCTTCGGGTTGAAATCTCCAAGTACACCACCTTGTGAAACGATCGTCAACTGTCGTCCTATGGCCGGAGGTTGTGTACTTACTGATGCGGGTCATGGCAGTACTGACACGGTTGCGCGTCCCCCGAACGCCGAGGACCTCTTGGCCCTGTTATGACACATGTTGCGACCATGTCGCGCACACCTCGCCCTGCCGTCTCCGAGATAAGACGGACGAAGAAAGGTTCCTCTCTCGATGAGGGAGCGCACTCGGGCCTTAAATGAGCCATGCGCAGTCACGTTGTATAGCGTACTTGTACACCCCTTACGTCCCGACCGCCCCTGGCTAGCGCTGCGCGGTATATAAATACTTGAACCAAAAAAAAAAAAAAAAAGACACGGTTGCGCGAGGGAGCGCCCAGCCTGGGCGCTCGCGTAATATGGACACATGCCGGTAGTCCCTTTCCGGCATCTGTCATCCTCATCCGTAAAATGCATTCAACAAGACGTTCTGATCTGGTCAGTGCAAGTGTATGATGGGCGCCCATTGACGTCCATCCCTTTTCGAAGATGAAAAGGTTTGATGTCATGTTACCTGTTGTTTGAGCAAAACCTCTTTTTTGCTTCAACCATGGCCGGTCCTGACTGGCTGACTCCTCATATGTATGATGCCTTCGTCCAAATTCATGTGCAAGTAGAAATGGACCACGAATGGCAATCCGAAGTCAAACTAGATGGGACGCAACAGGTAGCGTTTCTGTTAAATAGCGCTAGCATTCTCTCTATCGCTACCTGACCACCATCGTATTCCCTGCTATCGAGTCCCACCAATGCTTTTATCATTGCAGTTCGTTTTTCTGTCTCTGTTGGCAATTGCCTGCCATAGCCTTCCGACGCAGGTTAGCCGCCGTATGTGCTGGTCTACACTTGCATAAGTTTCTATGTCTGACGCCTTTGATTTCAACTCATGCTCGTTATTCCGACGAATTTTTCGACCCAATAACTCTCAACGACAACGGGCATTTCAATGTGAAATGGCTCATTCAGAAAACACGCCTGCTAAGATGCTCGCGAGAGGTATCAATGACTTATCCGAATCAGGAGGAGCATCGGGTGGGAAACATCGCCAATTTTGCTGTTCAATCAGAGGCTAATATCAACGGCACTAGTTGTTGAAAAGTCTCTTATCGTAGAGATGGCTCCTCAACGTAGGCAGTGCTGCACTCAGAAGAGTCCGAGAGACTTGCCTGGTCCGCCCTTCCTGCAATTGGAGGAGAGAGACGCGACGAAGCGCGCTCCGGCGGAGGACGGTCCTGGCCGCCCCTTCTTACAATTCGAAGAATGAGACATTGTAACGCACATGTTGATGATGAAGGAGAAGATCACATCTTGGAGACCGAGGCTGCCTTGCGAAATACACCTTTCCGCTAAAGCCAGAGTTCTCCAGAGTTGTACAAAAGCCCATAGCAATTTGCCTGAGCTGGTCCGATTCTCACCAGACTTTGTCCAAAACTCGACCAACTATTTTCCTTTTCTATCCTTCTCGGCCATTTTGGGGCACAATGTACTCACCAGACAATGCAAAAATATCAAAAATAGAGTGAGGGAAATGTATATGCACGTACGACTTTCGTTCTCTCGCTTGTTGGCGACGCCCCATCGCGTCCGTCCCACCTCCTGCCCGGGCTCGTCACCGCTTCTCTCGCACGTGGAAATGCAGCACGAGATAACTCAAGAACGTGAACGCCACGAAGAAGATACTCAGCAGCGCGATGTTCGGCCACCAGAACGACTGCGCGCGCAGGCCGAAGATGGACAGGATCGTCGCCGCCGGCACGTCGATCTCGACGCCGTACTGCAGCACACGAGTGGAGAACGAGCGTGTGAGTGGAGCACGTTTCAGGTGGGAGACGCAGTACGCACCTGGACCTCCTTGAGCTGGAGATAGCGGAGCTCGTTGACGAAGAGCGCCTCGAACGCGGCATGGAAGAAAGAGATGGTGTGCAACCATTGAAGGAAAGGATGCACTTTCGACCGGTCGATGAGCAGACCAGTGAACAGCAAGCTATCGAGAAGAATACGCAAAGTCCATCGTCAGCTCCCAGCGAACGAGTAAAGGCGAAAGAGCAAAAACAAAGAAGCGCACTTGAACAGCATCACCAACGCTCCCGCGAAGTTTGCGGCGCTCGTGCTCTCGCACGCAACGGCGATGAGCAGCACCGCACTCGCGGTCGTGAGGTTGAACAGCACGAGCGTGAGCAGGAATTTCCAGAAGGCAGCTACGGTCGGCACGAAGCCGACGAGGCCGTACACTGTACCACCAAATAGCATGGGCGACACGATGCGCAATGGCAAAATGTCGAACAGGACCTTGGTAAGAAACCAATAAGCGTGCTCGTCAGGTCAGAAAAACAGAGGCAGACTCACCTTGAAGGCGAAGTATGTGAACAACGGATAATGACCGTTTGACCTACACAGGCTCCACAGCAGAGATTGCACCACTCAAAAGAAGAGCCATACTCGCCGCTCCTACATGAAGAGGATCCTCTCGTTCGCAAACAGGCCAACGCTGGACAAACACGAGAAACCAAACAGTGCCAACGCGCCTAGACCCGACATGGTAAGCATTACATGGAACTTCACAGTAGAGCGCAAAGCGAACGAACCCAGCCTATTCTGGAACCCCCCGATATCATTCGACACGTTCTGGTAGAACAGTCCGCAAATCACTGTCCTACCCAAAAATTCATAGTCAATAACAAGCACGAACAAACCAGCAAGAAACATCCACGCACGAGCGAGCGCGATCGAAACCGTATAATGCGCAGTCAGCAGCGCCGGGTCCCGATACAGGTTCTTGAACGCCCTCCCGCTCAAAATCCCGAACTGCGTCGTCCAGCTCACGTCCGCTTCCGCCTGCGCAGCAGCCCGCTCTCTACTACCACGTCGCGCATCTCCCCGCCCGCGTCATTCCCCCCGCACGCCCGCGCGACGTCCTCGATCTCGCTCTCATCGCCGCTGCAACCGCGCTCTGTTTCATCCCAGCCGTACTTTGTTTGAACAAGACGGCTGATACATAATAACGTCGTGTTGCATGCTGCCTCCGCCCGCTCCCCATGTGCTCATCGAATGCGAAAGCTTCCATTGCAGAAGGTGCGCACGATACGGCTCCAAACTTTCGATCTTGTGAGTTGTTGGTCGCAGCGGCTGCGAGTATGAGGCTTGCTGTCAAGGAGGTTGTGATGCTGGCACCAGTGGCCAGGCTCCGCGCGACGTGCTCGCATGACCTCTGCACATCTCGTAGCTTTACAGTAGAGTCTTCGTACCAGTTGTAGTCCCGCGCGGGCGGGACGAGGCTCTCAATGACGTTGTACGCGTGGTCAGCCGCGCTGCGCAGGAGGGACGTGATTTCGCTCACTGCGATCGACGGGCTCATGTTGGAAGACAGAACAGCGGGCACCGGGATGCTCACCCTGCAGAACAATTGGACACAAGGCCTTCTCTTGTGTTCGCCCTGTCAGTGATGGCCCTACCTTCGTGATTGTCGATGGTCTGATGCGCGCGTCGAACCAAACGTCACTGTACTGCTCACCTTATCCGCCCCATTACTTCTCCAGATGGTTTGCGGCAAGAAAAACCCCGTCAAAACTGAGGCCGCATCATGACGCCTATAGACGCATGGATGATATCAAATCCTTCAATCTCCGACGCTTCCTCAGGATAGAATCAGAGCCTCCCCGTCGAGATAACCAATCATCTCACCATGCTGTTGGTGGTCGCTGCCGTCGCGCGACTTGAACGCGAAATGCAGAGTCATCGCCGCATGGAGTGAGCCGGAAGGGGCCGGACTCCGGGGTTACGCGCAAGCGCCAGGGAAGCGACGCCATCTGGGCACACACCAGTCTCCGTGAGTTTCTGAGGTTGTGCAAGAATTCGATAAGGCGTTCTGGTCTGTTCTGGCGCTCAGCCAGTGCAAGAGCGTATAGCATCACATCCATCTCTTGGATTTCGGAAAATGAAAGGTATGATGATCTTGTTCCTGGTTTACGAGCCTCTGAATCACCATTTTCTGCTTCAATCAGCACAAGTCCTGACCAGCAGCGTCTAACGGTCTTCATGCGCAGGTCGAATCGGACTCCGGATGGAAATTCAAGGATACAATAGATGAAAACAAAAACAGGTTGCCGTTTCCGTTAAATAGTGCTCTCAGCCTTCCTCTCGATCCCAACGGCCACCATTGTATTCCCTGATATCTACTGTCACCAATACTTTTATCCTTGCAGCTTGTTTCTCTATCTCTGTTGATTATTGCCTGCAGTGGACTTCCGGCACAGTTCGACAGTCGTATGTCCTGGCCTATGCTTGCATGGTTTTCTATGTCTGACGCACCATATTCCAACTCGTACTCATTATCCCGACGGGATTTTCGACCCAATATCGCTCAACGACAACGGGCATCTCAATCTGAAGCATCTGCCAAGATGCTCGCGAGAGGTATTGTTAACGTATCCTTAGGAGGAGCATCGGGTGGGAAAGCGTCGCCAATTGTGTTGTTCAATTAGGGGCTGATATCGACCACACTAGTTGTTGGAAAGCCTCTCATCGTAGAGAGGGTTCTTCAAAGCGCGTGGCCTGCTCTCAGAATATCCAGAGAGACCTTCCTACGCCGCCCTTCTTGAAATTGGACGAGGGAGACGTTACGAGGCGCGACAGTCCTTGTGTGCCCTTCTTGCAGTCGGAGGAGTGATACATCGCAAAGTACAAGTCGATGGAAGAGAGGATCACATAATGGAGAGGGAACTCCCCTGCGAAATATATTACTTTTGCGAGAGTCGGGCAAAACCGACAGTAACTTGGCTGGGCTGGTTAGTTTGTCAACGGATTTTGTCCGAACGCTTCACAAGTTCTGGTCTATCAACTCGTCTTGCACCTTTCCTGCTCATCACAACCATGTTTAGGACCGCAGCCGTCGATGCACTTCGAACAGTGTGCACTCAGAATTCTCTCGTCCAAAATATACGCAAGCGCCATACAATAAAACAAAATCAAAGAAAAAAAAAATAGGGTGGGAGGAATGTATACGCACGTACGACCCGTTCTCCCGCTCGTTCTCTCACTCGTTAGCGACGCCCCATCGCGTCCGTCCCACCTCCTGCTTGGGCTCGTTACCGCTTCTCTCGCACGTGGAAATGTAGCACGAGATAACTCAAGAACGTGAACGCCACGAAGAAGATACTTAGCAGCGCGATGTTCGGCCACCAGAACGACTGCGCGCGCAGGCCGAAGATGGACAGGATCGTCGCCGCCGGCACGTCGATTTCGACGCCGTACTGCAGCACGCGAGCGGAGAACGAGCGTGTGAGCGGAGCACGTTTCAGGTGGGAGACGCAGTACGCACCTGGACCTCCTTGAGCTGGAGATAGCGGAGCTCGTTGACGGAGAGCGCCTCGAACGCGGCATGGAAGAAAGAGATGGTGTGCAACCATTGAAGGAAAGGATGCACTTTCGACCGGTTGATGAGCAGACCAGTGAACAGCAAGCTATCGAGAAGAATACGCAAAGTCCATCGTCAGCTCCCAGCGAACGAGTAAAGGCGAAAGAGCAAAAACAAAGAAGCGCACTTGAACAGCATCACTAACGTTCCCGCGAAGTTCGCGACGCTCGTGCTCTCGCACGCGACGGCGATGAGCAGCACCGCGCTTGCGGTCGTGAGGTTGAACAGCACGAGCGTGAGCAGGAACTTCCAGAACGCGGCAACGGTCGGCACGAAGCCGACGAGGCCGTACACGATCCCGCCGAACAACATGGGTGGCACGATACGCAAGGGCAAGATGTCGAAAAGGACCTTGGTAAGGAGAACATCAATTAGCGTGCTCGTCAAGTCGGAAAAACAGAGCCAGACTGACCTTGGAGGAGAAGTACGTGAACGACGAATAGTAGCCGTTTGACCTACATAAGCTCCATGTCAGAGACCCTGCCAAATCAAGAGAAGAACCGTGCTCACCGCTCCCGCATGAAGAGGATCCTCTCGTTCGCAAACAGGCCAACGCTAGACAGGCACGAGAAACCGAACAGCGCCAACATGAAGAAGAACGCGCCTGCACCCGACAGGCATGGTAAGCATAACACGAGGTTCAAAGCAGAGCGCAAAGCCGACGTACCCAGCCTATTCTGGAACCCTCCGATGTCATTCGACACGTTCTGGTAGAATAGTCCACATATCACTGTCCCCCCGAAGGGAATCGACAGTCAACAATCAGCACCAAGAAACCAGCAAGGAAATAGCCACGCACGAGCGAGCGCGATCGAGGCCGTATAATGCGCCGTCAGCAGCGCCGGGTCCCGATACAAGTTCTTGAACGCCCTCCCGCTCAAAATCCCGAACTGCGTCGTCCAGCTCGCCCGCTTCCGCCCGCGCAGCAGCCCGCTCTCCACCACGACGTCACGCATCTCCCCGCCCGCGTCCTCCCCGCCACGCGCGCGCGCGACGTCCTCGATCTCGCTCTTCATCGCCGCCGCGACCGCGCTGGTGGCATACGCATCCACGAGCGTCGCAAGGCGCGGCGAGAGCGGCGCGTCCCCTGGGCCGTGCGACGACGTGAAGGACACGGCCTCGAGGAGCTGCGACGTCTTGCGCTTCAGGAACCCGTCCGAGGCCGCGTCCGAGGTGAGGTGCTGCTGGGCCTGGGGCTCTGTCGCATCTTCTGCGGCGCCTGCAAAGGGGCGCACCGTCGTGGGCGTGAGCAGTCCTTGTTCCTCGTCCCTGAACGGCGCGTCGCCCGCAGACGAAGGGGCGGCCATTGTCGATGTAGTCGTAGATGAGCCCTCTGTGCTGTGCGACTCCGGGTCCGCCTGCATCGTGAGATCGACTGTCCATATGCAAAAGCTGTCGCATCAAAAAACCGGGCGGCGGGAGGCGAGCCGACACTCACTCAAGAAGTCCGCGATGTTGAACCCAGGCGGACACGGGTGCCCGATCTCGCTGAAGTACGCGTGGCACTTGGCCATCGCGCCCGAATAGACGAGCTTTCCCTGAGCAAGGAGGATGAGCTGATCGAACAGCGCGACGATGTTGCTGCGCGGCTGGTGGATGGTGAACACGACAGTGCGGTTGTACTCCCGCGCGAGCGTAACGAGGCTCTCAACGACGTTGAACGCGTTATACGCGTCCAGACCTAGCACCGACGCGATCAGCCTTGCGCATAGGGGACCTGATCTGGGAATGCTCACCGCTTGTGGGCTCATCCAAGAACAGGATCGACGGGCTCGTGACGAGCTCGCACGCGATCGATACTCGCCGTTTCTCGCCCCCCGAGATTGATCTACGACCTACAGGCACCCAAGTCCACGCATCAGGCTCACGATCAACACATGTGAAAGTAAAGAAACCACACCCGAATCACCGACCCTGACATCCTTGATCCCCAAGATCCCCAATTCGCTCATCGTCTCCAGCGTCCGGTACCGCTTCGCCTCCATCCCCATCTCCCGCGGGAGCCGCAGCAGCGCCGAATTCAGCACCGTCTCGTACACCGTCAGCGTGCCCATCAATGTGTCCTCCTGGTCCACAAAGCCCACCACGTCCCGGAACGCGTCGTCGTCGTCGAGCACGCGCCCGTTAACGAGCGCCGTCCCGCTCACGGCCCCGCGCTTGCGCTTGCGCGCGAGCAGGTCGAGCAGCGTCGACTTGCCCGCGCCCGATGCGCCCATGATCGCGGTGACCTGGCCAGGGCGCGCGATACCCTGGATGCTGTCGAGCACGACGCGCGCGCCGCCAGAGGGACCGCCCGTAGCAGAGGTAGTGGAGGAGCCGTTGAGCGTGTAGCGGAGGTCGGAGAAGTGGAGCGCGGCGGGGACGTGGTCCGTCATGAGTCGCGCGGCCTCGTCCTCAGGCAGGCGGATCGCACCAAAGTCGCTCTGGCGCGTGCGGCCCGCATACCATAGGACTGCAAACGATGTGAGTTTAAATCGGGGTGTAAGGAATAATGATAGACATACTGGCCGAGGTCAGCACGACAAAGAATCCAGCGCCGGCGATGCTCAGTGCGACCCACCGCGTATTGTCGGGCTTGACGGGTTTCTAGACATAGGACACACACATTCGAGTCATCCCCATCACGCCCACATTCAATCGCACCGAGCCCCAAATCAGAGGAGAGGAGAGCCGGACGGACGGGGAGGACTCACGATATACCCCGGCACCTGCGAATAGTGCAGGCACTCTCCACCCTCGCACTCCAGAGTAATGTATCCGTCACCGAAGATATCGTTGATGAGCTGGTTCATCGCCGGCTCCTCGAACTTGCACCCGGCACCGGTCTTGCAGCTGAACGTCGCAGGGCCCTTGATCTCCTCCGTTAAGAAGTCCGAAATGTCTGTGCCGCACCGTGTGAGATCACCGCGCGTCAGCCAGCCAACTCGCGCAAGAATGAGACAGAGGCAAGAAAAATCACGCACCCACGCTTCCGTCCTCTCCGCAGATGAACCGGTCCGGCACACAGCTGCACTTGATCTTCTCGCAATTGTACAGTGTGGTGTTGCTCTCGATCCCCGCGCGCACCTCTGTCTGGCACGTATCGAGCGCGCAGTAGAACGACTCGACCTGCGCGGTCCAGAACTGGAAGTCGCATGTGCCCGCGGGCGCGTCACAGCTGAAGGTCACTTGCGGCGGGCGGTCGGGGAGCATGTCGACAATCTTGCGGTCTGGGTTGCGGAGGCACAGAATGAGTGGGGCAATGAGAAGAGACTGGCTGATACGCACTGGTGACATTGCAGAATTGGTGGTTCGCAAAGACGGTCTGGCCGCCGGTGTAGCATGTCATGTTCGCGATCGTGTCTTCGCCCTCGGTCAGCGACGACGCGACGCCGCCCGCCAACGGGAACCCCTTGCATGCGTTGTCCGATTTACAGACTATCGCCCGCGCATATATAAACAACGCAGGCAACGAGCGGAGAAGAAGCAAGGGAGGTGAGGACGAGTAATGCGAGGGTGGATGGAGAGGGCGTACCATTGCAGTTGATACCGCCCCAGCCCTCTTTACACTCGCACTGTTTCCCCTCTTCGCGCAGATGGCGCTCATCGCCGTCCGCCAGCGAGTCGCACTCTGCATCGATCCATCCGACCACCCAATCAAGCGCCATAAAATAACGTCAGCGCGCGATGCAACAACCCGCGGACAAGAAACACGCACGGGGAGTCAAACAATCGATGCCGCCCCATCCGGGCGGGCACTTGCACTGGCCATCGTACGGGTCGCAGTCGCCGTACTGCCCACACGTAAATGCGGGCAAGAGACAGTTGAAGCACGGCGGACACTTCTCTGGAGAGTCGAAGAAGCAAGGCACGGCGGGAGTCAATGCGGGGATAGACGCAGTTGAAGATGTAAATAGAGATGTAGACACGAATTAAGCTCCATCAGCGAGCGAGCAAAAAATGCAGAGGTGAGTGAAGGGGCAAAGAAGTGGAGAGACGGACCAAGTGAGCGGGCGCTGTCAAGAATCTGGTGTAACACCAGCAGCCGTCAAAATCGACGCTCGACCCAAGACGGTGCGCGGAAAGGACGTACCGAGACGCCAAAGCTGGATAGCCCGATACTCGTAGCCGCGACAGCAGAGCGCGAGGCGTTCCGTGCCCCGCCGTCGGTGGAGGAGGCAGTGATGCCGGGGGTGACGATCAGCGCGGGCAGCAAGGCGAGGGGAAGGAGCGTGAGCCACCCCATGCTGAGACGATAACGGCTTGAGGTCTGTGGAGAGCAAATAGTATACGGGCTCTAGTCTGTGTGTTCTGTGCGGTCGTCGTCGTTGTCGTCGTCGATGTGGGTGATGTTGTCGGCGAGGGAGGCAGTGACGGCGGCGGGTGGTGTCGTGTCTCCGATCTCGATCTCGGGCCGTGCCGAGAGAGTGCTTCCGCGTCTGCCCACAGCGCCCACCGCACCGAGGACCCAATTCCAAGTCGCTCAACGCCCGCGCTGCTCACCACAATGTCCACCCGCAGAGCGGCCGCACAGAAACGCAGAATAGTATGTCCCTCTCGCTTTGTATGCACGCGCAATCACCCCAGGCCACCCCACTGACACGCATGGCACACAGATCGACTGGCCCTCCGAGTCCGAAGAAGAACCCGACGAAGTCGATGACGACGAGGACATCGCCGACGAAGAGGAAGACGATCCAGTCAAGGTTGAAGGCGACGATGAAGTCTTGGGCGACGCGGACGGCGATGACGGTGAGACAGAGGCCGGCGAGCGCTCTGACTCCCAGTCTGCCATCTCCGATATCGGGGAGGAGGTCGCGGACAACGACAATGACGAGGTCGACGCTGATGAAGAGGAAGAGGAAGAGGACGACGATGGGCCCGAGCCCGAGGAAGGCGCAGAGCCAAGCCCCGAGCTTGACGTCGAGGAGGAAGACGCAGAGCCCGAACCCGAGGATGAGGACGAGGACGAGGACGAGCCTCTGAAGCGCGCCGCAGAACCTGCCGTACATCTTTCACCTTTTTCTCACTACCTATTTCTCATCTTAATATCATGTCTACGCTGCAGGACACCTCCGAGCTCGACGAACTCTCCTCCCCGTCGCCGCCACCCGCCCCCATCTCCCCCTCCCGCTCCAGACTCAAAATAACCCTCAAGATTCCCGCCCAGTCCCGCCGCAGTACGTCCCCGACCCTCTCCAATATACCCTTCCTCCGTTACTAACTCACCCTCCCAGCCATCGAGTCCGACGACCCCTCCCTCTCCCCCGAGCCCGAAGACGAAGATGTCGACATGAACGACAACGGCGGCACGCCCTCCGCGCTCTCCATCCCCCCCGGAACAGGGCCCACCGCAAGCGGGAGCGGCAGCCGGCCCATGACCACGCGCCAAGCCGTCCTCGCCAGCGTCGTCGACTCGACCCACGTCTCCCTCAGTACGTGCTCCCTCCCTCTTTTTCAACCTGACCCACCCCCTCATCCCCACGCACCTTCCACCCCAGCCGAGACCTCGCGCAAGAAAAAACCCCTCAACGACGCCGAGCTCGCCCTCCGCCGCGAAGAAACCGCACGCAAGCGCAAACACCTCTCCGAAAAGAAACTCGAGGATGAAAAGGCGCGTCCCCCCTGCCCTCCACAACCGCACCGCACATACTAACCGCCGCCCCTCCCCTCCCTCCGACACCCGCAGGCCGAGACCATCAACCGCCTCCTCAAAAAGCAGTCCCGCTCAAAAACAAAGCGCAGCGCCCTCTCCACCGCCGAAGACCGCACCCCCGCCGGCGCCAGCACCCCCGCACTCGGCGACGCCGACGACGATGCGCCGCACCCGCTCGGCACGCCCGCCCTCGCCGCGGCGGCCACAGCGTCGTCGCTCCTCAACGGCGCGGGCACCGAGGGCGCAGCCGCGGGCGCGAACGTGCACGCGGCGGCGGAGGCGCGCCCGACGATGTACCGGTGGCTGTCGACGACGCGCGGCGCCGCGCCGGGGGAGAAGACCATGGCGCTGGCGTTCTGCGTGCCCGCGTGCGCGCTGCCCGGGGGCGTGGCGGGCACGGGCACGGGCACGGGCACGGGCGCGGCGGACGGGATGGACGTGGACGCGCCGGCGCTTGCGCCCGTCGCCGCGCATCCCGCGGCGGTGTGCGCGGTCGCGGGGTGCGGGAGGGGGCGCAAGTACCGCCTCGTGCGGGACTGGACGCGCGGGGCGTGCGGGATGGAGCACCTGCGCGCGCTGACGACGCCGAGCGCCGCATGACGCGCCGCGGGCCTGGCCTGTGCGGTGTACATAGTCTCCCAGGGCTCAGACGCACCGCCGCCTCCGTCCGTGCTCCTGCGTCTGGTCGCGCGCTTGTTTTCGTTCTGGTCTCGTCGCTCTGATGTACTACGCCTGTATTCTAGATATTCTTCTCGTCGGTCGATACCCCTCGAAATACAGTGTTTTTTTTCTGGGACGTGGATACGGCAAGGCATCTGATACGTGCCTGCCGATGGATACGAGAAAGGCGGGAGGTACAGGCGTAAGTAGTGACAATCGTGCGTCAGGTCATAACGAGCGAAGAGACTTATCATGAAGGAACGAAACGGAACGAAACGAACGGTTCTGAGGACGAACAGGATTACGGGCGCTACACATACCACGACGTGCCGCACCGGATACGACACGCGACACAGAGGAGGCCTACAACACGAACCACACCGGGCCCCCCGAGACAAATAAACACTCCAGATAACTCCCGACACGCCCCCAACTCCCGCCACGCCGCCGCCCGCGCCCACTCACGACGAGCGCGACGACTTTCCCGACCCGCGGAAATCTACACGCCGCCGCACGGATCAGCGCACCACAGCCACGACCCGCTCAGATAACCCACAACCACGCACCGATCGGACTCCGGAACTGCAAAAACACACGCGGCCGCCGCCGCCCATCCTCGCGCCCCGCGCGCCCCGCGCGCGCATCGTGATGCGCGAGGTTCCGCACCGTCAGCCCGCCCGCGCCGACGCGGCCCATCTCGATATCGCCCGCGCCCTCCGCGCCCTCCGCGCCCCTCGCCCGCCCCCACCCGATCCCCGCGCCCGCCGCGCCCTCCGCGCCGTCCACGTCCACGTCCACGTCCACGAGCCGCCGATTCGGCTGCAACCGCGTCGTCGGCCCCACCGCGCCGACGGGCGGCGTCGGCGCCGGCGTCGGCGCGACGTTGAAGGCGACCGTGCTCGGCGCGAGCGACGGCGCGGCGCGGTACAGCAGCACGCTGGGCGGCTCGCTCGGCATCGCGAGCGGGTGCGGCGCGCGGCCGTACTCGAGCGTCGGGAACTGTTGATACGGGTCCGCGTGCTTCGCGGCGAGGGAGATCGACAGCGGGGACCGCGGCGCCCCGTCGTCCCCGTCGTCCGCGTCGTCCGAGCCCGAGCCCGAGCCCGAGCCCGAGCCCGAGTCGGGCTCCGAGTCGAGCTCCGAGTCGATGGCGGAGGAGGGCTGGCGCCGGTGCCGGTGCCGGTGCCGGTGCTGGCGCGGGGCGAGGGAGGGCCGCGCGGGGTGCGAGGGGTCGGAGCGGAAGAGGGAGCGCGAGCGCGTGCGCGTGCGTGCGCTGGAGATGATGCCGACGCCGGTGCCGGTGCCGGTGTTGGTGCTGTGGTCGCGCGCTGCGATCTCGGCTTCGATGGACCGGGGGAAGAAGATCTAGCGCGCGTGCGTGAGCGGGGGCGCGAGGAGGCGCGCGGGGGGCGCGCGCGAGGCAGGGGGGACACGCACGACGAGGGTGAGCCCGGAGCTGATCACGAGGCCAAAGCCCGCGGCGATGGCGAGGATCTCTGCAGCGCGGGATCCGAATCACATCAGCCGCCTAGCCCGCGCAAACACGCAGGACGCCCACGCACCCGTTCCGAACCTGCGCGCAGGCCACAAAGGTCACCACGGGGGAAGCGATGAGGCGAGGCGCGCGGACGAAAGAACGAAGGCGCGCGACAAGACGCACATGTTATCGTTGATATGCTGGTGCGGGCGCACGCCGTCGACGCCCAGCACGGCGATCGGAACCGCGAACAAAAAGCGAAACAGCACGCGTATGGTCTATCGCACGGGCGTGCATCAGGCAATGTCATCGACGACGACGACGACGACGACTACTACTACTGGGGCGAACACGCACGTTGTACTCGTGGAACTTCGTCAGCCGGACGATCGTGGGCATCTCGACGCCCTCGTTTCTCTGCGCAGGCCGGGGAAAAAGGGGGAGAGAGGATCAATCACGTCAGCGATGCGCGCGCGCCGGGAACAGGGCGCAGGAACGCGCACCAGGTTGCGCAAGAAGGGCGGGAACGCCCACCTGCGCGCGCGGCGTCAGCAAAACGACGACAACGACGGCGACGACGAGGCTGGGAGAAAAGGGACGGATGACGCACAGGATCGGGAGGAAGGAGATCGTAAGGGCGAGGCTGCTGAGGCTGCCCACCAAAAAGGTGTACGCCTCGCACTGTTGTCGAGCCGCCCGTCGTCAAGCGATGCGCGCCACAGCCACGCGGTCGATTCGTCGTTCCAGCCGCAACAAAGCAGCGTCGTCCGCATCCGTTCACAACGACAGATAGACAGGCCGTCGAATTCATCCACAGAAAAGAAAAGAAAAGACTCCCGGTCAGGATACCGCACCCACGCCACACGCAACCACACGCCACGCACCTTCAGCGCATCCCTCCGCATCACGCCCGTCACGGCGGGGAGGTACACGAGCGCGGCGAGCGAGCCGAGCGCCCACGCGCGGAAGTGCGCGCTCTGGAACCACACGCCGCCGTGCCGCTGGGACGGCGCTGCGGCGTCTTGCGCGCGGCCGGCGTTGAGGACGAAGAGCCAGAAGCAGAGCTCTGGGGGCGGGGCGGGGCAGGTCAGGGAGATCAGGGAGGTCAGGGAGGTCAGGGAGATCAGGGAGGTCAGAGAGGCAAAGGCGGGGCCAAGGAGAGTCCGAGAGGACGATTATTCATATCAGGCCCGGTCAGGTCAGAAGAGAGCGACGGGGAAGTCACAGACCTTCGAGGTGCGTCACGCTACGCGGCGAAACAAAACTCGTGAGCGCGCGGACTCGCAGGGCGCATAGGAGGGCGCATAGGAGGAGGGGGCGACGCACAGCTCGAGGGCCCACGCGAACGAGAGGCAGAGGGTGAGCGGGAAGATGGCGCGGCGGTGCGCGCGGGTCCATTCCTCGTACGGGAGGGGGATCACTGTTTGTCCCGTCCATCCGTCCGTCCGTGCGTTCGTGCGTTCGTGTGTCGATTCGATTCGATCATTCACGTGCGGTCCGATCCCGTGCACCCACCCACCCACCCACCAAAAAAAAACAAGCGCGCGCATCAGCGCCACACGAAACACGAAACACGAAACACGGAACTCCAAAACACGAAGCCCCAAACCCAAAAACACAAAGCGCGGCACATCAAGCTTCAAGTCCAACACAGTCCACCCGGACGAAACCCAAACCCAAACTCCACATCCCAAAATCCACATCCCAACCCCCAAAACCCAACCCCCAAAACAGCGACCCAGCGCCCAAAACATTCCAAAAAAAAAAAAAAAAAAAGAAAAGAGAGAGCCGCACGCACCGCCGACGCCCGGTACGAGCGCCCAGCCCTCCGCGTACTTGATCGCTGTGAATCCGACCGAGTAGGCGATCAGCAGCGGGACGCTGAGGAGGTACGAGTACTGCGGGCGCGAGGGCGGGCGGGGTGGGATGCGTGGAGTCCAGTGGGCGGTGCGGGGCGGTGCGGGGAAGAGGAGGCGTCAGATGAGCAGGAGACGGGAGGGGAAGGCTGATAAGAGGAGGAGAAGGAGAAGGAGAGAGGGGGCGGGGGGGGGGGGGGGCGGGGGCGGGACAGAACGTACGGTCATGAGGCGCTTGAACGCGCCCGAGTTTGTCGAGTAGCTCCATCTACGCGGACGCGGACGCAGACGTATGGCGGGCGAGCGCACGCGCACGAAGAGGGCAAAAGAGGCGTCGCGTGAGTCGGCGTTCGCATACCGCGCGGGAGAAAGCGCGCGGCGAGGACGGACGGACGGACGGACGGACGCACCGGAGGCACCTGAAGCGGTCGAACGACCACAGATGGTACACCAAAAACGCGCCGAGCTACACTCCGTCCATCGGTCGGCGCATCCATCCATCCATCAATCAGCGCGTACGCGAGGTGAGGGGGGGGGAGGGAGGGACGCACGAGGGCGGAGAGGAGGGACCAGACGAGGGTGACTGCGGGGGTGAAGTGCGACATGGCGTGCGCGTGCTATTAGCGTTAGCGGTGGCCGGGTGGGGGTGGGGTGTCTGCGCGAGGGAGTTTTGGGGTTGTATGCGGGCGTGCTGAGTATACGAGGGCGGGCGGGGCGGGGCGGCAAGTCGAGGGACCGGGGATACGAGCTCGGTTTCGCGCGGACGATACTAGTTGAGACGAGACGAGGCAAGGCGAGGCGGGAGAGCAACCAAGATGAGCACGAAGAGCCAACGGAACACAATAATAGGATAGAATAAAGGTAGCACGCGAAGAGATGAACAGATTAGCAAGCCGGCAAGAAACCGGTGGGAGCAAGAAAGAGGCAGAACGAGGGAAGGAGGAAGAAGGGGGGGGGCGGAGATTTGATCCCGCGGAGAGGAGGGCGGTGGGAGGGGGGATGGCGACGGGACGAGACGGGGTGTAGCCAGGGGGGACAGCCAAGCGTTAGGGGGGGTGGAGGGTATGATATAGCGATAGGGTGTGTCAGATGGACATGCGACGAGACCTCCGCCGGGACGAAGCGGGGACGAAGGCGGTGCGTGCGTGCGCTCACTCGGGCGGGCGAAGCAACGACAGCGACGGCGACGGGGACAGGGCGGGGGTACGTTCGCAGCGGGGGGCAGGGGGCGACGTAGACATGCGCGTCCGTGGCCGGGGCCGAGGACGCAGGTGCGGGGCAGGGACCACCGGTCAGTTGACAACCCCGATCCAGATGCGCTGCCACGTGCCCGCGGGCGCAACGCAGTCGTGACGCCCACTCGGGCCACACGCTGCCCCCCCCACGTCCTCCGCCGTGCCACGCCCCGCGCATCGTCCCACCATCCCCCCTATCCCGTCTGTTCCTGGACCCAGCAGGCACCTACCTGCCTTGCGCCCATCCCGCCGTCCCGCGAAGCACCCACCCTGGGCCCGTCATATGACCCCGCACGACACCCCACCCACCCACACAAAGCCATCCCACAACCCTCGCTCGCTCGCGCGCCTCATCACGCCATCATACATCACGCACCTCTCCCACCCCACATCCATCACCCTCCATTCCCATCATATCCCCGTCCCCAATTAGCACCCACTCGGAAGAGCGCGTCGCTGCACCGGAGCGCCACCACGCTGTGTCTCGCAGTGCTCGCAGCCGCGGGTCCGGAGCACGCCAGCGCGACGCACGATCGCCTTCCGATCTGGACCAGCCACTGCAGATCTCACGCACCCGCTTACCCATCCCCCGTAAATTTACTCCAACCCTAACCCCACCCCTTCCTCACCTCCCTCGTCCTCGTCCAAGGCCAGCCGCCTCCCACACCCAAAGAAAAAAAAAAAAAAACACCCAGGCACACACAAGCCCACAAAAAATGCCCTCAGATCCCATCCCCCCCGCTCCCGCCTCCGCCCCCGCCCCCGCCGACTCCGCACAGCAGGCCCACGAACAGCCCACAGACGAAGACACCGACGACGCCCTCCTCGCCGCCCGCTTCGGCGACACCGACGACCTCCGCGCCTTCGCCGCCCGCTTCGGCCCCGCAGCCCTCCAGCGCGCCACAGACACCAACGGCAACACCCTCCTCCACATGGCCGCCGCGAACGGACACACCGGTGCGCCCGCCCCACCCCCCTCCCTCCCCTCCCTCCCTACATATATCCCCACCCCTCCCCCCGTTTCGCCAGACCGCTAACGCCGAACCCGCGCGCGCGCGCGCCCCCACAGACGTCCTGACCTACCTCCTCCCCCTCCTCCCCCACCCGCACCCCGCCCTCCTCGCCCAAAACGCAGCCGGCTCGACCCCGCTCCACTGGGCCGCCCTCAACGCGCACCTCCCCGCGCTGCAGGCCCTCGTGCGCTTCCCGCGCGGGCCCGGCGCCGCGCTCGTCGACGCGCGCGATGCGGCGGGGCGGAGCGCGCTCGCGCACGCGGAGGAGGGGGGGTGGGAGGAGGGCGCGCGGTGGTTGGTTGGGGTTATGCGGATCGAGGGGGATGGGGTGGGCGGCGGCGGGGGCGAGGGCGGCGGCGGGGGCGGCGGCGAGGGCGAGGGCGGCGGCGAGGGCGAGGGCGCAGAGGGCGAGGGCGAGGGCGCAGAGGGAGAGGGCGAGGGCGCAGAGGGGCTGGAGGGGCAAGAGATCGAGGTCGAGATCGAGGATGCGGACGGCGGGATCGCGCGCTTGTCCCTCGCGCAGCCCGTCCCACCCCCTCCTGCCGCCGCCGCCGCCGCCGCCGCACCAGCCTCGCACTCGTCGCACTCGGACGCGCCGCCGACAGGAGCGCGCGCTCCATGATACTTACCCTCTCCCCCTCCATCCCGCCCATTCCTCCGTTCCCTTTCCCCTCGTCAGTCTCGTTCCTCGCTCGCATCGTAGTAATGATTGCACGATGCGATGCGATGCGATGCGATGCGATTGGATGCAGCAGCTACTCACTGTCCGTGCGCCCCTCCCCCTCACCTCGCTTCTCCTTCTCCTTCTCTTTTTTTTGTCCTCGTCCCGTCGCATCGCTACGCTGCCTAGTACCGCACACACCGCACCGCTCCGCATGAGACCGCGCGCACACGCCTGCATATTCTCACCACGTCTTCTACCTTCCACCTTCCACCTTCCGCCCTCCGCCCCCTGTCCCCTCCCCTCCCCTCTCCTTCTGCCCTCTACATCTACATCTGCTTCCCCGCTCTCCAAGCCCCGCGCCACCTCCCGCCATCCACCTCCCGCCATCCACCATCCACCATCCACCATCCACCATCCACCATCCACCATCCACCATCCACCATCCACCATCCACCATCCCATCACCCATCACCCAAAACCCAAAACTCAAAAACCAACATCCAACAATCCAGCCCCGTCCACGCTCTCACGTCCAGTGTCCTCCGACCCGAGCCCCGCCCGCCCGCTACGCACATACGCACATACGCACATACGCACATACATATCTACCCGTACCCGTATCCTTACCCGTACCCGTATCCTTACCCGTACGTGCGCGTCCTCCGGCCTCACCACCGGCCCATCGACCGCGAATCGCAGACCGCGAGGCGTCGGGAACGCAGCATCGCGCGGTCGCGTGTTTTTCTCTCCGTCGACTCGCCGCTGCGCGCGTCCCACGTCCCAAGCACCAAGCACCACGTCCCAAGCACCAAGCACGGTGCCGAGTATGAAGTGCCGAGTGCGACGCGTATGCGAAGCGGCCGCGGTTGCGGTTGCGGTTGCGGACACCGGGCGTGGCCGTAACTTACATGCATGAGTGTCTGTGAGTGTCTATGAGTGTCTGAGTATGGGTGTCTGAGTGTACGGGTACACCACGGCTCCAGCTGCCGCGTTCCGGGGACTCGAAGAGCCCCGCCTCGAGGCCCTCGATCGAGCCCCATCGAGCCGCCGCCGCCGCACGCACGCACGAACGAACGAACGAACGAGCCAGCCAGCCAGCCAGCCAGCCAGCCAATCGTCAATCAGCCTCTGCGTCATGCTTTCTGCGCTTTTCCGGCGCGCGAGGAGGGCTCGCGAGCCCTCGCGGCTCACGAGCGCCCAAGCTCAAGTCCGCACCGTCGTTCGAAGTAAAGCGGCCGCGCGAGCGACGCCGAGGGTGTGTGATCAGAGACAGCCATTGCACGTACTACATAGTACACGTGTACCATGTGTGTACACCCGTGTGTGCGCGCACGACGACTACAAGACATCTTGCCCCCCCCGCCCGCCTTGCAGTGTTGACCGACCTGGAGCTCGCGCGGCCCCACCGACACCGACCCGAACCCCTTCTACTTCCAGCGACCTACTCAAGCCTCACGCGCGCGCGCTGACCGTCCGCGAGCGCGTCTTCACCCGCCTCCGCGCCGCCGCCAGACCCTCCCCCGTCTCCTCGTGCGCCCGCGCCCGCGCCTGCATGCCCGCACCCCCCGCAGCCGCTCTCACCACCCCCCTCTGCGTCGCGACACCCCTCTCACCGACACCGCCGGGACCACCGCCAACAGCGCCCACAGCCCCGTCTCCAAGCGACCGCCCCCCGCTCGCCTTCGCCCCCGCCCGAACCCGTGTCTGCCCGCGCAAATGATTTCCAGCAGACTCGCCGCGTCTCGCCCGCGCCTGCACGCCCGCGGCCCCGCCGCCACCCCCGTCCGCCACACCAGCCCCGACCGCCGCCGCCGGCGCTGCACGAGGAAGCCTGCTCGGCGCTGCGGCCCCGCGCCCGCGCGTGTTCCTCAGCACCCCCGTCCCCGTCGTGCTCGCGCGAACGTGTGCGCTCGTGCGCGGGCCCCGCGCGGGTGCGACCCCCATCGCAGCACCGCCGCGCGTATCCTTCGTCGCCGTTCCTCCCTCTGCCTGCGCTCGCTCCTGCAGCACCGGGCTGCGCGGCAACGCTGCGGCCGACATGGGTGCGTGCACGTTCACGAAGATCGCGCGCGGCAGCGGCGAAGACGTGCGCCTCCACGCGCCGCTCGTGTCGGCTGTGGAAGCAGGGGAGCCTGTGGAAGGGGGCGTCGCGGACGGACTGAGCGCCCTCGCGCGCCACGCATCCTGCGTGTCGTCGTCCCGCTTCTGCCTTTTCCACGTCGGCGACCCGCCCGCGCTGCCCACTGTGCTTGGGGGGTCGTCGAACAGCATGCGCCTCGGCGTGACGCGCGGGCCGAAACATAGCGGGAAACGCGGCGATGCGGGGGACGCGGGCGAGCCTGGAGAAGCGGCGGACCCCACTGGGCGCTCCGACTGCGTGCGCGTGCGCAGCGCTGGCGGGCAGTACTTCGCGTAGAGGTCTTGTGGGCGGTAGCCCGGGCGGATCTTGATCTCCCTGCGCTGTCTGTTATCGCGATGGGTGGGTGACCCGATGCGAGGTCAGCCAACGCAAGCTCCGTAGTGCCGAAGCACTGCGACGACTCAGAGGGGGACTCACGTTCCATTAGCCCTGAAGCTAAGCGGGACGACGTGCTCGTCCGCGTCATTCATTCGGATCCCTGCGCGCTGCAGCTCTGGAGACCCGCCCATCGCGCCTACGTGCGTCCCGCGCACTCCTGGCGCACTGCCTATGTTCTTCCCCGAAGCGCCTGCGTCGGTGTCCGGGTTCTTTCGCTTTGTTCCCGCCAGCGCCTCCTCCGTCTCTGCCCCATGCGACTGCCGTGTCCTCGTGGGTGCAGGCGCAGGAGGGAAGAGCTGGAACCGAAACACGGGCGCGTCTGCGGTCGCGCGCCTTTCGAGGGACTCCACACCCTGGGCGGTGGACTCGACGTCAACGTCGAATTGTCCTGGAGAGAAAGAGACCGTCAGCAGGTCGAGCGCGGCTACGCCTTCAGAAGGCGGACCCGAGAGTTTGGAGGAGCGTGACTGAGTTGACGAGACACAGGTATGCTGGGAGCGAGCTCTAGGACGAGTGCGAGAAATCTCGGATGCATGCTTTGGCGGGGACAAAGAGAGGTGTACATCATGAGCGGGCAGGATTTTTTGTAGCGGAAGAGGAGGCGAGGGCTCTGTAGGAATGAGAAGCGGTGTCTGAGACGATGGGGCGGCAATTACGTTGGTGGCTACTGCGGGGAGCTGTCGTGCTTGAGCATACAAGTCTTCAAACGAGGATGACAAAAGAATAAAAGAAAATAATGTGCGGTCCTTTCCGGAAGATCTGATCGGTCCCTGGTGGGATGCGTTGTCCGCAGACGCACTGAGGCCTTTCGCCTGAGGGAGCTTGAGTTGATCATTTGACATTGCTGTCTCGTAGGTCACCTCGGCAAGGCTCGTAGCCTTAGCAAGTGCAGAATAAGGAGCCTGGAGTTCCAGATCTTCAACATTGCCGTGTTTGACTATGGTTGGGACAGTATCCCCGACAGGTGTAAGAGATGGATAAGAACTTCCAGGGGGAGGCGACACCGCCTGCTGTTGGATATTTGACGTCTGAAGCATGACCATCGCCTCCGAGCGGAAAGCCAAGAGCATTTCCTCGATTTCTGGAGGGCAAGGCGATGAAGGCACAACGCTTGACGCCGAAGAACCTTCTGTTCGTTCCGGGAGGGATCTTGGAGTTCGCAACGGACTCTTCATAGTGGAATTGTTGCATATCCCAGAAGACAGTGCAGAAGAGCGGGATGGCGTGCATGCGGTGCTAGGCGCTGACGATCTTGTTGCACAGAATCCATCAGGACCGCAATTGACGGCACTAGAGCCAAATATTGCGTCGAAGTCTGAGAATTGCTCTGCGCGAGAATGTACTTCAGTAACCAAAGCGTCGTCCATCAGGATCTTGTAGAGATTTGCAAAGACATCAGGCAGAAACGCTGTCGAATTAGCTTCAAAGCCGGAGTGCCAATATAGCGCAATAATTGTCCCAAGGTGACCCATGCGCCTTGCCAGATTATTCACCGAGAAACACAAAACGAGGAAGAGAAAGACGAGCGTGATGACGGTCACAGTTTCAGCGGCAAGCCAGAGAAGATGTTTGTACAGACTATCCAGAGGACGTCGAGGCTCATCGTGTACTAGAAACACAGATCTCGGCGCACATTTCGGTGACTTCAAGTGGTTGATAGGGCAGGACGGGCCATGAAAAGTAGGCAGCCAGGACGAAGGCTCCGAGATAACAATATTATCGTAGTGATAGTTGCTGTTGTCCAAATGCAGAAAGTGACCTCGGGACAAGATATGGTGTGGTTTTATGCCAGATGAGAGAAGGTACAAGTTCATGTCACGAAAGGAGAAGTGCGGAATTTTGAAGATCGGGAGCAGCGGGAGTGCCGCCAGCATCACAGCATATATAAATGGAATCATGTAGAGCAAATGTCGTATTGAGAGCGTCTGAGGTGTCGCAGGAGAGTGGATGGGGAAGCCCACGGCCGTGAGTCAAGTTGTTGAGAAGGAACGCGCATTGTTTGGCCACACCAAACAAGACGCGCTCACGGGTGCAAACTTCACGTGCTCCTTTTGCATAACTTAACACAGAACGACTGTGTTGGTCAGCAACGGAGACTATTTTGCATATGACTCCTCCAGCACGATCGCAACCTTCAAAGAATCACTTTCCTGTCGCTTATTGACCTCGGAATCATGCGTTTTGTCTCTCGGAAATCAACGAGTTGTCTTCACTTGAGTCCCCGAGGCATAGCCCGAATATTTCTATATCTGCCTGATCTCCCTCATCAATCCCCACTTTCTAACCGCCCTGTGTCATTCCTGTTCATGAAGCCAGCGTTCGGGGAACCTATCATCAGGAACGTCCACCTCGCGGTCCATCTGTTGTGTTATTCTCGCTTGAACACCAGTTATTGTCCCCCATAAGGACCCATATCTGATCATCCGAGCAGCCCTTATTCTTTCCGTGGTCGAAGATCGACTCGGCTATCCAGACCCATAGTCACGATTGTAAGTGTCCCGCCACTTCAGCCCTGTATCATCGTCATTTGTCTTTGGAATCGCTGCAGTGCCTCAAGTATATTGCCATTCTCGTTGAGGCTGTTGTTTTTGTAACCCGGATACTCTCAGCATCGCCATCACTTGCTGTTCCACAGACGCCCGGGAGCGCGTATAAGTGGTGAATACAGGTTGTCCGTTGAACCTCACCACGCAAATCACGCTCCTGATCGGCATCCCGTTCTGTAGACTCTTTCAAGCCCGTAGCTTGGACAGTCCTCTCGACTAAAATCAACCTCCGTCATCAGGAAGTATTTTTTATAATCCTTAAGCGCCTCCGAGTTGTCACCGAGAACGGGACCGTCACGTGTCAGACTTGAATAGTCCACTTTGATTACCATGTCTGATTCACCACCGACATCTATTCCTAGCACACCTATGTTCTCGAACCAGCTTTTATGGCCACACTATGGCTACCCCCACACCGTACCGGGACAGACATATCTTGTCTCTCCCGCCCCACCCCTACCCCCACCACCTCGACCGCAGGTGGTATCCCTTCCTTCTCTAACGCCACAGACTCCAACTGCGCCTCGGTTTCCCGCAGCTCCCATCTCCCCTCTCTCGCTCAGTATAAATAACCCGCCCATCTCAGCTGCCGCTTCCGTAATTAACACTCCTGCGCCCCCTTATCAGTCCGTTCTTTCCACACCCGCTCCAGGTAGCATGCACGCTTGTTGGTGTATACAGCCCCATGCGCCCCACCACTACCCTCAATTCCAGTATCTATCTCATAGTCAGAATGCGCCCCCGCACGTAGTCGGCGCTGACTCCTCGGGTTATTTTCCTCCACAGCACCCAGTGGACGACGGGCAGGCAGGTGGCCCACTTCCTCCAAATGACTCCTCTAAGCTACAGGGCAATCAGGCTCCTACTGACGGTCAAGACGTCCCTCAGCCTGGTGTCGGCCAGAGTGAATTCGCCACTGAGGGCGGGGGGCCGATTTCACTAGCTCAGAGAAATCTTGAACCCTCCCACTCAGCAGCGCTTAAAGTACGAAGTGTGGTCAAGAAAAGATCCGTGGGCTTTGCTCCTCTCGATCCTCATAACACCTATCACCCTCAACACTCGTCCCCTCTCGTGTCCGTGCCCGCGCAGGTGCGCAGTCCAAACTTGGTGCACAATCGCCCCGAAGACGGCGTTCAAGGCAGCTCCTCCAAGAGAGTCCGTTTATTCCCACCTGAATCAGCGCCTGGTATGCCTTCATCGCCTTTGGTCGCCTCGTGGCAGGCCTTCTCGCATCAGATGTCCAGGAACCCCAAGAGTCATGTACAGGATGGAAGCCCTTCTCACTGGGACGGCAGTGACCGCGTCCACCCTTCTCCTTCCATTCGCACTGACCAATTGGAGTACACACCACCCGAATTCTGGTCGCGCAACGTCGTGACGGAGCCTGGCACCAGATCCGTACAAAGAGATCATCCACTCAATCGATCCGGGCCTAGACGGTATTCCAGAGATTCTGTCGAGCAGTTATATGCCGAATGGTCCTCGCTCGATGATTCTGCAGTAAGTGCTGAAGTACAAGATGCAAAGCCCTCAACAACAGCCGCGCCTGCAACGGGACGCATACAGGCAAAAGATCTTCCCCCATTGCCCATGCAGTCAAGAGGGTCTAGTCTCCCTGAAGAGCATATCTCGTTGCCCAATGATCAACTACACTCGACACATCATGACGATCCGCCACTCGTGATACTGCCAGCGGAGCGAAGAGAGCGAGCTGGGCCTATAAAGGGTACATGGAGAGCCATTCATCAGAATTCGAACATGTCCCTCGCCTTACAGCTCGAACTTGAGGGTGCGATACCAGAGCTGGTATTGGATCTGGGTCCAGATCTATCACCTCTAGGATCTCCTGTTGGTTCCATGTCCGACGACTACTCAATACTATCCGTGCAGCCAACACTGCCGGATGACCACACTTTGTCTGCGAGGGAGCATGGGCAGTCATCTTCTGTATCTGGAATGCGAACATGGACACAGGAGGAATATCTGCACCCACCTGACTCATTGATGTTCTCCCTGAGTACCGTTTCATCTGTGTCTTCCTGGAATCCCAGCTCGGGTTCCGGAAAAGGACGCAGTGTGCGACCTATGAACGCAGCAGCTGAGGTCAAGGATGCGGCGTCCAGTAATCTTCAGAGGACCGAACGTGCTACACACGACGCGCGAGGGATGCTCGCAGTTTCACGCGCCGATCTCGATGCCTGCTTCAAAGCTGTCACAAAGATCCGTTCTCACCTCGTGCGTTTTCATCTCCACCGTTGATGAGACCGCCTTGATTAAATGATGCCTTCATGCGCAGTACCCAGCTGAGCGAAGGCTGGGCCAAAGCTCTGCAGACGTTGTGTGCTCGAATCTTTGGGATTCTCTTAGCGCCGTAAAGGCTGTCTTTGGTCAAATCGAGTTGGAGTTTCCCAGCAAAGGCTATCCCACGAAGACGGAGACGACGTGGTTACAAAAGCGGCGTGACATGCTGCTATCACTGCAGCGGTAAATCTTCGTACGACAATTCAATGGTGGAATTTTTGCTGACCCCATCATTCGTAGGAACTGCCTCCACCTTGTCTCCCTGGAGAGAAAGATTGCTAGGCGTGATTTGACCAGGAGGGCATCAGACATTTGTCAGAAGATAGAACAATTTGATACGAAGATCTTTGATATCTATATTCGTCTCGCTGTAAGCCTTGATGCGTTACCGTGAGATAAGCTGTGTTGACAGACGCTTTTGCAGATTTCGCATCACATCTTGCATGAAAGTCACCTGCGCACCCGACTTCGAGAATATCGCCGTGACGTCAGTCGTTCCCCTAGAGGAGAGCTTGACCTCTTGCTAACTATTTTGCAGCACAGGGAAGATATTGACCCAGAAGTGCTTCGTCAGTTGGGCGCTCGTATTCGCAAGGAGAGGACTGTCGTTGACATCCTACGGAACCCGAAGTCGCCCAGAAGGCTGTCAATAATGAGAATGAAAATAGACGAGGCCTATTCGTAGCCGCGATGTCCAAAGTTGGGTGCATCATCTCTGATGAAGTTGTGCACTTGATATCTGGGCTGTTTTTTTACATTTTTGATGTTTTTACACCACTAATGATAGGATGAAGTGCCCACACTGTAACGATACTTTAATGATAATGAAATATAAGGTTTTAATCTCGAAATTCTGAGGGATCTCGTACAGGATCTGTTGTGTAGCTCCGGAAGCTGTAAAGAACGGAGTGATCTCATCGAGCCATGGCCATGCGACGGCTGCAATGCCACACAACGCGTGGTCTGGCGTGGCTCCAAATATCTCTAGTATAGACTCACCATCCTCTTCAGCTTTCCATCAACTTGCACAACAATCCTTTTCTTTCTTCCTGATTTTTTGCTCAATTTCTGGTCGTTTCCTATCACAATCCATAATTTCTTCAGATGGCAGACATCCTCGTCCTTGGCGCGACAGGTGAGGGTCTTTGTTCGGCATAACATCTGCGCTAGTCTTCATGAACTCGATACAGGATACTCGGGTCGGCTCACAGCGCGGTATCTTTCCCAACATCCCCAGCGTTCGTCGTTCACGCTGGCCGTCGCTGGCCGATCACGCTCAAAGCTCGACGCGCTCGAGCTTGATGCTGGCGTGCAGGTCTTTGTGGTTGACGTCACAGACGAGACTGCCGTGGAGGAGCTGGTGAAGCAATTCAAGGTTATTGCGAACACGGTGGGGCCGTACTGGCGTTGGGGAACACCAGTCGTGAAGTACGTGTACAATGCCATTGGTTTAGAGAGCGGCGATAGAATAACGGCCGTGTCCTGACAGGGCATGTGCGAAGCATGGTGTGCATTACGTTGACCTGACCGGTGAAACGGTCTGGATATACGAAATCATCCATCTGTACGCCCTTGTCTTTCTGTCTCTTCGAGCCTCAACTGAACGACTCAAATGCAGCTTCGACTATCTTGCCTCGCAAACGCGTTCAATCATCATACCCTCCTGCGGTTTTGATTCCGTTCCGTCTGATGCCGTAGTCTTTCTCGCGAACAAGACTCTCAAAGCTTTTTCAGGACCAGACTCTGAGATCGAGAACAGCGTGTCAGCCGTAGAGATGAAGGGAGGTGTTGCTGGCGGCACGCTCTCTACAATTACGACAATGATGGAAGAGGTGCCCAAGAACAAACTTGCTCTGGCCAGGCGACAATATTCTCTGAGCCCAGGTATGTATATTCCACAACTTGGTCGTCGTCTCGCTTAACTAGACATCTTGTCCATCACAGTCTTGGGTCAACCTTCACCCCCGCCACGCTTCCATTACACTCTCCCTTCATCGTCTCCTGTCAAACATGGTGGGCTCTTCCTCCTGGCATCTGGCAACCGTGCCGTCGTCCAGCGAACTTGGGGTTTGCAACAATATCAACTGCTCTCGACGTCGATGAGCTCTGTACGCAACAAAGCGCTCGTGTACGGCCCTCAGTTCAAGTACGAGGAATTCTTGGTCAAGCCAAACGCATTTGTGGCCGTCACTAGCAGTCTCACAATCGCCATCGGTATGTTCTGCTTGGCTGTGTTCTCTCCGGTAAGTCTCCATGCGGAGTACATCCGTTCTGTACTAATCGGCAGCTTCTTGCCTTTACAGGTGCGATGGTTATTTAAACGCCTTGTCACTCAACCTGGACAAGGGCCGCCAGATCAGTTGCGTTGAGCAACGCTTTCACTTGTGCTCTGTCCACTCACCATTCTTTCAGTACCCTCAAAGACGGCTCTTTCGAGTATACAAACATAACCACGTCTGTGCCTGCACCTGGATCTGAACCTACTCGCGTGCGGACAATTATCCGTGGTAACGGCGATCCAGGTCTACTTCTCACTGCTGGTGCGTTAGATGTTTCCTGGATAGGCCGTACATTTTTCTGACCTTGGTTCAAACTTATCAGCAATGCTCGGCGAGTCTGCTCTTGCTCTTGCGCTGGACCAGTCGCGTCTTCCCCCGCTCGCACATAAAGGCGGTGTTCTTACACCTATGAGTGCGCTTGGCGATGTGCTCATCGACAGGTTGCGTGCCACTGGTGATTTTGCGTTTGATAGCGAAATCGTATTGGAGGAGACGCAAGACGGGAAGAAATCCCGGTGAACCTTCAATAAGCTTCGATGTTTGTGTACATATATGCCAGCTACGCTGACCATAATCGCGAGCTGCAGGTCATAGATCGTCGTGGAATTATAAGAACACTATAATTGTCTCTATACATACTTCCCTTTCTGCTTGGGCCTGGTCTCCAAGGGTACGTACTAGCGCATCTGGTGACGTGTTCGTATGGTCGCCGTATTTGTTTTTTCGTGTCTCTCGAAACACTTTACGTGTCCATTGTCTCTCTGATTGAGTATCTCTAACAAGATCACTTCTCACAGGTACCTTATATTCTGGAAAATCATGAATATTCCACCTGAAGAGGGCGATTTCGATGGTTTCCTGCTTGCGAAAGACTCGGTTTCCGAGCGATTTGAACGCATTTGTTGAAGCCCCACGGAGAGACACGATAGCATATCATTTGCACCTATCGCAGTGGTTTGAGTAGACTCACCGTGACTTCCAAAAGGCAATCAAGTCCAAATATGAGGGGGAACGCTGCCCCACACGACACGACCGTCGAAACAAACATAGAGGATGTGTGCGTGATTCTATTTAGTTCCAAAAGCCTGAGACAAAGCAATGTTAACAGCACGAATCCGCTCGATATCATTGTGCCAATCTGATGTGCTAAGACCTGAATTGGCCCAAGCTTCTCCCCGCGCTCGTACTCCTACATTCATTCCATCCTGTGAGGCTAAAATTATATCCCTGACATTCACATCTGTGTTTTGGACAGCGATCTGCTCAAGGGGTTCGCAGTGAGCCGTTGTCCGAGGAAATGGAACTATGAACGGCGGTAAATCGAATGCGACGCTGAACCTAGGTATACTGAAGACTCTCATCTCTTTTGAAATACGCTAGCAATCTGCTGAGAAATCAAAACCCGAACCATTCAAATCCAGATGTAGAAACCTAACTATCAGACCGCGGGTAAGTTTTCTATGAGCGCGATTCAATCACTGGGAAATTCTGTTCACTTACTGTATCGTCAACGGGCAACAACAGACCAAGCTCTGAAATCATAGAAAGCTGTGACCAGCTGGCTGTTCGAGGTAGTAATTCGACCTCCGCTACCAAACATGGAAGATCTGTGGAGATCTTGCCCACGTTCCAAAAGCTTGAGGGTACATAGGAGGAGTCGCTGACTGTAGCTTCCTCGTCATCCCTTGCGCGTCTCACTCGCAGGGGAGCAAAATCGTAAATGCAGACGGGTGAGTAATATTCCGGAAGAGCGGCAACGCGCAAGCCCGACAATCTAGGTTTTCGGTCTGCATCTTCAATCCACCCATTGGAGGAGACCTTGCGCGTATTGGATGGACCCCACATAGATCATGGTACTACGCAGTGACTGTCAACGTTCGCCCTAAAACACATGACGGGAAAACATATAGGGATGAATATGTCTATTGAGATGGTTTCATCGGCCAAATAGGGGTCCCGGTCGCTATTTGATGACCCCCAGATGTAGACCACGGCTAAGCCGCCAGTAGAAGACTGTGGGACAGGGTTAACTTGCAGCGAAACACCTTCCAGATCAAAATCCCAAAACGGAATCGGTAGCGCGAAGGCAGCGAAAGGATCGAATTCCTCCAGAAAATTTGCCGGAGTCATTGATATAGGCTTGAAAACGAAAAGAGTTGGCCCCTGGTGTTCGTAGGCATTCAATAGCACACAGAGGAGTTCGTCTGATAAAAAGCCAAGGCCTCATATGACGGGATAATGCTCTAAGTGGAGTTGCTATTCTATACATGTAAAGATCAGTACTGGGAGATTATCAGACACACAACTGACAATTTTCATTTCTGCCACTCTCCAATTCCATACCATCATTACCTGATTTCGGAACTTGTCAGGGCGAACAGGTCTGCCATCCAAAAGAGTAAGTCCGCTCATAAGAATCGCGACGAGGTTGCCTTGGAAAGGACAGTGGCGAAGTGATTGACAATGATAGCGTGTCTGAAGGGGAGGAAGACCGGGATGTTGTCCACAAGGCCTCTGCTCCTCAATGGGGAGTGAAACACTTGATCGACTGTGACGAATGTGGATTGTGACACCAGGCGATCCTAGACGTGGATTCGGATATGTATTGTAGACTCTTGGAACGACGCAGCTGAATTCGGAGGTCCCTGAGGAATGGTTGCCACCGTTCATCGAGAGTAGACATACTCGACATGACGAATGGCTCTGATCATCCGGACTAACAAGTTGCGAGAACATATCGTTAACGAAGACTAGCAGCATATAAGTGTACTTACCACGTATCCAGAGATACTGTAACGAGCAAGTCTTGAGAAGGATCAATTTGATAACCAATCAAATGTTCAGGAGATACTAATCAACGTCCCACTCTGCGCCTTCGATACCAAGAAGAGGTGAAGGAAATCGCGTGAGGCGGATGGTGCGCAATGATGGCTCAAGTATGCAAGAACACCGTGACAAAAGGTGATAGGCCTGGCCCAGTCAACAGGGTTGGATCCGGGTATAGATTTGTGGATCGTCCATTTCAGCGTCTTCCAGGCATGTTGGTATTCCCTGAGGAATCGGGGTCGATCCAAAAGGTTGACAGTGTTCGGAAGCAAGTGTTCGTCCAAACGGCTCATTTCCAGTTCAAATTCGTACTGAAGGTCGCGTACCTTGGTGACGAGGACATGTCAATCGCACCTGGAAGGATGGTCGCAAAGATGCCAGGCTGACGGGAGAAGATGTCACAATGCTCGCTTGTTTGTATCGAATGAGATTATGAGTATCGAGAGAATACAGGATTTTGATCAGGATTTCGCGAGGTAACGAAGAGATTGTGCGATGTCTGTGAGACATGGTATGGTAACGATCATGAAGATCGACTGTCCAACTTCGGGCGGGCAACGTAGGCACATGGGAGCCACGCGCGCGCCTATCTTTTGGACTTCCTCGAAACTCGTCCATGTCTTGTACTCGTACGCTTTCAAACTGCTTTCAGTCACAAATCCATGCAGCACGCCGACAGACACACTTCGATTGACTTCTCTGAATCCGCAGTCAGTGTTACATATACCCAGACCATAAAAGTCGTGTCATGCGACGGCCCTACTCACCTCCGATTCAACCTATGAGCCTGACTGTATGCGTTTTTGCTCTGACTCTGACAAGTTCACTGGAGCAGGATGTACCAGCAATCAACCAGCAATGAAATTTCATGAGCACGTTAATCAGTACATCGTCCGCACAGTAGAGAGAGCGGAAGGAGATACGCATGCTAACTCAGAGCCTGTCCAAAAAGGAGGCTATTGGCATGAGCTTATATAGATGTCGTCTATGGACACGGACATATATATTATCACACATCTCAGCAGATTGTGAGCTTTGTTGTAGATGCTCGGACTGCGCACGACATGATGCGACACGTCGTTTCAAACACACGATCGCAATGTATTTAGTTCGCGCTTACCGCGTTCAGTGACAATCGATCATCGTCACCATGTGAAGGAGACGGCGTAAGGTTATGTAAGGACTCGTCAGGCCTTTGGGAAGGCATCGGGACAGAATAGATAGCAAGGACAGGTCGGAAAGAAAGGACGCACCCACGCGGAAGACCAGCTTTCACCTTATTCTTCGAGCAGGGTTGACTTTCACAAGGACCGGACGGATAATGAAAACTCAATCAAGAAACCAGTCGCGCCGCGAGCCTCGAAACTAGAAGAGCTAACTCACGATGGCGTATCTGAAAGAGTGGACGCCTGAAGACGATGCCATGAATGTTGGCGGCTCCGCTAGAACCAGAGGCCAAAGAACGACGCTGTATGTTCGACACTTATGACAGACCGCTCGCGCACACTGACTCAATGACCCAGAACACGATGAGAGATTCATAAGAGAGATTTAGATTGGAAAAGAGATATCGTAAAACAGAGACGTGATCATGGAATGCATAGAGTCAACCGCAGCGCGATGAAGTTTGTCTGCGGCTGCGACTGCCGTGACGCACACAACTGGACAGGGCAAAAATCTCAGAAAAGAGAAAGCGCGGTGGTGAATGAAGACATACCTCGTAGAAACTCTTAAGCAAGCTCCTCAGAGTCCTCGATGCCGTACTGGTGGGGGACGCGCTTGGAGAGCTCCTCGGAGTCTTCAATGCCGTACTGGTGGGGGACGCGCTTGGAGAGCTCCTCGGAGTCTTCAATGCCGTACTGGTGGGGGACGCGCTTGGAGAGCTCCTCAGAGTCTTCAATGCCGTACTGGTGGGGGACACGCTTGGAGAGCTCCTCAGAGTCTTCAATGCCGTACTGGTGGGGGACGCGCTTGGAGAGCTCCTCAGAGTCTTCAATGCCGTACTGGTGGGGGACGCGCTTGGAGAGCTCCTCAGAGTCTTCAATGCCGTACTGGTGGGGGACACGCTTGGAGAGCTCCTCAGAGTCTTCAATGCCGTACTGGTGGGGGACGCGCTTGGAGAGCTCCTCAGAGTCCTCGATGCCGTACTGGTGGGGGACGCGCTTGGAGAGCTCCTCAGAGTCCTCGATGCCGTACTGGTGGGGGACGCGCTTGGAGAGCTCCTCAGAGTCTTCAATGCCGTACTGGTGGGGGACACGCTTGGAGAGCTCCTCGGAGTCCTCGATGCCGTACTGGTGGGGGACACGCTTGGAGAGCTCCTCAGAGTCCTCGATGCCGTACTGGTGGGGGACACGCTTGGAGAGCTCCTCGGAGTCCTCGATGCCGTACTGGTGGGGGACACGCTTGGAGAGCTCCTCAGAGTCCTCGATGCCGTACTGGTGGGGGACACGCTTGGAGAGCTCCTCAGAGTCCTCGATGCCGTACTGGTGGGGGACACGCTTGGAGAGCTCCTCAGAGTCCTCGATGCCGTACTGGTGGGGGACGCGCTTGGACAGGTAGGCGGCGTTGTCGTATCCACGAGCTACAGAGAGCGGTCAGTGTCTTTCTTCTGCACGGGCACAAGGAATTCGGCTTACCGATGACTAGTGGCAAGATCACAATGGCCGTCAAGGGCGTCCGCAACAAGTGATCTGGTCAGCGCACTGTCCGAGCATTGAAGCGGCATGAAGCTTACCTCGGGAGTGCGCAACCATGAAGAAGGCAGAGAGCATGACGAAGGCGCGGAACTGCATTGTGAAGAGACGAGGATGGATATGAAACAGACGAAGTGGAGGATGAGGCTTTAGTTGAGAGGTCAACTCGTGTCGTTCGGGAATGGGACGATGCTTTCTCTCAGCCTCGTCTGCACTCCTTATATACCTGCGTCGCATCACCTCTACTGTCTCCTGAGTCGCGCAAGTCTCAACTTGTAAGTCCTAGTCCCAGCGGGGCAGCTTCATGTGATGGGCACATCATGCCTTCACGTTTCAAAACACTCCGACGGCCTCTCGGAAGCCCCAGCGAATCCAATGGTGGCCTATCGCATCTCTCGGCGAGATCTCACAGGCTTTGGGGAGCTGGAGGAGGTGGTTGAAATCCCCGCGCCAACCGCACGGGCCACGCGAGATGCGGGCGCGGTAGATCGGCCAGGATCGACCATGCATTGCATCCTATTTGTCCACCTTCGCCCTGTCGGAGCGGGCTGGAGCGGGACGGTCGTCAAGCGTGCGAAGCCTCGTGAAGGACATTTGATCATACATACGCGTCATCCTGAAATTAAATACGAAGTCCATGGTGTTCGGACCCCCAAGGTACCATCGAGGGATCAAATCCTGAGCGGCTGCCACTCACGTATCCGTGCTCACCGCAGACAGAAACGGGACGCCGTACTGACGCCGTGCATGTGGCAACGTCGACCACACCTCGCGTGGTGACCGCCGATCATCCCGATGAACAGATCCGACGGAGCCAATGTCCGCCTATGTCCACTTGTTCGCCCGACGAGGATGGTGATTTCCTTGAAACACGGGGGGCTCAGTATCACGACAATCGAGCATATCCGCATCGGATTTGAGGCGAAAAGGCATATGTTATAGGTCAGGGTTCTATACGTTATTATTTAGTCTCTTAGACTCACTAAGTCCGTGATATTTCATAAAGGTTATCCAAATCCACACCTTAACTCGTCAGTAGTGCAGGGGACTGCAGGAGATTTGTCGTCGGTCATGTACCAAGTCGATTTCGACCCAGTATCTTCGACTCCGTCGGGGCGTCAGCAATACCAATGCGGATCCTGGTGGGAATAGGGCAACGAGGGAAGGTTTTGGATTCATCAAAGCAGTCATGCAGAGTCGTGTTTGCGCGACGAGCGACGAGACCTGACGAGACCCATTGGCTCGATCGTCGAATTTCACAACGCAAACGCAAACTACTAGGGGCCAACCGATTGTTGCGCCCACACCAGACATGCTCGAAGAGGCACTGAAGAGGGCGGCGAGGTATGTAAGAATTTGCTGTTCGCTGAAATAACCGCTTTTGCGTTTGTCTTGCGGCCTCCTCTTTGAAAAAGAGAAACTGAGACAAAATGAAAAGAAAACGCAAGTATTCGCAACTCACCTCACGGGCGTCCCTTTCCCGATCAGGCTGCTCCCGATTCCAGTGTCATGTGTCGAGCGGTGGACTCTAACAAACGAGCGGATGTCATACGGCGCGATCATCACTGCCTGCAAGGCATGGGGTTTTCCTGGGAAAGGCCTTGATGAATCATGTAGTAATAGATAGATAAACATGTTTCCACGAGTTTTACCAGTGACATTTGTAAGCAGTAAATGTTTGAATCTACAGATGTCACCGGTAAAACCCATGGAAACATGTTTATCTATTACTGCACGATATATCAAAGTCTTTCCCAGGAAAACCCTACGCCTTGAAGGCAGTGCACTAAGGTTAACATCGTCACCCGCACGTACCGGCCCAGTCACCATCAGCCTCTCAAGCCCTCCAGGTCAACCTTCCCTCCTCAGACTCGCCGACTGCCCCACCCACCCACCCGCCCATCCTACCTGAGCCATGCACGCCCTCGCCCTCGCCCTGCTCCTGCTCGCATCACCCCTCACCCTCGTCGGGCGCGCCACCAGCCACGGCCACGCGCACGGCGGGCCCAGCCCCGACGCCAGCACGCAGCCCGCCCGCGCGTCCTTCAGCGTGCACTTCCCGTGGGCGACGCGCAAGCGGTCCGTGCCCAGCCGCACCGGGCTCGAGGCGTTCTACCCCTTCTGCGGCGAGTGGGTGCACAACCCGCAGCCGTTCTCGGGCTACAAGCGCACCTTCCTCTCTTTCTCCGGCAACGCAGGCGACCTCGGTGCGCGCACATGCACCCCCCCTCCCCCCCCTCGCATCGCCGTCTGTCTCTCTGTTCGCGCGTGCTGACCCCCGGCCGCAGTGAGCGTGCACTACACGCGCGCGCGCGTCCCGCGCAAGCGCGAGGACTTCCCGTACGCGATCGCGGCGGACGTGCCGATCGCGCCCTCGGGGCAGCTCTGCTTCGACGTGCAGATGCCGACGCCGACGGTGCCCGCCGCGCAGTCCGGCACCGCGCCCGAGTATGGCGTCTTCCTCTTCTCGGCGCGCGACCCCGCGACGAACGCGACGGCGTTCCACGTGCGTGCAGTTCCCTCATCGCCTGTTCGGCGCGGGCTAGACGCGGCTGACTGTGGTTGTGGATTGTGGATTGTAGTGCTCGGACGTGATGCTCGTCGACGTCGTCGATCTCGCGCAGGATTACCCCGCGATGTGTGCGCGGAACAACGAGACGCTCGTCCCGATGCCTGAGGAGTACCTGTAGGCTGTAGCAGCGACCGTGGGGCGTGTCCGTGTCTGTGTCTGTGTGAAGCGGTGATGCTCGTAGGTCGTCGCAGTGTAGTATATTCGACGCGGCTTGTATTCGAGAACGGAATTGGGCATGCATCGTGTTCTATCGCGTTCTCCAGTGAGACAGCGTTCGCATGTCCATGGCGACGATTTTCATGGCGGACAGACGACGAGTGTAGGACGAGCAAGAGCGCGCACGCCGATGGCGGCGAGGTCCTCGATGCGAGGCAGTGGGCATTGAGCTCGAGTCAATCGTGCGTTCATGGAATGCGTCTGGGATCAACACGTCGCAAACGCCGTCTCCGGTGCGTGCGCGCGCGTTGTCGACTCATGCCGAGTTGGGCTCGACGGCTGCTTGGTAACACAAACGTGACTTTTCACACGGCCTTCACAGGAGGGCGCGTCTCGGCTGGCACGTCTCGCAGAAGACGATAGATATTACGGGGCGCGGTGCTATGTAGGTACCTGCAATTATGTGCGTGTGTATCCTCGCGCTCTGTTCGCCACTGCATTATTCGTGTCGGGAGCGTCCGTGCGTCGGTTTTCGTCAGAGACATGCGCACATGGCGCGTTTGGGCGTTGCGAGTCCTGCGTGGCGCCGCCCGGCCTCCCGCGGAGGCTTGTTGTGATTCATCTCAGTCGCGCTTTCTGGCGGTCCAGAACTGGGTCACTGGGTGGCGGACACGCGCGGCGTCAGCGCGCACGAAGAAGGGAAAAAGGAGGGGGCGAGCACGCACCATAGGTGAACTTGAGGAGCGAGCCGGGCTGGTGGGCGTACACGGCATCGATGGCGCGGCGCGAGGTGGGGTCGACGGCGAAGCCGACCATGTCTGCGAGGTGGAGGACCTCCTCTGCAGAGAGCTGGAGCTGGGAGTGGGTGCCCCACTTGAATGCTAGAGGGAGGGTGAGTGAGGTTATACGCAACGAGACAGAGGCGGGAAGCACGGACGGCCGAGGTTGACCCAGAGCCCGCCGGGCTTGAGGACGGAGTGTATGGCCTGGAGGAACTCGACCTCGTTCTCCGCGACGTCGATGAAGAAGAGGGTGGCGACGGCGTCGTAGCGCGTGTCCTCGCCGCGCTCGCGGTCGCGCTGGACGGCCTTTGCGAGCTCGAGGAAGTCGCCGTCGATCATGCGCACGCGCGGGGGGTCGGCGGGGGTGGGGTTCGGGAGGGCGTCGGGGAAGCGGACGGGGAGGAAGCGGTCGGCGGCGTTGGACTGGAAGGACCAGTCTGTGAGGAAGGGGTGGAAGGTGTGCGCGAGCGGGGCGGGTGTGTGTGTTGTGTTGGCGAGGTAGCGGTAGGCGAGGACGGAGCCGTAGTCGAGCTCGGAGGCATCGACGTGGAAGTCTGCGTGAGTGCGAGTGCGAGTGTGAGCGTGAGTGAGCGAGCGAGTGAGAGCGACGAACCTGGCTCGAGTGCGATCTCGTGTGCGAGGCGGCCGAGACCTGCGCCGGGGACGAGGATGCGGAACTGGTCCTGGCCGTTCTTCGGGAGCGCGCTGCGGAGGGCGTCCACAATGGGCCGGATCACGCGCTCGCGCTCCTCCCTGCCCTCCGCGCTCCAGTCCCTCACCAGGTGGCCCACCAAGTCCCCCACGATCTCGTTCCGCACCCGCACCGTCACCTCGTCCGCCTCGAACCCGTACGCCGCCCGCGCCGTGCCCGCGATCGCGCTCAGCACCGCCGCGTTCACCGGCACCAGCGCGTCCGCGCGCGCGAACTGCCCCGCGTAGTCGATCGCCGCCGCGTACGGCGCATGCGCCGCCGGCAGCCGCGCGAACCGCGCGTGCTTACGCGCGAGGACGCTCGTCGTGTGTTCGCCGTAGTGCTCGAGCGCCGTGATCGTCGTCAGGATCGACTGGTACGGCTCGCGCAGGGGCGGGAGCGCCGCCGCGGCGGGGCTGCCCTGGGGTGCTGGGTCGTGCGGGTGCTGTGCGTGCACACTGGGCGCGCGGGCGCCGTCGATGTGGACGTGCACGCCGTCGGGGAGGGTGATGGCGAGGGTGAGCGGGGAGTCGGACAGACGGCGGGCGAGGGTCCAGAGGGAGGCACAGGCGGTGAGGGCGAGGGCCCAGGCGAGGACGCGAGTGAGGCGGGGCATGGTCGTGCTGCTGGCTGCTTACTAGCCGCCCGCGCTAGGCCTCGATACTTATGCACCCCGGGGCTGACGGAGGCACGGCTCCGTCTCACCAGCGCTCTCCGACCACCTGGCCCCGTTTTATTGCCCCATCATTCCCTGGCCCTCCTGCTCCTGCTCCTCGCCCGTCCCTCCACCATGCGCACGCCCGCGTTTCTCCTCGCCGTCGTCCTCGTCGCCATCGCCCACGTCTCCGCCGCCGCCGCCGCGTCCGCCGCACCAAAGTGCCGCAAACTCGCCCTGCGCCAGGAATGGCGCACCCTCGCCCCCGAGCACCAGGAAGCCTGGCTCGCGGGCGTCAAGGTCCGCTCCCCTCCTGACATCCTGACATGCTAATAACTAACGTCCTCGTTCACTCGCCTCAGTGCCTCGCGTCGATCCGCCACCAGCGCCTCTCATTCACCGCCCAGGGCGAGCGCCTCCCCGGCGCCCACTCCCTCTACGATGACTTTGCCTTCACCCACAACGCGCTCGACCACTCGGCCCACCAGAACGCCTATTTTCTGCCGTGGCGTGCGTCTCCCCGCCGTATCTCGTACCGTCTTTGTTTATTTGCTGATCCCCCCCCTCCGCGTGCGCACGCGCAGATCGTTGGTGAGTCTGGCGACATCGAGCGCAGTCGCCCCGATCCGCTCATAGTCCTCCTCCAGGTTCGTACACCTCTTCGACACCTCCCTCCGCGAGAAATGCGGCTACACCGGGCCCACGCCGTACGTGCCCCCTCTCCCTTCCCCCCCTCGCCCCTTTTTCCACCCCAACGCACTCACGCGCGCCCCGACACCAGCTACTGGGACTGGACCCTCGACGTCGCCGCGCTCGCCGCCTCCCCGATCTTCTCCGCGCACCCGACCCGCGGACTCGGCACCACCGGCGACTGCACAGACGCGACGACCGACTGCCTCGTGCGCGACGGCGCGCTCGCGGCACCCGCGTCCGGCTTCGCGCTGTCGTACCCCGTCCCGCATGGCCTCCGACGCAACCTCTCGCTCTTCCCCGAGGCCGAGAACGACCCCGCCCCCGCCCCCGCCCCCGCCACCGACCCCGCCGCCCCGCCGTCCCCGCGCCCGCGTGCGCGTGAGCTGGAGAGGCGCGCGCTGGAGATGCCGATCAACACGACGCTGACGCCCACGCGCGTCGCGGCGGCGCTGCGCGATTCGGCGCCGGGCGACTTCTTCCGGTTCCAGTACCGCATGACGCAGGCGCACAACCGCGTGCACGAGTTCGTCGGCGGGGACATGGACGCGGAGTGTCCCGCCGTCGTGCCCGAGCCGCAGTGCACGGGCTCGTATTCGTCGAACGGTGCGTCGTTCGCGCGCGCGCGCGCGTGTGTGTGTGGAGGGCTCACGCGCTTTGTTCTTTGTTTCTGCAGATCCGGTTTTTTGTGCGTGCACGGCTCTCTGAGTATACATGCGCGCACGCGCGCTGACGGCTGCTTTACAGGGCTCCACCACACGCAGCTCGACCGCCTCTGGTCCACCGTACGTCCCCCCTTCCCCCCCCTCTCCCCTCTCCTCCCTCTTCGCATCATTCAACACGCTCACCGCTCACCGCGCATCGCATCGCAGTGGCAAGCCGCACACCCCGCCAACGCGCGCGCGTTCTCCGGCGTGCCGCTGCACACGCACAACGCGTCCGACCCGCGGTACGACGCGGCCGCGAGCGCGCAGCACGTGCTCGCGTTCGACCGGCTGTCGGTCGGCGTGCCGGTGTACGAGGTGCGTGCGCGCGCGATGTTTTTTTTTTTTCTTTTTTTGGTTTTGTCATCGTTTTTCGCAATGGTTTTGGTTTTGGTCTTTGGAGTTTGTCTTTGGGTTGGGCTTTGGGGTGTGGTCGCGCGGCCGATGTGTCGAGGTGGTGGTGTCGGGCGGGGCGGGGCGGGGCGGGGTTGTTGATTGGATCGGGAGCGGAGCCACGACGTCTGATCTCGCGCATCACGATTTGCTTTCCACCTCCCCTCAACTCCTCATCAAATTCCTCCGGATTTGACATCACCTTTATCGCTTGCGTTTCGTCTCTTTGATCTCGCCTCCTTTCCATTTCCCGCCGATCGCTGATTTTTTTGTTTTTTTGTTTTTTTGTCCGATCTGTTTTTGTTTTGTTTTCGGCGCTTTTTGGCATCGTCGCGCCTGATCTGGTCTCGTCGCTCCGTCGCGTCATCGCGTCATCGCGTTCTCGCGGGGGCAGACATTCGACCACGCCGCGCCGCCGTTCTGCTACGAGTATCCGCCATACGCGTATCCGACGCCCGCGGATCGCGACGCGGACACGGACGCGGAGGCGCTCAGGTCTGAGTAGGTCTGGGTAGGTCTGGTCGGGGCCGGGCGGGGAGAGACGGGTGGTTTGGAGTGTTTATCTCAGCACCGCCGACGCGGGGCGGGGAAGCGTCGGGGCTACTTACTGCTATCGCTATGCTTTACTCGCACAGCCACGCTCGAGGCGTCGCTCGGACTCAGGTACTTACGGGCTGCTTAGCGTCGGCTATGATCAGGGTTGTTACTTATTGGCGCGCGCGAGGGCCAGGAGCTGCCAGGAGCGAGAAGTCGGAGCTCGAAATCAGGAGCGAGGCGGCGTCGAAGCCGAAGCCGAAACGACGCCACGAATCAAATCGAATCAAATCGAATCAAATCAAATCAAATTGAGAGGTTATTCCACCGCTATTCCTGGCTATTTCAGTTTGCTTATCGCGCGAGGCGCCCCCGATCCGAGGCGGGGCGCTTAAGCTTCGTCTGTGACCAACGGCGTGCGGGGAAACAGGCGGCGAGACCCGCGGATCGGACGGGATCGGATCGGCGTCGCTGCTGGCTGGCGATCTCATCAGGGCCTCGAAATGAAGCTGAGCCGGGGTCCCGGGCACCGAGGGCAGATAGCGGATATTGGTGCCGATAGCTCCGTCGTCTCCCTCCGGTTGGTCATGCGTGAGGAGCGTGGAGGCGGAGTGGGGGCAGGCCGACCAGCGATGGTCTGCGCCGTGGACGGGCGATGTGGTAAGCACGCACTGACAGGGGAGCATCGTGCGTGTGATGCGATGATGCGCGCTCCAATGCAAGCTGTACCGCGCGCCCCGACGGCCTCGTGACCGCTCTACTCGCATAGCCTCCAGCGCGCTTACTCGCACAGGCGCCACCATCGTCTGAGCCTCCGCCATCGATCGCTCACCACTGCATCAGCCCCGCCTATCAGCACAATGTCCGCCATCGCCACCGACCCCCCGACCCTCCCCGCGCCCTTCTCCCCCGACGCCGTCGCAGGCCTCTGCCTCCACGAGCCCAAGTACTTCAAGGTCCAGCTCCAGTCCACCGCCCACCGCGCCGCCATAATCGCACACTGGGTCATCCCCGCCGGCGCCCGCGTCCTCGAGATCGGCTGCGGCCAGGGCGACACCACCGCCGTGCTCGCAGAGCTCGTCGGCGAGGCCGGCCACGTTACGGGCGTCGACCCCGGCGCCCTCGACTACGGTGCGCCCCGCACCGCTGATCGCTCGCGATCGCCCATCGCCGATAGCTGATCGTCGTCTGTCCGCTCGCTCGCCGCAGGCGCCCCGTTCACGCTCGGCCAAGCGCAGGCGCACCTCTCCGCCGGCCCCCTCGGCCCGCGCATCACCTGGGCCCACGCCGACCCGCTCGCCTTCCTCGCAGCCCGCGCGCCCGACGCGCCGCCCTTCGACGTCGCCGTGCTGTCCCTCTGCACGTGGTACTTCGCGTCCCCACGCGTGCTCTCAGCGCTCCTCGCCGCCCTCGCGCCGCACGCGACGCGCCTCTGCGTCGCAGAGTGGAGCTTGAGCGCCGCGCGCCCCGCCGCGCACGCGCACGTCCTCGCGGCGCTCGCGCAGGCCGCGCTCGAGCACCGCAACCCCGCGTCCGAGTCCAACGTGCGCACCGCGTTCGCGCCCGCGAGCATCGTGCGCGCTGCGGCGGCGCCGGAGGGCGGCGCGTGGACGGTCGTGAGCGAGGGCCGGTTCCGCCCTGCGGAGGGCACGCTGGACGGGCAGTGGGAGGTGCAGGCGGTGCTGGGTGGGGGGTTTGAGAGGGGCATCGAGGAGTTCGTGAAGGACGAGGGGGAGCGCGCGGTGGTGGTTGCGCTGCGGGAGGCGGTGCGGGCGGCGGCGGACGTGGTCGGGGGCCCGAAGAAGGTGGAGGCGATGGACGTGTGGTGCGCAGAGTTCGTGCACGCGTGAGAGGCGAGGCGTCGGTAGCCAGTGTATTGAATAACAAGTCAAGTGAAGCTCCTCTGGAGTAAACTATACGCGAAGGATATCTCAGGCTGCAGTCTGGGGGTCGCTTGCGAACGACTTCACGCATGCGCGGTCAACCACGATTCATTCCATTCATCGACATAGATTCCTCCTCTGTATATACTAGCCCATCACTGCCTCCGCACGAGCTCGAAGCCTGCCACACCCACAATCAGCACCGCACCGCACCCACGCCCGAAACCAGAACACCAACACAACACTCACCCATCTTCGGGAAGAACGGCACCTGCATGAACTCGACGTAGCACGCGACGCGCAGGCACCGCAGCTCGACCGTCAAGCGCGCAGGCCCGCCCCCGCCGCCGTGGCCGTGCATCGCGGGCATCGGGCACGCGAACTCGACCGTCGTCGCGTTGGGCCGCGCGGTGAGGTCGAGCGTGCCCAGGAGTTCTCCGCGCACGGGGCGCGTCGCCCAGGAGAGCGCGTCCCAGTCCATGTCGTCGACCGAGGCCATGCCCGCGCTGGGCGCGGCGCCGTGCGGCGCGATCACGGACCAGACCTCGATCTCGGTGACGTCGCCTTTGGTCGTGAGGTCCTGCTTGCGCACGCCGAGCGGGGGCGGCGGGGTCCACATGATGGCGCACCTGTCAGACCCGGTTTCGGGGACCGGGAAGCGCATGAGCGTCGTGTCCTGCGGCGTCGGTCAGCGCGCGGACGTGTGTGGACGGCGTGTGAGTGTGCGGTTTACCTCGACGGTGATCGTGACCTGGGAGCCTGCGCCGTAGACGGAGTGCTTGAGCTTCTGGCTGAGGCGCGCGATCTTGTCTGGCCACTGGTACGCGTACGCCTTGGGGCGCGGCATCGCCTTTGCGGCGCGCTCGAGGCCGAGGCGCTGGTCGGGGTACGGGAGGCGGCGGAGGGCGGCCTCGGACACTGCGGCGCGGGAGAGGGTGAAGGGGAGGAGGGAGACGTTGAGCATGAGGAGGGACGCGAGGAGGCCGATGAGGATGTACGACTTGAGGCCGAGGCCGGGGACGTGGTAGGTGGGGAAGCGCTTGTGGATCCCTGGGGACGCGGAGCGCGGGGTCGAGAGGAGCGCGTCGTCCTCGCCAGAGTCGCCCTCGCCGGCGCGCGCGAGGGAGACGTACTCTGCGCGGGGGACGTTGAGGGTGCGGAAGAAGGAGAACATGGTGTGGTGGGGGGGAGGGGGCGAGCGGGGCACGTCTTACTGTCGGGGAGACCAGACGAAATTCAAGGCGTGAGGACACGGCGGCCGTTGGATTTCTTGGATATCAATCGAGCAGTCGCGACGCGACGCGAGGGTGAGCGGATTGCAATTGCGGAGCCACGGGTGCGCGTCTACGCGCCCGATACGGATCTGACAAATGGGGCAAGCCCTGGCGGATCCCTTCACGGTACATAGCGTTTCACGCCTCGACGGTAAATTTGAGATCGGGGGTCCGGCTGTGCGGCGAGAGACGCGTGACGCCCACGGAAGGGATGCTGGGGCGGCAGACATACAACGCTGGGTGGCCCCCCAGGTCCGCACGCACATCGCAGGGCCTCTCTCGAGACGACCATAATCACCCATGATATTCCGCGCGCTGTCCACGCTCACTGCGCTCTCGCCGCTCGCGGCCGTCTTTGGCCTCTCCCTCCTAGTCAACCTCGTCGCCGTCCTCTACCAGCTCCATGCCCTGTATCCGATGAAATCCTACAGTGAGTGACCTTTTCGACGCAGAAATTGCCTCCCCGTTCGTTCGAGCTCACGTACCCTTCCTCAGCGTACCTCGGCCACGACCACCCACGCGAGCTCCCCATCGGAAACCTCCGCACCGTCAACATGGCCTTCCGCGACGACCCCGAGCACTTCGCGTTCTCCGGCATACAAGCCTGGGCCGAGTGGAACGCCATCCGCCCGCCCGCGGGCGGGTACGTCTACCTCGGGCAGACGTACCTCCCCCTCAGCGTCTCCATGTGGCACGAGCTGCACTGCTTGAACCACATCCGCACCATCATCGTGGTCGGGGACGACGGCTCGGACCACACGGAGCATTGCTTCCACTACATCAGGCAGCACATTCTGTGCGCGGCGGACACGACGCTCGAGCCGCGGACGCAGGGGGGCAAGGGCGTCATTCCGGGCGAGGGCGTCGCGCATACGTGCCGCGATTGGAAGCAGGTGGAGAGCTGGACGGAGGAGAGGCACAGTACGTGGACGCCAGAAATGGCGGCCCGGTTGAAGGAGTCGTCGCCGGTGATGAACAAGACGACGGAGGGGGGCGAGCGAGTAGCGCTGTAACGAGTCGTAGTCCACGTTGGTGCTTAGAATGTCAGGATGTGTCTGGACAACGCGAGCATCCTGAGACAGACAGACGAACGACTCGCCCTGATAGATGGTTGGCAAGCGAGTGGTAGAGGCATACGCGCCGCCTCGTGGTTGTGTTTGCTTGCCCACCCGCATGCTCGTGCAGATTCTGGCAGCGGTAGTTCACTGACTATAGCAGAAAAGTCGAAGATCGCCTTGGTTGAATACTTCGGACGGCGCGTACGGTGATAATCTTTTGCATCCCACCGCGTACGCGACGCGTCGGTGGCGGCGCACGAGCAAGCGCTAGACCACGACTGCCCGGGCAAAGGAACTCCGACCTACTCCGACATGTCCCGTGGGCCGACGCCTGTCCATGCGCTTATGGTAAGCGCTTAGCGAGCCTGAGTCTGCAAAGCTGCACTGCTCATCCACCATCATCCAAGACTTCCTCACGGAGACGCGGCGGGCCGACGTTCACAGCACAGCGCGGACATCAGCTAATCATGAAATTCTGGGCATCGCACCCCCGCCCTACGCCCGCGCGCACGTTCATGATGAGCACTTCGTCTGAGTATCATTTGTCTTTCTCTATCAGCTACAGGGACCAGAAGCGTGCGCCTTCTTAATTTTGTCCATCTCACCATCGGGAAGCTGCAGGAGGCCGCGAAAGGACGCGAGATGGGGTTCGCAATCCTGATACGTATTTGGCCTTCTGCATTTCAGCGGCCTGCTAAGGTCGAGCCTGGTCGAGTTCCGCATGGGTTTCGTATGTCATTGTGCCTCCATAGGCTGCTCCAGCCTGGAAAACAATTCGTCTCTTGGGTGCGGATCACGCGAGAAAGTCATAGCCCTGTTTTTCAGATTACACACTGTGCTCTCCTTGAGGTGAAAATTTGACTTGACTACTGGTTCCATCTTTCTGTTCAGTAGGTGGTCCCAGGCGACAAAGCGGAGTTGGGCTGCTTGCGCTCCTCAGCACTTCACAAGATACTCCCTCCGTCATCCCAGGCAAAACGTATCTTCCGGACTCGAATCCAACCATGATCAGCGGTCCATGTTCAGGCTTGGGCGGCGTCCTGCGTGAATATGTAATGTTTTCTGCATAAGACGACATACGCGTGAAACGCGTCCGAGGCGCGGATCGCAGACGACATTTGGTGTGCTGCTATCGCGAGTAGTGGGCCCGAGCTGAAATTGGAGGGAGGTGGAGTGGGCGGGCTAGCGAGGTGCGATTTCATACCCGCTGTAGCATATTTGCATTTCGCGCGCGAGGAGGGGGTCGCGAGCGTCATTGGGGGGCGGTTCCAAGCGCGTGAAGGTCGAACATCTGTAGGTCATGTCTGGGCGTTGAACGTTGCTGCTGCAGAGTCACGGCAGTACGACGGCGTCCCTCCCTTCAATGCAATTGGTGTCTCCGACGCTGAGCAAGAACAATCATAGTGATTTCGTGTAACACTTGGCACTCGGCCGCTACAGACCCTCACCCATGGCGAGGAACGTGCCCTCTACCAACTCCTCCTGCAGATTGACCATCTCCGGAGTCCACTGCTTCTGCTGATCGACCGTCCAATCATATAGCTGTCTCCAGTCCCTGCACGTATGCGACTTGTTCACCGTCGGGGCGACTGTGCCCTCCCCGTTCGGGTTCACCATGCTCGACCCGCCCTCCTCGAGTGTCAAGTCGCCGCGGCATATCAGCGACTGACGCAGATAATGGAAGCAGTGCTCGGTGTACGGCGTCCCATCCTCCCCGTCCAAAAGTATCTGGCGGATCTGGTTCAGGCATTGAATCTGGTGCCACATGGAGACGCCGAATGGGAGCGGGTTCTCGCCAAGGTAGACGTCGCCGCCGTTGGGCGGGCGCAGCGCGTTCCACTCCGCCCACGCGCGGTCGCCCGCCATGGCGTAGTGCTCCTCGTCGTTGTGGAATGCCATGTTCACGCTGCGCAGCTTGAGCGGGAGCTCGCGCGGATGGTCGTCGCCGAGATACGCTATGGAGCACACGCGCACGGAGGCACATGAGTGGGGGCGCGTCGGATAATGCGCTGCGGCGACGTACTGTACGAGGGCTTGTCTGGCGTGATGATGTGGATCTGGTAGAGGATGGCCGCGATGTTGACGAGGAGAGAGAGCCCGAGCCCGACGAGCAGCGTGCGCGACGGGGCGCGCCGAGCAGGCGAGGGCGGCGAGGCAGATTCGGACTTCATGGGCGTTCGTGAGGGGTTTGCGCGTGCGCGGAGAGGAGGCTGCTGGCGTTGATGTTGAGTCGCCACCAGGCCGTGAGCGCCTGGCCCCTCGAACGAGGTCCGACTAGCTTCCACTCTGGCCAGCCAACGGGAGCGCACATCGCGACGGCGAGGACGCACGCTTCGATTGTGAATTGCAGAAGATCTCAGGGTGGACGATCTGCCGCGAAGAGCACGGAAGGCCCGAGATCTGCGCGGTGCGATTGAAATCCAGATGCCCCGGATTTAGCGGGCCTGTTTGCCCGCCAGGATTTTATGACCGGGGGAGCTAATGGCAGCTAATGACTAGCTAATGTCGATTTGTCGTGAATATTGAATGTTGAATCGCGGCATTTGATTTGTACGATATGCGATGTTTTTTCCTATCAGGTTGCAACTACGACATGACACGCGAGCGTGAGCGAAGAGACCAAGGCGGTTCAGCGGGCTTCGCTCGACCCGCATGGATGCTACGGAGTCCGCGGGTATGCTGTAATGTGCGTGGTTGAACGAATTCAATTTTGGGAGATTTTGAGAAGAATCTTCATTGGAGCTCAAGGCGCAGAAACTCTCAGAAGGCGCCAGATGCTGCCAGATGGCCTTACATGCTGACGTCGAGCGTCATGATGTATGACGCGGAGGGCTTTCGCGCACTCAAGCACTCCTCACACTATCGCTGGCAGGTAGTTGAACTAGCTCGCATTCGAGCTCATGTCCCTTCATTGGGATTGTGTCTGATTGTTCAGCGACATATACGTGAAGAGCACTTCATTGCAAGGAGAAATGGCGCACTACAGCAGTCTTCGACAGAGATTGAGCCTGAAATCTAACGTTGTGTAGGGGCCATAGTCGACCCATACAGGAGTTAGGTTATTGCTTGCGAAGATCATCTGTGAGGGGGCAGGGAGGAGCATGAATATCAAAGACGTGGGCGGTATATTCGGGAGAGCAGTCGCATGTGTTCATCCTGATCAGCCTGTGCGTATCCTGGACGATAAACAGGTTAGATGCGCCGGAGGCAAACTTCGAATTGTCCATTATGCAACCTGATCGATAGGTCTGCAACTCAACTTGAGCCGCGCTTGCCTATATTACTGTTCGGTACTCACTGCCTGTCATAGCTCTCCACCATAAGTTTCTCACCGACGAGGTCATTCAGTTCTGTGACTTAACCGGGTGATTCTCAAGTTCGACGCAAGTGATTTTGTTTCCCTGGCATGATTCCACTTCCAGTGTTCAAACTTGAAACCTCGATAGTTCCACTGTGCTAGACTGTGCTTAGCTTCAGTACATATATCAGCAGATAGGAATTTGACTGAAAATATACACACATTAATTGGAGATCACTGATGGCCAAACAGCGGAAAGCTCCTGGAAAACTGCACGAACTGTCAGAGAAGCACTGCGACAGACTGCGACGACTGAAGAGTTGGAGGTTTTGGGACACGTGACCAGCAGACTTACCTGTCGACCTCGAGTCGCGTAGCCTGTACCAGTTCATCTCATTTGCTTGCCTTTGTCCCTGCGATATCTCGTATCAGCCGTCACATATTGGATGGATTTCTTCTCGCAAACAATCGTAGCCTTTCGTGGCCCCACCGGCGCACCACAAACACCATTGGATACGATTGGTCGACTCAGTGACCGCCTCTCCCCATCTACTCTCCTTGCGGACCGTCGTGCGGCAGTGCTCTCACTCAAAGGCCTCGCCAGAGACCACAAGAAGATTGTGGGCGAACAAGCCCTATCAGGTCTTTTGGAAATCATCCAGAACGACGCCGATGTCGATCGAGACATCGGCAAAGCCGCTCTAGAGACCGTTAACTTCCTATGTGATGTGGTCGACATGGAATCAGACCAGCGCGAGCTCGGATACGCCCACTCTGACCGAGTCCTGGAAAACCAACGGACGGCTCACAAGCTTTTCTTTCTACTCGGAAGCCAAGACTTCCACGTGCGGTATGGGGCCTGCGTTCTGTTGACAACACTTCTCCACAATCGGCCTCAAGCTACGCAGGCGTATTTCTTGAATGCACCTATAGGGCCGACCCCAGTAGTTTCATTGCTAGGGGAGTCTAGGGAGATGATGAAGCGAGGTAAGTCAATAGATTATCGTGCCATTCTTTGTCTGCGAAGCGCGCGGTCTCGTACATCCGCTTGTTCCACGGCACAATCTCTCGAACATGTCCTTTCCAAAGCCAGCGAAGCCAATTAACCTGGCAAGTACGCGATTTGGGGCTTCCAGGTGAGCTCTGTTGTAGCATAGTGTGTATAGATCGCTGAAATATGCAGGTATGATGTTCAAAGCGCCTTTCATGGGCCAGAGACTGAGTCAAATTGTGCAACATCGATATTCCACATCTTTTTACTTCATCGAACGAAATTACGTTTCGCATGGCACATTGTCCCATCTTATCATTCCAAGCTCTATTGTCTCTAGTCGTCTTTCGTCTGACACAATTTTCTCGTCATAGAGGCTGTGGTGCTCATCTCAGCAATGATTAGACAAAGTCCTGAAATCCAGAAAATTCTGGCCTTCGAAGGCATCTTCGAGAAGCTATTCGGTATCATAAAGCAGGAAGGCGGCCTTGATGGAGGCCTGTTCATTGAGGACATATTAAAGGTCGTAGATACTCTTCTTCGATACAACACATCTAATCAGGTAAATTTTGCTGTTGCGATCTTAGGTAGACTGATCGAACAATTGGGCATTATAGAACTATTTCCGCGAAACGAATATCCCTTCGCTACTGTGCTCACTTCTTTATTTCGACCCCAACGTTCAGTTACACGAGCAGGTCCCTCAGGAATTTGCGCTTCAGTTCTGGAATCCATCGAAGGCAAACTGTGCCTCGTTGATACTTGAGACTGTTGGTATGCTCCTAGGCACGAAGGGGACTGGTGTGAGTGTGCTATCAACTTCGACCACAGGAGCGGTGTTCAGATCGTATACATCTCACAGCTGAAGGAGGGTCCCGGTTTTACACGTCTTTTAATTGAGATGTCATTGGCTTCTAATGCGCCCACTGTGCTCAAAGTTCGAGTATGTATCTTGGAATATCCCATTGTCAAAACACAATTGACTGTTCTTCCGTCTAGTGCCTCACTTTGCTTCCTGCAAACGCTGCTGTTTTGCTTCCGAATATCATGCTTAATCCATACGTACCTGTTCCCGAAACCAATGGGGAAGAATGGGATCGACTAGAGCCCGCCACCGGTATCGACGCACTCCTTGAGCTCGTTATGCATGGGGAATATAACGGTTTGGACGCTGTCAGCAGAAAGAGGGATGGGCTAGATTTACGCGCTGCCGCCGTTGGCGTATTCGAAGTACGATCTACGGCATCAAACAGCTCCCTTTCGCTTATCAGGATTTTAGAATTTCCTTCGCGAGGATCGTGTCAAGGAGGCTATCGTTGCTGGAATGGTCCCTCCCGAAGATGCAGGCATGTACTCTTCCGCAGCTGAAGTACAGATAAACCAATTTGTTCGCAGGTCCTTCTGCTCGTTCTCCGATGACTCCACTGCTCTTTGGCCTCATCCTCCCACCCCGATCACCACCTGATCGCATCAACGTCGTATCATTCCAGTTTGCAACCATCCTTTTTGCACACCTCGTGCGGCACGCGCCGCATTGTAAGTCAATCGCTCGCTCAATTATCCCACCAGCTCTTACCTCTACGGAGGATGTCGCCCCTGGAGGAAATTTCTTCGTACCGGCTGATGGCGCGCCGCTCCCTCAAAGTCAGGCGGAGCTTGAGCCTGAGGAGCTTGACGAGCCGCAAACGCTACTGCAACTGCTGACAGAACACTTGTCGCTGTCGTTCCTTTCGCGATCTCGGGATGGTCTCTCAGATCACGAGGAGAGGGAATGGGATCGTGTGGTTGTCAGCTACCTCTCCCTTTTGAGCCAATGGTTATGGGAAGATCCGAAAGCGGTGCGGGAATTTTTAGAAGGGGGCGGCATGAGCATGGTAACGTGCCTCTTCTTTACAGTGCGCATCAATTCTCATGTGTATGTCTAGTTAGTTGAGCAGCTTAACCAGCCTTCGGAAATCGACGTCGTAATTCCGGGTCTTTGTGCGTTCCTACTCGGTATCTGTTACGAATTCAATCGCGAACCGGGCGAGATCACACGGTATTCAGGCATTGTTTCCAGATCGGCCTTGGAAATACTCACATCTAATCATGCAGACAGTCCATCTATCCGCTCATACAACGTCTCGGTGCAGACGTTCTCGTAGGGCGGGTGAACCGAGTGCGCGAGGACGAACGGATCAAGATCGTTGGCCCTGAAACATGGGTACTACCATCTCCAACACCGAAAGGCCTAAACCCCATGCTCAAGCCGATGTACGAAGGGGAAGCTGAGATGTGGTTCGATTGGGCGTTTGTGGATTTCTGGAAGTCTAACAATTGTATGTCCACCCCGTTTTGTTGCAGAGCCAAATACTCAATACAATATTGATCTCAGACACCATCCAACGTGGGCTTATTGCGGATCCCGCGTCTGCGCCCTCGTCGGCTGGTATGTACTTCATTCATGTCTTAGTTGTGTGGACACTCAGACAAGTGCGTTTATAGCCCAGAGTGGGGAGGAGAGCATGCTGGTAGCATCTCTGCGAGACATCATCTCCAAACAGACGGCAGAGATTGAAAGATTGCAGAGTAAACTGAACGAGCTGTCCGCGTCTACTACCGGGCTGGAGTCGGTGAGTGCCGTTCTTTTCTCAGCGTCTGGAATTCCTGATCGATATTGTCGTGCAGGAACGGACGGCGCTGCAAGATCAGGTAGCCTCGCTGAGTGCCGAGTTGGCGGCGGAACGCTCGAAAGAAAGCGAAGCAGAGAAGGAGCAGGAGGACTTGCTCGTGCTCCTGGACGAATTAAGCACAAAACGCTCACGGGACAAGGGGCGCATGCGTGAGGCTGGGCTAGAAGTATCAGAGGATGAGGGCGAAGAGGAGGACGAAGATGAAGATGAGTAAACATTGTTGAGAATTGTTCTGGACTGTGATCGGATGGATCTCTGCGGGTAGCAACAGGTTTGCCTCGCAACTCACACGATGCCTTTGTATCATCTTTGTGTTCAGATTGCGATTATGCGAGTGCCATAGACGAGGGGGAGGGGGGGGCTTTGAATTGAATGGCATTCCTCCCAACTTGGCCTTGCGGCATAGTTTTCGTAGAGGGTCCACGGTAATCGAAAGCTTGAACGGTTCAATTGCTATTGTACAACACTGCTTTGATTCTGCCTCTCCGGTCACGACTCTACAGATCATCCATCATCCCCAAAGATGGAGCTTCTCGTTCGGGATCCCGTCGATATACCTGCTCCCCTTCACGGTGTGCGTCTCGAACACGTTGTCAATCTCAGTCAACTCCTCAGGAGAGAGCTCTATATCCCCTCCGGCCAAGTTTTCTAATGTGCGCTTCTTATTCCTGAATGTGGCATAAGTCTCAAATGAGAATACGAGCACAGGCATGCACGTACGATGATCCCGGAAGAGGTAAGACGTGCGTGCCGAGAGAGCCAACCCAAGCAATGGAGAGCTGGGCGGCCGTGACTCCTTTCTTGTCAGCGATGGCTTTCAAGGCATCTACGATGGCAAAATTATGTTTGAGGTTCTGAGCGGGGCCATCAGCATATGACAGGATAAATCCGTCTTGAGTATTACTATACCTCTTCTTTGAAGCGGGATAGGTTTCATCGGAAGTCGCCCTCTGATCACAAACAGGATCAGAAATGAAACGGAGATGGGAAGACTGAACAACGGGTATTCGACCTTCAAAATCATCGACCCTTTTGACCTGGCCGGTCAGGAAGCCTCTGCCAAGGGGACTGCGGGAGATGTCAGAGATGCATACACATTTGAGACTAAACAGGAACAAACGAGTATCCGACGACAGCGATGTCTAATTCTTTGCAGGTCGCTATGACTGGTTTTCAATGCGATCAGTTCGCACCAATTTATTTGTTTTAGATGATAGGCTGCACCATCCTTTGTTTCTTGAGTGTATGACCAAGGGCTGACCTCGATTTCGACAGCAGCAATTGGGGCGATCTGATATTCAGGAGCATATGCTATCAGCGATTTTTTATGATTCTTAATTTGAGAATAATGGAGGAAATTATTTTTACCGAACTAGCCCGCTTGATGGTATTGGCATGACATTCTGATAAACCGATGTAGTCGAACTTTCCTTCTGAAACGAAGCCAGAAAGGACCTTCACTGTCTCCTCGACAGGGTAGTTATGGTCAATGCGAGCCGTCTCGAATAAGTCGAGTTTCTTCTTTCCACGAAGTTTCTCGAGAATGGTGTCGACACTGCGTTTCAGGTTCACCGGGCTGAGAGTACTCTCAGAAAATGAACAGATGGAATCAGTACCTACTTACGAACTGTCAGGAACAAGGGAATTGGCCTTTGTTCCTCCCTGAGTCCAAAGAATGAGTTTCCGATCATTGGCCTGCTCTAGACACATTGTACCTTCACCGAGAGAAAAGCTTTATCGGCATAGGTAGGGTATTTCTCAAAGAATCTGGACACGAGCTCTAGATTGGCAGTGACAGGCTTTACACCGTAAAATTCGCCTATATTGACATATGATCAGGAAATCATTCAAAAACAGAATAGATACGCTGACCGCTATTGATCAACATCTTCACGCCTGAAGGCAAACTATCTAGGCCAGCTTTGATTGCTTCAAAAGCATCTTCGTCAGGAACAGGAGTGGGCTTCCATCTGTTCAATCAAGTTTGAATCAAGTATAAATGGCGGTGAACGAGAAAACTACAGACGTCATCATCATCAATCCATGCTATCGTTCAAGAAAGAGAAGAGAATCAGCAAGGATAAGTCGTTGGGATTTGAAGGCGCGTACACCAGTCTTTGCGACGACAACGCGCCCGCCTAGCTTGACAGTTTTTTGAATCATATCACAAGAGTTCCTCTGAAGGGTGAAAAGGGTGAGAGGGGAGATTGTTGGCTGAGAAAGAAAGTCCCGACAAGTCTTTTATACTCAAGAGTGTCAGTCCGGTTAGATGCCGAGACAGGCAAGCAATGACGACAGTCGCCGTCACGGCATCCTGGCAAGTCGCGGGCTCGAGTGGGTACCTTCAGCCAGCGAACTCCGACCCACCAAACGTCGTACGCCACAGTTCCAATCAACCACTAGCGCTTGACTCAGAAAAACACCGTGTCTGAGCAGCGGACGAGTACGTGAACTACCAGCACATGTTGACAGTCTAGACCATCGGCTTTTAACAACTTTCAGTGGCTGCCACCGAGCTGCTGAACTTCCGCACAATTTTACATGACTCGCTAGCCTCAACTGGATGAACAGTATAAATCAGCACCAGAGACTTGGTCAGAAACATGCTAGAATGAGAGCATTCCACCGAATCGCTTTTTGACAACCTGATTCAAGCGCATCTTCACATCCATGTACGCATCCCACCATTCCCGTCCGACAGCTTCCGCAGGGTCCCATTTTAGATCTGGATGTGGATCTTGAGACCTTGGGTGTTCCCAAAGTCCCCAGGTTCTCTTCAGCAACACTCGCCACCACCGCATCACCCCTACCGCCTTTTCCACTCCGGCATCCGTCTCGACACACCGAACCAAGAAGCGAGAAAAATACTCCACGTCCTTTGAGTGGGGCGAATAATCTTTGAAGCCCTCGACCCATTCTCCAAGTAACCGCTGCACATCATCTCCTTCAGTAAAGGACACTGTGGTCCCCTTCTCTTCGCCTGGTTGACGCAGCACGGGATGAACACTGAAATGCGCGCGGGGCGGAGGTGGGGGAGGTATATGCGATCCCGGAGTACGAGAATGCAAACGGGGCCCCGCACGCTTTGGAGGCTTGAGTGGTTTGAGAGGCTCGACAGATATCAATGGGCCCCGAGCTTGCGCAAGCTGCTCTCTTTGCACAACAACCGGGAGCGCGGCGAACACAGCGGGATCGATATTGAGTTCGCGTAGTTCCATTTCTGTAACATGTACGGCCGAGGAACTCACGGCCGCCCCGAACAAGGAGCGTTTACTGGGAAAGGTGACTCCCTTTGAGCGCGGAGCGAGCTGACGAGTGATTCTAGCAAGATTGGCTGGTGGTTTGTCTCGGAGAGGAGGTGGAGATGCAGGGGCTGGGGATGCAGATTTAGAACGACGTGTATACTCTGCTTGTAGTTCTTCTTGGAGATCGGCAGGAAGCGCATTGAATACGGACAAATCAACCTGGGAGAACGAGGGCAAGTCTGATGCTGATGTAGGGTTGTCTGCGGCGGTATTGACCTCGACAACATCGCTGTTCTGAGAAGGTGGATGCACTATGATCGTGACTTGATCATCGTGCTTGACCGAGGACGGTCCGGCCTTGCCTAGTGCTTCTACTAGCTTGAATCCAAGTCTTGCTTGCCCCGGCGCGGGTGCTGGAGCAGCCGTAGTTTCGAGCTTCTGAATTTGAATACCGAGGCCGCGTAACTCCTGAGGTGGTATGTTGAAGGACTTGAATAGCTTCCATGCTTGAGCTCCGATAATCTTGTCGTCACTTGTGGCACGGCCATTGGCACCAGCTAAAGGGGACTGTTTGTTGTATGTGAGGCAAAGGCCGTGTCCCATGAACTGAATTGAGCACATTAGGTCTATGCAAAAGTGAGAAATTCAGAGAGAATACCTTCGGCGGCTCGACAGGCGCGGTTGGATCACGCTTCATGACTTTTATTGTCAAGGACCGCCCTTTCATACCGACATTGTTGAGCCTGCGCGTCACCTCTTCCGCCATCTGGTACACGAACATCTCGGCCTGCTCGCTGTCTTCGAAGCGGATTCCGTACTGTATGCGCCATCAGCATGACAAGCGAGTGGGATGACAACTCCTTACATTGATCTCACACGAAACCGACTTCCTCGGTTTATCGCTCTCAAGCTTGCGCTCATCTACGCCTCGGATAGCCTTGTAGAGAGTCTCTCCGGTGCCCTTTCCTAGCGCTTCGCACAACATAGCCTTACTGCGCTTGGACAGTTCGCCCAGATCAGTAGCTCCAAGTTTTTCCTGAGCTTTCTCCCGTGTAGACCATCCGAAGCCGTGTAGGTCCTGTATATCTAATCGAGACATAAATTCGGGGATATCCCTTTGAAGCAGATGATATGACCCTGCTGGTTTAGCGCGACGGGTCGCGAGGCGAGCCATCATTATATTATGAGAGATTCCGATGCTAACTGGAGACCAACGATCAGTGCCTGTGAGTACTTTGTCAAGGAGTTGAGATATAAGAACCTTCGCATCCAGTTGCATCCTTGACTTGTGCGCGTATCACCTCTGCCAATTCTTTCGCAGGATCGATAGTCAGGTCTGGTCCGCCTTCCTCATCTGGATAGAGTACAGTCATCTGCGATATTTTCGAAGTGACTTCTATGAGCGCCTCGTCCACAGAAACGGCTTGCAGGTCATCCGCATGTGCCATGAGGATGGTATAGAATTTGAGCGAGAACTGTTTGTATCTATCATCGGGTTTATGGCTAATACTTTACGTCTGAAACAAAAGACGGACCTCTCAAACTCGTACGGGATTGTGAGCACCGCCGGACACAGGGTGCGCGCTTGCTGGAGACTGAGAATCCATTCAAAATTGCTATCAATCACACGGAACCTTGTGCGTAAACTCAGCGAGCGTACCTCATACCATTCTTGATTCCAAACTTTCTTGCCTCGTAACTCGCGCTCGCAATCTCACTCGTACTCGATGCACCACCTTGTGCACCTTGCGAATGGCACACCACTGTTGGTTTCCCCTTCAGGTGGGGCCTGCCGATGAGTCCTGCAGACACAAAGAAGGCATCGAAATCGCAGTGCATGATCACTCGCTCCACATCTCCTACTTTCTCCTTGCCCTTGCCCTTCAGAGGGTTCTGGAGCACTAGCTCTGCACCTCGCATGCTGACGCCATCTGTTCTTGAGTGCACATGCAGATCAGAGCCAGGGATCGCTCCGCGCTCTGCGCGCTCCTGAGCCTCGATAACAAGTGTCTTCAACTCGATTTTCCAGGTGGACAGATGGTGTAGGCGTGAGTTCTTGTAATACCCTTCGATGAAATCGGGCGCAACGGACGTATGTGCAGCTCGCCATACCGGATCAGCCATCGCTCGTGCAGCGCTTTCGTTGGACTTGTGGGCGGCATATCCGGGCATGCGGCTGGCATGGGTGGGAGAGACGGGGTTGGTTGTATGTGGCACATGGGACGGCTTTATTTCCCGCTTGGTTGGCGTATGAGGGGATGCTGACAAGTCAGGTGCAATGGAAATCTCAGGCTCGTGAGTAGATCCATCAGCATCATGATATATCGACGATGTTGATGAAATATTCGTTTTAGTTGTTATACCACCTGAAGTAACTTCGACCTTTCTTGTGGGTTGCTTGACGAAGCCTTGCAGAGATGACTGAGCAACTTGACGGCCTTGCGATTGTTCAACTCTTTCACCGGGTTGGAAAATGTAATCTTTCCAATCCAGCAGGGTGCCTGCCTTGGCGCTTTTGACCAGCCATTCGGGTAGAACGACCTTCATGTGTTTAAACTCACTGATCTTCGCCGGTGTCAAGGAGCATGTTATTATATGTGTGCTACATGGTGAACGTCTCCATCAGTGAGGAAGATGGTGGCCCACAGAAAGAACTACTGACACTAGAGCCTTCTTATCTAAGTACGCATGGTAGACCCCGCCATGTTGGACAATTAACCTCCGTAATTCCTGGACAGAAGGTTCAGTCCGGCCATTGATCTATCGGACTATTTTCAATAAGAGATGTGAGAAGGAAAATGGCCGAGGACGCACGTAGATAGCTAACCCCTTGAAAATCTTACTTCTTCCCGATATTCCATCTGGTTCATCGTCCAACTCAGTATTTTGAAGCTGAAGCTTAGCGCGTTTCCGGTGCATATATTCGCCAAGTTGACCGAAACGCGATGGCCCATACGTGTGGGTGTCCATATATGAGGAATCATTATCACTTGCGAGCATGGGTAAAGAAGAGTCCGATGGCAATGCATCATCGACGTCCGGTGAACGACGGCGTTTGAGTCCTGGCTGTGTGCATGACGGCGGTACTACGGCGTCAAGTGCATCAGCCTCAGCCATCTCCACATCGCCAGGAAGTACGGTATTGTGGAGAGCCTCGAGAAAGTCGGGATCATCAGGGCCAAAGAGATCTGACGATGCTCCAGAAGAACGTAAGAGTGGACTAGACATGGACAATGGCGACGTAGGGCCGTAGACGAGTGACTGTTTCCAAAGAAGGTTGCAGCGAGTGTCGGCGCAGTGGTGAAATGACCTTTGATCATAGAGGAATGACTGTCCACGGCATCAAAGGGTTCTGCCGACTTGGACGAATTAAGAATGTTCAGTGAGATTCCACGCTAATGAATAAACGGCACTATCATTGTGGAGGGCAGAAGAACAGCGAGCAACACACTGCGACGCGAGCAAGTCGCGAGCCTACAAGCAACGGCATCCTGTTTGTCCTCACCAAACACAAGTTCCACGTGCTCTAACGCTGGTTCGAAATTGCCCAAGTCGACTCGACCAGACTCGACCACTGCTCCACCGACTCATTCCGCGAATTTCACAGGAGAGGAGGATCCGAGGGGACACACCAGCTCAGGTTGACTACTGTTATAGTGAGTCTCACTTTGATGGAGCGATCACTGTGGCCAGATATCATCGCGCCCGAAAATCCCCTCTGCTAGTGCGCACCGAGTATTTTCTCAGCTGAACCGTAGTGTGGACTAGATTTCTCAGAAAAGTGTGTCATCACCTCTTTTCCATGCACGCAGGTTCCTGTAAACAAAAACTCACCCGCATTCATCGTTCAGCTAATAGCCCCTGCAATATTGTCCAAGCTGGCCGACTACCCTGTCTTCCACACTAACAAGATCCACCTTCCCTTAATCCTCCTTCCTGCCAAAGCCCAGTTCGACCAATTCATACGACGCATGCTCCTGGCCGGTATGGCCCCTGAGGATACATCGTCGACAGTATCCGTTCGACCAGGACTGAAAAAGGTTACGCCATATTGGTTTCCATACACCACAATGGCGAAGGCTCGTTGGTATGATCGAGAGATCTTAGAAGTTGTGTCTACCGAATTCCGAGATCGTTCTGTGGAATACTATGTATGTCCTTTGATGTCATTTTTAGTTTCAGCTGTTGAAGCCATGCAATTTCACGAAATGTTAGAGATTCGCACTTGACTCGGGCGTTACCACAATCAACGGCAAGGTCGCAAAGCCAGATACCGTTGTCCGCAATGGCGACAGAATAGAGTAAGTGGATTCGTATCCGATTCGCTCTAGTAGAATAGAGCGTTGTACATACGATGCAAGTGCAGGGTGTGTTTAATCATTTCATTGACAATCTCATGTAGGAATATTGTCCACCGACACGAGCCCCCTGTGACCTCTACGCCAGTGAGAGTCCTCTATGAAGACCTTGAACGAGAATTCATCGTAATTGACAAGCCTGGAAGCATCGTTCGTCTAGCTTGCCTTTCTCCACCTCTACCTGGAGAGTCGATTTAGATGCTATTGTTCTTAGCCTGTCCACGCAACTGGCCGGTTCTTCTACCTCTCGCTCGTGGAGATCCTACAACGCGAGTTCGGTTACAAAAAAGTTTACAGTGCGTCCTTTCGGCCACAGACAACGGAATGAATAATTTAGCTTCGTGACAGCCGTGAATCGTCTCGATCGGCTGACCTCTGGCTTGATGGTCGTCGGCCTATCCTCGCAGAGGGCACACACACTTTCCACCGAATTTGTTGCCGGAACAGTGAGAAAAGAGTACATCGCACGCTGTGCAGGAGAGTTTCCGGCGTGAGTGGCGTCGTATGGAATGCAATCTATATACGGCTACTGATATCGTGGAAACAGCGAGGAGGTAACAGTCGAAGAACCTTTATTGACTGTGGATCGTCAAATGGGTTTGAACATTGTTCACCCCGAAGGAAAGGTCTGTAGCTTCTCCTCTCTCTGAGTTCCTCCTGACATATCCACAGCCCGCCAAAACCATATTCAAACGCCTACATTATGATGTCAACACAGATACCAGCGTTTTACACTGTATGTATGCTTTGGTAATCTTTAGAGCCAGCACGAATTGATGATGTGTGCATAGGTCGACCTCTCACTGGCCGCTGTACGTCTGCCACTAAATTTGCGCAAGGGAGGTTTGACGGGCTGTCGTTTTCTAGCGCATCAAATTCGAGTCCATCTACAATATCTAGGACACCCAATCGCGAACGACCCCATCTATTCTGAGACCAAAATCTGGGTGCGTTGAAATGCCTTCTCAGCTTTCTCTCAAGACCCTTACCGCCATTCTTAGGGGGCGAAACTCGGCAAAGGGGGCATCGATGTCAAACCGTCTACAGAACGCTCCGCGCCTGTCCCACCGCCTCAGTTCCAACCTTTACAAGAACCGGAACATGTCTCGAAGCCATCAGAACCCGTGTCTACTGTAGCATCAACCAAATTGCTACCACGTGAAACAGGACAAGACATCGGAATGGGCTCGCCTGTCCCACTATCGGCAGAGGCTGTGGGCATCATCACGCGCCTGCGAAATATGAAGGTCTGTCAATCCTGGCAGCTGGTATAACTCATCGAATGCGACAGACTAAACGGCTGCGTGATGTCAGGACGAAGACGAAGACTGGTCGCGATGGCGCGATGTCGTATTTAAAACAAAGAGCCGGCTGCATCCCCAGGGAATGAAAGTAAAACCCCTACCCCCACAAAACAGGCGAAAACGCGGTGGGCCTAGTTGGGTAGACGAAAACAGCGATAAAGGCAGTCCGGCCCCAAGTGACACTGGAGTGTATACTCCCGCGTCCGATTCTGCCACGCCTGCGGTTGACACCCCTTTGAGCATACAAGGAGACGCTCCGGCGCATGAATCAGCGCCAGAGATTCCGCAGTTCACAGAGTCCGAAGTCCTCGAACGCTTGCAGCGCCATGCATCAGATCCTCAAGAACCTGCCATCCGCGTCGCACCTCCGCCGGATGGCCGCACACCGGAACTACGTACACGCCAAGCCGTCGCACAAGTGACCGTAGCCGCAGAGAACGACGGGATGCTCTACTGCCCGGAGTGTTACTTACCTCTGCATCCCGATCCCAAGCCGGAGAGGCTATACATATTCTTGCACGCGCTTAGGTACACGACCAGTCTGGGAACATTCGAGACTGGTATGCCAGAGTGGGCGGCGGAGGGCTGGGAATGGGATCGATCGTAGGTAGGACAGTGGTGGGTACAGGGATATGATATATATTATAAAACATGAAGAACTGTGAAAAGGCGTACAGTGTGTGATAAGCATCATTTGATGAATCTCGACATGAATTTTCTGGGAGTGTATTGAGTTTCAACATGTAGAAGTTAGTAACAGAAACGTACTTGTGAAATTCTGTCCGTAGGAGATCATTGACGAAACCAGATTTATCCCTTTCCTTCGATTCCATCGCCTGATTCTTGAAAATGAGATCTAAGCCACATATCGTCAACACTAATACCATGTCACAAAATCCAACATTCGATCATACCGTCGTCCCATCTCCGTTTGACGGCGAACGTCCCTGGCGCTGTTGTGTTGATACCCGGCGTCTGTCCGAGTGCAGCAGCCAGGTTGAGTAGTGGGTTTGAGGTCGCAATTTGTGCCTCTCTCTCTGCATTTGCACTTGCACTCTGCTCCCGCTCCAAGCGTTCTTTCTCCTCTGCCCTCTCTCTTTTGATCTTTTCCAGTTCACGCAATAGCTCCGCAGTGTCGTCTTCCTCATCCGAATCTTCCTCTTCACTGAATTCAGAATACATAAAGTTAGCCATGCGTTATCCAGCGTTGTCACAAATGAGACGTACCTTTCGTGCTCTTTTTCCTTCTCTTTTGCCTCTCCATTATCACTCCCGCTATTATCGTCGCTGTCGTCGTCCTTGTCCATCTCCAGTGCCTGTTGCAACAATTTCCGTCGCTTGTTAACCTCCTCGTCTTCAATCGCCGGTACAGGTGCAATGTCCTCCAGAGGCTTTCCTTCAGCCTTGCGCTTCCGCGCTCGCGCATCTGCCTCTGCCGCCAGCAACTCAGCCCGGAGATCACGCTTCTTCACGTCGTCCACAGACGTTTGGCCGGATTGTCTGATTGTTGAAGAGAATATGAATCTGATGACAAGTGCGCACATTTACGTTGAACGCACCTAAACTTCAGTTTGGTGTGGGCAGCCATATCCCGAACCGAGAACTGACGAGAGCCGCCCTTAACATCTTTGGCCTGCGCGGGATCCCATGTTGGTCTGTGTGCTGTCGACATTGTGAGAGGATATAAGAGGAGTGGGGAGTGGAAGAGGCTGTAGTATGAGTTGTCTCGATGGCTCAACGTGTTTGCTCGCGTGGAGTTCACGTGGGCCAGCGTGTGCCCCTCTATTCCAAACTTGGCAAACTTGGCATGCTGCGCGCAGCTCGACGCTCAACTATTCATTCGACCCCCACAACCGAGTCACAGACGCCACTCGAATCTGGCGCCTTCCACCACTGCGAGCGTCTCTGTACCAAGTGTTGTTGTTGAATTTCTAATCTTCTCATTTTCGGCCGCTATCCACGATGTCTAGACGAATAACTCCATGGCTACCCAATGAGATTGTTATCAATATTTTTTATTCTCTCGATGCTCGAAGTCTTCTCCAGTTACAAAGAGTATGCAAATTTGTTTGTCTCGAGCCGGTTACAAGTTCATGAATACTGGACTAGGTGTGTCGTGTTTGGCGTCTCCTCATCACCGAGGTACCCGATCTTCAGTACAAGTTTGAGCTTAGTCTGAGCGGCCTCGATGAAGCCCTCTTTCCAAATTCCGTTGCCTTACTGGACCGGCCCCCTTTTCTCCGGAAGTATCAACAAGCTTGGATAAATCTAGAGTGTACGATCCACACCTCTCTACCTAGAGTAGACTTCCATGAGTGGTCCGACAATATTATCTTCCACCATGGGATACTTGCCTATTTGAATGGATCATCGAGCGTTGTACATCTCACTCAGCTTCCTTCACCTCTTCTCGGTATCGAACATGGAGACTGGGACGTGCATCTACCTGTCATGTCTCCGTCTCTGGTTGGGTTTCAAATTGATCCTTTCCAAGACTTGCTCATCGCGGTGTTTATGAACACATGGTCAGTAGCTGATACCAATACTATTTATCAGTCCATGATTCACCGTTACCGTGACCTTTGTTAGTCCTGGTGACCCAGGCCATTCATCTTGTCAAGTGCGCCCACTCTCGATGACCGGCGGCAAACACTCGTCAGGGGCTTCCGAATCTAGCTGCACTCTGCTAGGAGATTATGAAGAAGAATCTATAATCCACATCAATGGCGATCTCGTCACAATTCTCGTACAAGGGCTGTCTGTTCACCAGGTGATAATTGTATGGGATTGGAAGGCAGCAAAACTAAAAACGGTCGGCTATATGTCTGCTTTTTACACAAGATAATTCTTACATGCAATCTAGCAACTTCATTTCACGCAAGTCTTGATATTCGACCTTGCATTCTTGTCCGACTACCTTTTGTGTGTACTCGAGGATCGCTTCATTTCGGGAACTACTAAGCAAGCAGCGCTCCTTGTTTATGACGTCAAGTCAACGACTGCGGAGATAGTTCTGCATGATTCGAATTTCGTCGCTGCTTTCTTATTACCTGACTGCAGTGATGACGTCGATATAGAACATATTTCATTGCAGGTGGATCTTGTTCCGCAGTCATCCAGCGGTGGATTAGCTGCGATCTCCCTCTTCGGACGCTATACAGGGAATGGAGATGGTCCTGCATTCAGGACACTGGACATATTTGTCCATTCGTCGTTTCTTGTTAGGTGTTCGGAAGCGAGCTACGACCGGCGTCGTATAATACCGTGGTCTGAATGGGGTCCATTCAATACGCACGCAGTCTCCACCACATCCTCGGATTATATTGAAGAGCAGCCAATCAGTCTGTCGGGTTTGCGCGCTTCCGCTCGTTCGACGTCGGAATCTATCGTTCGCGTGTACGACTTCGATCCCCTGCGAATAGGGCGTTCACGGGGTGAGGAAGAAATCATGATCAGTGACTCCTGCCATGTACCTCCAGGCACTTGGAACAAGGACGGGATCTCTACGCATCTTCCATGCTTGGTGTCGGAGGTAGAACTACCGACGACGCTGAGATGGTGGAATCCAAAATATGGCATGATCTGCGAGCTTGGGTTGTTCTCAGCCATCGATGATCCGGTCAGTCCATGAGCTCTTCTTCATTATAATACACGCGAGCGCTCATGGTATGCTTATTAGTCTGCTGATGTTGGATTTGGATGGTTCGGAATCTAAGTTTGGAAGAGGACACCCAATCGAATGCAAGTATGTTGACGACGGGCATATTGAAAACCTAGGCTGTGTACAAAATCTGGTGCATCAGATAGTATCTGCGCCACTATGCAGTGCATGTGTATGAACTCACTTGCTCCGACAGCTTCTGATCATCGGAAACAGGATATGCAGTACTGTTCATCCAAACAACCTCGGTGCAAATTGTGCCCCCGGAACTTGAAGAAAACCTGTGCAGGTCAAATAGCCAAGATTTGAGACTAGTCTTAAACTAGTCTCAAACTGTGTGCTTTATGAGACGCAGTCGTGAAAACGAATCATAAGGCCGCCTTGTATTTTTCGGCGATCATCTAGCCTAACATAGCAGTCTGCATTATTCCCACTTTTCCAATACGTTATGGATCGGTGGATCGTGTCTGGTCGTCAGCTCACGTCCCTAGAGCGTTGAATTGCAGATTTTAGTCCAAGGATGAAAGCTCGTCGCTCTGGCTATACGCGCATGCATCGCCCCACGACGCGTCAACCAATTGGGCTGCACGAACAGCGAAGTAGTCAGTAACATGTATTTTTTTCCCGCCAATCTCAATGTGTGCTATCTTCGATAGCATCATACATAACAGTATATACTGGGGTCAATACACATCAGTCGGAGGTTTTTGCCATTTTTAAGACATCTAACGACGCTATCACACTCTCAAATCCTTCTTCTCGAGCACGACGAGTAATGATTCCGAGTTGCCGTATCATCCCTACATCCAAGGTGTGAGTGCTGATCTCCACCTCCCCGGGACCATCGGGCGATGGCATCGTAATCCAATAATTGCTTGCCTTCCACTGTTTCCTTCTTTTCTTCTGCGACGAACCAGTGCTTGCGCTATCAGATGCCAGACTTGCATCACTGGCTGATACTGAAGTAGCGGGCAAAGGCCCGGTAGTGGATATCGGACCCTCCCTGCCTTTGCAGTACGGTTTATGGGCCTTCCAGTCCAGCGGGTACGTTAAAGATGGTGTTCGGCAAATAGCGATCAACGACGACATACCAGTTTTTGACATTCCTTCGAGTAATAGTGCGGCTCAACCTCCGAAGCACAAGGCCCGCCGCACTTGTATAGGGCCCGCTGAGACGTAGCACGAATTCCACAGTCATTCCTGGTACACTTATAATGGTTCGAGGCGCGGGCCTCCTTCAGTGCCCGAGCGCGTGTGGATTCTTCGATAGCGCGATCGCGTCGTTCGAGATATCGCTTGAGAGGGATTCACTCCGAGTCCACCTTGCAGATGCTGGCGACGTGATTCAGCCGGTGCTTTCCCGTGGCGAGAATCTTGACGGTATCGGAGAGCAATCGTGCAGTGTGACATAAAACGCCTGCCGATTCTTTCAATATCGTGGCACGATTCGCACAACGTGCGGCTTCAGTAAGGTACAAGCCGTTATGTGACCTGTTGAACTTGGAAAGGTCGTTATATGCAAGACAGAGAATGGCCGGACCCTGAACTACCGCGTCAGATCGGGGACCATCGTGAGGGAGATCCAGGATGATCGCCCAGAGCGTGCAAGCTGCCAGCGACATATCTTATGCCTAAGTCAAGGGTCATGCCGGGGATGCCTGCCATCGTCTCTTTTTCCACTCGATCGGTGGGAAAGCGTACCAGGCGGTCAGTAGCTATCGTGACATGCTTCTGAAAATATATGCGTGCATCGGCGTTATCGACGTCCACAGGAAGTTTGTTGCAGCACAACTTGATGTATTCTAACATTCCCTGGGTAGGGACGCCTAGATCTGGGTTGATATATGCGCGTTCCAAGGAGGCCATAGCGAAGAGAGTAGATTGAATAAGGACAGCAATTCGTGCGCGACCCTTTTATCGCATCCACAGCCGGTCAAAGAAAAGATCAGAGACCTCCATCGAAAAGGTCTAAGCGATGCAAGACAAGGTCCAAGCGGGACAGGTCAAAGAGTGGTCAAAGCTGTTCACGGCCCTCGGTGTCAAATGGAGAGGGGATGACGCGTATGTCTTAGGGCGCTGTGTAGAACTCCGCAGGGCTTTTTAACCGGTTATTAACCAGGAGGTGTTAATAACTACATATTGTGAGCGTAGGAAAATGAAGGTAAAATCGAGAAAATGGGCAAACAAAATAATGGCTCATAGCTCACTCAGTTTTATACATTCTGTAAACTAAGCCTAAATGAATTGGAGAGGCTCAGATGGCTGGAGCATAGACAGGATGATTTGAGCAAGCGGTTGTGGAGTTGGGTGTCTTAGCCTAACCTCCCCTTGCGGCGGAACCAGAAAAGCCACCATGATGCAAGTTGGACACCATTCAAGCTCCTATATTCTGTAAATAATACACCACAACCTGATCAGGTTCAGGCACTATCCATAAAATCCAAAAGATCATTCATATGCCTCCAGAATTCAGCCAACTAACAATACTTTACTCATGTACCGCCAACAAGAACAGTGCTGGGATGACGACAACGGCACTGTATGCCCTCTTTTCTGCCCCCACCACCTTGGAGGCCTCCTCCGGACAAGGAGGTGAGTTTGACAATCATTCAGAAACAGAGATTGCACTGAATAACAAAAAATTTGAGATATATTGCTATTTTGGGAAATTAGTTATTAACCTTAAAAATCAAGGGGTCCGATACGTGCCTGTTAATAACGAGTTAATAACGCGTTATTAACACCTGTTATTAACCCGGTTAAAAATTAGCAGTTCTACACAGCGCCCTAGTATGCCTTCCACTCCAGTCGAGCTGATATGCGCGACGCATCACCAACTTTACTAGACTACGCGCCAAGGGGTTCCAAAAAGCTTCAAGCGATCAGCACATACTTTGCCCGGTAGTACAGACTTGACTATCCGTTGGCAGTGATTTCAAGTTCTTTGCCATGGGATTATCAAGGCTCATTCCCACCTCAATTATCCTCTCACTGCCACCACTCTGCAACCCTTTGTCAAAATTCCACTTGACAATGGTATGTTACACAATCTATTCTCATTGAGCTACATCGATACCCATATAAACTCTCTCGTTGTTCTTCCATATAATAAGTGAAATACGAAACAGATTTCCACTTCTAGGGCAGAAAAGCGATCCTCCGACCCATGAAGAGAGACGCCAGCTCATTCTGCAGCGATTTTTTTAGATCAGCATCAGCACTATGCGTTGTAATCTCCATGTGGCCACTTGGGGGGTAGCTTTGCTCGAAAACCGGACCCCCTTGTCTTTTTGCCACGCCTCTTCTTCGGACTTTGAGTCCATCCGCCATCAGATTCCATGCCAGTTTCGTTGTCGTCCGAGACAGGAGCAGCAGGGAGGACAATGGTGAGGGTTGTGGACGTCTGACCCTCCTTTTTCCTTCCTTTGCAGCACATTTTGTGCACTTTCCAGTCCTACACCCGAATCGACGCATGATTATAGACAATTTATATGCAAGTTATGCTGACTCACCAATTTTTGACATTCTTTTGAGCAATAGTGCGGCTTTTCCTCTGGGGAACAAGGCCCCCCGCACCTGAATAGTGACTTCTGAGACAAGGCGTGGATCACGCATCCTACTTTGCACACTGGTATTTGTTCGGTGCGCGCATTTTCTTGAGTGCCTGATTGCGAAGGTCCTCCACAAGGACGCGGTTGCGCCTCCTGAGGCACTTTTCAAGCGCGTCGCATTCTGGCACAATCTTGCAGATATTTGCCACGTCTGGGTTTTCCAACCCATGAGGGCCCTCCATAATGGATGAAATCGCAAGGTCGAGTGTTTCATCAGCTCGAATTATGACGGGCGTCGGCTGGCCTATCCTCGCTGCACAATCCGCCAATTTCACCGCCATCGCGAGATCTAGGAGGTCTTTTGACTTGGCAAACCGATTGAGGCGGTGATATACAAGACATAGGATCGCCCTGAGCTCATCTTCTGGGTCAATTTCAAAGTCCTTGACTGCAAACGCCAGAATTAGTTGCTAGAGCGTAACAGCAGCGTCCTCATCCTTTTCAATTTGACAGCCATTGTATTTTCTAGAATTAAATCGTTCAAAGCGGTGCTACAAGGATTTGAGATCATGTCGCACCTCATGCCGAGGTCGACCATCATTGCGGTGTTGAATCTCCCTGCCCCAGCCTTCACTTGCTCGATAGTGAGGTGTGCTAAGCGCTCAGAGGCAAGCGTCACATGGGCTTGAAGATCACGGGAGTTATCTGCATCCTTAATGTCGATGGGGGCTGTCTCGTGGTAGAGCTCTATGTAAGCTAACATCTCCTCAGTAGGTTGGCCTAAGGCTTTCAGACACGAGCTGAGATATACGAATTCGATGGCAGGCATGATGATGGAGGTGTGTGGATGGAGACAGGGTGTAGGGAGTGCGTCGTTCTTGTCATTTATTCAAAATCCATCAGCCAAAGCGGCAAGAGATTTAATCGCGGCCACATTGGCAATGCAATGGGACATTCAAGGCGTTGTTCACGGTTGCTTGGTTATGATGTACAAAACAGTGTCCTCGGTAGGTAAATGTAATCCTTGTTAGCATTGTAGACGTTGTCCTTGGTAGCTTTATTACTGAAATTGGCACAAGGCCTCCCGAATGGTCTACAAGTGGCAAGTAGTATAGTCAGCGCTTCGGACTCAGCCATTTTGCGAGTGATCGTGAGAAAGCTATAGCAGGCGTCTAATAGTAGTGCTGCATGCTGTCGGGCGACTTTCTCAATCCTGACTCGGCAGTATTACCGAATGTAGGATCCTCGTTTTGATAAATCACCGACGTCCGACGATAGTTTGTCTACACAAGTAACAGGATCGCCATGATCGTTGAATGTCTCTCCTCTGCATTGACTGTTGATCGTCGGTTGGGGGAAACGAAAGTGAGTATCCTCTTTTCGAATATATCTCAACCTTCTCTGACCACATTCTCAGGCCTACGCTTTGTCAACACGAATTAGGAATTGAACACTTTCACAGACAAATATCCAAACTCTACGATATTTGTCTCTTCATCGCTCCTCGAGTGTCCACGTCACCACAGACCGACCCATAATGCCATGTTGAAAATCGACTTTCATCATTTGATTTGTGGTTGAAACCCCCTTTGTCTCATCTGTCATTGTCAGCACTCGCAATTGCGTTGCAGTGTTGTTCTGCATTGAACGATCGGTGACAAGTACGTTTTAAATCTGTCTAGCCTAGAAAGCAATGTTTCCTGACTCCGTAGATGCAAGAACTACAGCGCGCCTACGGAGTTATTTTTTTTGATTGGCTGTTGTCCCAACACTCACTCCGCTCTCGTCTCGCTTTCGTTACTTCGTGGGTGTGATGCGATACCCGCGGGCTTCGTCGCTATTGTTGATGATCACACTCGCAATTCTCCATCAGCTCTTCACATATCCCTGTGATGTCTCGGCATGCTCGCCCTGCATGTTCGCCCTGTATCACAGAAGGTTCTCCAGTGCTCCAGCAATCATCGTAAGAACATCACAAATTGTTGTTCTATTGATACTGTGCTGCTTGAGGCCATCTGCTCTCACGAAGTTTACAGTATTTGAAAAGCGTTTGCTCTTTTTTGAGCCATCACTCTACGCGATCAACAGCGGTATTGATGTGAACACCTTCACGGTCCTTCACGAGTCTTCGAAGTGCGATCCGTATATGCTGCGTAACTCCACATCACAATCGTGTCTTGTTCTGACCTCTATCTATACTTAGGTCCCACATCGATCCGAGACGATTGGACGAGTCTAGATTATCTGGCTTCGAACTGGAGAAGCATCTCGTTGAAGAAGCGTGCCAATTTCGTGTTCGATTCGTACGCCTCGCAACCAGATAGAAGTCGCAGGTGACTTGACCATGGGTGTCGTGGCACTTGCCACACTCTTCGTATTGCACACGCCCAACTTCTCTTCTGGGCGGCACTCTATCCAAAGAACATAATTGAGGACAACACAAATAACGTTTGGCTAAGAACACCCCCCGCACCGAATTTACTATCGAACATAACCACCTTCACGGTGCTGGGCGAGCTGGACGTGACAAAATTCTCTCTCGGAGGTATACATCGGTTGCAAAGACGTGGGCGAAGTGCTGTTAGAAGGTGCATTCCATTCTCCGTCTTGTTACGAATATGCACAGATGACCCTGCTATTGCTACTTCTTTGATTCGTCACGATGAGCGTACTTCTCAGTCTCTCAGGCTCAACATCGTTATTGTTTCGTTAACCGAACGCAATGACTTTGTCGTGTCCTCAAGGTAAGTCAATCATGACTGGTTGCATCTGTTCACGTGCTAGCTTTCGAACACTCTTTCTCTGAACGCGTGTGCAGCTTTCAAATGCTATCCATCCCATTTCACCTTGTTCAGATCAGAGTTGCAATTCAAGCGTTCGTTCTTGGGATCGTCATGGGCCTAAGCTCACTGACGCTGACAGTCCCAAAATGGGCCTAATGATTATCCCAATACGTCAACTTACCGCGAATCAAAGCACGCCGACCTCGTGTGGGCGTCCGGCCGAACGACAAGTAACTCGCTATGACTCTCTCTCCGACTTGACGAGTCGAGGCCACTGCCCGCGTTCGGTGGTTCGGGATCATATGCTCCGTTTCATTATCAAGCGTGCCTGTTCTCGCACTGATGAGGTCTAGCCTTGGCGGCGCGATCGCCACAAACCCAATAATCGCAAAAGACGCATACACTAGGCGATACCTTCCAGCGTTTCGTGCACGGTGGGTGTCATTTTGATCCAGAGCTTCAATTTCTCAAGCGATGACGCCCACCATGTCAACAAGCTGACCTTGTTTGCTCCATCTATGGCAGCCCCAGACGCCCCAGGCCCTGAGCTAGTACCTTTGGATGTAGCTGTTTGCGCTACCCCTCCGTCCTCGTCGTTTGGATTTGTTATACAATTCTCAGGACGAGAGGCGCAACCTTACTTGTTCTAAATCAGCGACAGCATCCACATGCATGACTGTTCTGAACGGGTTTGTAACGATCATCCACTGCTTCTAGTTCTATCTCTTTCTGATTCGGAGCGTTCGGAGCGTCCAGACAAGTATGTCTCTCTTCAAATTGCCATGAAGAGCCCTTTGGCCGTACACCTGAGGGCGCGCATCGCCAACCACGAGCTAACCTGATATATCACGAGGGCTAGCCATGTGTATGCGTGGGTCCAGGTTTCTGCAAATCCAATCATTAGCATACATTCATAATCTGACAGAAACCGCTGCCCTATCCTGATCAGGATTCTCGGATCCTCTTCCGAGCTGTCCTCGATGAGCGCATATAGCAAGGTCGGTGACACCACCCGATTGCAAAGGACTCGCTAGAAGGAACAGTCAACCATGGTAGACTAGTGGTGTTATATGTCGTTTTGCCGTTATCGCACTTTTTTTCTTCTCTCGGGTGAGTGGCGCTAACTTCCCTCAGCTAAATGTGAATGTTTTGAATTTTGCATCGACGGCGAAGTACTGCGACTCCATCTCTTGGCACGAGTTGCACTGCATGTCAGCCCGGGGACCAGACATGGCCGTACTGAAATGAAGAGCGATATCAATCCGCAATTGCTCGCCTCTGCTTTGAGCGCCAACTGAAAATGGTAGGTGCGTCCTTTCCTTCGGGTGTCGCGTCTAAGCAATGACAGAATTCAAAGTTTGCTAAAGCAATAGCCGCATCAGGGTTGCTCAGGGTGTCCTATCGATATTCAGGTCTCCACATCCATGTGCCTGGTATGTTCATGTCTCTCGGCGCTTTGGAGATAATGAAAGCTATCCGTGACATCTATAAGAAAGGTCGCACACTATCTCCGCAGGTCCCGAGTGAAGTTGTTCCTCGACCGCGGCTCAATCCTCTATGCAAAGAGAAGCGAAGACGTGGGATGGACACACTTCGGTCCATCACTCTCTAGACGTCCAAGATGCTCGACCGTAAGAGGAGCTGTCGATGGGCTTCTCTCGATTGGTATGCCATTTTCCCGCTTTGGACGCCAGATCAGACCTATGAACATTTTGTTAATCCGGGGAATGGCAGTGCTTCTACTCTGACTCAGGAGAATTTCTGTCTGCGACAGCCGAAGACCGAGAGGATCGAGTATCCAATGACGGGCATAAAGACACAGGAGAATTCACGTCGCCGACTGTGGCTTGCCGACTGGTAGCCTCGTGTGTAGTAAGCTGTGCGCAAGCTTGTCTCACGATGGCAGCTAGCAGATCTTACACTGATGCTTGCTGTTTCTGCTGTTTCTGCATCGCATTGATCTTCCATGATAACAATGCTGCGGAGGCTCAGCTGTTTCTGCTGTTAGCTCACGATCAGTGGTCGATTTACGGTCGACAGCGGAGGATCCTGAAGCTCTTCACCTGAGCCTTAGTCTCCAGATCGGCTCGCTCCCTAAAATAGAAGTGGCACCCGCGGAGCTCCCTAAGTTCAAGCTCAGCGACTGTGGTCGTCCGCAAACACGCTCGACGTTCTCACTCTTGAGCACTGCTTTCCAACGGACGACAGCAAGAGACTGATCCATCGCACATCATCGATTCATTCACCTCATGGATCTGGAGCTCTCCCCAAAAGGCATTCACGGGGACCTCTGCGAGCATCAAGGCACGTCTATGTGCCCTTGATTGTTCGCCTGCTTTTCAGGTTGTCCCTGGCGTCTGAGACGAAAAATCCCATGGTATCCAGAAGTTCACGAAGTCTCCACGAAGTCTACACCAATTGTTCTTAGAGAAGATGGCGTGCATGCTATGTATGGCCAATGGACGTGATTGAAACGCGGCTCAACGATCGAGCATTGTTGCTGATAAGGGTTTGAAACTGATTGTTGATCCTTGCCTTTCCGAAACATCTCCTTCCCCACGTTCATCGTCACGGCCTCTTATGCTCCTCCGTCCCCTGATACTTGGATCTGCAGGCATGCAGAAAGCGGAGCACGCGATCATCCCAATCGGATTAGCGCTCAGCTGTGCAGTCTGGGTATTGTGTAGGCCTCCCATAGTACTGGGAAGAATGGAAGGCTGTCTGTCCTCGCTCCGTCAGTGTCGAGTTCTGTGTGCTAGCGCGCTTCCACCATTTGTGGAGTCCCCAATGAGGCGTGTGCAGGGGGGCATCCACACTAAGCGGGACGACGGAACGGGACGGCGACAGCGCTGGATCTGATATGGGTTCTGCTGACGACATCATGCCGACAGCAACTTCACACCGCCTTCGCCTTTTCCCGTGGCGCCTTGCGGCTGTTTCGCACTTGCCTTGCAAGGTCTATAGCTACTCAAGTACGTGAGGGGCGGCAGGATGGAGTCTAGTTTGTCGCCCGGTTTTGTCTCTCGCCTGTTCACTTTCCGACCTCCCCATGTGACGGGCGACCCCTCCGCTCGTGTATAAAAGCGCACAAGATGACCCGTCGAGACCCATCTCACTCTCCAGGACATCCTCGTCCTCTCCTTCTCTACTTCTCTCATTCACTGGTGCCACCTCTCGTCGTTCAATACCTCAATCCTCGCGCTATCGTGACACGTCGCGGTCAGCATTGCATCAATAATTCCGTTAGGTAATGTCGCTTGTCTACATACCCTGAATGACCCTTGATGCTATCCAACCACTTAAGATTCCTCGTGATATCCTTCTCAAGTCTTCCCGTACATTGAACGTCCTTTCAAATCTGCAGAGAATAGTCAGCCTCTCATCTGCGTATGCCCTACCTCCGTCTTTGTTGCTTTCCGTATATTGACACCTTCCCTCTGCCTCTTGGATTCTTTCCGTCCAAAGCATCTATAGTCAGTGTCCATCTATTTTACTTCATGTATCGCATCTCAGAATACTCACATTCCCATGTATGCGCTTTTTTCGACAGCCGACGCCTCGGCTCGGAAGGAACGCATCCCACGCGCCATCTATCGGGCCCACTTCTCTACAACACCCCTGCTCCGAGGTCAGCGGTGGTCCTTTCAATTTTGGCTTTTGGCTTTATGCTTACTTTGGATCCCTTCTTTTTGGTGTCTCTGTGGCTAATATGCATATTCTATGTCTGGTGGGATGCATATATGCTACACTTTCGCGGCGGTATCATTATTTGTCCTCCTCGATTTAGTCGAAAACCAGCGGTAGATATCGCGAACACACCCATTCGTGCTCTTGGATCTAATCTCGAGGTAGCTGTGCTTCTTTCTATCTGCTTCGAGAAGTCGATTGACAGGTTGTGCATACTTTTGACGCATAGCAAGCCCAGATCGGCCGAAGCGCAACCCGACGTCTAACAGCTTCGAACCATCATCCCTCTTCCTGTCCCTTTGTTTCAATCATCCCACTCAAGGAACGCCACCGCCGCCGCCAGGTACCGTCATTCGTTTCCGAAGGTTTCGCGACTCGTCTAATCATCACGTCTATGCATACCTCCAACAGATAACCCAAACCCGAATCAACGTCTAAGATGGGAAACTCTCACTCACAAAACCGCGCTGCAAACTCAAGAGAGCGCCCGCGAACCCTCAAACATCATCGATCCGCCCCGCTTTTGCTCCAAAAGAGTTTCATCAACAGCACGTCCACTGGCTCCTTCAGCTCTACTCAATCTCAAGAAATATATATCCGGCCTACCTCCGAAAAAGCCGCCCTCGTCGCCACCGAGGTTCTCCTTCCGCCGCCCGCGCCGCCCGTTTATGTGTCCCCACCTTCTCCCGGCATCTTCCCAGCGCTGTCAGTGCCCGATCAGATACCAGAGAAGGGGGAGGCGGCCGCCTACTCTGCTTTCCTCCGGGCTTATCCCGAGTACCACCTCACGTGGACGCTTGACGCTCTGCGGAAGTCTGAGTTCTCGCGAGTCGACACGCCACATGCACGGGAGACGTACGTGGACTACATGGGTGGCGCTCTCTACCCTGCGAGTCTGGTGAACGTGCATGCCGAGTTTCTCAAGGGGTGCGTGTTGGGAAACACCCATTCTGCGAGTAATAGGTAGTATCAGTGTAGTCTTTATGTGGTGCACTGGTTCTTACGTCTAGTCTATTCGCAGCTCGCAACTGTCAGCTAACCTGACAGCACAAGCGCGCGCCGCTGTATTGGCATTCTTCAATGCGCCCCCGGGCTCGACAGTCGTGTTCACAGCCAACGCGAGCGCAGCACTGAAACTCGTAGGAGAATGTTTCCCGTTCTCCGAGGGGAGTACCTACGTTCTTCCCGAGGACGCACACAACAGTGTGCACGGCATCCGACAATTCGCGAAGCGACGAGGTGCGGAAGTATGTTATATCTCTGCGACACCGCAGGGCGGTGTCGAGGAACCTGTCGTCAAGGTCAGTTGTGCATATGACCTCGCTTCGGTTTATAGAGTCTCACAGGTATGTGTAACAGAGAATCTTGCAGCAGCACCGACCTTCGAAGGCCCCTTGCCTCTTCGCCCTCACCGGTCTTTCTAACATCTCAAATTCCAAACCATCACTCTCACTCCTGACATATGCTTCTGCTCTGGGCTACACTACTCTGCTGGATGCTGCGGCGCTTGCTGCCACCTCTCCTCTCGATCTGACTGCCACGCCTGCCGATGCTGTTGCGATCAGCTTTTACAAGATGTTTGGATTCCCGACAGGTGTGGGTGCGCTGATCCTCGCCCCTGGTGTTGGACAGAGACTGGGTGGTGAGAGGCCTTGGTTCGCCGGAGGCACGGTGGAGGTGGTGCAAGTGCCAGGCGAGCTAGTGACACGAGCGGAGGAGATAGAAGAGCAGTTCGAGGTAAGTCATCAACCCTGACCTGGAATATGCAGGACGTGTTAACCTAAGTCGTATCCTAGGATGGAACGATCAATTATCTTTTGCTGCCGGCGATAACCACAGGCTTGCGCTTCCTCTCGGCCTACCTTCCCTTCCTCCCTCTCCGCCTCTCTTCACTGACACACCATTTGACGATCGAACTCGCGAAAATGCGACATCTGAGCACGGGGCAGCCCGCTGTCCGGGTACTCTCACGTGTACCAGAGAAAAGGCTGCGCGCCGTCGGTGACAAGGCAGACGCGGGGTCTGTTGTCTCAGTGCTTTTCCTTGACGTCAGTTTTCTGTCATCTCGCATTCCTTTCGCTCATCCACTAACCTACATCTTATAAACTTCTTCTAAATCACAGCCAAATGGAGTACAACTACCAAACTCCTTTATCTCACATGCCTCAGCGAACGCGCACATCTCCTTGCGGACAGGCTGTATGTGTAATCCAGGCGGCGCGGCGGCGCTGTTGCGCGCTAAGCCGGCGATGACGCGTCTGAGAGCCGGGGCAACGCTAGCTGCGCTCGAGTCTGCTGCGGGTCGCGAGCTCGGCGTGGTACGAATCAGCCTGGGCCTTGCGAGCGACTGGGCAGATATATGGAGGGTGCTGGAGTTCGTGCGGGACTTTGTCTTAGACGCTCGGGGGAGGGAGGAGGCGATGGGCGCATGGGAAGCTAGTGAAGGAAGGCTCAAGGGCTCGCCATGTGCAACGGGTGCGTGCACACCAAATGGCGTTGATCAAGTAAGGGACGTGCGAGCTGTCAGAGGACCACCTTCAGAGGTCGGCAGGGCGTTTTAATCCACAATCTACGCAAAGGGTTTGGATAGCTCGATCTCTTTTCATTGGCTACGGACTGAGAGTTAGCTCAACGCCGGTATATCTGTATGCCTACGCTCGCTCTGTGTAAATTGTCTACGTTCTTCAGCCTTACAAACACTGTACGTCTATATTCGTGGGGTTCTGAATCTTGTTTATACAGCCTGCATTGACATAGTCTGTACAGTCATTCATTGTATTCTTTCTTCCAGCGATACTCTTATCTCTAGCGATGTGGATACCGATGCCAAAATGAGATACCTTAATTATTGCGCCTTTCCTTTGATGCAATACTACCGCTTTCTGTTTGATTAAAGCTTTTCGGGTGCGACGTTAAATATACTAAGTCTAGATGATATATTCACAAAGAGCAGACGAGACAGACATATGTCTGTGGACAAACATCTCGTTGGGCGTCACTTCTGTAAGCACCTGGCTTTCTACATGTGTCAGTTCTATGGGAGACTCTGGCTTCTACAGTTCGCATCAGTCTTATAGGACGATGACCCACACACAAAAATCAAAAACGACATTGAGGAGATGTCTCCGTGCTGATATAAAGAAGTTTTGACGGGCTCTCCTTAACTTGTCTAATAAACAAAGGGCAACACCCCACGCGTTGTCCGCGTAAATCACGTGCTTTCACCAACGATCACGTTTGTTACACCGTCGCCATTGTCCTTCCTTTTGTCTTTCTGTTTCCCCCTGGTCATGATACCATCAAGTTTAACCCGAATGGCATAAGTAACGCAAATGCCCATAGCATAATGTAGCTTGCGCCCCCCAATCAAGAACTTGCCGAGCCGACTTGAGGACTCGTCACCTAGCTGCAATAGACACGGCAAGGCATGACTCAGACTCTCGCTCGAGAGGCCATCTCTTAGAACAGAATGACTACCTTCTGTTCAGGTCAGCATCTGGAGACTAAAGCCATCTTACATCTGCAGACCAGTCAAAATGCCTCCATATATAGGTCAGGACACCATGAGCGTTAAAAGTCATCTCAAAACGACACCTCGGGCCCTCTTGACCTTCCTCACGATCATGGCCCAAACCACTGTCAGACTGTCTTCCGACGTTGTGGTTTTGAAGACAGGTGTACGCGACGATTTTATCTATAACACCGGTACTATACTCACTCCACACCTCTTAGCATGGCCTGATGATGATGACGTGCGGAAATTCTCCTTCGACTGACGCTGGGACGGAGGGTAGCGCTGACAACCTCGACGAACACTGCATAGTTGGAAGCCCACTCCTGTTTCTGATGGGGAGGCTTTCGAAGCTATCAAAGCAGGCCTTGATAGTCTTCCCTCTGGTGTCAAGATGCTGATCAACAGTGGTGAGTACCGCGCTGTTGACTGCACTGCTGCCTTTCACCTCGCCCTCACGTCTATCAGGCGAATTTTATGGCATCGATCCACCAACTGCAAACTTGGAGCTGATCGCAAGATTTTTTGAAAAATACCCAACTTACACGGACAAGGTTTTCCTCTCTGTCAAGGTCAGTTGTCAGCAAAGACCCAACAACAGGCAGCTTACTGATAAGCTTGTAGGGGGCGAGCAAGATTCCCGAAGTCGGGATAGATTGCTCGTAAGGATATCAACGAGAGTCTAAATTCGGGATCACTCACACTCTTCTGACATTCAAGCCCGGAGAACTTGGAACGTAGCGTCAATCGCATCCTCGATAAACTCCGTGGAACCAAGAAGCTCGACTTGTTCGAGTGTGCCCGCGTTGACCCGAATTATGCTATTGAAGACACTATCAAAGTTCTCTCTAGCTTTATCACAAAGGGTAAATTCGACTACATCGGGTTATCAGAATGTCGCGCGGAGACTGTCCAACGGGCTAGCGCCGTACGTGGTCTCCTATCCGAGACTGGCCTGAGCTTAAATGCCGGTTCTTCCCCTTAGATCGCTCCTATAAGTGCTGTTGAGATAGAAGTCAGCCCTTGGTCTTACACCCAAGAGACTATCGATGGTATGAATGCATCCAATTCAGGCTACTTGACTTCCTAATTGGAATTTGAACAGTCATCGCTATGTGTAAAGGGTTGAACATTGCAGTTGTTGCATAATCGTAAGCTTTTACTCGATTTCGAGCTTCACAAGATCTTGAAGACTGTCAATCTGCAGTCCACTTGGCAGAGGTTTTCTCACGGGCAAGATCAGGAGGCCTGATGATTTCGAAGGTGCGCTGTCGTTCTGGAGCAATAGACCCTACTAAGTTGAATTTAATTTAATTGTCGACCTAGCGGGAGACAGGCGTCGAGATCTAAGTAGGTTCAAAGAGGAGGTATAAGGCGCTATCCTGTTCCGTCTTTTTTTCATTTTCTCTTACCACTTTGAGCAGAACATGAAACACAACTTCGCTATTGTTGAGGGGCTGAAAGCCGTAGCAGACAAGAAGAGCATAACGACTGCACAATTATCCCTTGCGTGGGTCGCATCTCTCGGGCCTCATGTTATCCCTCTTCCCGGTTCTTCGTACGTGCACCCTTTTTCTCGACCGCATTCAAAGTAAACATTTATACTGATTGAATTGACTTCAGCAATAAGAAGCGCACTCTCGAGAACCTAAAAGGAGGCGATATCAAACTGTCGGCTGAAGACCTGGAAGAAGTCAGCAAAGTTATCCAGGCGCACAGCGTCAAAGGAGGAAGATATATCGACGAAATCGATGACGCGAGGTTGCTCCTTTGGGGGTAGATAACTGGACATTCACTAATACCTAGTCGCAAAGTCAATTCGTGGGCATCAGGTACATACTGTAATGATAGGCTCTTGTCTATAGTGTGATAAATTTGATGACTATCGTATTGTATAACACAAGTTTCAAGATTGTGGATAGCATATCATAACTTACGATCTCGACGAGCGAGACTCATCTTTCACGCACCAACATCGAGTCACCAATGCGATTGAATGGTGTGTAACTTGCGAGAGATCATCCCTGAATGACTACACGGCTGCTGCCGTGCATGATAAGATATCGACGTCATGACCCACATTTTGGAGTTCTCGCTTGACCCTCCCACCGTGCAAACATTGTAAGCAATGCTGAGAGAGAACGGGCTGAATCATTGAGCATTATGCATTCTCTTAAGCGAAACGCCTTCAGGAGTGAAATTTACTCAGCTTGGACCGGAAAAAACACAGTCACCGATCAAGTTCAATCCACCTTCAGCCGCGTAGGGTTGTCCAGTGTCCTTTTCGTCGAGGGCGAAGATGACCCGGAAGAGAGACGTGGAGTACAGAACGAAAGAGATACTGGATTTTGGCAGTAGCCATTCCAGAACAAACTTCAGCGCTTATCATGGAATATAAAGGTCCTCTGAGATCAGAACTTCCCGCACGTTCAGTACATCATAGTCCAATCTGCCAAAATTGCTTCCGACATAGTCGCCTCGAAGACGGGCGTACGTGTTCTTTTGAAAGTCCAGGTCAACGAGACTCACCTCCTTAACTTAGCATGGCTTGACGATGATGACGTGCGCATCTTCTCAGCTAAGTCGAAGGAAGTTTGTGACTGACCATCATCGGACAGCTGGAAACCTATTCCCGTCCCTGAGGAGGAGGCCTTTGACTCGATCAAGGCGGGTATTGACACTCTTCCTGAAGGTGTCAAGATGTTCATCAGCAGCGGTCAGTCGTAACTTTACACACATCGTTGATAATTTCTCTAGGAGAGTTTTACGGCATCAATCCGCGGACGGCCAATCTAGAGCTGGTAGCAAGGTTTTTTGAGAAGTATCCGGCTTATGCGGACAAGGTTCTCTCTGTCAAGGTCAGTCGTATGCAAGACTTCAAAGAGTCTACTTACCGATTACGGATGCCTTTAGGGAGCGAGCACAATTCCTAGGGTTGGAATCGATTGCTCATAAGGAATAGAGGTGTTGACCGTTGAGTGTTGCTCACGTCTCTTGATTTTATAGTCCAGAGAACCTACTGCGCAGCGCGAATCGCATCCTTGACAGACTTCGCGAGATCAAAAAACTCGATTTATTCGAGAGCGCTCGCGTCGACCCGAATTATCCCATCGAGGACACGATGAGAGTCCTGTCCAGCTTCGTCGCGAAGAACAAATTTGACTACATCGGCTTGTCGGAGTGTTGTGCAGAGACCGTCAGACGAGCAAGCACCGTATGTGAACCCGTCTCTGGAGAAATTTGTTTGACTGATCTCAATGAGCTCCATCCAGATCACCCCTGTAGCTGCTGTTGAGATCGAAGTCAGCCCTTAGTCCTACACCCAAGAGACTAGAGACGGTAGCGTTCAATCGAGCCGTGATTACCTGAGTACCTAGCTGAACTATCATCAGTAATCGCTATATGCCAAGATTTGGGCATCGCAGTTGTTGGATATTCGTAAGCCGTCGCTTATCTTCGTAGGCTACGTCATCCTTATAGAGAACATAGCCCGCTTGGCAAAGGATTCCTCACGGGCTTCATCCAGGGGCCAGGAGATACTGAGGGTGCAATCAAGTCCCGCTACCAGGTGTCGAAGTCTATCTGACCTGCTCAAACAGAGGGAGATTTGCGTCGACAGCTAAGCAGGTTCAGAAAGGAGGTATATGACTTACCTCATGCAATGCATCTTCCCCAGCCCTGACACATATGGATAGAACATGAAGCATAACTTCGCAATTGTTGATGGATTGAAAGCCATCGCAGACAAGAAAGGTATAACGACCGCGCAACTACGCATTACCTGGGTCTCATCTCTTGGGCCTCACGTTTTCCCTCTTCCTGGATCTTCGTGCGTGCCTTCATTGTTTGTCTGGATCTCGAAGCGGAATGTCCTGTTGATTCATTGGCTTAGCAAGAAATGCACTCTCGAAAACCTGAACGGAGGCGACATCGAGCTGTCGTCTGTTGAACTAAGAGAAATCAATCAAGTCCTTGAAACGCATACGGTCAAGGGAGGACGCTACGTCGATGAGATTGGGGACGACAAACTGCTCCTCCGGAGATAGAGGATTAAGGAGCTGCTGTCGGCTTCCTCATTGTCACAATCAATGTAACGAGTCTCTAGATACCTTCACCATTGATGATGATCCAAACGATTGCAGTGATGGCCTTGAACCGTTTTAATGCATCAATTAGTGCTTCAGATGGAATGGACCTTGAAAAAGATAGCATGGAGAAAGACAGAAACTCCACAAGAGACATACTATACAAAATGACCATTCATCACTAATAATGGAATAATGTTCAGCCATCGAACATGGTACCGTCCATACGAACACCCATATCGTGCTTGATATCCATGCCCAAAAGTTTCATCTTACCCGCCTGAAAAATGGGGTTAGACCAATCGAGACTGAGGCATCGTCGTGGTAGTGACTCAAGAAGGGATGACGGACCTCAATTCGTTCCTGCTGCACTCTTCGCAAAGCCTGCAGCTGGTCCTTACTGAGATAGCTTTCGTGCTCGACTTCTTTGCGTTTGTGCTGGTTTTGAAGTGCACGGAGATCTGCAGAGGGGTCATAGTTGTCGTCGGCTGGGGGAATGTACTCGCCAGCACGGAGTGCCGACATGCGCCGTTCGTATGCCTCCATGTGATAGAATTTTTCATGGGGTAGAGTGGCTGTGTCGAGAGATGTCAGTGCTCATATAGAGGATCCCTAAATATCGCGTACCTGTGTTGAAATCTTCCACAAAACGAGCAAATTCCTTTTTGTTCTGATCTTTTGATATCGTTTCTGGGTTTAGCATGCGCTCTTCTACAAGCCATGCACGGAACTCTTGTTCCTTATTGTAGATGCTGTCGCAGACGAAGTCAGCAGCAGCATAATAATGTGCATCAAGATGCGTACTCGGTCTCAGCGATGATTCCATACTTGCCCCATTGGCTACCTACAGCAGCGCTCTTCTTCTGTACCATAAAGCGATCGTTCAGACAAATATGTCGGACGCCCCACGGAGACGAACACTCACCTTTTTGTCTTTCTTCTCCTTCTTTCGCTCCTTTCTGTCACGATCCCTACTTCGACTGCGGCTCCTTCGCTTCTTGTGCTTCTCCTTCCGTCGCTTTCGTCGTCGCTCCGAGTCTGACAAGGAAGAACTTGACCTTGAACTCGACCGCGATCGCGGCCGTTTCTCCCTGCTTCTGTCTCTCCTCGACCCTCGTTCTCTATTCCGAGAGTGTGAGCGTGATCTTACACGCTTTTTGTCTTGGTCATCTCTGTCCCGCGATCGTGAACGCGACCTCGCCTTTTTCTTCTCCCTGGAGTCCCTATCCCTGTCTCCTGAGCGTGGACGAGACCTTGCACGTCTCTTCTCCCGGCCATCTTCCCGGTCATGCCTATCCCTGAGTCTATCTCGTGAACGTGAACGTGAGCGACGCGGTGGGGAGCGCGAACGATGTCGGTGCAAGCTTCGCGATGGAGAACCTTCGTGCGGTGGTCTCCGCGGTGGGGGTGAATAGTGACGCTCAGCATGAGGTGGTGCTTCGCGTTCGAACCGTTTGTTGCCATGTGGGCTCAGTGAGCGGCTGCGTCCCCTTCGTGGATGTTTCTCGACTGGCATGTCAAAGATATCGTCAACGACGAGAGCACCAATCCGGAGGACCCACCATTGGTAAACAGATCCACGTGACATGAAATCATAGATGCTGGCGTCGTGACGCGTGAAATTTGAACTGACTCTACCACTGACTCTACCCACTTGTGCTCGTTATCCTAGTCCTACTGTCGCAACCTCACAACGACAACAAAATTCACTGTTGGTTGAAAAAGGATGCTGGTCCACGTACAATTCTACTCCATTCTGCGCTTCCGTTCAACCCCAGGGCTGGTTGCAGTATAGATTACCTTAACTCGTATGTCTTCCTGGGATCTAGGACTAATCCCTCGCTCACTTATATATATCTTATAGGTCATCATACGAGACAGATGATGCATTTAAAATACTGATGAAATCGTCAAACGGATACATGCTCATGAATGCGTAAACTCGTGGACTAATAACTGTGACTGCGAACCCAACCCCGCGCGCCCACGACTGCAGATCACAAATAGTGAGTCAGATTACAGAAAGTCGCGGAAATGGTCGAGTAAATACCTTATACAGACGCTCAGTTGAGTTCCTCATCTGCGTCGATTCCGTACGAGTGAGGAACGCGCTTGTCAAGGGCCTCATCCGCATCGATGCCATACGAGTGGGGAACGCGCTTGTCAAGGGTCTCATCCGCGTCGATTCCGTACGAGTGAGGAACGCGTTTGTCGATGGTCTCGTCGGCGTCGATACCGTACGAGTGAGGAACGCGCTTGTCGAGGGTCTCATCCGCATCGATACCATACGAGTGGGGAACGCGTTTATCGAGGGTCTCATCCGCATCGATGCCGTACGAGTGAGGAACGCGCTTGTCGAGGGTCTCATCCGCATCGATGCCATACGAGTGGGGAACGCGCTTGTCAAGGGTCTCATCCGCGTCGATTCCGTACGAGTGAGGAACGCGTTTGTCGAGGGTCTCGTCGGCGTCGATACCGTACGAGTGAGGAACGCGCTTGTCGAGGGTCTCATCCGCATCGATACCATACGAGTGGGGAACGCGTTTATCGAGGGTCTCATCCGCATCGATACCATACGAGTGGGGAACGCGCTTGTCAAGGGTCTCATCTGCGTCGATTCCGTACGAGTGAGGAACGCGTTTGTCGAGGGTCTCATCTGCGTCGATTCCGTACGAGTGGGGAACGCGTTTGTCGAGGGTCTCATCTGCGTCGATGCCATACGAGTGGGGAACGCGCTTGTCAAGGGTCTCATCGGCATCGATGCCATACGAGTGGGGAACGCGTTTGTCGAGGGTCTCATCTGCGTCGATTCCGTACGAGTGGGGAACGCGTTTGTCGAGGGTCTCATCTGCGTCGATCCCGTACGAGTGGGGAACGCGCTTGTCGAGATACGCCACGCTTGCATCCTCATATCCACGAGCTGCATGTGACCATCAGCATCAGCTCCATGAGCGTGGATCCGATTGAAACAGTGCTTACCGACAGCTGAGGGCCAAGTCATGGCGATCCGCAACGACGTCCGTCAATAACCTCTCTCAAGAGAAGTAACCCCAGGGAACCTACCTCGGGAATGTGCCCCCAACACGAAGGCAGAGAGAATTACAAAGGTGCGGAACTGCATGGCGAGTATCGAATGTATGAACGGAGGATGGGGTTGTCGTAAAACGATGGATTCACACTGCCTCTCCATCGCGCCTTAAATATGTGTCGCATCACCCTTCCTGCGTCTCAGCTCGCACAGTGAACCGTCCCCACGTAACGCACCTGCCGCGATCTTCGTGCGCCAATATTCATCGACGAACCGACCTGAGTTCGCTCCGAACCAAGTCCGCCCATTCGTCAGTCCATCGCACAACCAATGACATCGAGCATCGCGATCTGGATGACAGGGACTGATACTTCCATCGTGCGCCGGCTGTGCGGGCGCACCATGCGGGCGCATTAGGTCGGTGCACTGCATATCGGCTCGAGGATATCGGCCTCCGGCTAACCCCCGGCTTGAGGCGAGAGGTATTTGGAGATATAGAAGATCATGTCAACAGATAAATCAACCTAAGCGATCATCACCGCTTGTAATTGCTCGCCATTTATCCCTGTACCTTTCAGTCCTTTCCACTGACAGAGATTGGACGAGGGGCCATGGACAAGCACCGCAGCACATGTACAGAGATGCTAGCCTATCAATCATCTAGCCAGTGACAATGGCACCATCGCTAGATCATAGATTTGGCAGGGCGCTTGTTTTTGGGCGCTTGTTTTCTGTTCATTCGGCAAGCGGCGATGGTCCCACCTCGAGCAGTCCCGCTGCGACTCAGAGATGAGCGCACGATATCTATTCTTAGTCTGTTGGCGGCGGCGCTATATCAGCGTATTGGTTCAGCCACGAAGCGCGTCGGAGCTGAGGTGAGTGCTATGTCAAACAAAGTACTTTATTCCGCTCCAGATCAGGACTCGAGATGACCCTTGAACGCACAGCGGTGACTAAGTCCAAAAAAATTGCGATGATCAGCAATATATTTAGGAGCATTGGGGCCTACTTATGGAGTCGAATCGAATCGAACCGGGTCAGGCGGTGCTCGCAAGCCCACTTTGTTTCGAGCTCTGTCAGGGTCGCGTACTCCGCATTGTCTTTTGGGGCTCCAACGAAATGACATGATGATGACTGGTGATATCCTCCACGTGGGTACAGTAAGTAGTACTTGGAATCAGAGCAGGGCGCATGAACACGACCATGTACAGGTATCTTTGTCGTGATCACGCAGAAGGAGTGGGCTGACACACCGACTTGGTCGGGGGCACACTCCATACTAACTCTGCCTCATGTCCGTCATCCCAGAATGGACAGGCAAAGCCGCGTCTGATACTCTGTTTTCCCGGTGGGCCAGCCGGGGAATCTGATGAACTCCATCAGATGAGCAAGTGACGGTGCCATACGACAACATCCCATCGCAAGATCACCTATTCTTTCGTCCCTTGCAAGCGTGTCCGCTGGTCGACTGCCTCTCTTCCTCAGAGGTACCGAATTTCCACTCCACTCTGACCCATGCACGACCTCGCTATGCTCCTTTCCTCTATTCCCTTCCTCCTCTCCATCCTCTCCCTTTCCGCGTTCGCCGCCGACCCTGGCCACACCGCCGGCCACCACTCCAGCGCCGGTTCATCCAGCTCGGAATCAAGCACCACGCATGCGCGTGCGTCATTCAGCGTGCACTTCCCGTGGGCGACGCGCGCCGCGCCCGCACCGCACCGGCAACCCCTAGACAAGTTCTACCCGCTGTGTGGCGAGTGGGTGCACGGCCCACAGCCGTTCTCAGGATACAAGCGCACGTTCGTATCGTTTTCGGGGAACGCAGGAGACCTCGGTGCGCGCGTGCTCGTCACTCCTGGCGCGGGGCCTGCGCGCTGACCCTCTTTTCTTCATTCCGTTCTGTCTGTCCACGGTCTATGCGGGCGGGTGGGGCGACAGTGAGCGTGCACTATGCGCGCGCGCGCGTCCCGCGCAAGCGCGAGGACTTCACGTACACGATCGCGACGGATGTGCCGATCGCGCCCTCAGGCCAGCTCTGCTTCGATGTGCAGATGCCGCCGCCAACGGTGCCCCCCTCGCAGGCGGCGACCGCGCCCGAATATGGCGTGTTCCTGTTTGAGGCACGCGACCCAGCGACGAACGCGACAGCATTTCACGTGCGTTCTTCTTTATTCTTCAAGTACGTACGTTCGCGTATTGGAGTTCTGAGGAATTGTGTTTCTTTTTACGGGCAGTGTTCGGACGTGAAGCTTGTGGATGTAGAGGATCGTCCGCAGGATTATCCGGCGATGTGTGCGCGGAACAACGAGACGCTTATCCCGATGCCAGAGGAGTATCTGTAGTACATAGGCGCAGGGGGAATACAGTCATGGAAAAGGAAGTCATTCTGCGTGGAAAGGCATCGCCGAGCGCCGCTCTAGACACAACCCACGAGGAGATGAGAGCGGGAACTTCACGTACAACCCGTCCGCGCAAGGGCTGCCACATCAGAGTCTGACGGATCAGCGCGTCAATAAGGAGGAGCGGGTGCACGCGGTGCACGTCAGAACGGCAATCAACCCGTCATTAATGTACGGAATGCGGGGAAACAAACGTTAGCATATTTGCCTCTTCCGGATCGCGTCCGAAATTAGGGCACGCCAGGTGCTCGGGAACTGGCAGGAACAGACCACAGACGCCGATAGCCCCGTTCCGGTGTGACATCCTATGTCACGTTTGCGGCCATGCCATTGCCGACCGACCTTCGTTGGACGCACACCATGCGGTCGTCGATGCGCGCGATATAGGCTCTGCGATAGACAGGTACGATATTAGACAGGTACGATGGAGGTCGCTGATATCTGCTATTAGAACGGCTCTGACATATACCGATGCGGGTTGACGCCATGTGGGTGAAGGAAAACGAGGTGTGGCGACATAGGGAACGAGAAGAGAACACGCGTCAGATCCGAAGGCCATGCTGAACCTGTTTCGTGCGCGCGCTTCAGCGCTCTAGCCCTGAATCAAGAGTCTTGTGACTGGCTATACTAAACACCATACCGGCGCGCGCCTCTTTCCTCTCGCTTTCTCCAGTCGATCGCTCCTCGACATCAGCAAAGTCACTAACTTACCCCATCTATCCGGATCTATCCGCCCCAATATCCTCACATCACACTCAATCTCACGCATCACAATCAATGTCTGCCGCCGCCGCTCGACCGCCCACCCTGCCCGCACCCTTCTCCCCCGATACCGTCGCAGGCCTCTGCCTCCACGAGCCGAAGCACTTCAAGGTCCAGCTCCAGTCCACTGCGCACCGCGCCGCCATAATCGCACACTGGGTCATCCCCGCCGGCGCGCGCGTCCTCGAGATCGGCTGCGGCTAGGGCGACACCACTGCCGTGCTAGCAGAGCTCGTGGGCGAGACCGGCCACGTGACTGGCGTCGACCCTGGCGCGCTCGATTACGGTGAGTCCGGACAAAAACTGACGTCGTCCGCGCTGCTCACGCGACCCCTAGGCTCGCCGTTCACGCTCGGCCAGGCGCAGGCGCACCTCTCCGCCGGCCCCCTCGGCCCGCGCATCACCTGGGCCCACGCCGACCCACTCGCCTTCCTCGCCGCCCGCGCGCCCGACGCGCCGCCCTTCGACGTCGCCGTACTATCCCTCTGCACGTGGTACTTCGCGTCCCCGCGCGTGCTCTCCGCGCTCCTCGCCGCCCTCGCGCCGCACGCGACGCGTCTGTGCGTCGCAGAGTGGAGCCTCAGCGCCGCGCGCCCCGTGTGGTGCGCAGAGTTCGTGCACGCGTGAGAGGCGAGGCGTCGGTAGCCAGTGTATTGAATAACAAGTCAAGTGAAGCTCCTCTGGAGTAAACTATACGCGAAGGATATCTCAGGCTGCAGTCTGGGGGTCGCTTGCGAACGACTTCACGCATGCGCGGTCAACCACGATTCATTCCATTCATCGACATAGATTCCTCCTCTGTATATACTAGCCCATCACTGCCTCCGCACGAGCTCGAAGCCTGCCACACCCACAATCAGCACCGCACCGCACCCACGCCCGAAACCAGAACACCAACACAACACTCACCCATTTTCGGGAAGAACGGCACCTGCATGAACTCGACGTAGCACGCGACGCGCAGGCACCGCATCTCGACCGTCAAGCTCGCCGGCCCGCCCCCGCCGCCGTGGCCGTGCGCCGGGGCCGGCACCGGGCACGCGAACTCGACCGTCGTCGCGTTGGGCCGCGCGGTGAGGTCGAGCGTACCCAAGAGTTCTCCGCGCACGGGGCGCGTCGCCCAGGAGAGCGCGTCCCAGTCCATGTCGTCGACCGAGGCCGTGCCCGTGCCTGCGCTGGGCGCGGCGCCGTGCGGCGCGATCACGGACCAGACCTCGATCTCGGTGACGTCGCCTTTGGTCGTGAGGTCCTGCTTGCGCACGCCGAGCGGGGGCGGCGGGGTCCATATGATGGCGCACCTGTCTGACCCCGCCTCGGGGAGCGGGAAGCGCATGAGCGTCGTGTCCTGGGGCGCGATGCGCGCGGGGTGGGTCAGCGCCAGCGTGGGGGCGTGCGTGGACGATCTGCGGGGCTTACTTCGACGGTTATTTTTACCTGGGAGCCTGCGCCGTAGACGGAGTGCTTGAGCTTCTGGCTGAGGCGCGCGATCTTGTCTGGCCACTGGTACGCGTACGCCTTGGGGCGCGGCATCGCCTTTGCGGCGCGCTCGAGGCCGAGGCGCTGGTCGGGGTACGGGAGGCGGCGGAGGGCAGCCTCGGACACAGCGGCGCGGGAGAGGGTGAAGGGGAGGAGGGAGACGTTGAGCATGAGGAGGGACGCGAGGAGGCCGATGAGGATGTACGACTTGAGACCGAGCGTGGAGGCGGGATGGCTGGCGGCGCGTTTGGCGTCGAGGGTGTGAGGGGAGGAGGAGCGCGCGGAGAGGAGGGCATCGTCCTCGCCGGGGTCGCCCTCGCCGGTGGGGGCGAGGGAGACGTACTCTGTGCGGGGGACGGTGAGGGAGCGAAGGAAGGAGAGCATGGGGGTGCGGTGGGGGGTCGGTGCAACGGGGGGGTGATGGACAGGCAGAAATCGAGAGCAGGGCAGACGGCGCCATCACCGGGGGTGGATGGCGGGAGAGGTCAGGGTGACGGACCAGTTTGACGCGACGAACGGACCGATCGGGGACATCAGCGCCCGATGCCGATCTACCGCAATCTGGCGCCCGCGCGAGCCGACCCTGGATGATCGCGATCGGGTGCGCCGGTCGTTCGGTCAGACCGCAACGTTGCGCGTGTGCTCGCCCAAGTCAGAGGGCGAGAGAGCGTCGCTCGCAGGGATCGCTCTCCAGACGACCACACCCACCCGCCATGCTCTCCCGCCGCCTCTCTGCGCCCTCGACGTCCTCGCTGCTCACCGCCACCTTCGGCCTCTCTCTCCTCGTCAACCTCGCCGCCGTCCTCTACCAGCTCCACGTCCTCTACCCGCTGAGATCTTACAGTACGTGCCGCTTTCCACGACCGTGCATCGCGCTCACCGTGCGCGTCTCCCGCCCCAGCGTACCTCGGCCACGACCACCCGCGCGAGCTGCCCCTCGGGCCCGTCCGCACCGTCAACATGGCCTTCCACGACGACCCGGAGCACTTCCCCCTCTCCGGCGTGCAAGCCTGGGCAGAGTGGAACGCCATCCGCCCGCCCGCGGGCGGCTACGTCTTCATCGGCCAGGCGCACCTCCCCTGGAGCGTGTCCATGTGGCACCAGCTGCACTGCCTCAACCACGTCCGCAGCATTATCGCCGTGGGGGACGACGGCTCGGAGCACACCGAGCACTGCTTCCACTACATCAGGCAGCATATTTTGTGTGCGGCGGATACGACGCTCGAGCCCAGGGAAGAGGAAGCGGGCAGCAAGGGCGTGATCCCTGGGGAGGGCGTCGCGCACACGTGTAGAGACTGGACGCAGGTGGACAGTTGGACGGAGATCAGGCATCGGACGTGGACGCCTGACATGGAGGCGAGGCTGATGGAGTCGTCGGTCATGAACAAGACGGGGGAGTAGTTAGAATGCCAATGTATTGCTGATTCGGAAACCTCGGACGCAACGATCTCAAACTCAAACAACGCAACGTGTGCTTATCAATTCCTACTGACGAATACGAAACCGCTCTAAATCTTCCTCCTCAGCTGAAATCCTGTGACCCCACCCAGAATCGTCAAAAAACCGCGCGCACAGTAACCAGAGAAGCGCGACGGCATACCGATGTTCAGCCTGGGCTTGTCCGTGTACTGGACGACGCACGCCTTCCCGGCGGGACACCGGACCTCGAACACGCGCCGCTCGCCGGCCGCACACGCAAACTCTCCGCTCGTCGCGAGCGCAGCCTGCCGCGTCAGATCAAGCGTCGCGACCATGCGCTCCTGCGCGCGCGCAAGCGACAGCGGGGCGTCGCCGGAGCCGTCCGCGGAGCTCGAGGGGGAGCTCGAGAGCGCCGCCGCGGGCACGTCCCAGACCTCGACGGCCGCGAGCGCGCCCGTGAGCTCGGACGTGACCGTGAGCGGCGGGCGGAAGAACGCGATCGCGCACGGGGCGGACGCGTTGCCGTCCGGCACCGTGAACTGCACGAGCGCGGTTTCCTGCGGCGGCGCGAGTGCGCGTCAGGTCAGCACGGCGCGGGGGAGTAAGCGGTAGAAGGCGGGACTACTCACGCGGCGCGACATGCGCAGGGCGCGGCCCTTTGCCCACATGCCCTCCGCCGCGCTGCCGTCCTGCGCGTCCTGCGCGTCGGCGCTCCCGATGCGCGCGGGCTTCACGAAGCGGAAGCTCGCGAGGCCGCCCTGCGCGCGGGCGCGGTCGAGGCCTGGGCTGGACCCGATTGTGGGGAGCCCGGTCGGGGCGTAGTGCGCTGCGCTCGTGGCGAGCGTGCGCGGGTAGAGCGCGAGGTTGAGCACGGTGAGCAGGGCGACGGCGCAGAGCGCCCAGAACGCGCGCGGGGAGAGCAGCGCGGCGGCGCCTGAGGCAGCACTGCAGCAGGTGGCGGCAGCGGCAGAGGACGAGGAGGAGGACTGCTTTTCTTCCCAGGAGAGGTCGGAGGTGGAGTCGGTCGCGGTGGGGTTGAGGGGCTCGTATTCGGCGCGGTTGGGCTGGCGGGCGGAGGGCATCGTGGCTGGGGGGGGGGGACAGACGGGTGTGTGCGACTGCGACGTGAGTGCACGACACGGTGGGGGTGCTTAGAGCCCGACTTTGTCGACCGGGTGCCAGCTGCTTAGCGAGCGACGATCGTAGAAATATACGCGCCCGATGAGCGCGAAGCGAGCCCCTGCGGTGCACATGGACGTGCCACGATCGCGATCGCACAGCCCAGATGAGTTCATAAAGGCCGACCGGGACGCGATGCAGGCGACGTCGAGCGCCGGGCTAAACCCTTGAGCTAAGGGTCGTCGGAGTGCCGCGAGCGCCCAACGAGCACGTGCACCGGATCGCACCGCGAATCGCGATCGCGCCACCGTGACCGACTCGCGCCACCCGCTGCTCTGCTCTCGCCTGCGCCCACCGCCATATATCATTTCCTCCCAGAAATGCCTGCCGCGCGCTGCTGCGACCCGCACCTCGACCTGCCATCATGAACTCCAAGGCCTCGCCCGCTCACATCCTCTCCCCCATCTCCTCCCAACCGCGCGCCGCCGCCCGCGTGCGCACGTCCATCGTCGCCATCGCGTGCGGCCTCATGCTCGTCCTCAACGTCCTCGTCTTTCTGTACCAGCTGCGCGTGCAGATCCTCCCCCAGAGCAAGAAGCACTACAGTGCGTCTCCCCCGCTCCACGCTCACCGCGCATGCACAGCTGACCCGCCGCCTTGCCGACCCCCGCGCGCGTGCCCGCCGCCAGCGTACGTGGACGGAGACTGGCCGCGCGAGCTCGACCTCCCGACCCCGCTCCGTACGGTGTACATGCCGTTCAACGACAGCGAGCCCTACATGGACATCTACTCGCCCGAGGCCGGCCCCGTCTGGGACGCCAACCTGCCCCTCGGCCGCGGCTACATCAAGCTCGGCGGCCACGAGGAGCTCTTCGGCGTCACCATGTTCCACCAGATGCACTGTCTCGTCCGCTTGCGCGCCGTGCGTGTTTTATATACATATATCAACGTATGGATCGTCGGATTGAACGTGCTCATCGGTGCGGTGCGCGCTGGGACAGGTCTTTGCGGGCGACAAAGACGAGTCGGGGCACGTCAAGCACTGCTTCAACTACCTGCGCCAGGTCGGTCATTCCCATTGCGCCTTTCACGCGCGCCCGAGTGTTCGCTGACGCATCTCTCCAGGCCCTGCTGTGCAACGCGGACATCACGCTCGAGCCGGGGCAGACGGTGAAGAAGGTGATGCCGAACGGCAAGGTGCACACCGAGATCGCGGGCGGGTACGACGTCGTGCACCAGTGCCGCGACTGGCGCCAGGTGTGGAACTACATGGAGGACGAGTGGAAGCGCTCGTTCCCCGACTCGAACCCCATGGCGTACGCCGCGATGAACGGCCAGGCGTGAACGTTAACCCACCGTGCACTCGAACCGCGGGAAGCCGGACATGGAACGGATGCCTTGGTGCTCTAAATGGAGATGCGGGGTGAACCTTGTAGTGACTTTGTGTGAACCATGTACGAAATGCGGAGACCGTGTCATTCGCCCCATTTTCAGAAGAGAGAGCTTAGACGGCGTCCGAGAAGCCATTCTTGACGTCGGCGCACACCACTTGTGAAAAAACCTTCCATAACATCCTTGCGTGACACGCTTGCAGCGGGCTACAATCTGCTATAGGCCCTCGCCCATGGCGAGGAACGTGCCCTCGACCATATCCTCCTGCACCCTGACCATCTCCGGCGTCCACGTCTTCCGCTGCTCCACCGTCCAGTCATACACCTGTCGCCAGTCCCTGCAGGTGTGCGACATGTTCACCGTCGGCGCGATCGTGCCCTCCCCGTTCGGGTTCACCATGCTCGTGCCGCCCTCTTCGAGCGTCAGGTCGCCGCGGCACAGCAGCGCCTGGCGCAGATAGTGGAAGCAGTGCGCCGTGTACGGCGTCCCGTCCTCGCCGTGCACGACGGCCTCGCGCAGCTGGTTCAGGCACTGCAGCTGGTGCCACATCGACACGCCGAACGGGAGCGGGTGCGCGCCGAGGTAGACGTCGCCCCCGTTCGGCGGGCGCAGCGCGTTCCACTCCGCCCACGCGCGGTCGCCCGCCATGGCGTAGTGCTCCTCGTCGTTGTGGAACGCCATGTTCACGCGCCGCAGCTTGAGCGGCAGCTCGCGCGGGCGGTCGGCGCCGACGTACGCTGGATCGTGGCGCGGGGATCAGCGAGGGCGCGCGGTGAGCGGGCAGTGAGTGCGCGGGGCGCGGTGGGGCGAGGCGGAGCGACGTACTGTACGAGGGCCGGCCCGGTGCGACGATGTGCAGCTGGTAGAGGACGGCGGCGAGGTTGAGGAGGAGCGAGAGGCTGAGGCCGACGACGAACGTCCGCGACGCGACGATGCGCTTCGAGGGCGCGGATGACAGCGAGGCGGATTCAGACTTCATGGGTGCTCGTGAGGGATCGATGGCTCGTATGCGCTATACCCTGAGAGCCGTTAATGTGAGTACCAGCCCCGCTCCATCCGCGAGCGCTCGACTGCCCGAGCGAGCGAGCGCGCGGCCAGACTGGATCGGAGCGACTCGAGGAGGCCAGGGTCGGCGATCTGGTCCCGGCTAGCTATTACAGTAAATTGCAAGGGATCTCGACGAAAGCGGATCAGATCTAATCAGTCTCCGTTGCTGACCAACACAGAAGATTGCGGTCGTTCGTCTGTGATCAGATCCCGTTTCGCCGGCTCTGCACAGCCACGCGCCTCGGACGCCTGATACTCACGCACATTGGGGATAATTGGGCCATCACACTCTGGCCCCCCCGCCGCCCGCGGCGTTGACGGGCCTCGGTATTTGTCTTGACCCACATGCGCCTGTCGTGACGAATAAAAGTGCGTAAATGGACCAGGGAGCCCGAGAATGCTGTTACGCACTAAGCCCGAGACGAGAAGTTGTGAGACTGTTGTGGGACGTATTCAGGCAGCGACTTGACTTCTTCATCTTACGCCGCCTCGTTCACCTCCCGGTCACAAGAAACAGTCTAGTGCGGTTTGATACTCGCTTGATCGCTCAGCCGGTCTCAGCATGGAAAATAAATGAAACAATATCAGCTGTCTAGTACTGCCTCCTTATTTCCTTATGCCATCTCCTCGGTAGCAGAAGCCCACGACTCCGTCGCGTTCAGCGACCGCTCGTACCTCCTGCGGCCCTCGTGAAGCGCCATCGAGGACCCGGCGAGGCCCAGCAGAAGACACAGATCGTTTGCTGGCAGGGCCTCCGTCTGGAACACCGCCTGCATCAGGGGCACATACACCAAGGCGAGTTGCGTGAAGAATGAGACGGAGACCGTCCCGAGCAGCATCCGATTCTGCGTCATCCCGCACCCGAGGCCGCGGTTCTGCAGGGCCGATACGAGGTCTAGGAATACGAAGCAGGTGAATGTCTGAAGGCGAAGGATGTCAGTGTTTGCTCAATTAACATGCCAGACGGGTCATACCATAGTTTGCTCGCGCCGAGACATATGGTCGTCCGACAGGGCAAAGGTGTAGATGAACAGCGTTCCGATGACAATGATAGACGCGGAAAATAGGATACGATACAGTATGCGTTGACTGATGATCGGCTCGTCTTTCCTCCTTGGGGGTTTCTTCATGATGGCGTGATCGACGGGATCGACTCCGAGCGATTGACTAGGCGGACCTATGTATGATGCCATGTTTAGGAAACCAAGCACTATCACCCAATATCGCGACCGTACCGTCCATGAGAATGTTGATGAACAGGATCTGCATGGCATTTAGGGGGTTGCTCAGCCCAAGTAGTGTGCTGAGAGTGATCAGTGTTAGTGCAGCCGCGGCCGTGCTAAGTTGGAACGACAGGAAGTTTTGGATATTATGGAATATTGATTTGCCTTCCGACACCATGCCTCGAGTCAATCGTCGAACAGCGAGCATAGACCTGCAGAACACACCTTCTTCTACCGCAGGTAAGATAGTGCTGAAGTTATCGTCTACGAGGATGACGTCCGCAGCTTCTTTGGCCACGTCCGTACCACTCTTGCCCATCGAAACCCCGATGTCAGCCATCTTGAGGGCCGGCGCGTCATTCACTAACGCCAACTCCACTCAGCATGCGAATGCCAAATTGAGGTATGAACGTACCGCCGTCACCTGTCATCGCGACGATCGCGCCCCTCGCTTGGAACGCCTCGACGATAGCCATTTTGTGCTTCGGGCTCGTCCTCGCAAACACACTCACGCCACCGACACGCTCCTTGAGCTGCGCCTTCGTCATCTGATCGATCGCCTGCCCTGTCAAACAGAATCTGTCGCTCGCATCTGCTCCGCGCGGGACCCGCAGCCCGAGGTCGCGCGCGATCGACAGCGCAGTCTGTTCGGCGTCGCCGGTGATCATCACTACCTGTACTCCACCGCTCTGCAGGAGCCCAATCGCGTCCGCCACGCCCTTACGTGGAGGGTCTAGCATCGCCACAAAGCCGGTGAAAACGAGATTGGCCCCTTCCTTGTTCTGCGAGTGCGTGGACGCTCGTGACGGAGGTCTGGAAGGCGCTGCGCTCCCGCTTTCGACCGATCCGAATCCGTATGCCATTGCGATGACGCGAAGACCGCGGCTCGCGATGGCTTGAGCTTTCCCTAGAATGACGCTTCGCATGTTGGCGTCGAGGCCTGGTGTCGAGTCTTCCGCGACGTAGTAGAATTTGCATCGGTCGAGGATCGCGTCGATCGAGCCTTTGATATAGTACATTTCCCGGCTTGACCCATTCAGCATGGACACGCTGGGCAGAGTCGCCACTTGACCCGAGTGCGTCCCGCTCAAGGCCATGTACTTTCGCTCAGAACTGAATGGGAGTTCGGAGAGTCGTGTGAAGTTCTAGCGAGCAGATTAAAAAATGATTTCGGAAGGAAAGAAAAACGTGCGTACATGTCTGGGATCTGGCATGTCGAAAACGGGGAGAATGTTAAGCAGAGCCACATCTGTGGACTGGCCCACATGGATGCCTTCTTCGTTACGGGTTATAGATGCATTGTTACACAGAGCTCCGATCTTGAGTGTCTTCGACAGTGCTGCCGAAACACGATGTGGAGGTGTTGGGGAAGAAGGATCAATCGTTACTGCCTCGTCGACGGAATACAATTCCGTGACAGTTTGTTCGTTTTTCGTAAGAGTTCCTGAGACGTTGACAGATTAACAATGAGCACACCGGTGATCAATCGTTGCATACCGGTTTTATCCGAGCAGATGACGGAGATCGACCCTAAAGCCTCGACGGAGTGTAGTTTCTTAACAATGGCCTTTCTCTTGGACATGCGGAGCACACCCAAGGCGAGTGTTACCGTGGTGACAATCGGCAAGCCTTCCGGGATAGCAGCAACAGCGAGGGATACTACGCTTGAGCAAAGACCGGCTGAGTCATCGCACAACATGATATATCCGTTTGCCTACCTCCAATAGTGAACATATCGAGCCATGAGCGTTTCTGCAGAACACCGATCAGACAGATGACGCCGATGATGCCGAAGGAGATGAACGAGAGTTTCTGTGCCAGTTCGTCCATGCTCAGTTGTAACGGTGTCCGACGCTCTTCCACCTAATAATGTGTTACAGAGAGGATGCAGAACGTGCTTGTTGACTTACATCCTGCATCATGGAGAAAATAACACCAAACTCGGTCTGTGTGCCAATGGCAATGACCACGCCTGATCCTCTACCTGTGCGGAAATAAATCGCATGGATTAATTTGAGATTGCGCATTTTGAAACCGAGTATCTCACCATTCCTAACCAGGGTGCCCATGTATGCGATGCACGTCCTGTCAGCCAGAGCAACGGTCTCACCTGTGGAATGTACATGACCAGCATGCGCGTTTCCGTTCTGAGCGCGACACGGATCGGTATCTTTCCGCCTCGCGGTAGTTTCGCCCGTCAAACTGCTCTCGTCTATTTCTAGATCGACGGCCGAGATCAGCCTCACGTCTGCGGGTATACGATCGCCTGTAGAAAAGGTGACGATATCGCCTGGTACGACCTCGTTGGCGAGGACATGAATAGCGTTGCCATCCCTGAGATACATTAGATGACGCCAGCTGAATGAAGGGGATGAGGAGATACCGAATTATATGACAATGATGGGGAACGAGCTTGTTCAATGCTTCCAGGCTCTTCTCTGACCGCCGTTCTTGGATGAAGCCGACTGCGAAGGCCTGTCATTGATAGCCAAGTGCGACGCGTTTACTTTCACTCACCTGTCAGGACGATTAGAACGGCCACGGCTATACTGACAGCGTCATCGATATTTCCCATGATTGCGCTGATCAGGGCACTTCCACACAGAAGCAAAATCAAGGGACTCTCGTAGATCGTCTTTGCGAACTTCAAAAGTGCCGGCTCCGGAGTGGTGACCGAGAATTCATTGTATCCATGAATCGCGCGGAGGGATGGTACAGAGTTGGAGTGGAGTCCATCTGTTGCGGACGTTTGGAACGATGCAAGTGTGCTCTACGCATGGTCAGAGAGCGTGCAAGGCAATGGCGCGTCAATTCACGCACCTCGACGGTATGATTTGCGTAACGCGCTGAAGGCGTCTCTTGTTGTCTCTGCTCACCTGTGGGCACCGATGTATAACCATTCTCTGAAGACTGCCCTGCTCTTCCAGTCACCAATTTGACCAATCTACCCCAAAGGCCGGAAGGGCCTTCGTCTGTGACCGCAGACCGCAGAGACTCTAGTCCGGGAAAAGTGCTCGAATGAGGAGTTCCGAGATTAAGTGGTCCATCCAAGTGGTGTCTGCGAAGAGTCGTGGAGTATGCAAAGTGTGCTTGAGCATCGGGCGTTGGCTGTGGTTCCTGTTCGTCACCGACGAACTTTGAGAAGTATGCCGAAGCCGGGGGAGATGGAGTTCGTGGAGCCTGTTGCTGAACGCGTCGTGAGTACGTGGTTGACGATGACGCAGAGAACGAGGTTCCCTGATCGGGATATATATTGGGAGGTCTGCGTTCGTAGCCCATGGGTAGAGAGAATTGTCAAGGGCCCGAACCGCAGTCAAGCGCACAGCTCTGAGTCGCGAGCACAGAATTCGCGCGTTTGAGACATAAGCTTGATAGGTCAAAAGATGATATTGGTATTTCTCACCTATGCACGGGCTTGATACTGCTTGTTTCCCAAGCTAAGTGTTGAGAGTATAGATGGCTGCTACAGTAATACAGAGAAATTGAAGAACAGTCGTGGCAGTTAGAGACTGCAATACATATGAGCCGGTTTCCAAATAAGAGTAGAGTTCTCTAGAGTTCTGCGCAAAAGTCTGCTTCGATTAGGAAGGTGACTCTCAGTAAAAACGGAATTCAGGTGAACGTCAAGCTCAGTCAAAAAAAGGGTCTTTTGTCATGTATCCGTCAAGAAAGTGGCGCGAAAAGTTATGCACAAGTCATAAACTGCCAAGATTGGACACGACTTTCACACGACTCCTGCACTGCTTTCGTGACGGATATACGACAAAATGACCATTTTTTGACTGGGCATGACGTCCACTTGAATTTCCGTTCTTACTGAGGGTGACCCATCAGGGATGTCTGACGTATGGGTGGGTTTGGCTGTATCCTGCTGTGTCCCGCTAACTGAAGCTCCTACGTTCCCGCCGAATCTCGTTCCATCTCTCTCACGAACCTCGTCTATCAACCTCCTTCTCCGTTCCACCCCTCAGACCATAGATCAGTACGTCAAAATTGAGGAGAGAAGCAAGGCCCAAGCGGTGACAAGTGATCAAACCAGATCGAGCAGCACCAAGGAAATTCCTTGAGAAGCTTCGACTATAAAGGTATGTGCCATTGCTCGCTCTGTCCCAAGTTTTCTACTTCTCTACTTTACACTTTGCTCCATTCTACTGAGCTGCCAAACTCCAGTGCGTCTCATTTTCCTTTGCCCTTTCCTTGTTGTTTCCTTTTTTCCTTCCCCGCCCTAAAATCTTCTCAGTGTCTAACACAACCACGTTGACCAAGACGTTTTTCGATATGGCTGCCAACGAGGACCGTCTGCTCCCTCTTCGCATCACCTTCACCCGCACGCCCCCGAACCTTGTTCCGAATGCCCCCTTCATTCCTTCTGCCGAAGAAGCCGAGCACAGATACTATGGCATTCCCTCCCAGCCTTACTTTATCGCTCGTTCTAGTCATGACACTTGGGCCATGCCGACGGGTATGGACGCCTACATCCAACCCAGGGAGTTACATGGTGTCGGCAAACACCCTCTATGTGATGTCTGGGAGGATGACATTAGCGTTGCTATGCATAACTATATGGTGGAACAAGAAGTGCAGTACAGCAGCCTTGACCCAGTCCGCATCAAAATAATCAACGAACCCATTTCTCCCGTTATCATCTGGGTTGGCGTTGAACCTGGCTCCCTCTCTGCCGAGCGTGGCGTTGAAGTCGCTGTTGGCCTCAGAGGTTTTCTTCTCAAAAACGGTATTGAGGATGTCCACGTTGAAATACGTGCATCTGTAATCTCTACCTTCGCGAAAATGTATAAGCCTGTCCCTACCTCCAACCCCACTGTCCATGTGCGAGAGGCCTTCTCCACCGCTCTCGGTATCACCATCTGCGCCGAAAAGACGCCTAACATCCAAGGAACAGCTACGCTTTTCTTCACTGTCTCTTCCAAGCCGGGCAAGCTCTTCCTCCTTACTGCTAAACATGTTCTTTTCCGTGTTGATGAGGAGAACGATCATTACGAGTACCACAGATCTGGACCCCGCAGGAATGTTTTGTTAATGGGCGCGGATGGCTTCAAAGCTCGTATCCAGGACATCGAGAAGGAGATCGGGGGCACACATATCGTTATTGCGCATCTTAGGGCTCGGTTGAAGGTTGCTGATAAGATGGAGGACCTGGACGATGCTCAGGCGGAACGAGAAGATATCCAGCCCCAGTTAGACAAGGCGGAAAAAGCTGTCAAACAGCTCAAGCTGTTCCTTGCCGACCTCAAAAGAGACTGGGAGGACCCGAAGAGTCGTATCATTGGTCATGTTGTTCTTTCTCCCCCTCTCATCCATAGCGTAGGGAAGGACGGTTTTACTCAAGATATTGCAATCATAGAGGTCGATACCACCAAAATTGATGCCACCAACTTCATTGGCAACGTCATCGACCTCGGGACTGAGATCCCTGTCAAGACCCTTACCGCCTGGATGCACCCTAACCCCGCCAACCAACCTTCTTTCGAGTACCCTCCTAACCGCCTCCTCCAGTTCCGTGGCACCCTTTCCAACGACGAAATGTGTAAACCTAACCCCAAGAACATTGATGACAGAGGTGACCCGACCATCATGGTCTTCAAGCGTGGCTGCAGTTCAGGGCTCACTGTCGGATGTCTCAACAACATCTGTTCGGTCGTTCGCAAAGCAATCAAGACCAAGCCTGGTGTATTTTCAAAGGAGGTCGCCGTGTTGCCTCGCACTTCTAAATCTGGCGCATTCTCCGAAGGTGGAGATTCTGGCGCGGCTGTCATCAACGGCCGGGGTGCTGTTGCTGGTATGCTCACCGGTGGTGGCGGATCCGGTAAGGTATCGGACTGCACTTATGTTACCCCCATCACTTTCCTCCTCGAGCGCTTGAAGGAGCTCTGTTTCCCTGCTAACATCTTCCCCACGGCTGCCGATGTTTTCGATTAAACACCATCTACTCTCCAAATCCCAATACACGCTTGTTCCTTCTCTCTGAACATTCTATGGTATGACTCGCCTGGCATGCCCGTCGAGCAAACACTGACATCCTTCGCCTTCAGACGTTCACCTGCTTCGTATTCCTAGACCTCGTATCGGCCCTGCAGAACCGCGGCCTCGGGTGCGGGATGACGCAGAACCGGATGCTGCTCGGGACGGTCTCCGTCTCGTTCTTCACGCAACTCGCCTTGGTGTATGTGCCCCTGATGCAGGCGGTGTTCCAGACGGAGGCCCTGCCAGCAAACGATCTGTGTCTTCTGCTGGGCCTCGCCGGGTCCTCGATGGCGCTGCACGAGGGCCGCAGGAGGTACGAGCGGTCGCTGAACGCGGCAGAGTCGTGGGCTTCGACGTTGCTGAGAAAACGCGCACAAAGTGGGGTCATTGGTGCTTGGATCGACCGATATCAGGCTGCTGGGACCATACAAAAAAGCAGAAATTTGTCGATTTCCTGATGTCAAATTATGGTGGTGGACTATAGCATGAGGGTTCCTAGATCCATAAGTACAAACACACACGCAACGAGACACCGCCGTCTAGATCACATACAGATGGTATCGCTAATCCAACAACAGATGGGCTGACAAGATGCACATGGAGAAGAGCGAAGGTCACAGCAAACTAACAAAAGTCAGGGAGCAGCACGAGAAGCAAGAGTCAGAAAAAAACAGAAAAAAAAGAGCGAGAGAAAGAGAGAGAAAGGAAAAGAGGAAGAGGAAGAGACACGGGGAAACAAGGAGAGAAAGACCACACACACACACACACACACACACCACCCTCGTCCCAAAAACCCAAACCCAAACCCCAACACAACAACTCGACGCGCGCGCTCACTCCAACGGATACACGAAACTCGCCAACACCCACCCCAGCGCCCCCTCCCCCCTCTCCCTCTCCCTCTCCCTCTCCCGCACAAGCAACAAGCAGTCCTCCCCATCATCAACATACAGCGGCAGATCGCGGTGCGCGCTCGGGTGCCCCGCCTCCTTGAGCACGTCGAACGCCGCGCCGAGCGCGAGCGTGAAGAACGGCAGCCCGCAGTACGCCACGCCCGGCGGCGGCGCGCACGCGTGCACGACGCGGCACGTGTACAGCGCGCGCGCGCCGCGCCACTGCGTGATCAGCGCCGCGTCGTCCGCGGCTGCGGCGTCGGCGTCGGCGTCGGCGTCGGCGGGGTTGTCGTCGGCGTAGGCATAGTCGTAATCGTCCTCGGGCTCCCCGTACGCCGGCGGAGCGTAGGCCGGCGTCTGAGCCTGCGCCTGGGTCGCGCGCGCCTTGCGCGAGCCCGTGCGCGGCGCGCGGAACGTGTCCATAAAGTTCTGCCGCAGGCTCTGCGCGCGCTGGAGGCGGCCCCTATCACGGTCGCGGTCACGGCCACGGTCACGGTCCCTATCCGGCGGCGAGGGCTCTGCCTCGCGGGCAAAGCGCCCCTGCGAGGGCGCCTTGCGCAGCGGCAGCGGCAGCGGAGCACTCGCGCGGCGCGGGGGCGGCAGCTGCTTCTGCTTCTGCTTCTGCTTCTGCGTCTGCGTCTGCTGCTGGTGATGGTATGGGTACGGGGGGGTGTGCGGCTGCGAGTGCGAGTGCGAGTTCGGCAAGGGCGGCGGGCGCGCGAGGGCGGAGTCGTCTGTGCGCGCGGAGCGGGTGGAGGAGAGCGCGGATCGCGCGGAGCGGATGGAGTGCAGGCTCTCGCTGGAGCGGCGTCTGCGCGGCGCGGGGGCGTGGGCGTAAGAGGAGGAGGAGGAGGGAGCGCGTGCGAGGGCGGGTGCAAAGCCGTAGCCGTAGGGGCGTGCGCGCGGGGGGTCGCGGGAGGACGAGGGGGGCGGGACAGGGGGCGGGGACGAGGGGGAAGCGGTGGAGGGGCGTATGGGGTCGAGGGCGTTGAGCATCGAGGCGACGGCCCCTGCGCGCGTGGTGCTGCTGTTGCTGTTCCCGCTGCCGCTGCTATGGCTCTGGCTGCTCCCGCTGTGACCGCCCCCACCCGCGGCGTCATCATTCCCACCACCACTCCCTCCGCCTCCTGCGCCGCCGCTCCCGCGCGCCCGCAGCGGCGCCCGCTCCGCACCCACGATCCCGAGCGCCGCCACCTCGCGCTCGACCAGCTCCCACCGCTCGCGCCACACCCTCTCCGTCTCTTCTGCCCCCGCGTTCCGCTCCCCCTCCACCCGCAGCGCATCCCACAGCTCCGCCCAGCAATCCCGCACGTCCGCCCAGTACCGCGCCTGCCACCCCGCGAGGGCCTGCAGCGCGTGCGCGAGCGCCTTATCCACCAGGCGCAGGAACTTCGGCAGCTCGGTGCGCAGCTCCCCGCGCAGCGCGACGTACGCCTGCGACGCGTCGAGGAGCGCCGGAGGGGGGCGCCCGCGCGCGGCGCTGTGGTGCAGCAGCGCGGCGTGCGCGGGCGCGAGGGCGTGCAGCGCGTCGAGGAGGCGCAAGGGGGGCGCGGCGGACTCGACGAGCGCGCGGAGCGGCGGGAGGAGGCGCGCGCGGAGCGTCGCGTCCAGTGCGTCGGAGAGCGCGGTGAGCTGCGGGTCCGCGACGGCGCAGAAGGCGTCGAAGGCCTCGGAGGCCTGCTCGGGCGTGATGCCGAGCGCGCGGCCAAAGGCGCGGGCCCAGGTGGCGAGCTGCGCGGCGAGCGCGCGGGCGGCGCTGGCCCAGGCGAGGGCGTCGCGCGCGAGTGCGTGGGCGTAGGCGAGGGCGGCTTTGAGGCGCTGCTCGAGGCGCGCGACGGCGTCTGTTTCGTCCGTGTCGGCGGGGGCGAGGGGCGGGCGGCCCTTTGTGACGCGGCCGATGTGGACGGCGGCGGCGAGGACGAGGGGGAGCGCGAGCACGGGTGGGGCGGGCTTCTTCTTGGCGGCGGGGTCGGCGGCGGCGAGGATGTCGCGGACGACCTCGCGGCGGCGGCGGCCCTCGTTGACGGCGCGCGAGACGGCCTCGATCATGGACTTTGCGGTGCGGAGGCGGGGCTTGTCTGGGTGGGAGTCGGGGGTGTCGTCGAGGACGGCGGCGAGGAGGAGGGCGTATTTGAGGAGGCGCTGGACGGGCTTGATGAGGAGCGAGGGGAGGTCCCAGGCGTGGGTGAGGGACGCGGCGAGCGTGCGCGTGTGCGCGAGGTAGGCGGCGAGCGCGGGGGTTTGTGGGAGCGCGTTGAGGTGCGCGACGGCGGTCGGGTGGTGCGTGATGTACGTCTTGTACGGCGGCTCCATGTGCGGGATCTGGCGGGCGCGGGACCGTCAGCACTGGAACGAGCGGCAAAAGGCGGGACGCGGACGCACCATCTCGATGAAGACCTCGCCGACGTGGTCGGGGCCCTTCCCGCCCTCGAGCACGTCGCCAAGGGCGTCCTCAAGGCGCTCGGAGAACGCGTCGGAAAAGAGCGCGAGCTCGGCGACGTTGCCGAAGATGGTGTGGGCGTCGTGCGGGGTCATCGGCGCCGCGGCGGCGGCGGCAGGGGCGGCGCCCGAGGCGGACGAGACGGCGGTGGAGGAGGAGGCGGTGGAGAGGGTGCGGGAGGAGGCAGAGGAGGGGATGACGGTCGGGGTGTCTGTGGCGGCGGCGGCGGCGGCGGCGGCGCTGGCAGGGGCGGATGGAAGAGGGAACGGGGCCTCTTTGCCTGTAAAGCGAAACGGTCAGATGAGCGCGCGCGCACGCACGAGGCGCGGCGGGGGCACGCACCGAGGGCGAGCGGGATGTGGATGTCGCGGATGAGGGCGAGGTCCGAGGCGTACGCGCGCTCGGAGGAGAGCAGCTCGAGGAGGGCGTGGGTGCGCTTGGAGATGGCGGGGGCCGGCGGGGGCGCGGAGGGGTCTGGGGGCACGGGGAGCGGCTTGTCGGGCTGGGGCGTGGACGAGGCCGAGGACGCCGAGTGCGAGTGCGCGTGCGGTGGCACGTGCGAGCGCGAGGGCGGGGGCGAGGGCGAGTGGGAGTGGGAGTGGGATCGAGGGCGGGCGAGGGCGACGGGTGCGGAGGGGGACGAGATCGGGATCGATCTGAGGTCGTTGGTGGGTGTGGGCGCGGGCTGGAGGGAGTCGAGGAGGTTGGCGAGGGAGCCGAAGCTGCGATTGCGCAGGAGTGGCATGGCGGCGCCGGGTGCGGGCTCGTCAGCACTGGGCTCTTCGTCGTCCGCGGGTGGAGATGGGTGTGGATCCGCTGGTGGTGGTGGTGGTGGTGGTGGTAGCGGTGGTGGTAGCGGTGAAGAAGAGGACGAGGACGAGGACGAAGAGGGTGGTGGCGAGGAGGATGAATGTTGTAGGAGGTGGCTGGAGGTGGCTGTGGCTGTGGCGGGGCGTGTGGGGGGACGGGGGCGGAGAGGGGAGCGAGCGGGGAGGAGAGGAGGCCGCGCGGGCTCATAAGCGTCGACGGAAGACGTCGAGGGTCCGAGCACGCCTGCCACGCGCCTCGCCCGCGCCGCGTGCTGCGAGGCCCCTTCAGCCCCAGCCTCGCCTCCGTCTCCGTCTCCGCCCACGTCCCCGTCCAACCGCCGTCCGGCAACCGTCCGGGTCCGCGTCTGCGTCTCCACCAGCGGGACTGGCGCTGACGCGGGGGCGCCGACCGCAGCACCCTCGCAAGCGCCCCCGTCCGCTGGGCGCCCCGGGCTAGCGAGCGGATCCAGCGTCCTGCTTTCCGACCGAGATGAAGGGGTGGAAACCTACTGCACGCACACGTGAAGAGCACAAGGCCAGGGCTGGGTGCGCGGCGCTGTCGACGCGAGGCGAGGGAGTGGGACGTGGAGGGCGTCGAGGGAGTTATAAGGAGCGCCTCCGCCGTACAACCGACCTTCCGCCCCGAAATAGCTCCCTCCAGCCACCGGCCCAGCCCTCCCCGGCGCGGCCTCCGTCAAATCCGGCGCTCCCCGCTCAGGTGCCCCCCCCGGCCCGCCGCGACCTGCTATTTATGGCCCGCGTTCCCCGCCCTCCGCCGCCCCGCGTCCGACGCGCCCCCGCCCCAGTCGGTCGACGCACACACCGCCATCGCGTGGTGACCGCGCGCCGTCGACCCCGCCCTGCCGCCCACGCTCGCACTTTTGCGGTGCGTGACCGTTCGCGATGGCTGTCGCCCATCGTGCATCGTCTAGGCGACGCCCCGCGACCCCGCCCGATTCGCATTCGACTCGCAACCCGCTGCTGCTGCCGTACCATACGGTACGGTACCGTGCCCTCGGATGCTGTAGGATGCTACTCGTACAGTACCAGCGCCTGTGGAGCGCCACGACTAAGTAATACATACGCTCGCACCATTGCCGTTACTGCTGCTGCACACGCCCGCACATGTACCCCTCGGGCTGCACCCGCCGCTGCTCCCTGACTCTTAAATAGCTCCCCCTCCCTAATGTAGCCCCGCAAGTACGCGTCGCTGCAGGCCTCCACCACCGAGCCCTCTCTCCCGCGCGACTTCTCCGCCCGTCCTGGCCTCTCGCTGTCCTACATTCGCTGTTGCTGCTGCTGCTGCTGCCGCCGCCCGAGTCGCTCAAGTCGGCTGCCAGAACACCCGCCGCGCGCGCACGTACGATGTGTGCTTTGATCGCCAAGTCCTGACTGCGCGGTGCGGCGAGGGGCCCGCGGCGCACGCCGCCGCCGCCGCCGCCGTTTCCGCGGCGCGGCGCGACACACCCGCGATGCCGGTGCCCGCGCACGCGCTACCCCACCCCCACATCTCCACACTCCGTACCCCGCGTCCCAGATCCCGGACTCCACACCAGCCAGCCTCGGCTCCAGTCAGCCCCAGCCCTGCGACCTCCTTCCTCCTTCCTCCACTTTCTTTTCTTTTCCCTCCTCCCTTGTTTTCTTTCCCTCTTTCCTCCTCCCACTACCGCTTCTAGCCGCCCGATGCCGCAAACTCGCGACCCCTCACCCCATATCAATTCGACTCGCCTGACCTCTCCCTCGCACGCACACACGCACACACGCTCCCGTGTCGCCCCCGTCCGCGCACGAACCCCAGCCGCGGCCCCGGTCTGGCCTCCATGGCCCTGCGGCGGCCACGCGCCTTGGGCGTTCTTCGTGGCCCTTGCTTCTTCCTGCGTCCTGCGCCCCGCCCGCCAACCTGCCTTCTCCTCTCGCCCTCCGCTTCCTCGTCTCGCTCGCTCCCCTCGCCTCTTCGAGCCTCTCCGAGCCTCTTTAAGCCTCTCCGCTCTGCGTGTCCGCTCACATAAATGCACGCGCGCGTCCCAGTCCCAGTCCCGGCGCCGGTGCGCGTGCCGACGCGCCCTTCTCCGCTTCACGCTCTCCACCGGCGGTCGTCGCATCCAGCGGGTCCCCGCGGCGTCGCGCGCCCGCGTGCGGGTGTGCGCCGTGCACTGTCGCTCGTGCGGCGTGTCGTGTCATTATCGCGTCGTGTCGTGCCATTATCGTGTCGTGTCTTGTTCATGCCGCGTCGTGTTCATGCTGTGCCATGCCGTGTCGTGCCGTGCCGTGCCGTACGTGCCTCGCCTCGCCTGTCCCTCCTACCCACCCACCGCCGTCGTATGTCCTCCCCCTTGCCCTCGTGCACCCCTGCCAATCGCCGCTCGGCACCGACGAGAGTCTCACGTCCAACAGACACGACAACAGGCCCCATATAAGTTAAATACGACCCACGCGGAGACGGTACGGCATACGCGACCACGAGCCGCTCTGCGACTCGTGCCGCGCTTGCTTGCTTGTTTGGGCTTCGACTTGTCCTCTCTGTACGTGGCACGGGGTCTCTTCGCGTAGCGTGCGCACGGTGCTGGTCCGATTCATTCATCACACGTCCACGCCCGCTCACTCACGCCCACAGGCAACAAAGTTATGTAGCGTACACACACGTCCACACGCACGCACGCACGCACGCAAACGCACACCGCGATCCAAAGAAACGGCCTCCACAATCCGATCTAGGCATCGAAGATCCTTCCACAAACAGATCAGGACTGAACCGCAGGTCCGCACGCACGCCGCACGACGTTCATCTCCGCGCGCGTCCACCCAACCGCGCAGCATAGATGCCCAAGAAAGCAAACAGAATCCCGCATCTCTTGCTGCGCCCTCCAACCCCCGCCCTCACGGCGTCCCCGGCTCATGACTCCCAGGCTCGACAACCTCCCCGTCGGGCCCGAGCGGCCAGAACGTGTTCCTGAACACGCCGCCCGCGTCGTACTGCTTCTTCAGCGCCGCGACGCGCGCCCAGTTCGCGCCAAAGGACGCCATCACGCGCGCGGGGGGCTCGTGTCGGCCCAGGAACTGCGGCGAGACACGCGCAGAGGAAGAGGTCAGGGTGGGCAAGGCAGGATGGAGATGGGGCGGGCGGACGTACGGAGGGGAACGGTCCACCGAGGGCGACGGGGCCGATGGTGTCCCGCAGCCACTGGGATGTGGCCGCGATCAGTGCGATGCCGACGCGGGTGGGGAGAACGGCGCGCGACGTACCTCCTCGGCGGTCTCGACGCAGCGCGGGTCGTCGATGCCCATGTCCCACTGGTGCAGCCCCGCGATCGTGAACGCCGCCTCGCGCTGCGACTTGGGCACGCACGTCCCGTCGAAATCGGCGATCGCGCCGCCCGCGAGCTCGAACAGCCACGCTGTGCGCGCGCGGGGGTGGATAAAGACGAACTAGGTCAGCGAGAGAGTGCGTGGGGAGGAGAGAGCGGGGACGCACTGCATCCGATGGGCGTGTCGGCGAACTCGAGCACCGTCTTGTTGATCACGTCGTCCGGGAGCGACGAGATGAGCGCCGAGCGGATGAACCACTGCCTGCCCGCTGCACCGCCGCACACGCCGTTCAGCCACCCGCCAGAGCGCGATATCCACTCGAGAGCACGCACCCTTTGCGCGCAGCACCTGCGCGACGCTCTCCTGCTGGTGCACAAAGCTCTTCTCGTCCACCTCGTTCAGCAGGCACTGCTCGCCGTTCCACGCCGAGATCGCGTCGAGGTACTCCTGGCCGCGCGCGCGCGGCCCGACGAAGCAGATCTGCACGACCACGAGCGAGTCCTTGTCCGCGGGGCCCGCCGTCAGCAGCACGTTGGCGTACAGCTCGCGCGGCGCGCCCTTGACGCAGTCGCGGAAGTGCCGGATGAGCGACCCGGCGGTCGCGCGGTGGAAGCGGCTGGAGGGGAGGGCGAGGGGGGTAAACGCGGGCGAGGCGAGGCGAGGCGAGATGGGTGGGAAAACATACTATATGAGATTGCCCGCAAAGACGACGGGGACGGGATACGCGCGCGTCTTGTACCGCGTCGCAATGCCGAACGCGGGGCCGGCGCCACGGATAGCCCACCACAGTTCTGTTCTCGCTATCAACAGGGGGGCTTCTGAAGCGTGGTGCAAGCATGATCAAACGCACCTGGATGCTCTCGCTCGTTGACGATAATGATGCTCCCGTCTGCGAGCACCATCTCGACCTCGACAACGTTGTCGATGCTCAGTCCATATAGACGACTCAAGAACCCGAACCCGCCCAGGATCATCACCGAAGATCCTACGGGGTGCGCAGAACTGTAGAGGCATACCCATCATCTTCGCGAAAGCCTATGAGTGCCGGAATTACACTCACAAAGGTACATGGTACGGTGCGACCGCTGGCGCGCCGGCAAGCGTGACCGCCGGCAGCGGGTTCGCGGCCGTGTACGCATCAACGGCCTTCTGCTTGACGCCTGCCCCGAACGTGACGTACGCGTGCTTGTGTACGGGTTGGAGCTCGAGGTGCCCCACCGCATCGTGCGCCGTGGCTCCACCCAGAAGCGGGTGGTTGAGCGCCGCGCTAGTTAGTGCATCCCAACCACCTGCGTGACCGCCGGTCGAGCGGCTGCGAACCTCGGGGAGTGGAAGTGTTGGGGCGGCAGTCATGTACGCGAAGGGATCTGGGCGGGACAAAGACAGGGAAGGGAACGAGCCGGACGTCGGGAACGAAAACGGAGCTGCGTTTGAGGAAGATGCAGACGTCGTGGAAGCGGGTAGGCGGGGTCGGGGGGCAGAAGCGACATGCTGAGTCGGCCGCTCGGCCATGTATGCAAACGGATCCGACAATGCCGCGGACCCCGACCCCAAGCTGAATCCTTCAGCCGCTGATGGTGCCTGCGCGGTCTCGGGCGACTTGGAACCACCGGGAGACGTCACAAGCGTAGACGTCGACCCAGAATGCGAGAGCTCGTCCGCACTGTCCCGCGAGGATGTCGACTTGCCGCTCGACTCCGAGTCGGTCGAGAGCTGACGCGCGGCGAGGACGTTGGACGCCATCTGCACGTCGATGTCCATCGCTGAGCCTTCTTCGTCGACGCGCCGGCGATTCAAGGGGGGCTGACGTATTTTCTCGCCGGAGGCGTCGGTTGGGAGCGGCGGGCCATTCAAGAAGCTCGCGACAGCTGCAGAAGCGATGCTGGACGTTGAGAGAGGATTGGCATCATCGCCATCGCTCTCGCTGTCGTCCTCGCGGCGCCGCTTTGCACCGGCCAGGCCCGTGGGAACGCCTTCGAGGACCGGGGCGCCAACCTTGTCTTTGCCTTTGCTGCCAGAGGGTGCTATATCTCGAATACTGGTATAACCGCCTTCGGCAAGCGGCGTCTCGATGTCGATGTCGGCGATGGAAGAGAGGTCAACGATGATGTCACCGTTGATAGCCCAGCCGGCCGTCCCGTAGCCTCCGGCCTTGACGGAGAGAGACAGAGAATGCTTCGTGCAAAACAGAATTATCCTGTAAAACATACTATATCATTAGAGTCGATTCTATTCGAGATGCGTTCGCTGCACGAAGGAGACACGACGTCGGGCAACGATCAAACCGACATGTCAAGCAGCGCTTATATCCGCGAGCTCTATTTAAAGACCGCGCGATGTGGGTTTTTACGATCCGCAGAGACAAAGAGGTGTCATTGAGCTTGTGGGAGAGGAAATGTCGTGCCACAACCGAGTCTGGATGGAAGTAGTAAAGAAGAAAGACACTCACTTGCTGACGTCGTGGGCATCAAGCGGGCACGCGACGACTTTGGATGCGTTCAGGACGTTGCCGTTGAACACCCGAGCACGCTCAGAGTAGCTGTGCAGGCCGCTGTCAAGGCAGTTCCAAATATAGCGGGGCGCAGCGTACGCACTGTGGTTCGTCCGGATGAATAACTTTACCCTTGATCAGCGAGCCCAACTCGTCATACAACATTCGTGGAAGTCTCGAAGTGACGATAGATGGCCTAGGCGGAGGAGGGGTGTCTGTAGACGAAGTAGTGCTCATCGCGAAAAGGAGACGACGAAAGTTGGTGGAGAAAGGTTGGATACGCCTGGTGGCAAGGGCCAGGAAAGAGAAGTTGTGCATCAAACGCGGTCAGGGAGGGTTTATATACACACCTTGGTTGGGGCGGACCCAGGGGGGGTTCAGTACGAAATTTGATGAGACAGAGGAAGATGATGGGAAGTCCTAGAATGGAGAGTCGAAAGCTGTCGAAAGGCGACTGGCGAAAGCTTGCTTGACAGCTCCAATAATACACCCACACACGCCCCCGATGTACGGCAATCGATTGAATACAAGTGCTTACTGACGTTATGATGTTTTAGAACTAAGAAGTATGTTTCGGCAGAACTTGAGAACGTAGAACGATATTGGATTTTCGCGGGAATTTCAGGTCAAGTACTCAAGCCTCAGGGGTAGACGGAGCGCTCGGACGCGCTGCTTGCATCATGCAGTCGGTCAGAACCTAAACGGAGAAAACAGGTCAGCAATGTGTATACGGGCGCAGTGTTGTTGAATTGGCGTACTTGCTTGAGCTGTGGATTGCACCATGTAAAAAGGAAACGAAATAGCGGTTTCAGGCAGGTGCGTCTCGGGTCCTTCTTCCTATGTCGTATAGAGTAGAGACCCCGGAGTCCTGACTCAATGTGTTTCCTCTGCCGATATTGTCACGTCCGAGAGAGAGATAAGTAGATTGGGCGCAGGCTATGCAACGATTATAAAATCAGGGTCACACAGGACAATGTAGCAGACCAATCGGGGCTGTCATTTCGCCCTCTCGGCTCTTCAACGATGGCCAGAGAGCGACATGTCGAATTATCCTCTACGCCCACCTCTCCAGCAGCACTGATGACCAGATCATCGCCAACGATCGAGGCACAAGTAAATGAGAAATAGACGATCGCCAGCACATACATACTGATATATCGCATGTATCGACTGAGGGGAAGTCATGGTAGGTTACAGGTTCGTGTTCTAGTCTGGACGTTAGTGACTGGGTGCGCACAGCAATATATCCTTGTGGGTCGCTGTTGAGGCGGGGGCGCTAAGGCAAATTAAAGAGTAGGTGATAGAAGGCGGAGGTTGTGTGATGGACCCACAAGGTCACTTGGTGAGTTAAGAGACGGAACCTGCGAAACAGCCATTGAGGAAGGCCCTCACTAAATGCACAAGGCAGTCGACAAGTAAAGAGCAGGTCTAGGTTCTGATGTTTTGATTAAACTGCAGGCAGCATTGACCGTATCACTATCAGTCAGGAGCTGAGAGGCAGGTAATGAAACTAGCGACTCACGTTCTTGACATGGCGTGTTCCACATTAGGAGTGATGATATCAATGACACGCACAATGGAAGGTAAGTTTTGACGAAAGTTTACCTCAATGACTTATCTTCTCTGTCTCACGAAGACTCTGTCAATCCCTTGAACTGCTGGCACAGACAGATAGAAGACCACATCGGTTTTCATTACGGAGGAAATGACTCAAGGTCTTTTTCCACGTCTGCACGGGACTTGCTGATAGGCGAGTAGAGGGATGAGCCTCAAAACATACTCTCAAGACTCGTGAGAATGGACTTCAACTTTTTTGTGTCTGCGCACACGAGAACGACGAACGTGATCCTTGGACGGCAACAAAGGCCAGTGTAAAGCAAGCAAGCAGCGGCTTTCCATGTCTGGGGTAAACTGGAGTGAGAGCTTTGAATCGATGTTACGTGGATTTAGAGATCTCGGGGAAACTTCGACATCACCGTGGATTTCTCAACTCGTGAGGATATCATGGTCGCCCGCCGAGCGAATGACGGCGACAGGTCGAGCAGCCCGGGCCGCCGGGCCGATGCCCACACTTGACCTCCGAGTATAAAAAGTCAATGAGCGGCATCTCCCAGCGTCTCCCCTATCGCCATCCACCTCTCTCTGCTTTGCATCATACGTCGACATGTCTTTTGGAAAAGTCATCTCTTTAAGCAACAACAAGACCGTTCCTCAGATCGGTCTCGGGACTTGGCTTTCCCAACCCAATGAAGTTGAGAACGCCGTACGTCCCCTTTGATCCGAGTACTCTTGCTTCCTCTCCTGATCAACGTGTAATCCATGTCTCAAACAGGTCGAATGGGCGGTTAAGGCGGGCTATCGTCACCTCGACTGTGCGATGATCTACGAGAATCAGGATGAGGTGAGTACAATTCATAGTGCGATTAGATTAGATTGTTGATGTCATCGACTTTCAACCTGCTTGTGTCAATCGGATTACTCGTGTAGGTCGGGCGCGCGCTCAAGAAAGTGATCCCCGCAATTGTACAGAGAGAGGATCTTTTCATCACGAGCAAGGTCTGGAACAGCTCTCACCAGGCCGATCAGGTCGAGCGAGAGCTCGACGAGACGCTGAAGCAGCTCGGCACACCCTACCTCGATTTGTACCGTGAGTGTTTTGGTTTTCATACACCTAGTCGTGCATCCGTGCTCATCCCTGCGCCCTGCAGTCATCCACTGGCCTGTTGCCTTCGTTCCTGGAAACGGCTTTTTCCCTCCTCACCCTACTAAGGCGGGCGAAGTTGCACTTGACACCGAGACATCGCTTGTCACCACGTGGAAGGCTATGATCAAACTGCTTGACACCGGGAAAGTCAAGTCGATCGGCGTGTCTAACTTCACGATCGAGTATATCAAGGCCATCGTTGACGCAACTGGCGTGAAGCCCACTGCCAACCAGATTGAGGCGCATCCGCTGCTTCCGCAGGACGAGCTAGTTGCATACTGCAAGAAGGAGAACATTCATATCACGGCGTACTCCCCCCTGGGAAACAATTGTGAGATCTCGCGATTGATCACCTGTAAAGCAAGCTGCTTATCCTCGCCATTGTTCAAAGTGGTTGGCAAACCGAAGCTTACCGACTATCCCGAGATCCAGGAGATCGCGAAGAAGATCGGCGCGACTCCCGCTCAGGTTCTCGTTGCCTGGGGTGCGCACCGCGGATACTCTGTTATCCCAAAGAGCATACAGCAGGGTGCGCACTCATACCTTTGCCCATGTTTGCACATTCCCTCGGACTCACTTACCTTCTGCTATAGAGCGTATTATCTCAAACTTTAAGCAAGTCGAGCTCTCCGAGGAGGACTACCAGAAGGTCTCCGCCGTCGGGCACAACAATCACCACCGCTTCAACATCCCGATCAACTACACGCCCAAATGGAGCATTAACATCTTCGGGGAGGTCGACGAGAAAGAGGCAGAGGCGACTGTCAAGACGGCATAATGGAAGTGTCCTGTTTTACTCATCGGCCCTGAGTGAGCCTGGACAAATTCGTAGAGTGGAGATAGAGAAGAAGCATAAGCACCTATAAGCACCTGTATTCCGTGTCGTTTTCCTTTGATGACATCCAATATGTATTGGTATAGATGCCTCAAGGCTGCCGACTGGTTGAAAATATGCACCCACAACAGAATGATTCCATTCTTGTCTCTTCCTGACGTTAGAGAGTGACGTGCATCAGCCTGCACTGGAATGTCAACTTACTGCAGCACGCAAGAGCACGCCGCATACCGTCTTCTTGGCATTTGCTTGTCTATGAGCCTTATCTAGACAGCCTAGGCACACCACAATTGTAATCGCAAGCTCCTTGGCGGAGTCGGCGCACTCTCGGCGCCATCGTAAATGTAATACGGACCTCCAGCTGTGCTTTTCGACGAATGCCGAAACCCCTCGGTGAAGATCTTGAAAGATGCCTCAAGGGAATGCCGAGACCCCTCGGTGAAGATCTTGAAGTATGCCTCAAGGGATTGCCGCATTTGCTACAAGAAATCAAGCCTGCTGAACTAGAACATTTTCCTTTTGAAACATTTGATACGGGGACGTTCCGCTGGCATTCCGTAAGGAGATCGTAGCGCCCGATCGTAGATAGGGGGAGATTTGGACGACGAACAACGAACCCGTGGTTGAGACAGACAGCGGGAAACTCGGTTCTGCGTCACACCAAGTTGACGCAAGACGCTTGCTTTGAGCAGGACGAAGAATAAATTAATGAATAGCGGTCGACTCGAGAAAAGCTGTTGACCAACAGGAGAAAGTCAGCACTTTCGCGGAGTACGGGCGATCATCACGTGTGTCTTTGGGGAAAGGATGGAGGAGCCAGGTCCAGAGGTACAAGATTGGCGCTACTGATGGACCAACACCGCTCACTCATCTTGCCTCTCCCTTCCACCCTTTCGATTAGCGACCTGGCCGTCCTACTTTCATGAGTAACGGTTCCCCCACCTCATTTCTCGTGTGGTCACTCCTATCATGCCTCGTATGTCTCCAGCATTCTACTCTAGTGAAGGGCGCTTGACTGACCTTTCCTCGTCCCGATCACATGTTGCATGCGAATCCTGTGGAAATATTGGACTATTCAGTTTCTTTGTTTCCTGTTCTATCATTTGTGGAGCTATGATAAGTTCCAGTGTCTGAAATGGGACGCAGGTCGCCAGCCTGGAGCTTTTAGACGCGTCATGACTGTGAGTAGCTCATCTATCGAAACGAGCGCGGTTATGGGGCGGACGATGCGGAAGCGAAGGTCCAGCGAAGGGATCGAAACGCAGAGAGAGCCTATCGGACGTCATATTTTGTGACATGCCGGATCTTCGTATGGGTCGGCGATGTCAAGTCATATCGAAGAGCAGTGGACGAATGTGTCTCCATTTATTTGCGCTCTATATGCGAGCTAAATGTGAGAGTACACTCACTGAAATCTTCATCTGAACTGCTGAATTGGCCGCTTATTGTGACCTCCCCGATGTCATCAGCGTTGGTTCATAAAGGCATCTCCAACGCCGTGGAGATAACCCATGTCGCTCAATCATCATCATTTTACTTGTCGTTTTGCCAAGTAAAGGATATCTAGAGACGTCTCGCCGTTCCACATGTGATTTTAGCCATGCTCTGAGCATTGTTGGACGCAGTGGTCGTCGATATACCGTCGCGTTGCCGTCTTCATCTGGCGCTGCGCATCAATTTGAGCCCATTCTAGAGTGTCCTGTCAATGTGCCGAGCCGTGTCTGACCATTTTATCTCATCCAGTATTCTTATCTTATGACCGTACCGCTTCTCGTGGTATTCAGCGTTGGCTTGACCGTACTAAAGTTCGAGGAAGGTTTGTTCATTGTCTTTTTTTAGGACCCGCGATTTACTCATCAGATAATGCAAAACAGGATTTCTTGTGCCGCTTTCTCCATTGTACGAAAGTATGGCAATCAGGCCTCAAAGTACGGCTATCACCTGAAAAAAGTTCTTATTCTTGTGTAGTTCGTCCGAAGCCCGTTCATCTCTGGACTACAAATCATCAACACATACTATTAGCACTGTATTTTGTCTTCAGTGTGGCATGGGCTCTGGAGCTGTAAGTGCTCTTCCATCAGATCATTCAAGCCAAATTAACTTAGCTTGTCAGCGTTACTCACTTCGAGGGTGAGTCTTGGGGAGATCACGGCTGCATGTCAAGGTAGATCAATGATACTCATTCACAGAGCTCGCCTTTTGGCTGTTTTTACTCGACCAAGGGCCCTCAAAACGGGAGTGGTTTAGCAGCTGGGAATATCGCCTTTGGTATACTGGTACGATTGGCATTTCCGTGATCGCACTACCATTTATAAGTTTCCGCTGCAGGTTGTATCGCTGCCATTCTTGGGATGCCTTTGACAGCGCTCATTACTAGAAACGAACTAGAAACAGTAGGTGTCGATAACGAATCTCTAGCCATGAACTCATGAGTTGTATCAAGATGGATGCCTGGTTGTTTCTTATCGGCTCAGCAGGAGCTACAGCAACCAACGTCGCATTCATATATGTCCTGGTCCGATTCCCCGCTTTCCTCCGCCACGTAAAAGCGGAGGGCGCAGAGCCGGACGTCGTCGTTCGGCTTTCAAGCTTTTACGAGTATAATGTATGTACAGTTTGCGCGTATCGGACCTTTTGTTGATCTTTTCGGTAGCTGCTTCGCGTTTTCTTTAGATTCATGTCCGCACTTCCATTTCTTGCTCTGGCTATCGATGGAATCATGGGCACTCACCCCATCAATGGTAGCCTGTGAGTCTTCTTTTAGCTATGTTGTCGCTTACTGATCACTCACGAGATGAATTGCCTTCAAAAGATTCTGGGCAGGTGAGTATTGCTGCTATGTCACTTGTTTACTAATTCACGTATTGGACAGACTTTCTCCTTGTACTCGCCGCGAACGGCCAATTCATATCTTCTGCTATCACTCTTATGGTACGTGTTGTCTTTCTTCGATTTCCGCACAACTAACCTCTAGTAGATATTTTTCCCCCGTTCTTTTACCGCGGAAGCGGGCTACCGTACCAAAGCGAACTCTACCGTCCCAGGCTCTGCCCGTTCCTATATCACACAGAATTACACACAACACCATCCAGACACAACCTTCGATCCCGCATCTCCAAGCATAATCAGCTCTCCAAAATCCCCGACACAGCGCACCGCTGAGGCACAGACCTCGCAAGCTCCCGATGTAATTTTCGTTCATCGACATCCCCACAGCGCTCGATCATCTGAGGAAAATATGGTGGACGATGTGGCGCCTACGACTGAGAGCGAAGAGCCTGCTCCGGGATACCACGAACGTGGACAGGGGTCAGTGCGGTACTCATACCCTTATGCTGCTCCAAGTCCGTACGTCCACCCCGAGCCCCCGCGTGTGCTCAGACGAGAATCTATATCGAGGTTCGGTCGAGCGAACGTTGCGATGGTCCCGCGAGGTACGGGAATGCACGTTGCGACGAGGCGGTTCTCAGCGCCTACTCTACATCCATACGTGCGTCATCGGCTATATTTCTGTCTGGTTCTTGTCTGATGAGGCAAATGCAGGTCGTAACTTTCACATCCCCCATTGGTTCGTATGTCTTTAAACGAATTTGGATCCGATACTGACATGCTTGCAGACCTAATACAGATACCACGAGATGGCGTACCGCATCATGCTCCGTGACTTCAAATACCCTTTTCTTCGTTCTCACTTCTGTCTTTTTGTCCTCACTGGAGTAATTGGGCATCCATCTGCCGGGCTGCTGATAAGATTTCTTCATCTGTTTAATCTTCTCGTTGAAATCTCCGATTGTATCTAGCTTTTTTTTCTTGGGTTATTTATTCGCGGCGACTCTGGAGAAAGGAGGAGACGGAATCCAATGTTACCTGGTCGGTGCTCTGTTCATTCAGTGCTGTGTTCGTGTACAGTAATTAAAGCGGCAGGGTGGGAGCTAGCTCAAAATGTATTTTATTGTCGATGCTCACCGACGAGATGGATTGCGAGGCAAGGTGATACAGGTCATAATTATTGGTATCATCATCATTCATCGTCGCTTCCATTGCCTTCAAAGAAATCGTCTTTCATAGCGACAAGCTTCTTCTCTCGGCTGTCTTCTGCCTTGCGGCCGGCTTTCTGACCATCCTTCTTCTTTGACCGACCCTTCTCTCCTTTGCTTTTCGCTTTCTTCGGGGCCTTGGCCTCGACTTGAGGTTTTGAACGGAGTTCCACTTGATCCTCATCCTCATCTTCATCCGCATCCGCATCCTCATCCACATCCTCATCCGCCTGCGCATCCTGCATCTCTTCATCCTCGTCACCGCTCTCAAAGAAATCGTCGCGCGACTCGTGTTGCCTATGCCCATTGACTTTCTGCGCGCTCTTCCGCTTCTCTGTCTCTTTGTATCCAGATTTCTCAGCTTCCTGCCAACCCGTATCCACTGCATGCTCCATTCGCTCTAATAACTCGGGCTCTGTACTCATCTGCCCCGCTTGCATCCGCTCCCGGATGTGCGCACGAAGTTCCTCTCGTCTTATATCAGTGACACCAGTGCTCACCAGCTGGTGCACGGGAGCCGCTCCCTCATGAGTGCGTACATCAGGAGGGAACAGCGAGATGTATTTCTCCGTTTTGGGGTAATTCTATGGGTGTGTACAAAGGCCAGAGCTCAGAGAGTATGTGCTATAAGAGAGCGAGGCAAAGACATTCACCGTGACGTAGTTCAAGTCTACGCGCAGCTCGAAGAGCGCTGACTCGACGGATTTTTTCTTCTTTGATGAGAGTTCGGGATCGTCGAGCTGTTTCTTCGTCTGTTTAATCTTACGCTCGAGCTTTTGTCTGTCTGCAGTACATCTCAATAGGTGAAAAAAGATGGTAGACTGCGACGTACCGAAAAACTTGACTTTGTGGTATCGCATGGCCATGGTACGCTCCTTGTTCCCTACTTCTGCTTTTGCAAGGTCCCCTTCGAGCGACTTGAGCCTTCGCTCAGTCTCGACACGTACATTCGCCGCGAGATTATCCTTTAGAATGGTAGCGTTCCAAAGTTGTCTGATAGAAGACATAAGTCTACAACGCACCTTTGCAAGCAGTCTCCTTGTCTGTCTAAGTGCTGCCTTCAATTTCGAGACGCCGGGAGCAGCAGACTCCTTGGGCGGATGATGCGTTCCATATCTCTTGTTGCGCACCTTGCGCGCCTCCTTGGATGTAGAAGGCTCTCCAGCGCTGTCTGCGCCTTGTGTCCGTGTAGGAGGCATCGAGAGAAATTCAGAAACGATGAAATTATGGATTCGTCGAGAATTCAGGAAAGGAAACCGTGAAAATGACGTAATGTAAATTTGACGGCAACACCATTTGCTACCATTTGTCCATCTTTTGCTGCTTAACGTCTTCCTTGAACATGAGGAATCTGGCCTTGCTAGAGATATATTCATCGCAGATCCCGAAATGCAATATCACGGCCACAGTCGTCGATCCCGAAGAAGGACTCTTATGGGCTGCGTCCGAACGATTGAATGCAGACTCGGATTTGCAGGTCGAGCTCTGGACTGAGAAAGCCGGTAAAAAGGTGGAGACTACTCGCAATGTATGTCGCGATCTAATCGCTCTTATCCTTCAAATTGCTGCTCTCTGTTGTTATGAGAGCAGAATTGGCGAGAACACCAGCCGATCGAAATAACATCGTCACTTTCCTAGGCTTCACCACTATCATGTATCACCACATTCACCTCCGCGACGAATCAATCCGTATCAGATGGAATCCCCCAGGTTGCATCGCTAAGTTTGGTCATGGACCATCGTTCTTTGGTTCTCGTCGTGCGCGGGGGAGACATTGCTACCATGAAGCTTGACGATACTGATCCTACGGTATGTGCCTTATAGTGCAACGACTGACATTACTTACACATCATTTGGTCCGGTATAGTTTGAGGTTGTTGGGTCTGTAGAGGATGGCATTCTGGCAGTTGCATGGAGTCCGGACAGCGCCTTACTTGCCTTGGTCACTGGTACTTTACAGATTCATTGATATCTTCAGGTGGCTATCGACTGCTAATATGACTGATTACAGGTGACAGAAAACTCATTCTCATGACCTCAACTTTTGATATTCTTTTTGAGGCACCCTTGAATACAGAAGAATTCGGTGAAGGTAGGCACAAACCTGGAGATACGTGGCTCAATAAGCATTAACAATTTCTCTACGAATAGCTGCCCCCATCAATGTTGGCTGGGGTTCCCAACAAACACAGTTCCACGGCTCTCTTGGCAAAGCGGCTGCACAAACTCCGTCGCCATCTACTCTTAGGACAGTTGGGACCTCCTCGGATGACGATCATATTCCCCGCATTTCTTGGCGTGGCGACGGTTCCCTCTTTGTTGTATCATCTCTATCTTCATTGCCTCCGAGCTCTACGCCCAACGCTCTACGCCATCGCATTCTCCGCATTTACAACCGTGAGGGAGCCCTCCAATCGAGCTCAGAACCTGTTGCAGGGCTTGAGCACACCATGTCATGGCGCCCTTCAGGCAATCTTATCGTTGGGACTCAGCGCTTTGGAAGTGCCGCAGGACTTGCAAGTGGAATAGAAGGAAGACACGACGTTGTGTTTTTTGAAAGAAATGGCTTGAGACATGGTGAATTCACGTTGAGAGAAAAAGCCATAGAAGCCGGTGCCATGGTACCTCATGGTAGGAACTGGGGCTATAGAGTGAGAGAGATATGTTGGAGCCCAGATTCCAACGTCTTGGCCATATGGATCGAAGGAGATGAAGGAGATGTCGGTGAGCGTCTTTTCCCTTTGGCTTTGTCAAACACATGTCAAACACTTCAAAAAGTTCAGTTGTGGGCGATAGGCAACTATCACTGGTAAGGACTTCTATTCAGACATGTGGTTATAGTAATGTTAATGTTATACTAACTACAGGTATCTCAAGCAAGAGGTCTTTGCCCCTCTGGGCGAGCCATCGCAGCCTGGAAGGTTTACTTCTGTCAATTGGCATCCAGAGAACAACCTGGAACTTTTGCTCACAACGTCAAGTGCGGTTTTCACTTCATGTTACTCTTCTTTCCACTCAATATGGGCCCAATTAGCGACCATCATGCATCGTACCTACAAGTGGGAAACATTTGTGTCTCGTATGACGCAACCCAACGATACTGGGTCTGTGGCTGTAGTAGACGGGAGTAAGTGTGCAGTCTGTTCCTTAGTTTTGGATCACTCAAGATTTATATATAGCAACCATTCTTCTGACACCTTTTCGAACGCAAAATGTTCCTCCGCCAATGTCATCGCATCAGCTATCTCTGAACCCTACACCTCTTTCGCCGTCCCGTCGTCGGCCTACTCCCATCTATACAAGTTTCTCGCCCTCCGAAGACATCATCGCCGTCCTTTGGGAAAGCGGATATGTCGAACTATGGGATCTTCACACACGATTGGGGCCGGGACCTGGGAAAGTCATCAATCCAGAACAACTCTGGAACGGAATGATCGATCAACATAGTTCCTCGCGGCATTACAAAGAGATTTCTGTGTGGACGGCACCGGAACTTATTCAAACCGCTGGTGCTGTCGCAAGGATTGCTGTGCTGGGCTATAAGCAGGAAGGAAACGATGTCCTGCAGGTAGTAGAGGTAGGCAAAAATATTTTCGAGAACTTCGCCACTCCTGCGCTTAAGGGCATCAGTTGGCGGTTCGTCCAATCCAGTGGCCCTGTCACATGCTGGCATCAGACAACGATATTTGAATGTACGTCCAGAATTACAACCCACCTTTCGGTGGCCAGCTCACAGAAGGCAATAGATGATGTGGCGAAGCCCGTGCTCAGCTCTCGTGCAGAACTTAGCACCGCGTGTCACAACGTCGAACGGATTCAGCCTTTTTCAAGTTCTGTACCCCTTTACATTGGCCTCTCAGCCTCAGGCACAATTTCAACCAGCACCCCTTCTGCCGCATCCCGCATCTTAACACAAAACGCGAACTCTTTTCATGTTGCTTCAGGGTTAATTGTGTACACGACGACAGCCCATGAAGCCCACTTCATTTCTGCTTCTGACTTACTAGACGACAGGGAAATCACGCTATCTGAACGCCGCCGCATAGAAAGAGGTTCTAAGATCGTAACGGCGGTGCCTAGCACTATGAGCCTCGTGTTGCAGATGCCTCGAGGCAATCTAGAAACAATCAATCCTCGCCCAATGGTTATGAAGGTTGTTAAAGCTGATATTGACGCGTATGTTCTAGTCAAATGTCTTCACCCAATCACGTTAACCTTGACTGACAGGGGGAGCTACCGCAAGGCATTCTTATCGTGCAGAAAACATCGCATCGACCTCAATGTCATATTTGATCACAATCCTCGTGGATTTAGGGATAATCTTTCTTCGTTCGTGGAACAAGTTAACGATGTTGACTACATCAACTTGTTCCTTGCAAGCCTCGGGTACGCATTTAGCTTTTCAGTCAGGCACGATTTTGGTGCTTACATGGTCTGCAGGAGTGGCTCTCAACCCGTAGAGGTCGTCGCGGAGCTCTGCGATCTTATTCGAGAAGAACTCGAACGACGGGACCTCAAAAAATATGTAAATTCGATCTTGACAGCATATGTAGTAAAGCGACCCCCAGCCCACGAAGCTGGACTTGGGCTACTACTCCGTTTGCGAGGTGCGTGGCATTCCAGCTAACCTCCATTAGGATATTCAGATGAACGAACAAGGGAGCAGATAGTGATCCGACATTAGTAGAAGAAGCTGTCAAGTACATAATATTCCTAGCGGATGCGGATACTTTATTCAATACGGCGCTTGGGATGTACGACTTCACGCTTGTGCTCATGATTGCACAGTATGCGCAAAAGGTCAGTCCTTCTTCGATATGTACGCTCAATGTGTCTCATGAACATATCACAGGATCCGCGAGAATACCTCCCTTTCCTTAGAGAACTACGAGCTTTGCAACCAGCATATCAACACTTTCGGATTGATGATCATCTGAAGCGTTATCCAAGTGCTTTGAAGAACCTCAGTCTTGCCGGTAAGCGGAATTTATAGGGCCCTTACTAGGTGCGCTGATCCTCGAGTAGGGGCCGATCATTTTGATGAGGCCATGTCGTATGTCGAGAAGCATCAGTTATACGAGTCTGCTTTATCAATCTGGCGAAAAACAGATCAATATTATGTAGGTCCCCGACCATCATATCTTCTGTATTTGAGCTGATGCAAAGTACAGACAGTTTTGAGTCTTTATGGCGAATGGCTTTTCGAGCGGGGAGATTTCAAGCAGGCTGCTATTGGTAAGATTTTGTGATTTACAACGCAACTATATGTTTCATCCTCACGTCTGTGTGTTCCTATAGTATTTATTGAAGCGGAAAAGGCGTCAAAGGCCATGGTTGCGTATGAAAAATCTTTGCAATGGAGAGAATTATTTGAGCTGGCTGGAAGTGAGGAAACCATCCATGGCTCGGACGTTATTTCGATGGCGTATCGTGTGGCGGGTAGGTCAATCAGCTCTCCTGTACCACCCAATCAGGCAACGTTTCTCGTATCATAGATGACTTAACGTCCAAGAAAAGGCACTCAGAAGCGAGCACTGTCCTCCTGGACTATGCCAAGGACGTCCGTGAAGCAGTAGTTGCCCTCGTTCATGGTAACATGTTCTCCGAGGCACGTCGAATAGTAAGCTTCTTTTGTATATCAAAGGGAAGATCTTCCGAACAAATCGACTTGTCCTATTCAGGCAACACTCCACGCACGCTCAGAACTGTTAGAAGAGATCATTTATCCCAGCACTCTCGAAGCTCGCGCACAGATTGCGGAAGACATTGAGGAGATGCGTGAGCAGCTGCGTAAACAGGTCCAGCGTTTGCGTGAGCTCCGCATCAAGAAGATAGAAGAGCCTGGTCAGCCCAATCTTCCCCACGATACGATGAGTGCCTGACTGAGTGTTCCCCGCAATCGCACAGAGTCATATTACGGCGCCGAAGATACTGATCTGCATAATGTTGATGTTATGACTGACGCCTCGCAGTTCACTGCGTTTACGAGGTATACTGTAGCCCCATCGACCGCGTCGCGAACATCGAAGCGAGTCTATCTCTCATTATCGGTCGTAATTTCGTGCTAATCTACGATGACCTTAGACGGAGCTCGCGCTCGAAGCGGAAAATGGAACGCAAGGTTGGATCTGGCCGGAAGGGCACTGTCGATGAAGAGGAATACCTGCTCAAATCTATCACGAAACTCGTGGGGAAATTCACTACCATGCAAGGTAAACTTTCCTTGACTCCTATTGTCGCCATAAACTCATTGAATTGTAGATGACGCTAGTAACCTTATCCCTCACCTGCTGCATTTCACCGCCGATCATCGGACAGAGGCTCGTTTACTGCAAAACGAGATCAGTGATTTCGAGTCGGAGCTGACAAAGGTATTGGAGGAAGTGTGGATAAAACCACTCGGAATCGCAGAGGGTGAGGAACCTCAGGATAGTTGGGCAATTCGTATGGAAGAAAAAGAGAAAGACCGAGAGAAGGCCATCCGAGACGTGGTCAAACCCGAGCTAAAGCACAAGGACGAGTGGAGGACGAGGCTGATTGTTATTGGGTTTGATGAAAACTCGAATGTTGAAGGCTGAGGGGCAAAAAGGTGTATGTCTAGATGTAATCTCCTAAGCGCACATTGTAGCAAACAGTGTTGGTGGCTGACCGATGACCTGAGGTCAGCGAAAGGTCGAGGCTCTGACCTGACCAGAGGTCCGACCTGGGTCTTGACCTGGTCTGACCGAGTCGGTAGAATAAAATTTGAAATTACAAGCATGCACATAATTTTGTATCAATCACTTTGAGCACCCCATCTCCTTCCTGCTACTTGGGTGTCGACCACCATGACCCTGCCCGAAGAGCTTTCTGCACCACCAAATGGCCAAAGCTCCCTTTGGGCCTACTTTCATAAGTTCAAGGGATGGAACTACAAGGACGACCAAACCCATAAGGCGGCATGGTGCAAAGCTTGTGTAAAAAGCAAGTGTCAAGAGATACAACAGGCAGACGAAGTAGCAGCTACACGAGGGGGGATAGAAAATGTTCGTACTATAGATGATTTGTTCGAGCTAGGTGTGTTGCAAGCAGTCTTTGTGTGATGATTTCAGACAAGCTGACATGGCCTACCTGATTAGCTGTAAAAAGCATTGAACCAATATGTGGCAAGCCGGGCAGAATGTTAACTCACCTAAAGAAATGCAAGACTATTGATGGAAAGGACCTCGAGGAGGCGCAGGAGAAACGAAAGGCTGAACTTGAGTTTTCTCAGCCTAGCGCACAGCAGAACCTGACATCACCTGACTCCAATGCGCACTCACACAGTAAAACAAAGAGTGCCGGTCCCCCTTCATATCCGATAATTCAATCTTGCAACTCACATCAGATAGGGGATGACTCACCGTACAATCAGCAGAAGACAGATTACCAGGGCTTGTCAGAGAGCGAGATGCAGGGCGAGTTCTCGAAAGACTTCACTCGACTTCTGGTTGCAAACGGGGTGGCTTGGTATGTTACAGAGAATCCTGAGACAAAGGCATTTGTGAACAAGTGGTGCCCGAAGATAGTTCACATACCTCATCGACAGTCATTGGCTGGCCCGCTGTTGGATAAAGCAGTTGAGATGGCAGTGGGGAAGGTACAGGCTCGGGTCAAGGGTGGGCTGGCAACGGGTGAGTGTGATGGATGGACAAATGGGTCAAAGACTCCAGTTGAGACTTCGATGATGACAGTGGCAAACGAGGTGAGATTGGACAGACTAGATGGTGGTACAAAAGCTAATGAACCTTGGCATTATTCTCTTCGATAGCACTACCTTGTTCGCACACATGATCTGTCAGGCCAGCCAAAGACAGGTGACAATCTATATGCAATAATAAAATCCGACAAGCAGTACATCGAGGATACATACCTTGTCGAAATTATTGCGTGGATTACAGACGATGGGCCAGATGGAAAGAAGGCACGTCGTCTTCTGCATCAGGACCACCCTTGGATCATCGTGTCCGTATGTTGGGCCCACCAAATCAATCTTATCGTTGGTGACTACCTGAAACAAAACCCAATGCTCAAGCTTTATGTCAACCAAGCCATTAAGGTCATCAAATGGTTTCGAGATCATGACTTACCCCGTCAATGGCTCAATCAAGAACAGCTTCTTGATCACCCCCATGCTTTAGCCCTTGTCCTTCCCGTTATCACTCGCTGGATGTACCACTACCTCTCGATATCTCGTCTTCTTACGGTCTCAGGGCCGTTGCGGGCTTTGTGCATGAGGCGAGAGAATGATATCCTGAACTGTGCAGGACGAGACAATGAGGCAAAGCAGAGGGTAGAGGAGGTGATGGGCATTGTGGAGGACCCTGAGTTCTGGGATCAGATCCGCCGGTGCGTCTGTTTGATCTCTCTAATCCCTTCTTAGCTGACATCTGACCCTGTGTGCAGTGTTCAGGCGCACCTTGAGCCCCTGGCCATTGCAAACAACATTGCTCAAGCTTCGTATACCCGATTTGACCACATACTCCTCACTCTCGGCAATCTCTTCCATGTATATGGCGATCACAAACTTGATGCACTTGTTCGTGCCAGCCTACAGAATAGTTTGGAGAAGCGCTGGCGAGCTGCAGATCAACAAGCAGCAATCTTCACAACATGGGCGAACCCATACATCCGGGGTCGACCATTTAACGGCAACATCCTTCCTCAGGCCTTATTAGTTCGCATTGCAATGGATCTCTTCAAGCGGGTATATGGAAGGGAGGCAAACTTAGATTTCTGGGAGGCATGTACTGAGTATCACCATTGCCAAGGTCGGTTTTCGGATGAGAACATGGCTCTTTCATTCGTACAACAGGCTTGCAAGAAAGAGGTGCGTAGAGTTGTGTCTTTGTGCAAGGCTTGCTTACAGCCTCTGCATTTGGGGAATCGTTTCTTACTCTCTCACAAAGGGCAAGGAGTTGGATGTTGTCCGAGTATGGCATGCTCTTGAAGATGAGAAGGCAGGCCCCGACTTTAACGGTCACCAAGGCCTTATCAAGCTTGCAATTCGTCTTCTCAGTATCATTGTCAACTCTGCGGGATCGGAACGCAGTTTCACAAAGTTCGGTAACATACATACCAAACTCCGCAACCGCCAATCCACCTCTTCGATGCACAAGATCACGACTGTACGCATGGACATTGAACGTGACCATGCCGACTCGAAACACCAACGGCTCAAGCGCAAGTTCAGTGATGTTGATGGCAAAGAGTCCACTGATCCAACAACTACCCCGAAATCATCATCCTCTATCCTCAATGAGATGCTGCCCCTGTCGGCCAATCTTCCCCTCGAGCCTGAGGAGGGCGCGGAGGACTTCGGAGTCATTGCTGATGGGCTTTGTGATAATGTTGAGGCTTGTGAAGCAGTCGAAGTCGACAGTCACGGCAATACTGTGACTGCGACCCCCTCTTTCAAGCCCATCAAGCTGTGCGATCTTTTCGCTTATCCAGTGTTGACTGCTGATTCTGGTGAGCACTCCGACTCGTCGCTCGGATTCTTTTGGAAGAGTGGTGTTAGGAATGTCGAGCTTGAGATGGACTTACATGCGAAACTTTGCGGAGAGGACTAAGAATGTTGTCTGGCTTCGTTATTGTACTCATTATATGGACTGTATGATATTTCTCATTTACTTTACCCTTCACAATGGTGATAGGCTGAATCCTGTTGCAACAATCTTATTTGTTTCCCTCGAGTATAGTGAAGGTCAGCCCATGGTCAAGGAAAGCTTGACTGACCCAAGCTCCGGCCGGACCTATCGGTCTGACCTGGGTCTGACCTGGGTCTGACCGGGTCAGTCACCAACACTGGTAGCAAATAGCTAGCCTCAACTTCATAACCCCTTCAAGTCATCGGCCAATGGTCTCGTCGGTCTCTCTCGGCCGACTCGCGCGTATTCCCTCGTCTTGACCATCATCTGCATCGACGGTGAAGGACATCATCTACGTCCGAGACCCTCATCATGTGCATTTACAACCACATACTTGCAGATTATAAAAAGCGCTGGGCTTGGAGAGGGCAGCACCATCCCACGAATCTCGGATAACCACAAACCTTGATTTGGAATACCATGTTGTCTCGCTCAGCTCAATACAGGGCCTCTTTTCGTACCTTTCAGGGCTTTCCATCATCTCTGCGCAAGCTGTGAGTAAAGCAAACGTTTTTGATTCAGCAGAGGTCGATTCATCTGCATTGTTAGGACAATAGTGCCGCCTGACACTCCCGACAATCTCCCACTGACCGGCATTCGTGTCCTCGAGCTTGGACAGTTAATCGCTGGCCCATTCGCAGGTCAGCTTCTTGGGTACTCATCTTATTTCGTCTGTCGTCCGTCGCATCGCTCACTCGTGCCAGACATTTCGGTGCTGAAGTGATCAAAGTCGAACCACCGGTAACGGGAGATCCGCTGCGCATTTGGCGCGAACTCGACGTCGATGGCACGAGTCCGTGGTTCCGCAGCCTGGGAAGGAATAAAAAGAGTGTCACTATTGATATGCGAAAAGAGGAGGGACGCGCGTGAGTTACATTCATCACCCAATCGTTTCGCACGGGAGATTGACGGCTGTCTAAGATTGGTGAAGAAGCTGGCGCTTCAATCAGATGTGGTCATCGAGAACTTCAAACCTGGAAGTGAGCCTTTTATTATAGTTCCTCGTTCCAGTGATATTTACCGACCCGTGGTGATCAGCTCTCGAGAAGTGGGGGCTTGGTCCTGAAGATCTTCGGCCTCTGAGCCCATCCCTCATTTTCACCCGTGTTTCTGGATACGGACAGACTGGACCCTGGTCCACGCGCCCTGGGTACGCCTCGGTGTGCGAGGCCGAGTCTGGGTTTCGATATATCAACGGGTTCCCAGATCCGAAGACAGGTGCGCTTGCAGGACCACCTGTGCGCCCGAATATCAGTCTCGGGGATTCCGTGGCAGGTTTGCATGCTGCTTTTGGCACGGTTTGTCTTCTTATCAGTCGGATTGCCGAGGTGTAATCTAGAGCTCAATGCGCATGGATATAGGTTCTCGCTCTATTCGCCCGGCGCGTGAAGCAAGACAATGGTCTAGCGAGAGGATCAACCGTCGACGTTAGCATCTTGGAGAGGTAATCGATCGCTATCTATTTCACCGCTCCATAGAGCTAAATAGCCATATGTTCTCTAGTATGCTGAACCTTATGGAAGGGATTATTCCTGAATATGACCGCAAGGGAAAAGTACGGCGCCCTTGTCTTCAGGTTCTTATCTCTCATATGCAGGCCCTTCCAGGTTCGCGGTCCCTCTGGCTCCTCCATCACCGGCATTGTGCCGACTAATGCCTATCCTTGCCTTCCCTCCCCTTCGACACCAACCACACCGGCCTATGTTATCATTGGCGCCAATGCTGACTCCATGTACGAACGCCTCATGGTCACCATCGGCAGGTCGGACCTCATAGGACCCGATTACAAGCGCAACAACCACCGGGTCGATCGGCAAGAGGAGATTGAGCACACTATTTCGGATTGGACAAAGAAAAGGCACGCGGAGGAGGTGTTGGAAACACTGAAGAAGATCGGTGTGCCCGTCGGACGGGTCGTCAACGTGAAAGATATTGTTGAAGGCGAGCAGATCAAGGCGCGCGGAAGTATTGAAGATGTTTGGGTCGGAAAGGGGAAGCAAGAGGAAGGGGGAGACGGATGGACTGTGAAAATGCCTATGGTTGCACCGGTCTTAGAAGGATGCGATGCAAAGACGAGGTGGGCCGGGCCGGATTTGGGCCAACACAACAGGGAAGTTTTGGTAGACAGGCTTGGGCTTTCGGAGGAGGAGATGGAGAGGCTGGTTGAACAAGGTATCATCGGCGCATAAAGTACATAGTGAATGTAGTTTGTTCCGTGTGACATTCAATTTCGACCAACGTCCACAAGTGGAATATCTATCAACCAGACCACATGTTATACACTCGTCGTCATCTAGTCGTACAAGTCTGCTACTGCCTCCAGCTACAACCACAGGAACCCAGTCGGACTCTGCACGATGTTATTCTTCGCAGCCTCTTTCAACGTTTGACCCGCGTTGTCCCTTTCATATATTTTAACACCGCCGCCATGAACACCTCCAGCAATGAGCCACTTGCCGTGTGGATCTATCTGCATGCCGCGGGCATGCTGAAGTCCAGTACGCACTTCGTTCACGAGCTGTGGCACTTTTGGGTTGGCAAGTGAGAAAATGGCAATAGAATCCCCAAGGGGGGATGGGTCGTTGCGGTTAGAGACATATAGGTAAGGTTTAGGCGACGGATATAGGAGAAGCTCCGCAGCGAGCATGTCGCCTAGGGGTTGTGGGGGGTTGGAGAGAGTGGCCACTGTAGATAAGGTTGTAGGGGAAGATGGGAGCGAGGGAAGATGATGCGTCACGAGTTGGCTGGTGAGTTCGAGAAGAGTGTACATATTGCCATCTGCGCAACCGTCAGGATACCCTCACGCTAATATGGAGACAAGAATGAATAAAAAATCGAACACACCATGGAAGACGACATGTCGAGGCCCGCTTCCCGGCTTGTAGTCAACGTGCCCTGCAGGCGACCACGCTCCCTTATCATCCTTGATGAATCTCCACGTCTTATCTGCTCCCAAGTCAGGCACTAGAAGTTCTTCGCGCTCGGGGATGAACACGACTTGGTGAGGGTGTGATGCTTCCTGGCGTTCTTTTTTTGGTCCCTTACCCCGTAGTTGGACGACATCGGGCGTTGATTGATAGAGGAAAGGAGATTGGGTGGATAATGGCGCAGCGAGAACGGTGCCGGATGAATACTGAAGGTCTGTTTATGTACCGAATAGAGGGTGAAGAAAACCAACAGGGACGTACGTTTCCAACAAACAGAGTATCCTTCGTGGCAAGAAGGGAGGCGGGGTCTCTGCCGCCGCTGCTAAAGCTGCCAAGGACCTTTCCCTGACCGCGCTCGTCGTACTTCAAGACTACCACGCGGCCTTCTGTTTGCTCCAATCCTGCGAAAACAATGGAAGAGTCCCCTGGATGCAACGTGATCCAAGACGGGCGATGCCCGACCTTGAGAGACGAGATAATCTCAAGCGAGGAGGCGACAGGATCAAATGCGAGAGTGAATACCGACTCTGTGTATGAGGCAACAAGAATATGGTAGACCATGGTGACTTTCACGGTCAGTCCAAAACCTGTAGAGATTATAGCTGTAGAGGATGTCAGTGACAAAGCGAGGAGTCGGTCGAGCAAAAGGAGTAATATTTGGGGGAGATGTAGAGGTCGATCTTATTGCGCGATCGTCAGCAAGGTTTTATAGCCGCAGACCGAAAAACCGAACAAGGTCCGACATCCTCGAAAGCGAGCGAGACCTCCTAATTGCATGGCGCGAGTAGAACAGAATCTTCACCATCTAGCGACGAAGATTGGCAGTAGGGCTACCCAAACTCGCAAAGGCACGTTGTGCGGGCCGCCGACTGGGAGTCTTTCGGCACTTCCCGAGATTTCCCCTTGCAGGATCGCGCCTTACCCTGCCTTACCTGCAGAATCGGTGTCAGGAAGGGCAGATATGCATAGGTTTTCGGGTATCGCGTTCGCTTTGTGTTCCGCCGTTGGTCCCTCACGCATGGAGAACATGACGCACGCCCGAATTTTCACCGATTGAGCTCAAAATGCTCCCTTGTAGGATGTTGATAGACCTGTGTACGGCAACGTGCTTGTTAACGATCCGGGAGGGGCGAAAGTCCGTGTTCAGTAGAAGTGTCGATAAGAATGCCAACAGAGATTACGCCGGTGACAGAACTGTCAATAAATCTCAACACGCAAGAGGTTATGAGTTGAGTGAACGAGTGACCATACACCAGAAATAAGTACGCTATTCAATGAATTGGAGCCGTTGGCGTCGGTATAATTGATCGTGACAGGTTAAATGACCCCGCTCAACATATCGGGCGGAGAAATAATGCTGTGATAGAAGAAGTCGCAAGTCTGTTCGAATGGCGAGTGAGAATGAAAATATTCATCATATGTCACAAGTGGAAAGAAGTGAATCAGACTACAATAGCTCACTACATCGAATCGGATCCAAAACAGCATACAGAGATCTATCTTGTCGATGGTCTTCCACCTGGCCCTGCACAAACATTGGCACATTGTCGGGTTTGTGGACAGGTAGCATATGTCCGTCCCCAGAGAACCAGGATGGGCGCGTTATTGCAGACGACACGATGATATGATACTTCCATATGCTAGCCGGAACATGTGAAGTAATTACAGCCTTCAATTCTGACACAGCCATAGACACGTACACACCTGTTCAACATAAACATGTCATGGCTCAATTGAATCTAGGCTGATATCAGGTCTAACGATCCAAATCCGTTGTGGGCGTTCGGTCTCTGATAAACAGATGAGCAGCAATCAAAACGGTAGGCTTCCGGTAACAAGGATCTAGACTTGATTCCAGAGGTAGATCAGCACAACAGAGTTCAAGTGAGAACAATGACAGACCAGAACAGCGCGAAAAAACAATACAAGTAAGAATGCAACGTAGAAACTCATCCATCGGAAGAGTACAACCGTATGGACTCTACAGTGTCCATTCACATCATTATGATCATGGGGTCATAGCGAGGGATAAATGTGCGATAAACGTGCTGCGTTGATACAAAAAAAAACAGAGGAAAGTTCAGCATATGATGCAGTCACTGTCCGGCTTCATCAGATGAGCTTCTAGAGTCGCATTGAGGGTGCCAGATGAATCAATGTAAGATGAGCCTCTGCGCGAGATAGCTTCAATTGCACAGTCCCTATAGGTAGATGCTAGCGACTTACTCATATTGAAGGTCAGCTCCCATGAGACTGTCCTCCAGAGGTACTGTGATCTGATGCGGTCCATTAGACTGTGAAGACTGAGGAGATAGCTGCTTCGACCCCGACTTAATCCTCAGATTCACCACTGGCTTGGGCTTTTTCCCTTTTGAACGGAAAATAGAGTCTCTTGCGGGATGCTGCGGTGGAGCCTGGTACCGAACAGACGGATAACTCGGCAGAGTATCGGAAGGGGATGGTGTGGGGACGTTAGACGTTCTGGAGTCAAAACTGGGTGAAGACGGCGGTTCAGATATGATAAGTTGTGAGTCAATCCAGGTAGGAGGGCTGTGCTCAAGGAGGGTCAGAACGACCAGCCAGGAGCCAGCCCGATGGTGGACATTGATGTGGGTCTCGGGAGTGACCAAGAAGGACAGACGCCAAAATCGGCCTGCGTAGATTAGTCAGGCCTTCTAGAGGATATCAAAGTCTGCCATGAGAATCAAACCTTTCGCAATGAACTCTACATCCACTTTCTTGGACACCCTCATCCTCAGCTGAAATTGGATGATTTCGAATCTCGCGACAAATGCGCGTGCGTTTCCCCGTACATCCTCAACCGTTATATTGTCACCTCGATCCTCCATACGAACTCCGTTGGTGGCAAGCAAGATTGCATCCGCGCCGGATAGTAGCGAAAACGCATCGAACCGTCGTTTAATGCGCTGAAAGAGAGCATGATCCGAGTTGGCGAGGCATGCCAAACGCACCTCCGAGATTGTGGTTGCGCTGATCGGAGACGATGCGGCGAGGAGAGCCATAACGAGTGCATCGGATTCGGGATTAGCATGTATGTTCGAAGAGTAGAGTTTGACACAGTCGGAGGGGCGTTTGATGATTGCCCAGTACACTGCTAAATGATTCTCGATGAACGGATCCTGTATAATCTGTGAAAGGCTGACTCCGTGAGCGGCGCATGCCTCAGCACAGCTGTCAAGAACGGATGCGAACTCAGTCGCGGGATGTTGTTTGACGAGATCACGGAGGATATCCTGGGTTGTTGACCGGACTTGCTTGGCGGTTTTGGATATCCCAAATGAAAACCAACGTCGGTTTGGTTTTCCCGGCTTCTTGGGGGCTGGGGGGAAGAGCGCGGCGGGGTAGGGCTGAGAAGGTGTGTATCCGACCTTAGGATCAGGGGAGTAAGTCGTTGCACTGCTTCCATTTGTTTGGAGGGCAGAGGCATAGGAGGGTGGCGCCTCGACGGGAGTCGGTCCCGTCTTCTTGTCTGGTTTGTCGATGATCATCATGCGAGGTTCGGTCGACTCGTCTTCAACGCTTGAATAGCTGGTGCACGTACAAAGTGGGAGTAGTTAGTATACGACTCAAGGCGCTTAAGACTGCTGCGGGGCTTTATGTCCGCACCGTGTCGGTTTTGGCTGTGCAATGGAAAGACGTAATGAGTCTTGACATTGGCCTTCTTTGCAGGATACTATAACATCCACTGACTCAGCCTATATTCTTATATATAGTACACGCTATTGCTGGAAAATGAGGAAAACGACTGGAGAAAGCTGGAGAGCGGCATACTATTCAACTGAATTTGTCCGCAAGCTCACCTTGGACTCACCCGGCAGTGGCCGCGGGATGTCACACCGTGTCATACTGCGTTACATTTTCTGGATTTGTCTCCTGCCCCCTCAAATGGCTCACGCATCTACATCCTCTCAATACGACCCACGACGACATGTAGGAGTAAACGCAGAGCGTGTCACCAACGTATCGAGTACAGATTATCCAGGACATTATCCCGACGAAGACCATTCATGGGACCTTGGCAAATTCAAGCAGGTTCGTGAAGAACGTTCATCACTAAGGATCATGCTAAATTATTCACCATCGTCGCGCGCTCTTTGATGAAGTAGAAGTTGAGAGTCAAGGTGCAAAGCCTTTCGAACTTGTCCATCGAATTTGACCTGGTCGGTGTCGATGCGTCAATTGCGAATGCGTTGCGGCGAATACTAGTAGCTGAGGTGTGTTCTGATGTCTTTTTTATGAATCGTATGATTGAATAAAGAGACCGAAAGGTGCCAGCAGTTGCCATAGAGTTTGTATACGTTTGGAACAACACTTCAGTCATGGTAGATGAGGTATTCTCTCAGCGGCTGGGCATGATTCCATTAAACGTCGATCCAAACTTCATGGAGTTGAAAGAAAGTGCGTTGCGCATATTTCTCTGCTCACATTTCCACCTTCCAATTACTCTACTCCCTTTCTTAGACATGAGCGACCAAGCGACAGACCGTAATACGGTTGTCTTCAAACTCGATGTCGCCTGTACACGCAATACAGCTGCACCAAAAGATGCCACCGAGGCCTCACATCTATATGTTAATTCAGAGGTGCTCTCCCGCCACTTAGAGTGGATTCCTCAAGGAGAACAAGCAACCGTGTTTCCTGTCCCACCTGCGCCAACCAACCCAAACATTGTCCTCATGAAGCTGCGACCAGGGCAAGAAGTGTGCATGGAGATGCATGCAGTCAAAGGTGTAGGGAAAGATCACGCGAAGTTCAGCGCTGTCGGTTTGTCCATCTCCTCCTTGATATGACTGGGTTCTTGAGTCACTTTCTCATGTAGCGACGGCGAGCTACCGCCTCCTTCCTCACATCATTCTCAATCCCAAGAAGCCTGTCCCCCCGCAATACGCGGACAAATTTCAAAAATGTTTCTCTCCCGGCGTCATCAATGTAGACCCAATCACTAAAGCCGTGAGCGTGGATGAGCGAGGCGCCAGAAAGGAGAGCATGAGCCGGGAAGTACTGCGGCATCCAGAGTTTGAAGGCTGCGTGCAGCTTGCGCGCGTGCGGGATCATTTTATCTGTAAGCAGCTCGCTTTTCAGCTCGCCCAGGCCCCAATCATCTTACCCTAATAATTTGGGGACATCACGTAGTCAATATCGAATCAGAAGGACCTTATGCTCCAGAGCGGCTCCTCCTGGAGTCTACCAAAGTTATGCGGCAAAAGATCTCGACGCTACGACGCGCAGCAGATGCACTACTTGCTTTAGACTCGAGGGACGGGGACGTTCAGATGCAAGACGTACAGTAAATTAGATGACAGTGTGCCTTCATAGATATTGGTCAATACAAATGTCCAAACTCCAAGATTGATCTCGATGAGCTTGCATATGGATGTACCTTCAGAACCGGATAACTGAGTCCGCGCACAAGGTCCAAGCGTAGCGAATTCGTAATTATTGCGAGTTGTTGCCCGGTATTAAGTAGTGGCAGATAGAAAAAATAGAAGCTGAAGCGCTAAGGCCCGAGGAGCGATAAGTTGAACAAAATAATGGTTGAGTAGGTTTCAAAAAGTGAAAATAATTTTGGACATATCCGGAATTGAACCGGACACCTCTCGCATGTTAGCTCAGTGCTAAGCGAGCGTGATAAACCAACTACACCATATGCCCGATGGATATCAATACTCGCATTAACCTATCAATAAGGGTCATATACTTCCACTGCTAACAGCTGCTGACTCTTGAGACTGACTGGAGCAACCTTAAATGACTCTATAACATCTATTGTTGTAAGTCCTATTGTTGCATTGGTTTTAGTAATCCTGGTGTTTATTAATCATATAGTAATAGGATCAGTATAGATTACTATCTAGGACTTAAAACCATTGAATGCTGCTCATAGTAATAGCCTCTAGAATAGTTATTATACTATTGGTAAACTCTAGTAACATGTCTAATATATTAAAGAGGAATACAACTCTTTGGTAGTAGCTTACTAAGAGGACCTCTAGAAAGTTCATCAAGAATGTGAAATCTTTTACCATGGTGTATTGTGGCTTGGTTTATTAGGGTTTCAATAGCTAGTCTATTCTGATAACACTTACTACAATTACTAGGAAGCTCCAATTATAGAGTGTACATTATGGTATAAGGTATTATCCTTGGTTATTAACTCCTAATAGATTTCACCATTATTGGTTGAGTATTATAGAATAATACAAGTGACTAACAAAGGCTTACAAATATATAAAGGGACGAGCACATTATTGCCATTCTAGTTGAATAAAGGCAAATGAGGAAGTATAGGAGTAATTGCTAAGAAAGAGCAGCAATTCATAGAATGGTTAGTTGGATATCTACAGTATTCTAGAACTCATTCTAAAGTAGTATATAAGACCCTTAGAATAGGCTAAGGATCTTTAGTTTATTCTCTCCATATCGTCACTGTATCTTTATATACAGCCATACTAATACTATCTCTCTTGTATACCTCATACAGTTGAGACCACTTTCTATATTCTTTCTTATTGTGTGACTTAGGGAAGAATCTACTACTCCTGGGGTTATTGAATGAGATATTTATAATATAATGTAGCAGATAAGATAATGGATATAGAGTAGCTAAAGAAGAAGCTAGAGGGTAAAGATTATAAGTTGGTGAGTCTAATAGTGTGAGCTATAAAAGCTATATTAAATGGAATTAGAATATTACTAATAGTAAGCTAGAGACAAGACTGAGCCTAGCTAGTACTATGGACAAGGGACAGTTTGTAGTAGAGACAATGATGAGCATATGCCACTCTAAGGTCTAAGGGAGGTATTTGGGAAGTTTTGGAAAGAGAAAAAATAGCTCTAGACAAGTACCAAAGATGCCAACTCATACTAAACATGGTTAGTCCCTACCCAAATAACTTCAAGCCACCCAGGCTATCCAATCCAGAAGCTGGAGGTTTCTCCAGCCTGTAAAGAAGTTGAAGATCCCAATGTGCAGTGTGATATACTTGATTATTCAAGATAGCTTGTCTCGAGCATATGCCTCTTTCAGAAATTCAAAATGCAACTTCAGAGAATAATATCCTGTGTTCTTGTAAACTGATCTACTTGCACAGCTTGGATATCCACATCAAGACTTTGGGATGTTGGTTGGCTGCCCCACCTTGAAGTAAGTTGTTTAATCCCATGCATCCCCATGGTGTGTGTAACCGTGTATTGCCTGTATATATAAGGCTATCAAGTGAATGGATCCAAGTTCCCATGCTGATTGTCCGTATTAGGTGTTCGATTGGCCGAGGCTGAGACATACTGCTGTGCGGTTACGGCGCGCCGTGCGATCGGTTGGCTCAGGTAACCCTAAATAAAGCACCCCCAGGCTGCCTTCAGTGTCTTTTGGCCCCCGCCGACTACACCCTCGAGCGCTTGACCTTGAAAACATGCTTATCCATGCGAAACGCATGAGATGGGGAGTTTGTGTCGTTGTCTGCTGCACAATCATCCTCTGCCTCATCATCTTCCTACCTTTTCGGTCCCATGTTCGTTTCATGACTATCCTTGACCCCTTCATCAACATACTTTCCAAAGACCCTTATACAGCGCTTCAAAACATCTCGGGGCAGGACTCGCATATCTTGATCGTCTCCGGCTTTTTCCCTCTCGCAAAGTCCAAGCATCCGATGGACGACTACTCTGCCTGGCTTGCGCGCTTCCTCACGCCTATCACAACTGAAATCTATTTCTTCTGTCCCCCAGATATCGCCCCTATGATACAATCCCTTCGAGGCGATCTCCCCATAACTATCAATACGTCTTTTTCCACACCTTTCGACATCCCACCCTTGCGCGGACTCGAGTCCCGTTACGACGAGATGCACGCTTGGGACCGCGAGGCGTTTCGACACTCACCTGAATTATATGCAGTGTGGTCTGCGAAGGCATTCTTCCTGGACGAAGGCGTCAAAAATGCTAGAGGTTCCGCAGAGTACGACTATGCGTTCTGGAACGACGCAGGAAGTTTTCGGGATGAGCATGCGTTGGCGGCGTGGCCGGACGGCAGGAGGGTCGATGAGGTGTTCGAAATGGCTTCTGTGCTGAATCGTGTTCCTAAAGAGGATATTATATTCATTCCAATGTGGTGGATGCCTGACTACAGTCTGGGCTCCTGGAAGGAGGACTTGGGCCCTGTTGATATAGATTTCAGCGAAGGTAAGTAGAATTTCTATTTCGAAGACGAAAAAAGGCGAATACGATGCTGATCATAGACATTCTCAGGGTCTTTCTTCGGTGGGACGCCTGCTGCCATCACATCTTACCGGCACATGTATTACAGCTACCATGACGAATATTTGTCACGGAATATGTTCGTAGGCAAGGATCAGACATTGATCAACGCCTTGATTTTCCTCTTTCCATCACGTTTCGCGACGGTATGGCTGTTTGATCAAGAAGCGCCAGCGCACAAGGGCGTGCCAGACAACTCAGAGACACCTCTAGGCGCCTGTGGGAGCTCATGGTTCTATTACCAGTGGTGGTTAGCAAGCGCGGAAGAACAGGAGAAGACCGCGGGCATTTGGATGCGCGTGGAGGATTATTCGAAGGAGAGCTGGTCGCGATGGCGGACACGGTGTCGTGTGACGAGGGTAATGGGGATGGATATGGTGCTGAAGAGACAATTTGGCAGAATGTGGACGCATCCTTCATCATCGTTCACCATCAAGGATATTCAACGCCATATCTAGGATAATGAGCACTATTTGGATATTCATGTGTTTGCACGGGGGCGATGCCCATCTGTGATGATCATGGTGGCCCATCGTTATACACAGAACGAACGTCTTCTGTGATTGGGTCAGCCCCGGAGACTAGTCCATCGTGGGCGAAGCACATACCATAAATTGGGCACATCGCAGGAGATCACAGGATCATTTTCCTAGACGCGCTCTACCTGTAACCACCGGTGTCAACAGCCTTCTAAAAACGTGCACATTGCCCACGATTGCAATCGGGCATGAAAGACCGAGAACATGAGCGCTCGTAGTGAATGCGCGTATAATCAACACGTGCAAAAGAAGACACTGAAGCACGCCTTTTGAATGTGGGAGAAAATCGACGAGTCGTCAATGGAGTGTCAATGAACCGTGATGGCCATGATGAGACAGCAAAAAGCGGATGAGAGTTGCATAAAGCATCGCCTTAGCAATGTGATTGCCTGAGCTGATCTTAAGGCATCCATCGAAGATTGAAACGCCATCGTTAGGACCTGCCTTCATATGGTTAGGTTTACCCTTTACTATTATTCGAGATCATTCAAGTCCCTCGTCATTGCTGAAGTTCGAGGCCTGAGAAGGAGGTAGCACTCATATTATTCAACGACGGTGTCTCGTTGAAGAGAGGAAATCAAAAAGCAGGATGGAGGTCAAAAGCCGACTATCTCCGCGCCGTAGGCGCTGTTACCACCTTCCGCTCGAATTGCAACACGGGACTGCGAAAGGTATGGACACGAGGCATATGCAAAGCGAATGGGCGAACAAAAACGACAAGAGCAAAACATAGAGTTGAACTGAACTGAAAACGCCTTACACGCGTCTGACAGTCACCAACATCACTATGAGTATGTTCTCAAATTGCTTTCCATCCCTCGTAACGACCCATTTTTCACCATCCTCACCAGGACTAGCGCCTTCGGCCCTTTGCACAGCAGCCACAGCCGTTCCCCTCCACTTACCCATGAGCATCATCGCGGATGCGGGTTTTGTGGGTGGGACCGGCACTAAGTACTGCACCGGCACCGTGAGGACTTGTAGCTCGTCCTTCACCTGGTATTTTGAAGAGCTCTTGGCAGGCTGATCGAGACGGACGGTCGCTGTGCTTGGCATCTGTGCAGATCGGGCGTCTTGTATGCCTTCGATGACGCCCTGTATACCCTCTTTCTCTCCGTCCCACCACGCTCCGCGTGTTCCATTGATACGCACGACGCAGCCGCGGCGATCACCAAGTGAAGGGTCTGTGAGCCATAACGGGGACAGTTCTGATTTCTGAGTCAGTCAAGATGTTGCGATGTGATCAGAGGCGCAAAAACACACCGGGAGGTTTTTTGTCGCTGAAATCCTGGGACAATCCGTTATGTGCTTCTTCTCCGGTCCCACGAGAAACAGGATCATTGTTTGCGAAAGAAGTGCGGTTAGCGTATCCATGATCTGCCACAGAGAATGCTCTTTCTCGCTTTGGTGGCCATTCCACACTCCCTGTGAGTGACATAGAAACGGCACGCAAGCCAGCTTGTTGAGGTCCATTAAATCTTGAGCTCCGTCCATCCGCTCGTGAAGTCAGAGGAGGCTAGTATGGACCGTGAGTAAGAGAGTGAATGGATGGTGCAGAAGGCTACCGAACTGTTCCAGATGCAGATAGGCTGCCTGCATCATTTCGAGGGCGGTTGTGAGGCATTTTCTGATAGAAGGAACATGTGTTAGTAAAATGTCTTGCTTAACTACGAAATGAGCTGGCATTTTGTTCTGCAAGCTTTGCTTTCTTTGCTGGATGCATGTCTAGATTTTTTTGAGCCCGCTTCACGGAAGTCGAAGCACCTCTCTATTCAACGGGATCAGAATGAGATTTCCTATACAAAGGCTCACGATCTTCATAACTCACCGTAGAATCCATCTCCCTATCCTGCTTCACCGAACCCTTCTGTCCGTCAAGATCGTCTATCCTCGACGACTCATTTACCACAAATGCTTCCACATGTGCGAGCTCCGCGAGCAGTGCGTCTCGCTCCGTCAGCAATGCGTCCCGTTCTGCGAGGAGAGCATCGCGTTCCATATACACGTCGGGTTCCGATTCAGAGCTTTCGCGCAGCGCGCGCACCTCGCCTCGCATGTCCCCAAGGATGATCTGCAAAATATTAGTCGCGTCGCGCGTGCGCTCCACTTGTTCCAGTGCGCGATCGATGCGTTCATCCAGCAGCGCGGAGTGCTCGCTGATGCTGGACCCGGTCATACTGCAGTGGTCTGCAGTCAAAGAGCTGATGATGCGGAGCGAGAGAGAGGATGGTGATAATTGGTTTTAAAGAAGAGACGATTGAATGTGTGGTGACTGTTAGGCTCTAGTAGGTCGCCGCGCCCACAGGACCCGTCCACACGCGTATTAAAGCATTCGGCCCACAGTACCCTTCACGCCACCTCCATCGATGGCACATTACCTTCTGCCACTTGCCACATATCGAGTTTTGTGAACAAAGGCCAGACCGGTGCTAGCGTGGCATTGAGGCATGAAGCAAGATGAATGTTGAGAGTCCGACGGGAATCGCCACCAACGCCCAATGCTCCGTTGGTAGATTGGCCGATCTCTCGTCATATGGTCAAATTTCAAGCGTCACATATAAGCTCGAATGAATATCGAACAAATGCACAGTACTACCCAACAGAGGGCACTGTTATGAGTCTAGAGCTTATCATTCTGTCTCGTATGATGTACCTCGGGCTCAGGTTGAACAATCGCGCCTGTGATAGAGGCAAACCAGGCGCGCTGGTGTTTCGGGGATGCCCAGTCTGGCTTGTTACCTGTGCGTTGAAGCGTACAATACGTCAAACACAATGAGAGGGTTGTCAGATCGGTAGTATAGTAAACTAGTATATGGTTGATTCCAGAGAGATGGTCACTGATGTACGGCGAGATAGAAATGGACACACCTCCGAAAAACGTTTGGAAATGCATGCCTCTGATTCTCGACGCCGGGTCTTCGCGTAACACAAGACTAGTTGCACGCAGCACAGACGTGCCATCTATGTAGACCTCTACCTCACCTTCAAATGCGTGGTTTATGAGCACCCAAAACTCTTTCTTGCCATCTCCACCGAAGATGCAAAATAAACGGTATATGAGGGACACGCACCATTCTCCCGACCAACATGATTCATCTTCACTCGGATTGCAACGCAATGCCATCTGCCAGACTGAAACCGCCATGCGCCGCGTCCGACCGAGAAACCATAGTCGGTGTTCTCGTGTGACGTGGGAGGGACGCGAAGCAGACGTTCAGCATTGGTGGGCGTAAGCGGCAGATAAGCATAAAGTTCACCAGCACCATTTGCTCTAAAAGAGACAGAAAATGAAAGTCAGGGCGGTTGTACGGTCAGGAATGAAGAGAAAGGAGGGGGAGAAGAATGGGGGAGAAAAGGCGCACCGCCACATCAAACGCAAGTCAAAACACTTGCAGCGTGCATCTTTGCGTCCGCCTGAGCATCCGTATGCCGCGTCGCCGATCCCGCCATCTAGTGAAATACATCGAGTAAATCGCTTGGAGGGTGCCAAACGAGAAGAAGATGGCACTCACAGATCCCAGGCAATTTGCCTCCCTTCGCCCACTCCCAATCCTTTTCAAACATCACCTCGTATGCCATTAATACTTCCTCTGCCCCTTCGTGCATCAAGCGCGCTTGAAAGTCTTCCGGTCCACCTAAATAAAAACCAAACCCACCTTTGACTGCGCCTGCGGGATTGATGCTGCCTTTTATATAAATTGCCTCCCAAGCCTCCTTCTCATTCGCATCTTGTACACTCGACGCCGATGCAGTCGCAATTGCGACGGCAGTATGTGGAACGGGAGGACACACCACGCGGTGTGTGAGAATATGCGGGTGCGAGAGCTTGTGGACGCCCAGTGCGGCATCAGTGAGTGGTGTCAGGGAGATACCGTGAGGAAATGATGTGCGAGACAGCAAGTTTGAGGTTGTGAATGCATTATGGATGCTTGCAGAAGGCAACGGGAGGAGCTGCGAGCAAGACATGATATGAGAGGACATCCAGCGTGGGAACTTCACATAGTTTCGTTTTTCATCCGCCTCATGCCGAGAAATTCCGAGGCACATAAACGGACAGTCGGAAATCAGACAGTGCATGACCATATCCTTTGCGAATATTCTGTGAGCTACACACTACACAAGCAGGATGCATCGGTAAACGGGTACTGTAACGAGTAAGCAAATTCAATCGAGATGTTGGTTGTATATCGCTGAGTACTGAGTACCACCCCATCGATTCGATATCGACTATTTCTCAGTTTGCTGAGAACACTAACGAAAACTGGATCTTCGCAGCGAATAGAACCGCTCACAACAGCATGGAAGCTTCATGCACCAACTGCGAAAATATGAACGGCCCTCCGCCTACCACTTGCATCACGAACAGAGGCCGGAAGTCCGAAACAAACACAACAATCATATGTGAAAGTCGTACGACAAGTGATCACTGATTAAGCTATTAAGAATGGTAGCGTCAGTTTGTATAGGTGGCATCATCTATCCGTACATCCTAAGATGCGATGATAAATTGGTTCAATGTCCACGGAAGTATGGAACGTGGCCGAGGAGAACCTAGCAACACCATCATGCAACAGTTTTGGAAAATATGGAAGTAAAGGACAGAAAAGGCAAGGAGCATCATCGCCGCGTGGACTCTGCATTCTCACAAAACCATCAGCGCCCCGGCAACGGCACCCAACATTCCCACTAGAGCACTAACGAGACCTCCCTTCCCTATTTCGACCTTGAAGCCTGCTGATCCTGAGGCTGAGGCTGAGGTCGAGCGGGAAGCCGATGCACTGGCACTCGCCGCGCTAGCAGCGCTTGAGAGCGAGCTCCGAATCGACGAACCTGCCTGAGACGCCGAGGATGCGACAGAAGATTCCGCATTAGAAATTGAGGATACGGCAGAGGACACAGCGCTGGAGGCCGCGCTGCCCGTCAGGGTAGACGAAGATCCACTTTCGGAGGCTGCAGATCCAGACGAAGTCGCAAGTGAAGTCGCAGATGCGCCACTAGAAGCCGAACCACTCGCTGAGATTTACAAGGTAACAGCGTGAGAAAGGACTCGGGTATGCAGATGAGAGGAAGCGAGGAGGACACACCAGATCCACACTCGGTCTGTTGGAGCTGGAGGGCGGCTGCTTGATCAGACGAAGAGCAGCTGGAGGTGAGGCACTGTGCAGCGGCAGATTGGAATGCCTGTGAACTGCAGACGCAGGATATGTCCGTGCTAAGGAGGTGTGAGAGTGGTCAGTGCATGAAGGGATTACGGTGGCGTGGAGATTGCGACGTACAATGACGAACAGGTTCCGCTGGACGATGCCTGAGTGAGGCAGGTGATGATGCATGGAGACAGGCCGGCGACGCCTGTCGGCACAGCAGAGCTACTCTGCGCTATTACATTCGTGGATGCAAGTACGACAAAGACGAGGGGCTTGAGAATGAACATCGTGGTGGTGTGGAAGTCGACGACGAAGGTAATGGAGATGTGGAGCAATGAGGATGGGAGTATTTATGGGCGCCGGCGTTTGTGAGGAAATGAATGACGCTCCGGACACCCACCTGCCTTTCGCATGATTTGCACCTGCAAGACGATCATCTGATCGTTCAGGTACATGTGGGAACTCTATCTATCCATTCCTGGGCTGTTCGGTTCGGAGAAGTTGGAGGGTCTGGTTGACGCGTACCACCAAGATGTTTCGTTTGGCAGGTCAGTTTGCTAGTGAATATAGTGAATATGTCCAAAGTCGACGAAAGACAGATAGCTGGAACTTTTGATGACGTAGGCAAGGGCGGACCCCGAACTCTGAGTCCCACTGGCAGAGCACTCTCGGAGACTCTTGGCCTCGTTATAGGACGTTGAATATGTCTGCCTCAATACCAGAGGAATTGCCCCAGCAACAAAGATTCAATCCTGAGCACGATCCTTTTGCACCTCATCTTACCAATGTACCCTCTGCTCTGGAGCGCGCGACTCTCCGTCTTGAGTTCCCGCCGTCCTATGTCGTCGTAGGCGTCTACCGTCTCGTCACCGACAAGTCGCTCTACGTTCCCATCTGGAATAAATGCAAGCATGGAATCATCAGAGGACTTGCCGTGGGTGTGGGATGGGTAAGTTTGCTGGTATCCCTTTCATGAGGACATGCTCGTTCAATTACGACAGGCCGTGTTGACCTTTGGTATGCAACGCAAATTCGTCAAGCTTTTCCTCATCAAGTGTGTGCTGCGATTGAAGCTCTCGGTCACTCACATTGAAATATCTCCAGCTCTCCGAGCGTCACTGGTCTGTCACACGACTCAATTATGGGCTTCAAGGTGCCCTTTGATGTCCCAACATGTCTGTCCCTATCATCTGCCCCTCTGTCCCCAGCCTACGCCTTGCTGAACTTACCTCTCGACAGATGCGACGTTCTTTTTCCTTGCCTCGCAACTGACATTCATTCTTACCTTCTTCCTCTCTCGCAACCTCCGCATCGCGCGCCAACGTGCCTGGGACTTGACTATCGCCTCTCGTGGCAAGGGTCCCGATTTCTGGAGTCCGTACGTCGAAGAATGGGATGTCCCACCGGTTTTGGACGATAATAAGTGGGCCAGATTGGAGAGTGTCAAGGGATGGCTGCTGAGCTATACGGTCAAGCGAGGTGCGTACTCATTTTGATGCGAAGTCAAGGCGTAGGGGTTTACGCGGACTTGTGTGGGCAGTTATTCTGTTCCCGCTTCATGTAGTGCCTTTCGTCGGTATCTTCATATCTGCCTTCTTCAAGTCCATGGATACAGCCCGCTATCTTCACAGACCGGTAAGCGCCAACTTGGCCTTATTTTCGTTGAGAAGATATGATCTTACAATAGCCCCTTTCCTTATATTCAGTACTTCGAGTCCAAGAAGATGACGCGTCATCAGACTGCTCTCTTTATGGCAGAGCACAAATGGGATTACCGCAGTGCGTATTATTTCGTGTCTTGCGTTATCTCTACTATATTTATCCGGCAAATCGTCCTACTTTTTGTCCATCAGCTTTTGGCTTCGCGGCCGCTTTGCTTGAGACTATCCCGTTCATCGGGTTGCTGTTCTCGGTTTCGAATCGCATCGGTGCAGCGATGTGGGCACACGGTCAGTATGATCAAAGTGTTTTTGTTCGTCACCGTTCTATTGGCTGAGCAATAGATGCCGATGGTCATTATATGGTAGATCTGGAGAAGCGACAACACTACTACGCGGACGAAAAGGCGAAGAAGGCAAAATAATCACGATATCCGTGCATCACTGTGGTTGCCAGCGTCGTTCACGCTGAAGCCTGAGAATAGATGAGCTGGTATCGTGTGAGTTCTATGCATTATCGCGTGGGTATTGAGGAGGTTGTATCGCAATTGTACGAGTTTGAGTGCGTTATGGCTCATAGCGGGAATCTCGTGCGTCGGGTCATGCCCAAGTCCAGGCGACACTTCGGAACAATCTTCTGAAAGGGTTGCAAGCCAGCCAAAAGTATCACGCAATATCATATTCGCGCTGTCCGGTATCGAATAATTAATCTGTGGTCAGATCGAGCATGTATAACCGGGTCGATCTCCTTTCAACCATATCAATTCTCTAACTCCTCCAAGAGTTCTTCGTATTCCGGAAACCACATCTTCGTCAGTGTAGCCGTGTACGCTTTCAAAGCCTTCTTCTCCAGGATCATCGCCTTGGCCTCCAAATTCCCTGGCTGGGCAATGATTTGCGCCAAAAACGCTCCAATAATGACGTCGATGCACGACGGCTGGACACCCGCATGGAAGTACGTCCTCCCTTCCAAGCGATCGTTCAAACCCTCTACCCACTCTCTCATCAGTTGATCGACCTCCTTCTCGCTGTGCTTCCCCATGCCCATTGCTCTCATCACACCTAGAATCTTCCGCCGCAAAAGCCACATTATGATCGGCTTGATCAGGCCAGGAATAGGGATCGCCGCCTCTGTCGCAGCATAGTTGTGCTCGCGCGACCATCGCGTCTGCACGACAGCAGTGTACATCAGCTCCTCCGTCCACGCCTGCCATGCACGGGACTCAGCGCGCTGCACGGGCGTCAGTGTCGCATCGAGGTCGGGTGTGATGCCCAGGGCGATGAGTCGACGAATGATGAAATGTGAGTCCGCAATCGTCTCGGTATCTGAGCCGTCGGGTCGCGTGAGGACGATGTATGGCAGCTTTCCCTTTGGCGCTGCTGAGGTGGACGTTGTGACAAGGGTGTAGGACGTGAACGATGTCGCGCGCAGATACGTTTCTAGCTTTTGACAGAAGCCGGATGGACTCGGGGCATTTGAATTGTCCTTGAAGAAGCCGTAGAGTTTGATAGACGCCATCTGGTACAAGTAAAGGCGGTGTGGATTAGTTGTCTAGTGCACAAACATCTGCTCCTTGGTCACCTGTGAACCTTCTCTAGAATTGCAGCGTATGATCACGCCGCACGCTCCCGCTTTATACTCGGCCTCGCCTCTCGCCTCTCGCCTCTCGCCTGCCGAGTCGCTGCGTCAGAATGCGGCATGAATATTGAATGCGCAGTCAAGGTTCAAGACATGCTACAAGTTCGGAATATGAAGGGCGTGATGGGAAACCTTGTCTTGATCGGATGGTTTCCAGGCTTGGACGCCAGAGAGAATCAAACCATTAGCATTCGCGACTGCTGCTGTGCTCTATGACTGCTCTATGCCAATGGCCCGAGCCAATTCTCTAGCTTTTGCGGAGACGTTCCTTCGTGAGTCTTCATCGGTTCGTTCCCTGCAGTTCATTTTGAACACGTGATCCATAACATCGTCTACTGGCGGCGTTCATCGAGAACAAATATAGAGGTTTAGCTTATTTTGTATAAGAGGCGTTTTGTCCCGTGATTCTTTCTCGACCTTATGTTCACCAGCTGGGTTCGTAAGATGTACACCAGAGTATATTAGTACGCAACGTTAACTTGATTCGACAAAGTCGCAGCCCGGAACCACGTGGGCTTTGGTTTGGAAAACGTGATACACGCGACTCCGCTGTCCTGTAGTCTCTGTTGCTAACCCAATCACAGAAGACAGTCGTTCTGTGTATATAGGGTCTGCTTCCAAATGCAGGGGTCTTGCAGGTAGTCAGGATTTCGGCGTTTGCCTGTCTAAAATGATGGGGTTTGCAAGAAATGTGTTACCAAACCTGACTAAAACAGGGATGCAATTCTTCAACATGATATATTTTGCTCATTGAGCACAATAGTGCTTAGTAAGATAGGCAAGTTGGCGTCTTTGATAGCTTTTTGCTCCAGCCGCTGGTTCGAGTCCCGATGAAGACAGCATTTTATATGCTCCTTTTTATATCTTCACCATCCCCTCATGTCTCTTCTATCATTTGAAGTCAATTCAATCTTTTTTTGCACCTCAAAACTGCCTAAAAACACATTTTGAACCTTCCCAAGATTAGCACGTGAGACACTTTGCACGTGAGTGGGGCTAAGTCTAAATATATATCAAATTCAACTCGAAATCCTAACTACCTGCAAGGGGGGGGGGGGGGGTGATTTGGATGTAGACTAGCTGTCCTGTGTTGTCACAAACATCTATCCCCAAATATGCTTGTTCTGGTTCTCCTCTTGCATTATATCCACCCTTGCAAAATGTCAAATACTTCTGCCTCTCGAGATACCAATGTGATGTTAAGAGAAACTGTGCCTTTAGATTAATTGCGAGATGCTCATTGGGAACTCATGTTGCTTCACAGCCGCCTTGCTTGCGCCAAGATCACAACTTGCAGAATTGAGGACAAACACCGCTGCCAAGTCTCCCGTTTGGAAAAGGACCTTTACCAATTGAAAGAAGACTCCCGCACTAAGGTTGCACTCCTCGAAACCAATCTTAAAGACACATGTCTTGAATGAGATTATTTCCGCCGGCAGGCTAAAGGGCATGCTCTCAAACTGGAGGAGCTAAGGCAAAAGTTGATTGTGCAACATGAGGGGTCAATAAAGCATAATGAAGCATTGCTAAAATTGAAGTTCGATGTGACTCAGCTCTGCAATGTAAAAGACAAACTCATCATCGAACATGATAACCTCCTTGCACAGTGCAACACTCTTCTTGCACGTGCTGCTACTCCTATTATACCTCTGATCACACACAACCCAGCTATGAGCTCAAGCTTACTAGACAAGGTACATCTATAGATGCAACTTTATTTCCAATTTTTTTTGATGTGGAGCGATAGATCTGACATTCCTGTTTACCATAAAGCCTGTTTACCACAAAGCGTCATACAAAAACCCGACCTGGCTCGGTCATAAAACAAGAAGCCCCAACAATTTATCTTAGAGCCGCTGGTGTATATCAAGACCTTCTGAGTAATAAAAGGAAGAGGGTGGAGGAGCAAGGGCAGTCTATGATGGACATGCAATACACACTGCCATCGGTATGTCTTCTTGAGAATCATATCTATCGTTACTGACATGCAGTCAATGCTCTCAGCACTCAGGACCAAGCAATACTATCTGAGATGCAAGTATAGGCATGACAGAATTGATTGCCCATGATACCTACAGTCTCGAATCCAGACTACAATCCGATGAAGAGGTCCGCATCATATTGCTGCTCATATCTATCAGGAACTCAATGTTACGACTGCTCGTCAGTAACCCCAAGAGTAGGAGGTTCTTCCCTAGGTCACTCGTGGAGGATGTGTGGAACGGTGGTCTCGACTGTACGTGTAGCACAGGAGCCAGAAGTGTATTGCGATATAGCAATGAAGACTGTAGTAGGAAGACTACAGTGGATGAAGATTCCTGTATGTGAAGATACAGGAGAACGAAGAGAATAGACTGAAGAACCTCAGCCTACTCTATGGGCCTTTTATACTACTTTAGGAAATAGGGCGTGAGAATACCGTATATGTATCCATAGGTATTCTCTAAGTCGTCTCTCTCAATAACGACTACTCTTGTGCTTCTCCGTTCGTCTCCTTCCGGCGAGGAAAGACTAGGAGGTTAATGCCCGTTGTGTGAGTAGTTTGTAAGGCGGTGTTCCATACCCGCTACGCAATAGGCCCGTGATACTCGACCAACGATAAGGTGATCCGTTGGGAGTGGATGACCAAGGTTACTATCTGTACCTTGTTTGTACGCCTCACTGTGTGAGGCCGCTTGATATTTGTGATGATCGTGTCGGTATAGACCGCCGTTAAGGCCCGACAGAACGTGATCATAACAATACCCCCTTTCTACGTCCTATTCGCCTGGTAGGACAGCGCCTTGCGCTTCATCGCCACTCCATATACGATTTGTTTTCTTGATCCAAGGACGGTCTCCGGATGCGACTTCCGGGACATGACTTCGTTTTCTGGGAGGAAGACCGACTTACGTCGTTTGATCCTCTAGGAGTTTTCCATCTCCGTTGAGCTGTTTGTTTGTCGAGTCGCGAGGTTATCTAGGCCTCCGCTCTCTAGGATGTTCTTCCTTCACCCGTGGGATTGATTCTGCCGCGGGTAAACCCATTGCGGTCTTACTTCCAGCCCGCTTCTGGAATTAGTATCAAGAAAGGCGTATGAATGCGAGTGGTGTGTGGATGAATAGAAACTCTAGCGTGTGGGTTCCGATTCGTGTCATCAGGTTCTTCTTCTTCCTTCTCCGAGGGCCAAACCTCAGTGTTTCCAGGATAGTCGTCTATCCTCATGATTTCGTTGTTTCCTCAATGGCGACCGGCGGCGTCCACGGACAAGTAGGTTGATCGCTTTACGAAGGCTTAGGCCTACTTCTCCAGACTACCTTGTACCATGCCTAAGCATGAGTCGAATGGCCAAGCAGTATTGCTCCCATACGGTGAGCTCATCTCCGGTGAGGGCGCCCAATCAAAATCCCAAGCAGTATTGTCCCCATACGGTGGACTCATCTCCGGTGAGGCAGTTTACGGCGTCCAGAGTTTGTTTTTCACAAACGTGGGCCTATGGTGGGGAATACCACGTGTAGTGTTGGGTTCGAGGCAAGGATGTGAAGAGAATTAGACTTGAAGGGTGCAGCGAGGAACAAGGAGGAGTCTGACTCCTTTCCCGGGTCTGCCCGTTCGCTTGCACGAATTAGACATTAAGACCACAGCTGATATATTGGTCGGGGTGCGAGATATATCCACGACTGGCAGTTTAGAACGTCATGCGGGACGGTCCGTAGTTTATCGTCGTTTCGGACGATTCGTAGTTTAACGTCTTTGCGGACGTCCTTCATCATCAACATGGAATATCTGTGGGAAAAAGATGTTTCTGCACGCCGGAATTTCCATCGGTTGTGTGCATAGGGCCATAGACCAGACTTTTCCCGCTCCAGATTCCACTGAGGCATGATGGACGGTTTATACTATATCAAACCGGATAACTTGTACGTCTCAATATTAGGAGACCGCTCAGTTTAATGCCGTGAGGTAGGCATCCTCGCAGTTTAACGCCGTGCGATAGGCGAGCTATCGTCTGACTGTGTCCCTCAAGTCACGATAGGTTTTTCCTCCGAGGATGAGGGTAGTTTACCGTCTTTCCGGACGTTGTCGACACATTCTCGTCAAGAATGATGTCGACCGATGATCCCTGTACTAAAAGGGACGAGTAGTTTAACGTCATCTCGGACGGTTGGTGACCACGGTCTTGGTCAACAACCACAACTCCTATTCGGTAAGGAGCACGTAGTTTAATGTCATTGCGGACCGATTGACACCATGGCGGTCAATCCACAACTCCTATACGGTAAGGAGCAAATAGTTTTGTGTCATTGCGGACGATTCAGCACCAGAGTGATGAATCACAACTCCCATGCGATCGGGAGCAAGTAGTTTAACGTCATTGCGGACGCATTGGTGTCCAGGGGATTGGACGTCAATGACAACCCCTAGGTTCAGGGGCACTAGTTTAACGTCGTTTCGGACGCATGGTATCTTGTCAAGATCGCCACGCACAATCCCTAGGTGGAAAGGGACAATAGTTTAACGTCATCGCGGACGTTGTTTCGCCACAAATATTGTGGAAAAACAATGCTTAGTTTAACGTCATCCCGGACGCTTTGTAGTTTATCGTCGTTGCGGACGATAGTGGCGGAATAGACTTTGGATGAGTGGCCCGCTCTTGTCGTTCTTCCGCTATGTGGACCAGACGAGAGTCGCGTGATCTAGTCCCTTCCTACTAGATCTTTGACTCGAGGCACGTGTCCTAGTTGCCTCCTGACTAGGTCTTGGAGCGGAATTTCTTGTACTTCGACTCCAGGACTAGACTGAGCGCTCCATGAAGAGATGCTTGCTCTTCCATGTCCCCAGACCCCTCGCTTGGAATTGAACCAAGTCGACCCAATATT